GCGGCAAGGAAAAGTTTTCAAATCGGCAAAGGCCGAGATGGTTAATTCGGCAAGAAGGGTAAAGAATCACGACCCAGTCGTGGTGACAAGAAAGAGGAGGAAGAAGAGTTTGAGACTGTTCCATTGCAAAAGGATGACGAAGATGATGTGTGGGAGAGCGGGTCAGATATAGATGCTGAGGGAAGCTCTGATGATAATAACTGGGAGAGTGACGAAGAGGACACAGAAGAGAATGAAGTGGACTTTAGTCAGGATGAGGAGAGCGCTGTAGGTGATCAAGGCGTAGAAGACGGCGGATCTGAAAGTGAAGATATGGAGGAAGATGTGAGCCAAGAAGACGAAAGCGAGCAAGAGCAAAACGAGGGTGAGGATTTCAGCACTGACGCGGAAGAGGACGAGGACGATGTAGAAGAAAAGGAGCTAGCTGATAAAATCAAGGCAGCCAACAGAAAGGGCAAAAAATCTGGTGGATTTCAATCTATGGGTCTGAGTTACCCCGTCTACAAAGCCATTGGACACAAAGGCTACAAAGTTCCAACACCCATACAGCGACGATCCATCCCCGTTATCATGGAAGGCCGTGACATTGTGGCGATGGCAAGGACAGGGTCCGGTAAAACGGCAGCGTTCGTCATCCCCCTTTTGGAGCGTCTTAAAGCACACTCAGCAAAAGTCGGTGCCCGTGGCCTGATTCTGTCACCATCACGAGAACTTGCACTACAAACCCTCAAGTTCATCAAAGACCTCGGAAAATACACAGATCTACGGTTCTGTGTTTTGGTTGGTGGAGATAGCATGGAAGATCAGTTCTCGGCAATTGCGAGCAACCCGGACGTGATCATTGCCACACCAGGTCGATTGATGCACTTGATGATTGAAATGAATCTGGACTTGAAAACTGTCGAGTATGTTGTGTTTGACGAGGCGGATCGACTTTTTGAAATGGGTTTCGCGGAGCAGTTGCGGGAAATCTTGTTTCGATTACCTGAGTCCCGTCAGACGTTGCTGTTCTCTGCTACGTTGCCAAGGCTGTTGGTCGATTTTGCGAAAGCGGGCTTGACGGACCCTGCTCTCATTCGTCTCGATGTTGACACAAAGATCAGCAAAGATTTGCAAATGTACTTCTTTTCTATTAAACAAGAAGAGAGAGATGCCGCGCTTTTGTCGCTTTTCCGTTTCGCCATTCCAAAAGATCAAATGACGATTGTGTTTGTCGCCACCAAACACCATGTTGAATACGTCCAGGAACTTCTTTCGGCAGCTGGTGTAGAGAATACTTATATATACGGTGCGCTCGATCAATCCGCGCGTCGTTTCCACCTCGCCAGATTCAGAGCTGGAAAAGTGAAAGTCCTCATCGTCACTGACGTGGCGGCTCGTGGTATTGACGTCCCGCTCTTGGATAACGTTATCAACTACGATTTTCCTGCGTCGAATAAGGTGTTTGTTCACCGAGTTGGACGTGCGGCACGTGCTGGACGGACAGGAAAAGCCTTCTCGTTGGTGTCGACGGATGAAGTACCTTATTTGCTAGATCTGCAACTGTTCACAGGACGACCATTAGTATTTGCTTCAACATTCGATAAGACATCTATCAACGGGGAGGTCGTAGCTCGTCAGCCGGATTATACGTCTGAATTCGTATACGGAATCATTCCACCGTCAGCATTGGCGATGGATGTTGAACAGGTTATTTCCACAGTGAAGAATAATATCACGATGGAGAACCTGGAGACGTCCGCTAAGAATGCGTACAAGATGTATTATAAGTCACGACCTGTGGCATCGAAGGAATCCTATGCTCGTGCCAAGGAGATTGGAGACGTCTACCTGGGCATTCACCCATTTTTGGCGGAGAAAATCAATCCAGCAGAGCAAGCACAAGCAGCCATGATTGCATCCATATCTAAATTTCGGCCGGCCGAGACCGTCTTCGAAACGACCAAGAAGGGTCTGAAAACGGCAGAAGCAGTGTTGATGCAGAAACGGAGGGGGCAGTTTGGGTCATCGGTGGCAGCATGGAGACAGCAGCGAGCGGAGAAAGATATGAAATTGGCTCAGCAACAGACTGAGCTATTGGGCAAGACGACGGTAGAAGCTGCCGATGAGACAGATCTTGCGGTAGGTGAACAATTGGACGCGCTTGTATTTAAGATATGGTCATTCATTCTCGTGATATTGTGTTCTCTCTAGAAAACATTCTCGAGTGTCCTGACGACCTCGAAAAAACGCAAAAGCCCTGCGTCCTTCCGCGATGAAGAGCATTATATTTCATACCGCCAGGCTGACGCCGAAACGGAACGCGGCTACGCAGTTAACTCCAACGAAGGCCCTGCTTCGTTCGCCGAACGCGCGCAGGCCGCCACCCTCGAACTCCAAGCGGAAGATGCCGACGGTCTCCGCAAGACCCGAGGAGCACTTGTGTGGGACAAGACAAAACACAACTTTGTCCGACACACTATCGGATCGGATAATAAAAAGAAGATTCGAACAGAGAGTGGCGCAATTGTAAATGCCAGTTACAAAACACAGCGATTTGAAGATTGGCAGAAACGGACAAAAGTGGCACTACCTCGTGCTGGTGAACAGGAACTCGGGGATGCCGTTCACCGCGCTAACGCTGGAGGCCTGTCAACAGGTACCCGAAAGTACCGACACACGAAAATCACAGCACCCGATGTCAACTCAAAGAATTATGCCCGAAATCAACGGAAGCGCGAAAAGGAGGCGGCTGCTGGTGATGCCAGTCAAGCAGCCGTGCATCCCAAGAAACGCGCGGCAAATGTCAAGAGCGAATTGAAGACGGTACAGCAGATTGCAAAGGAGAGGAAGGAGAAGGAGAAGAGACGGGCAAAGACGGGCCGGCATGGACTGAAGGGAAAAGGGAAGGGGAAAAGCAAGGGACGACGTTGATGTGAAGACGGGTTTATAGAATTTATTAATTTCTAGCTTGGTTTTCTTTTTCATTACTTCTTTGTATATACATTATTCCACACTTGTTGCAGTTGGCTTGTGCTTGTTTGGTATCTTGGTGGGTAGCGGTCAAGACCATCCGTGTCCGAGCCCTATCCCCTCCCCCGCTTTCTACTTACTCAAAGCCCGGCAAACTCCTTACAAATTTCTGTAAATTATTCCTAAAAAGCTCATTTTCGATCGGCCCATCCAACCGCTGCAACGGATTCTTTGTCACATACTCTACGTAAATATGCGAATACATCATGCGTAGGGCGTCGCGCATACTATCCATGTGGGGATCGGTGTTCATGACGAATTTGAGGCCAGTGGGTGTTTCAAAGTAGTGGAGCTTGTATGCATTCGTCCTATACGAGATGAATCCTTCGCTTCTGTTGGGATTCGTGATTAGTTTTGCTCAAAATGACTGTAAGAGTGGGCAGCTTACCCAGGTTTGGCATTCAACTTGCTCACCAAATTCCTCAAGGAGAACACCACACCGTACACCAATTTCGCTTCCTCTTCTAGACTCATTCCAGTTGCTCCTATTGCACCCTTCGCCGTCCCCTGCGTCACGTCCCCTGGTGACGACGATTCAGGACTCGTGGCAGTTGTGCGTGGTTTGGTCCATGAGGTGAAGGAGACGCATTTACAGTGACGGTCGAAAATGTAGAGATTGTATATCTGAGTAGGGGGCTTTTGTGAGATTGTATGCGAGGGGACGTTGAGCCATGCGGACTTACTGTCATTGTGTGGTGGGGAGGTGGTTGGGAATGCGACTGACGGTGGGAGGCCGCGCGGGTACGCGTTTACACAGTTATTTGGGGACGGGACGATTTTAGAATGAGACATGCCGATCGATACCCCCAACATTGCATTACAAAAACCACGGATTCTTTAACGCATCGTCGCATTTTCTATCCGTCTTCCCAATCAGTAAAGTAGTGCCCAGAACCGTCATAAGAAACTAGAGTCCTCATGAGGACTTGTCGAGATGTGTTCTATTTTTGTCCTTTGAGGTATGTCACAAATACCATGAATCGACATGGTGTATCTCACAAATGTATGAAGTGAATAGTGTATGGCCATATTCTATTCTCCTGCCATGCTTGTATGTTTGCGATGCTATGGTGATATATCAGCTGCGTAGAAATGGTGAATACATGCTTGGTAAGTAATCTGTCAGATACCCCCGAGACAACCCCTTTACTATAAGGATCCTCCGAATATCCAGTCCAGCTAAATATATGTTTAACCTCCAAAATGCATCGCGTACACCTCCTAAGTCTCCTTCACCAAGCCAGGACAACTTTGACGAGCCAACTCACAGACCTGGATGCCCTCCAACAAACGACACAGGTGCTGGTTGGGAAATTGGAGCGGTACCAGCGTCATGAGCTGGTGCGCGCCGAATCCATGTGGGTCGGTGGAGTGATATTTGAGGAAGAAGATATAGGGAGGCGTACGTTTTTTTCGGCTGCCTGTATTGAAAGGAGATGGAATGTGATCCGGACTATTTTGAACAGATTCCACAACGATGCATCGGTCAGCATCTGCAGGCCGGCCTGAGGAGGAGTCAGACGCATCGTCAGAGAGATCCAGCGTGATTGCATTGTCAAAGACATCACCTGAGGAGATGCGAAAGCCCTCAAGTGCGAAACAAGAGGTTAAGGAACCGGCGAAAGAACAGATAGTGGACTCTAAGGTGGAAAAACAGGAAAGGAGGTGGGGTCTGCTTCCAACCTCACCCATCAAACTCGTTTGGGATCTCATCATGTCATGTAAGTCTCCCTTCACTCGATACATTCCAGGCCACTAGCTACTCACACATGCCATAGGTGCATACTGGCATACGCTCTTTATCGTCCCCGTCGCTGCCGGTTTCGAACGCTGTAGTGTGCACCGGGTCACAACTGTCTCCAAACTTTTGACGGGCCTCTATACCATGGATACTCTCATCAACGCCGTCACGTTGCGTGATTCGTGCCCATCGCTGGCAAAGTCGTTTAGCGCGTACGTGACGAGCCCAGCATGCGTGGTAGATGTTTTAACAGCGATACCGTATGATTTGATCTATTACGAGCGTGCCCCGAGTATTGCGTTGGGTCCGCTTCGTTTGGTTCGGATGGGGAGAGCGTACCGTTTACGCCGCATACTGGCGACCAACCCCGTCTACACGCGCATTTCAAAGACGACGGCGCGAGCACTGAAAGCGGGGCATATTATCGTGACCATGTCTACTTTTGCCGTCGCGTTGTTGTGGTATTTGCATATGAATGCGTGTTTAACGTTTCTGTATGGAAATCTGACGGGATATTGGACATTCGGCGAGTTTAAATGGGTGGTGGGTGTGGGGTTTTGGTGGCAGTATGCGTGGGGACTGCTGATGGCTGTTGCCAATAGTTGGCCGTTTACGTGGGAGGTTCGGTACGTAGTTTGAAGCACTTTTCGTTAGAGCCATGTCATGTTTAAACCTTTTAATTTCCGTCCCAGACCCCGCGCACCAGCTGAAATTGCATTCCACATTGTCTGGGTCCTCTTCGGGGCTCTTATCACCGGATGCCTGACAGGGATTATCCAAGCCGTCCGAGTGGGGCTTGATCCACCCGGCCGTCTTTACAACGAGAAACTGGACCAAGTGACCGAGTACATGAGTAGCAGAAACTTAGATTCAGGCACCCGGAGACGTGTGCGAGAGTTTCTATGGTTGAAGTTTCATGGGAGGGTTTTTGATGAGGGAAGGATTTTGGAGGAATTCAACTTGGCGCTGAAGCAGGTGTGTGTTTATCAGATCTCGTTTTTTTAGTAGGCTGTAGGTGAGTGTTGACTATTGCTATAGCAAATAGCATCCGGCCCTAATCTCCTCGCATCCGTCCCCGTTTTACACACCATGAACGAAGACTTCCTGGGGTCCCTGGCGCTCTGTCTTCAGGACCGGTTTTACATGCCCGGGGAAGTTATCTATAAAGAGGGTACGATAGGCTCGGATATGTTTTGGATTGCGAGTGGATCAGTGGAGGTTGTTTGGGGAGATGGGAGAAAGCTGGTTTTGACGAGCGGCGATTTCTTTGGAGGTTTGTTGGGGCGAGCGGGTGCTGATTCTAACGTCGTTCTGACTTTTAAACCTAGAAACCGCTCTTGTCGTCGAGATACCACGATTGAACACCGTTCGTGCGATAGGGGCGTGCCATGCCTACCGCCTCGACCGCAACAACTACGACCGAGTTCTGCAAGAGTTTCCCGATATGGCTGCATCAGCAGAGGAGTATGCACGCGGATTGCTTGTGGAGGGAGCGTAAGTCAACGATATCTGTTATTTGCGAATATCATCCTTTGCGCAATAAGATGGGATTATCGTATTTGTTCCTGTTGAAGTGCGTGTATCGATCCCTGTGGTAGCTCCGATGCGAAGAGAGAGAGCTGGTCCACAGGTATAGCACCGCTTCTTAGGCGGGCTAGATTTACCCTTGACTCGGCAATGGAATTCGCCAAACGCACGCGCGGGCCATTGCAATACCATCCACAATCGTTCCGTGAGCGCACGCAATTCCAAAGGCCGCAAGGCCACCACAATAGTTTATTCCCTGCAGCATCCCAAATGGTATGCCAGAGTATGGACGCTTGTGTACATGTCTAAATATCTACATACTCTATTCAGCACTTCTACGAATCTGCGCAGCAATACGATCCAAGTCCTTCTGTCCATCTGTTGAGATCCGTCGTCCCCTAAAGCAAAAACACAACATAAACACACCATCCAAAGTGCCACACATTCTGTAACGTACCCAGCCGCATCCTTTTCCAATACTTTGATCCCTTCCAATGCTTGCATCACCTTTCGTGCAATGGAACCTGATGAGTGGGCATGGTGATGCGGGCGGTTGCCTCTATTTTGCCGTCCAGAGTACTTCTTTTTGAGGGCACCAGTACCCACGCTCTGACGGATGTATATATGTCTTGCAACCGAGGCTGCAGAATAGATCAGTATGACGAGCTGGACTGAGTAAAGGGAAACGTGGGTACGTACCTGCACGAATGTAAAACCAGTCCTGGTCATAGGGAGCTAATTCCTTGTAGGCACCTGTTTTGACCAAATCCACCCATTTGGGAATTTCCAGTTTTCCCGTGCGTTTGAGGTAAGCCGCATACGCCTTGATAAAGTCGTGTGCGCTCACGTCTTTGACAGTGACTCCTCCAGTAGACATGGCGTTGCAAATCCAAGTGCTTTTGATCTTGCGTGGTGAATCTACGACGGGAGAGCAAAACGTCGGCCTTTGGAACCAGAAAAGCATCACGTGAATGCACGTGCTTGCAGATCCTAGGTCACGTTACTGAACATGGACAGGGTTGCCCAAGGTCAACAGCCAAGTGTCGTGTCTCCAAGGTTTACCATGCGTTTATTTTGTCCAATTGATGATGCGTAAAATGTTTGTTTTTTGAAGGGGCCGAGGATACTATGACAGCACCAGAGCGTCTGACCCATGTTGGCGGACGTTCTTGTTGCACTCTTTTTCAGAAAGTCGTAAGTCTAACCAGAGAAGAAATCTCCGCGGGAGCTGCCACGAATTGGGAGTATTCCAAGGGCAACAGGCATCGTTGTTTGGGACAATGTCACCTTAACACTTTTCAACCCGGCGGTTTTATGTGCAGTTTCCGATGGCTCAAGGCAACAGAAGTAGTTCTACCATAAAGACGGAAACTCCGAAATGAGTCCCGTTACTTCAGGTTATTTATTGGGGTGGTCTATTAAGTTTATTATCCAGATCGGAGCAACTTGACTTGGTAACCCTGAACGAGTTGAGCTCCAAGTTGACCTCCGAGTTAACCTCCGAACATGTTCTGCATCCTGCTCAATCGGTGTCGTGTAGCGTTAAGGTCTAGCTTAAATGTTGGGACAATACAAATCAGTTAACGTCAGCCAAGTTAATTCCGTCTGCGATGGATGACGTTCGCCTTAGGGTCTTCCAATCTAATAATATAACTTCTGAACATTGCCCCAAAGACACTCAAACTACACCACCGAAACTCAGCGCCCTCTGTCTAGCTTGAAATGTGTCGTCGTTTCTTCATCTGGCGAGAGCGAAAGTCCAATCATGTTCCAAGAAAAGGCAACCTGTCGACAGCTGCGAGTTCCACATCATTGGCCTTCGATGGCCTGGGTACTTGCATTGCTTCTATTAGCACCCAGCATAGCATTGGCGGCCACATGCACAACCAAGAACTACACATGCCCATACGGTTAGCACATGTACACGAAAGCACTCGCGTGCCGTTCGCTCTCGTTTTAATCAATATGCTCGCTCAGGACGGTTTGTCACCGGGCTGCGGCTTTATTACCAGCAACACGTTGGCGGTTCGTATCCGCAACGTGCCATGAAATTCCACGGCCTGAGCTGCACCGATGGGACCAAACTGGGGTTGTATGACTCTCCTTTCCCAAGTGAGGCATTGTCTAGTTAGACTCGTTACCAAAGCACACTCAACTGATGATCTTACATGGTTAGGTGCCTATGAGGTGCTGGATGATAATGGCAACGGCAAATACTTTCAGATGTCATTCCTCACAGATACAGTACATACAGCAACAGGTTGCCCAAATCTCTTCGTGGGACATTCGATCTATACGTACGCTCGACCCTACCCATATTATGTTTGGACACTAGTCCAGGGAAATAGCAGTGGCTATCAAACCGGGCCGCAATGTCCGGGAAACACATATATAAATGGACTGCAAGTTGATACAACTATATCAACGTCGTGGGTAGGCAATATCAGATATACGTGCAGCGATCCATGGGCGAAACGCAATGGCGGGTACATCACGGTGAGACCGAATAGTATAACAATGATCACCCCTGCTATGGTGCAGTATGTGTCCAAAGTCGTTCCGGACGCCCTATGGGAAGAAGCTGATTGGTGGGGATTTGACTCGTCCTTTGGTGGATTGCAATTGAAGATCAACGGAACCTGGACGAATATTGGCCCTGGAGGGAAGTTTTACCAGGTATCCTATTATTTTCTACAAATTAAGCCCAAAGCTTGCTCTTCTGACCCTCAAAACATAGTCCGATATAGATTCTGGTAGGGTCCGATATATGGCTTTATCGCCCAGCTCTCGCTGGACAAACTGCAATTACTATATCAGAGATGGGACACCGTACGAATTCATTGGGGGTCTCTCAGTTGAGTTCAACTTCCCACCTACGGTATCCCCGATCACAACTGCAAGCACATCCGCAAACGTTGCCGTTCAACTGCAATCCGTGAATCTCAATGCGGCTGACACAGATGATGATGCAACTCGCTTGGTGTACTCAATTCAAGCCTACTCGAACGCCGGTACTCTGACAAAGATGGCCACCCCGGGCAGCGTCCCAAAGGTCCTCCCGGTTAATAGCACGTTCACAGTCGATGATGTCCGCAATGGAATGATATGGTACCAGCCGATCGCGACGAATGGAACTGCTGAGGTCAATCTGACCGTTGCAGATTCCCAGCCAGGTTACATCCCAACTATCTTGCGCATAACCATTCTTCCTATGACGTGGACTAACCAAACCTACACGACTACCTGGCTACAAGGAGCGGCGTGGAGAACCGTGGCACCTGCTCATATCATGAATCCGGCTCCGACGATGGCTGTTGATTCGGTAATTTATACGATCGTTTCCATTACAGATGGCATGTTTCTACGAGTACTTGATACATCGGGATGGAAGAATGTTGGAGTTGGAGGAAACTTTTCATTAGCGCAGGTGGCATATAATCAAGTACAAGTCAATACATCGGCCACCTTCACCGGAACAGCAACCTTGAATTACACCGCGACTGCACCGGGAGCCAGCAGCGCATTTGGTAGCTACAGTGTCTATGTCAACTATCCACCCATCATCACGACCAAGAGCGGCGTGGTAGTCCCACAAAACAGCAAGCCTCTTGACATGAAGACCATATTGGGGGGAACTGATGTCGAGAATAATGCCTGGGGTTTGCAATTTACGGTTACTCAGTGGCCAGGAAATGGCGCTGGACTGTACAGGTACATCACGTACCTAGGCCCTGCAAACTATTACAATGGTCCATATTACTTTGTTTCATTCAGGTAAGTACGACGATTCATGTAAGCCGATTCTAACAAGCAATATATGTTTACATTGCCCCGTTTCAGTCAAAATGACTTGAACTCTGGATACGTCCAACTAAGATTCAATCCTTCCTCGTACGGGATGACTACTTTTGCCTTTACGCTGTCGGATGGCTCGTACTCTGTGCCAAGCGGTCCAGTATCCGTATATCAATTTCCAGCGCCGGTAATTAAGAGCATTTCTCCAACCGTCGCGCAAAACGGGTCGCTGGTTATTTCTGACTCGTCGCTAATGGCCACGAGCGTTGAACCAAGTGTTACACCCAGTTCGCTGCTATTTACTATTATCGCCCCGGCGTTTCCTGGAAATCTGACGAATGCATCGTCGCTAGACCAGCAAATGCTGACTAATTTCACAGCGTTGGATATCAGTAACAGACAGCTGCAATATACTCCCCCGACAGGGTGGAACGGAACGGCTGTTATTTCCTTTACTGTATCGGACGGAGTTAACCTCCTCTCTTCAAAATTCTCGATAATTGTGAACTCGCTCCCTTGGATATCGGTTAACATAACTGCATTTTGTCCACGTAACGGCAGTGTGCCTCTTCGCGGATTATTACAATACTCTGATATTAACAACCTTCCCACATCAATTGTTTACTCGCTGTCGTCGGGACCCCTGCTTGACTTTGGTTGTGTGCAAGCCAGGACGTCTGCTACAGCGCCATGGTCCTGTGCCACGACGTGGACTCAAGATGATATTGATAAAGGAAACGTGCAGTACATGGTGTCGAGTACGAATCTTGGAAGTGAGAGGATAGCCTTCTCGGTCTCGGATCCCTACAACATTCTACCAGCCGTACAATATTACAACGTCACTATTATTCCTGCTTGGCCGGTTTTGGTTTCCAATCGAGTTGTGTTAAGCGCTGCGGTCAATGGAATGCCGACTGTCACATTTCCAATTCAGACTGAACACCTTCAGTACACATGTGCCGATACTCCTCCGGACCAGATGAAGTATACATTGCTGAAAAACACAAATGTATCAATGGCGTATCAGCTGGAACTCTTTAATGGTACCAACTGGACGGTCCTGCCGGTTCCTGGTGGTACGTGGTTCCAGAGCGACATTGATAGTGGTAACTTACGAGTTACGGCGACGGCAAGTAAAGCGGGTACGGAGGTTGTTCAGCTGATCGTCCAGAGCAGTGCAACGACTTCGAACGGAACCTTGCGGATACAGTACCATTACATGCCTGTCATTGTTTCTCAGACTACCATGTGGACTTACTGGTGGAATTCCAAGAGCATTGGATCTACCAATCTGAAGGCACTGGCTCCTGATCAGCCTGATGCAACAAAGATTGTGTACAAGGTGCGAATGCTTAAGAGTGCGATGATATCAAGCAAAAATCATGTTAGGTACTAACATAAATTTGATCGGGGATAGATTACGAGAGGACCTCTGCGTGGAACACTCTCATCCTCTCAATTCTCTCAAGGTTTGCATTCTAAGTGCAGCTTTCACCAAGAGCACATTCCATTGTTATTAATGTCTTATTCCTGCTAGATGACATCAACAGGAACCTTGTAACTTATCGGCATACGGGATGGGTGAATCAGGAGATTGCCAAAAGTGACGACTTTGGTTTTTTGGTTTACGATGCGGTTGGGTAATATTCAGTATTCACTACGTTGATGGACGTATAGTGCTCTTCGCTTATGATCTTTTATACTTGGCACAGACTTCCGTCGGCTGGGAATGCCACGGTTTTACTGGTCAATCAGCTTCCTGTAAAGGGTGCCGCAACGACTCTCTTTGCCTATCCCACAAGCGGGAATAGGACAGTCACCACCAATATGTTGACATGGACGGATGTGGATGGGCCGAACCAACTGACATTTGTACTTTTAAGTAATCTCACCTTTGGGTCCCTCATGGTTAAAGGTCGACGGCTCAGCGTCGGGGACATGTGGAATGCATCAAATATTGGTGTCGATCTGATGATGGTAGATATGCCTTTAACAAGTTTGACCAATATGAGCGTCAGTTTTGATTACAAGTAAGTGGGCGATTATGCATGGGCCATGCGACAATGGGTAAGTTGCTAAACGTTCATGCCAGCGTGACAGATGGAATCAACGTTGTGCAAGACCGCTTCAATGTGAACTTCGTCCCGCCGCCACAGTATAGGGGTGCCCTCAGCCCACTTTGTGATGCAGATAGTTATTCGAGACGAAGGTGCAACATCTTGTCGACCTTCAACGTTTGGACAACACTACCAGCGTCATCCATTATTTGGACGTTCCCAAAGATTAACAGCGCAGAATGCTATTCCAACTGGTTGACGCTGGACTACAGCTATGGCTATATTTGGCCGACATCAAACGTTGGCGGTCCGTATTCGTTCTCCCTGCAGGATATGAGCACCGGATTTGCTGTCGACTGCATTTATGGTGTGCCTGGTTGGCTCCGCTTCACTGCTACCTTTACCGACGGGCTGAATCCTCCTGTTTCTCAAATGATTACCATACAATGGAACTATATGCCTCGACTACAAACCAACGTTGCTCTGCAACTGGCCGTTTTGGCTCAACCGACGGTAGTCAACATTACATCGGGCTATTTGAACTGGCAAGATTCGGACAATGCAACCACACAGTTGATGTATACACTCTCTTCCGAGCCGGCTAAAGCTCGTCTTAGCCTGTTGGTGAATGGGACTGTTACAAATCTCTCATCTGGATCCCGGTGGACTCAGGATGATATCAACAGCAATCGCTTGGTTTTTAATACCAACTACACAGACCGTGCAGGAGCAAGGGACGCTTTCACGTATAATTTTACGGATGGAATATGGAATTTTACGGAACAAACGGTCTCCATCGTATACGAAGACGCACCAAGAATGACTGCAAACCAAACCATGTTCATTGATTGGACGGGTCGTACCACGTCTCAACGAGTCGTGGTCCCAAAGTCGTCTCTCGAATGGGTATCCAACTTTGAGGCACCAAGTTCCTTAATGTACACGATTCTGTCGAGTCCACAGATTGGATCCTTACAGCTATGGGTAGATTATTATACAAGGGTACCACTCTACAATGCGACATACTGCACCTGCAGCCCTTCGCAAACACCGTGCCCGCCGGTGCAACCTTGCCAATACACCTTTACGCAGAATGATATTGCGAATAGCAATCTAGAGTTTTATGCAACGGCATCCTCCAATCTCTCTTCTAATTGCTTCAGGTATAATATATCAACTGGGGGATTTCGAACGGAAGCAGATCAATGGTTCTGCACATTCGTATATACACCGCCAAAAATCAGCAAAACTTTGCCTGTGATTGCTTGGGGATCTTCCATTACGCTGAATGCATCCTGGTTTTCGGTGACAACAGCAGAGCCCATATTGGCGCCGTGGAATCTGACGTATACTGTGTTATCGTTACCGACCGTGGATAACGATGGTAATCTCCAAGTAACATCTGGAGTACAAAACCAGTCCACTGTAACGATTGGGTCTACCTGGACACAAAAGGCAGTTGCTGATGGAATGCTTGTTTTTACCCATGCGCCAACGAGCACGAATGCGACAGTATCTCCGAAATACACTTTTGGTACGAACCTCTGGGACGGTCTAACGAATTCAAGTCTCTCTTTAGAGGTGCTAGTAGCAGTACCCCCACGTTTGAACTCAAACTTTATCATCGTCTTACCCAAGGGTGGATCGAAATGGATCTACGTCACGAGTTTACCAGTTCTTTCGGACCGATTATTGACCTACTCGATTATATCGATTCCTGTGGATATGACTGTCTCTTTTTATGATTCGTATTGGTGGACGATAACGACTGTATCAGCTGGATTTACGTTTGTAGCGGGGAGCGGGAATCAAGTCAAAATCGCGGCAAGGCAAAACATCACGGGAGGAGATTACAATATTACAATGGTCGCAACGGACGGGGCGAATCCTCCCATAAACTTTAACGTCCCGGTGCATATTCATTTACCGCTACAGTGGTTGGGTACCAGGGTCTTGCTCGTACCGCAGAACGGGGGAGCGTTTTTGAATACTGGAATTATCAGCGCTGTTCAGCCTGATGTTGACATTTTGACGAAAAACTATGGAACGTCATCGATCAGCTACTCGGCTGTCAATTATGCCTCCATCACGAAATTTGGAGGACTGTATGATGCCTATAATTATCCGTGGAATAGCTGGTCCTGGTAAGGAGAGAGAGTGATATATGTACCTACCAACGGTCGGTGCTCATGTACTTTATCTGTGTCGTTTGGTAGGCGTGCAGATGATATGCAGGCCAAAGATGTGCGATTTAATGCTGCCAAAGGTGTCGTCGGGAAAACACAGGTAAGATGAAAAGGCACCCAAGATCTTTTGTTTTCAACCCCCGTTGTGATTCGTCTTACCAAGTTAAATAATGTCTTGTATTCCAGCTCAATGTCTCTTGTTATGACGGTTGGCAAACGGTATATACCGCTCTGGACGTTTACATTGTCGCCAAGCCAACCGTTACCGTCCAACCACTTACGACGGTGATTGACAGTCCCGCCAAAACTTTAGCGTCCAACTTGAATGTCACCATCGACAATTTCATGGCTGCACAAAACCTTTCTTATACTGTGAATTTGACCGTCATTAGTGGTCCATCACTTGGAAGTCTTTGGTTAAACGTCCAATCTCCACTCACGGCATCAACGTCGGGATTATCAGGCAGCGTTGGAGGGGTCTCGACCTCGGGCACTGTCGTAGGAACAGTGTCATCATCCGTCCTTGTTGGCACGAGTACACCAGCAAGTTCTCTGGAAGCGACGAATTCTAGCACCTCGGGCACTGTTGTAGGAGCAGCAGCGTCATCGTCCGTCCCTCTTGGCACGGTTACACCAACAACTTCTCTGGGAGCAACGAATTCCATCACCTCAGCCTCTACATCCGCTATAGCAATAAATGTATCTACCACCGAGTCGAATAGCACGACAGGAACAAACCCAAATAACGCACCATCGACCACAACAGCAACAACCATGCAAGTATCGAGTACCACTACAAGTGCAAGTTTAAACGAAACCCCAACGGCAACGTCAACATTATCCCCCACCACCACAACATCCAGCATAATGGTGCAAGCAGGCTCAGTCATATCTGTCAACGACCTCATGCTCGGTCGGTTGGTGTACCTTGCAGGACGAACAGCGGGTACAACCAATATCATAGTACAGGTATCCGATGGTGTTTCGGCAGATTACAACACGACGCTCCCTATTTATGTGGAAGGATACCCCATATCTGTTGGGACCGGACGAGTTTTACTGGCACCCAAAGCACTTGCGTCGAATTACACGACCACGATCGATGCGATGCAGTTACGATACCAGACCATAACACCAGGTTTAAAAATAATGTATGCACTTGAGGATGTTGCGGCGCCGGTGAACGTCTCCCTTGTTCTCATGGCGAATGGAAAGAAAGTTGACATCGGGACTGGATTTGGGCAGTCTGATGTAGATGCCGGAAAGGTTTCTATACAATGGAATGGGAATATTTCTGCTTCCCAGAACGCTACGATTGGGTTGATTGTTTCCAATGGGGTTTTGAATGGTACAATGAGCCTATTGGTGCAGTTTAATGCCTCTCTTATTCCGTTCCCGGTGTTTTCGACAACAAAGTCGAGTAGTGTCTCTATTGCTACATCGTCATTGTCGTCTGCTCGGTCGTCTGTTAGTAATTCGTCTGTGAGTGTGGTACCTACGGGGACGGTGAGCAATATATCGTCAACTGTCACGTCTGGGTATTCTAGCTCGCTCACGAATAGGTGAGTGGATTGGGGCATTTTTGGGTGTCAGAAGGGTCGGTATTTGAACTTTCTTTTGCTATTTCATTCAGTACGTCGATAGTTTTGTCAAGCACATCTTCGTCATCAACATCAAAATCATCGTCATCATCGTCATCATCAATGTGAGTACCAATCTTGGGGTGGAGGTGGGGATAAGAGCCTGAACTAAAAGATTTGTTGCAGTGCGAGTTCCACGTTGCTTTCATCAAGCTCTTCTCTTTTGTCATCCGAGACGTCTTTGACTACGACATCTTTGCAATCATCTGCATCCCCGTCATCTCTACAATCATCTGCATCCCCTTCAACTGTACAATCATCAACACCCGCATCATCAAGCACTGACGAGTCAATTAGTGTACCTCCATCATCCTCACAGCAATCATCATCACCACCTTCCGTACCCGTTAGTCGGACATTATCATCGTCTTTGGAAACTGGGGTAGAGTCGTCATCTGGGTTGGCAAGTAGTTTGTCGGGATCGGATGTGGTGAGCCGTACTTCTGAGGGTTTTATTACGGGTGGGACCTCTGTGGGAGTTACCTCGACGGGAGGTACCTCAACTCGAGGTACACCCACTGATGGGCCCATCAAAATGACATCAAATCCGGATTTGATTGCAACGAGTTCAATGACGGGTAACGAGATGACTACCTCAACGGATACCATGTACGTACCGGCTACGTTGCTTCCCATATTTTTTGCGGGTTGCATAGCTATGCGGATTACTCAACGTCTTGTTTAACCACAGAAGTGGTACACCACAACCCGCGGACCCCGCTCCAAATCTCACAGATCCAAACACGTAAGTGGCACTATAACAACACAAAAAAGCGCCAACCTCTAACCAAAAACCATTAAAAAAACAGGACGAACAAAGCCTTCCTTTCACCCACAGCAACCAAAGCCATCATCGGAAGCGCAGCAGGCGTCGTCGCCATCATAGCAGGAGCAGGTCTCGTATTTTGGTACCGCAGACCCCCTCAACGAGAATTCGAACGACGTCGAACGATGGCTGTGGCGGGTCCTTCTGCCATGAATTTAATGCAATCGCAGCAGAGTATGGTTTCTGTGGGTAAGAGTGCTTCTGTGGTAGCTCTGGATACGAAGAGTGCTTCTGTGGTTGCGTTGGATAAGGGGGGAGGTGGGATGGGTGGGTCGAGTAGTCAACTTTTGGGTTCATGATAGGTGTAAGGGATTTTTTTGGGTATGGAGTTTTTGCATCATGCTTTATACATATGTGTGATGTATCAAAAATGAAATCTTGCGTAGATCTTTATCTCCGTTATGATGCATACGCACACACTTGTACTATTTTATTATTCCATTGTCGATTATCTCCAAAAACGATATGAACCATACATCCAAACCTACACATGCATACCACTCAAAACAAGATATGTGAACGTGATGCAAGAAATTTGAAAAAGGTCCCGGTTTCTAAAGAATATTTTTATAATTAAACACTGGTGACAAAAGAACCTAGATAATGCCCAGACAAAAAACCCTGCTTGAAAGCGATTCCGAGCATCTCCTACGCGGAGTTTCTTACATACTCACGCTCACATGCACTCACATGACACTACCCTTCACATCACAACGTCGCCGTGAAGGAACTAGATTGCTGGCGGGCATGTCAGATCCACTTTTCCCAGGATGCATCCCACCGCTACCGACACCGCTCACAGAAGCGGAGATGATGATCCACTTGGACCATGCTTCAAATCCAAAGGTACTCTCCCAAAGAATCCATTAAAATGCTATTTAAACTGATGTATTTTAAGGCCCTTTTGGATGAATTGGTGACCAAGCGTGTTGTACATGCATGTAAAGTGGATGGCGTGGTCTTGTACTGGAATAATGGTCCTCGAGGTGAATCCATGCCAATACCGACACCCGTTACTCGGACCCCAACGACGCCATTAAAACGACCCAACACAGTACGTTTCCATAAATAATCGTATATGCAAAAAGACATGTAGACAAACTAAAAGAATGTATAGTCGGTAGATACCCCACGAACAAAACCCAAATTAGAAAGGGTATCAAAACCATTTAAATCACCTTTCAAGAAACCAATGATGGAACAAGCTACGAAAAGAGTGTATAAACCGTTTTTGTCTCCGATGAAATCTGGAACGGTACGGGATGCGGAATTAGTGGGGTTGGAACGGGAATTAAAGGAATTGAAAACGACCGTTGATGGACTTGAAGATCGGATCCGGAAATTGAAGTTGGTGAAGGGGTACATTGAATCGTAGTACAAAGCAAACACACATTTTACGAGGGCATTGTTTATTGAGATCCTTTTTTGTGTAGGATGAAGATACCACGTTGGTTGAATGATACATAAATGGCGTACAGCAGCTCAAGAAGCTCTAGTCTACCTCCGCGACAAATCGGACCAGTGCAAATGGGGGGGAATGAATCCTACGAGTACCGCGTACCCACATTAAAAGAGTTGTGTGATAACCTACGGATTGAGATGGACGTATTGGGAGTGTATCATGAAAGTGAGGATGCATTTAATTGAATGTTTACCCCTTGAAGGGACGGGTTAGGAGACGGAGGTGAATGATATCGGACCAGTGCAAATGGGCGGGAGTGAATCCTACGAGTACCGCGTACTCTTGTGTGATAACCTACGGATCGAGATGGACGTACTGTATCATGAGAGCGAGGATAACATTTAATGGAAATGTGTTCAAAGGTTGGATTGAAGACGCCAAAGAAAAAACACTTTTGCATTGCATATTCCTGTTAAGCGTTCTAGTCATGTAAATAATTATATCTTCAAATATACCCCCAAATTACATTTTAAACAACTTTGCAAAAACTTCAGCAACAAGTACAGGATCACTTTTGCCTTTTGTCCGCTTCATGACTTCCCCCACAAAAAACTTTATGACCCGAGTTTTGCCGTTTCGGACCTTGACCGCCTATCCAAAAAAAAACACATTACAATCCAACACTTTCAACAAAGTATTTCATAAACAGAAAACAAACCATTTCAGGAAACTCCTCTAAAAGCTCCTCACAAAGTTTTTCCAAAGCTTGTACATCACTCGCCAATATCCATCCCTGTTCTTGAGCGATTTCGAGGGGTGATTGGGTATTTCCGTCCATCATGGTATGCAAGATATCCTTTGCGCGTAATCCTAAAATTCCAAATCATTATTTCTTTTCACAAAAATAAAAAAATCGTATGAAGGTGGTTATACCGGATACACGTCCAGTTTCGACGAGATCAATCAAGGCGCCGAGACGGGTGGGTTGAACCGTACATGATAAAAGATTTAAATGTCGCGACCGGAGGGATCCAAATAAATCACCAATAATCCTATATACACACACACACACACAAAAAAAAAAAAATAATCCATTGTCAAGACTGAAAAACAGCATTTCACATTCTTGATTCTAGCTTACCAATTGGCAACTTTACCACCCCGCCTCCCAACCGCAACTTTTTCAAAATACTCTACGGCACCAGGTTCCGACATGAGAATTTCGATTTGGTAGGGTGAAAGTTTGTACTGCTTTGCAAGACGGGTGCGGCGGGTGTCGAGGGGTTCTGGGAGGGTTTGGGAAATGTTGGAAATAAATGCCTAAAGTGTTTTTGTTTAATGTTTGGAAACTGGTAAAAGGAACAAGGGACGTACGGGTGTGAGGTGGATGGATGGGAGGTCGGGTTCCGGCATATACCTAAATTGAGAAGGGTAAGGAAATAAAGACAAGACAAAAAAAGAACAAAGACTGGGATGTTTACCGATAATCTTGTACGCCTTCCTTGCCCCGCAAGCGAACCGTTTGAGCAAGACGTGGATCAAAGGATCTGGTTTCCTGTTGGACAGGTTGCCCCAATTCAAGAAGTTGGACTTGTCGATCAATTTCATATTCTAAACATTTTGGTGGTTAGTGTCTGCAAAATAGTAGTGAAAGAAAGAGGGGTATTGACATACCAATGGCGGCTTTAATCGACGTGAATTTCACCAAGTGCTTGATTTCTGTGCGGGTTCCGTAGGGGGCGCCTAGAGGTCGAACAGAGACGTTGATATCACACCGCCAAGCGCCCTTAAACATAAGACTATCAAAAGGAGGGTATGGGCAAAGCTAATGTGCGAAAAGACCGACCTCATCCATATCGGGAGATGAAATGGAGGTGTACCATAACAGTCTTTGAAGTTTTTTAAGAAATGTGACCGTTTCTAGTGACGATCTATCAAAAGTCTTTCAATACTGGTAAATTTAAGAATGTGACGTCGCTGTATACCTCAAATCGGGCTCAGTAATCAACTCCAATACACCCACACCCGCCCGATTCAGATCTACAAGAGTCTGTCCATCCTTGACGCCCAAAACACTCTTTCCCGAATCCTAAACCACACAAGAAATAAACAAAATCAGCTTACATCATTCAATCAATACATCATCAAAAAACAGTTTTACACAACTTGTTCCAACTGAATCTGCATGAAGCGTACGCGTCGGGTGTAGGGTAACCCATCGGCCATGCCAACCGCCAAACTCCCACCCCTCGCAATCGGATTCCAAAACTGCGTAATCTGATACCCAGGTGGCAAATCCGGATAAAAATAATGTTTGCGATCAAACGAGGAGACGAGTTGGATATCGGATTCAAGTGCAAGAGCGGTTTTCACTGCCAATGTGACGGCTTGGGCATTCAGGACGGGGAGTGTGCCGGGAAATGCCGCATCAGTGGGATCGACGGCTATGTTGGGTGAGGAAGAGGAAGGGAGGGAGGGAGCGGGGGAAAAGAGTTTGGTGCTTGTCAAGAGTTGGGCGTGGACTTCGAGGCCAATAATGGGTTCGTAGGTTTGGCCGGTGGGGGTGGTGATGAGGTGGGTTTGGGGGGGTTGGGAGAGGGTTGTGTGAGAATGCCGGATAGGAACATGTCGGCGCGCTAAATGTCGTAGGCCAGCATGAACTGGCCATCTAGAATGCATTGTGTTCGAATGCTTGCAAAGAAGGGGTGAGCGATTGGGGTTAACCTAGTCACGTGACAGTAAGTGGGACTCATCTGGGCAAGACCGTTTATGGCAAAACTCGCAAGTCTTTGAATAGGTAAAATATATAAAGATAAATACAGCATGCCACAGCACGTTGCGTCCAGTGGGTCGTGTCAGACAATAACGGACGTGCGCAGGACGCCCAGGTCTGACCCCCCGCATCGACGCATCCGCGCCCCATTCAGCCATCTATGGCACCCAAGCACCTCCGTTCCGCCCATGCCCACATACACCCACACACGCATGCGCAGATACATGTACACGGGGCAGCACTCCTCAATCTAAAAAGGACACACGTCAAGCCAACAAATCCGTCTTGTCACTCTCCAAATGTCTCTTTTCAAACTGCTCCATCTTGAGCTGAAGATCCCTTCTTGCTTGTTTGCTAAAAAAAACCAACAAAAAAAATACATTAATGGACATTCCACATTCCTCCACAGTATCAGGACGGGGCACTCACGCATCGGCAATCTTGCCCTCCCACATTTGACTCTTTTGCAACTCGTCCATTTCCCAGTCGACAAATTGTTTTGTGAGAGGACGGGTGGACCAAAATTCTGCAACTGCGCGTTGCTTGTCGTCGAGATCCTCCTCCTCGTCCGCTAAAAGTTCTTCTAGTGCTGCCTTTTGAGCCGCTTGTTGAGCAGCGCGTTCACGCTCTTCGATTTCAACACGGGCCTTGTAAAAGGCGGAAAGAGCATTTTGGTAGGCAGTGTGGCGGGATTGATTCTTGTGCGTCATGAGGTAGAGTGTATGTTGAACGACACTATGGAGACAAGCGGGTAAGTAAGAGTAAATTGATGCCACGACGAGCGCCAGCGAGTCATGACCATAGCCCTGTCCCTCAATGTCACTCTCCAACAACATCTCCATGACGAGCGCTAGCGAGTCATAACCATAGCCCTGTCCCTCAATGTCGCTCTCCATTACATCTCCATGACGAGCGCCAGCGAGTCATGGCCCTAGTTCCAACCCGAACCCAACCTCAACCCAAACCCTAATACGAAACCCTAACCCTAACCCTAACCGAACGCGAACGCTAACACGAACGCTAAAACGAACCCTAAACCGAACTCGAACACGAACCCTAACCTAACCCAACCTTACCCAACCCAACCCAAACCCAACCCTAATCCTAACCCAAACCCTAATCCTAACCAAACCAAAGCCCTAACGCCAACTCACCTCTCACCCGTCACGTCGAGATCGGGTCTCCCTCCATAGATATCCTTCCAATCCCGCTCCTTTAAATCCTCTTCCCCTCTGACGAGACTAATTGGCCTTGCGAGTTCGAGAGGATGCCATCTGTAAAACGCAGCGCGAATCTCGTCTTCTGGATAGACAATAACAGCTGGCTTGGAGACATAGTGCGGCCTGTAGGTGAGAGGATTCTGACGAGCCGATCCTCTCTGAATGTGCGAGTCTAGAGCGAATGCGCCCGTCTCTGTGGGAGTTGCTCCCTTTGGAATAAATGTAGCGGGAGGATGCCGTCTGACAGCGTCATACCATGGAGGGAGTGAGTGTATGCGACCAGCAGCATGCAGTCTATCTATATTTTTCAAGAGTGCATATGGGTTGTTGCGGAGTGGTGGGGCCATATTCCAGACGAAGGATGAGCGATTGTGGGAATGTGCAAATGCCCACCAGGTAGAATGAATGTAACCATGGTAACAATAATTATTGAAATTCGCAGTTGCATTCTCTTGAATATCGCTCACTCACACATACACACATGAAATGCATTGTTTATTCTGTTTGTAAAGTATTTCAATCAAACCTTTTTCTACTAATGCTTATATTGGCTCATAGCCTCATAGCATTATAGTTTATGTTGGTAATTGCACAGCCTATGGATTCAAGTTACAAGCAACCAGCCAGCCTGAGTGTTTGCTCAGCCGATAATCAAAGGGATTAAACACATCTTCCAATTACTATCGCATTATTCACTCGCAAAGAGTTACTATTACTTGAAATAAGGGAAATCATCGTCTAAGTTATTTCACTCACTCACACAATCTCTACCCATCTCAACACACTCCTACATCTCTTCTTCTTCTTCTTCTTCTTCTCTGTGGCTGTGCAATGTATGTGGCTGCAACCAATGAAATCTACCATGTTCATTCAAATGCATTCCATCATATATGACATTGCAATGACGATTTGAAACATTTATTATTAGGAAGCTTCTTATTTCCTTCTTTCTTTTGCTTTTGGGCTGTGTACATTCTTCTTCTTCATCTATTTTATTTTACACACACACATACACACACATACGCATACGCAAACGGATAATGATAAAGAGCTTGTCATCGCTATTGGTGGTGGGGTGGGTGTGGGCATGGGCACAGGCAGAGGCTTGCGACCCTCCATGCAGGTATGTGTGTAGTGGATTATAGTCTTTCTCCACGTTTGACCACAGCTCATCGCTCATCCCTCATTTGCTCTCTTGCAGCATTGGCTTGAAGAATGAACTGTTTAAACTGCATAAACTCGAAGTGACCGCTCACTTGCAAAAACCGCTGCCACTCTCGGTCAGAGGCGTCCACAGAAGAGAGATTACCATCAACAAATTGACTGGGACGGGCGCTGATGGAGGCACCTTGTTTGCTGTAAGAATCAAAGAAAAAACAAATTGCCAAGCAAAACAATGGAATCATGTCTCTCAATGTCTTGATATATTTCTAGTATCAGGGAGCCGTGGAAATTGGAACTCCGCCACAGCCAATGTCCGTCCTCTTTGATACGGGCTCTTCCCAACTCTGGGTTCAGACTACCACCACCACTGGCGACATTAACCGCAACGGTCGCCGCTTTGATCCGGCAAAGAGTTCCACCTTTCAGGCAACCTCCCAACAAGCAGATCCCATCGAGTACGTTGATGGAACCTCGGTCCAGGGCATCTTTGTAAAGGACACTGTCGCCATCAACACCCTGTCTGTCCCCAATCTCCAATTTGAGGCAGCTACCTCCATCAAATCCCCAAATCAAAATACCTCGGATATGGACGGCATCATGGGCATGTCCTTTTCCCTTCCTACCACTGCGGGCGGAACGGCTTCTCCAACCTGGTGGGAACGCGTCGTCAGTGCAAACCAGGTCACTTCCCCTGTATTTGGCTACTACATTGACAGCACAAATCAAAATGGCGGATTGACGCTTGGGGGCGTGGATGCCGCGCGATTCACCGGTGGTCTTACTTGGCTCCCTGTGGCGGGATCCGGTCCCAACGGCAAGGAACCCTTTGTCTTTTGGCAGTCCCTCATGACCGCCGTCTCGTTTCCCGGCTCCTCTCGCACCATCAGTCTCCCATCCAACTTTGCCACCGTCTTTGACACTGGAACCTCGCTCGCCGTCCTGCCCGTCCAAACCGCCGACCAAATCAACTCGATGCTCAACTTGCAGCGCGTCTCCAACTCTCCCCCCTTTCTCTATGCCACCGCGTGTCCCGGCGGCAAGATCCCGTCTGGCTTTCCCGACATTAAATTTGAATTCACGGGTGGGCACTTTGTCACGATTAGCCCGCAAGACTATCTCTTTATGCAGCCGACCGACATTGCCGGTGTCACTGCGTGCGTCAGCGGATTTGCGGGACAAGACATTCACGGCGGATCCACCACTTCCCGCCCTGGCCAAGCCCAACCCCTCCTCCCCTCTGCCATTTTCGGCAACGTTTTCCTGCGCGCCTTTTACACCGTGTTTGATTCCGCTAATAAACAGATTGGCGTTGCTGCTGCCATTCGTGACCCGAATGTCCGAAGCAATTTGACGGCCGTCCCACCTGGGAATGGTGTCCTGGGCACTGGATCCTCGAATTCGGCAGCGTCCACCGTCCAATACAAAACTGTATTATTTGGAGTGTTGACTGTGGTGGCTAGCTTTATTGTAATCTGAAAACTGCAATGCTAGCTCTTTCCACATTTGTTTTGTATGAAAAAGAGAGAGAGAGAATTGTTTATAGCCAATTATGTGCAAATTGTCTATTGATTTCTTTGTGTGTATATATATATATAAACGAGTGGGTTGCAATAGATGATGATATGTGTGTGTGTGTAAGAGTTTTTTCTGTGAATATTCCTGAATGATTAAAATACAGCGATATAACTATCGTTAACAAACTGTATGTGGATAATGGGAGGCATACGGCATGATTACGTAAATACATACTCGTGACTCCACGTGAGAGGCGCTTTTCTCTTTCTCTCTCTTCTCAAAACGCTTCTTCTCCTTCTTCTTCTTCTCGTTCTTGATTTGATGACTCAAAGCGAGGGTTGTGAGTCAAAGTGACGTGCAAGGTTTGACTCACTCCAAGGTTTACCTAACCCTTGCTTTCCTCGTCTTCTCGCATCTATTCATACAATTGAGGGAGTTTTCCCAATTGGTTTTGCATTGGGAAACGGTTCGCGTTTTATAGAGTGTATAGCGCGCGCCTGTGTGTGTGTGTGTGTGTATCGGAGAGAGAGGGCACCATACAATCTTTTGCCCCGAGGAAAATACGGGGAGTAAGAGGGTTACTCATGGACACTGACCGTGTGTTGCCTTTGCCGATACCTTCCAACCCACTTGCACCAACGATAGACGTAGCAGCGGCACAATTATATTTCAAGCGCATGCCGAACGGCGATTTGGTGAATTTGGATGGTCCATCAGTCTTGTATGCTGCTGGGCTCTATTTGGATCGCAACGAGAACGCTCCTGCTGAAGGTATAAAGTTGATAGGCGCGTTGATTTTTCAAGTTTCTCATCTCGTTGTCTAGTAGCTGCGGAACCCTCTGCGTTGACGGGTTCACCCCCCCAAGTCGTATCCCCAGATCAACTCCAAAACTCTCTTTCCGCCTCTGCGTCCTTTAAATTGGGTCCCGACTCTGAGGGATCGGATATCGCAGACCATACGCTGGATAACACACTTTCTCACCACCACCATCTAGACGTGCAGCACGATCCTGTGGCTGCTGCTGCTGCCGCTGCTGCTGCTGCCGCCGCCGCTGCTGTTGCTGTGCAGACACCCGGTACAGCGAAACGAGGGACGGGACGAAGGCGGTCAAAACCGTACGATAATACAAACCTTGAAGGAGCGAGTCCTTTGAACGGGAGGCCGACGAAATCGTCGTCTGCTATGGCGAGGTTGGCTGAAGGGGCTACGAAAGCGATGGAGGAATTGGAGGATGAGTTGGCATTAAAGCGGCGGAGGAATACAGGTTTGTTTTGTTCTGTTTTCTTGTTTGTTGTGCTTTGAGATTAACAGTTCATTTACAGAGGCTGCCCGCCGCTCACGCGAACGCAAAGCCGTCCGCCTATCCACCCTCGAAAATCAAGTCGCCCAACTCGAAGCCCTCAATTCCAGCATGTCGCTCAAACTCGCCGTTGTCGAAAAAGAGCGAGCCATTTTTGCCGCTCGTGAAGCGGAACTGAATCGGCGGATCGCGAGTTTGGAGGCGAGTTTGCGGGAGGCTCATGATGCGCTTATGGCGCGTGCCATTGGGCGACAGGAATTGCCTGGTGCGCCTGCTGAGGGGGCGGATCCGTTGGGTCCTGCACCGCCTTCGGAAGAGTTTGCGGGAGAAGAGTTGTTGCAGGCCAAGATGGGATAATGTTTTTTTTTTTTTTTGAATATTGTGTGTGTTGCGTAGTTTTTGTTTTTTTGCTGGGGGTCTTTTTATAAAAGACGAGTGTTGCAACCATGTTGGGGTATTCGTTTTGGGAGATTAGTTTGTATTGGCATGTTGTTGGGGTTTTTGCCATTTCTTTTCTTTACTTTTCTTGTTGTTGTTGTTGTTGAATAGGCTCTCTCTCCTTCTCTATCGCTTTTTTGTATATAAATAAACCGTTTTGTGTTTTTGTATTTTTCGATGCGCTTTGATTAGACTATGAGAGGATTTAAAGATACGCGGCTTACGTGTTCTTATCAGTCACAGTTGTTTAAAAACCCACATTGCTCACCAGTTGGTGCTCATTGTCTTTTGTTGCAATTTACACTTTTGCCAAATCTTTATTATGGCAACCGTCGAAACCATTTACGTGGGCACCATCATCCACTCCATCTCCCAAACCCAACTCGCCTACCTCAATCCAGGGATCCTCGGCGTCAACACAGACGGCACCATCGCCTTTGTCCACACTCTCCCCCCATCCACCCCTCTCGACACCTTTCTCGCCACCCTCACATCCAACAACACTCCCACAATCCGGCATCTCCCCGCCCACACCCTCCTCCTCCCCGGTTTCATCGACACACACATCCATGCCCCACAGTACCCCTTTTCAGGCACAGGCTACACCCTCCCCCTCCTAACCTGGCTAACAACCTACACATTCCCCCACGAACGCCGCTTTAGTTCCCTCTCGTACGCTGAAACGATTTATAAACGGGTGGTAGCCAAATCCCTTCGATGCGGAACAACGACTGCAGCGTGGTATGGTACGATCCATACACCCGCTACGATCCTTTTAGCGCGTACGTGCGTTGAGATGGGTCAACGTGCTCTTGTGGGTAAAGTCTGTATGGATCGGAATGGTGGGGACGGCTACGTTGAGAACAGTGCTGAGCAGTCTTGTGAGGATACAATCGAGTTTATTAGGGGTGTACGACAACTTGGGTCGGAACTCGTTCAACCGATTTTGACACCGCGGTTTGCGGTATCGTGTACAAAAGAGTTACTTGCCTCCATCTCGTCGTTATCGGACTCTGAAAACCTACGAATACAAACCCACTGTGCGGAAAATATTCAAGAATGCACACTTGTTGAATCACTATTTCATCTCCCGTACGTGCAAGCATATCACTCTTGCGGGATTTTGGGTCCCAAAACGATTTTAGCACATTGTATCCACCTAAACGATTCCGATCGTGAACTCTTATCACGCACACAAACCTCCATCTCACATTGTCCTGTCTCCAATTTCGCATTATCAAGTGGAATATGTAACGTCCGCGCTCTTTTAGATGCCGGTATTTCTGTTGGATTAGGCACAGATGTTGCGGGGGGGTGGAGTACCAACCTCTTGACCGCCATCCGAAACGCTTTGATTGCTTCCCGAGTTTTATCCATGCGAGATGGAACGGTGCCATTATCGTTAGAGGAAGGAGTTTATATGGCTACATTGGGCGGCGCGAAAACACTCGGACTGGACGCCCAAACAGGGAATTTCGTCAATGGGAAATATTTTGATGCGATTTTAGTGGATTTGGATGCGTGTGCGGATGGACGGAGGGATCATTTTGCGAGTCGGTCTGTGGATGTGTTTGAAGGTGAAGGTCCTCAAGAGTGTTTTGAAAAGTTTTTGTTTTTGGGAGATGAGAGGAATGTTGTTGAGGTTTTTGTTGCGGGGCGACGTGTTTTTTGTGTTGATGAGTGATACAAGTCGATGAGGGATTGGTTTATGTTTTTTTTTGTAGTTGATTGGGTGGTGTTTTTGGGATTTTTGATAGTCTAGAATTTCCAATAGAGTTGTTTAGATTTTACTAGTAATGACGGAATGGGAGGAGTAGACCCCGATTTGTTTTGCTTTTTTAGCTAAAGGTATATCGATTTTTTGACAAGCTACAACCAAAAGATGCCCATTTACACAAAACACCAAAAACCTCACAAATCCCATATTTTAATCCTCCATCCACTTTAAACTCGCCATAACCAAAAACCTCCTAGGCAACCTCCCGGGATTCGGCGCCAAAACCGTCATCTTTTTTTTCTCCTCCTCAACTTCACTCACATACACAAACCCAGCTAAATTCGTTCCAAGCACCAAGGAACTTTCTTGTTCGGGTGTTAGGTTTGTTTGGGTGTCGGGGAGAGGCGCATTCGAGACGGCTAATATGGAATGAAGGAGAATGTCCCCGGGTTCTACTTTGACGAGTCGGGTTTCTTGGAGGAGGCGTTCGGAGCCTAGTGGGAGGGCTGAGGAGGGTGCCAATGTACCTAAAAAAAAAAAAACACAAAAGTTATAACATACAAAACACAGACTATATAACCACTATTTTGGATAGTATGCATCTTTACCTTCACCAACCATCCGTACAGCAACATCCGTAAAAGAAACAAGAGAAGAATAAGGACTTAATTCCCCTTTAAGCGTTCCATAAAAGTATTCTTTTATTTTATGCATTTGTAATTGTTTGCGATAGGTTTTATCTCGTGTGACGACCTATACAAATCATTTGTTAACCATTTATTTACATTTTCAAAACACACAAAAAAAAAAAAGGAAACGTACTCCACCGGATTTGGCAAGTTTGATAATGGATATGCCTGAACCGTTTGGGAATCGTTTTGTGAGTTCGCTGTAAAGGCGTTCGTGGCCCAGAACAAGGATAGCATTCACTATACAGAACATCATGTTTTTGTGTATTAGATATACTATATTGGGTATTTGTTTCTTTGACGTTACCTCCAAATTGATCAATAGCATGGGTTAACGTTTCGTATCCATCCACATCCACAAACTGTCGCGGGGTATTGATTATACACCCCGAAGAACGCACTACCCACCATCAACAACCCCATCAACATTTCCCCATCACAAAAAAACAAAAAGGACAGACAAAGTCTACTCACCATCCACTTGATCCAATTTCTTATTCACGACCCCCGCCAACCGCTCCACCAACGCATGATACAATTTCGGTTTCTCCAAAGCAGAAGCATACCCATAGTAATACACCAACGGACTCGTCCCAGTCGTTGCAGACGATGCCGAGAATTCTTCTTCAACGTCAATGGGACGGCTGATGGCTGTTGCTGAGAGTGTGCCAGGTAAACTGACAGATCCCTACAAAAGTTTATTGAGGACGAGTTGAAAGTAGGGTGATAAAGGAAATTCAATACCTCGTTGGGATCAATATCGACAAAAATGGGTTTGTTGCCTTGTTTGACTGCATAGTTTAAGAGGATTTTGCAGAGTGAGGTTTTTCCTACGTCTTCGGGTCCGACAATCATGACCTACTCCTCAAAAAAACAACAAACAAATACATTAACAAAAGAAGCAAATACAAATTCGCTTCTTGACACACTTTGTACCTTTGGTCCTGCGTCACCCTTTTCAGCAGCAGCAGTACGCAACTGCTCCAACGCAAGATGAACATTCAAATAACTCTGCATCGGAGCCTCCTCTGCTATATAATCTACAGTAGGTTTCCCTCGAACGTGTTACAGAGTCAAGAAAAACATGATAAAAACAAGGATGGAAAAAATAAAAAGCAAAAGGATATCTCTAATGTACATCCATGCCAGGTGTACACTGCGACTTTTCGACCCGAGAATGCGTAGGTGGGGTCTGATGCGAGTTCTGTGCCAAAGATCTCGGCGTGGCCTGATTTGAGCTGGATAGAAAAAAGGAAAAAAAAAAGGTGTTTCAACAACTGGACTCTATTGTCTTTTGTATTGTACGTCCCATCCAAAATTGTGTGTATTGTACAATCTATTTTGTTGGTAATAGGAAGGGATTGTATGGCATGTACACTCTATAATGCTCATGCTGGTGTTATTGGTCCATACCTTGAGGGTAACGATCCCATTCTCTGAAAAATCATTTTCGAAACGGAATTCTTGACCGGGACGGAGCGTCACGATGCGGCCTGGTTCTGATGCTATCTCCTACAGTAACGAGAGCAGAGTTGATAGGATGCGCACGGTAAGAAGTTGAGGGTATCTCTTTTACCTCTTGGGCATCGCTGTCCATCGTAAATTCAACAGCTTGGATGGGCAAGCCATTGGTAACGAAGATCGGATTGCTGGACGTCCAGGATGAGTCACGCTATCGGCGTTGTTGGCATGGATACGCGCAGAACCGCCTGACTCACTTGAGCGTTCGTAGTCGGAGTGTTTTCCTTTGTTGTCCGCCACTTACGCAAAATTAGTGTTTTTGCTGGCTGCGAGCAGTTTATACTTGACTGCAAGAGGACGATATTTGCATATAGCATTTGTAGGGTACAGCGGGGTCTCCTAGTAAGGAGTCATTAACAGAGCTGTTTTTGGTCTCTTGCTAGACCATCACGAGAGAGCGTGAGCTGGGCTCGGTCGGCGCCGCCGTCATGTCCCAATCCATAACTTCAACCTCCCTACCACGCGCAATGTCTTTCCGAAACTACGGCCTCCTTCGCGGGTACAGAGGCCAAACAACACGGCCTTTTGTACCCCTCCACCGGCACATGTGGACCAACTCGCAATATACCCGTCGGCCGCGATGGCAACATTGGCAGCACAGAAATACCCGACATGAACAACGGAGAAGCATATTTGGAGCAGCGAGGGCAACGTTTTCCTTGTTGCGTATGACGGTTGCGGCTGCTTCTGCGGGTGGGGGTATGGTGGCGGTGATGGGGTACAAGTTGAACGGTACGTCGTTCAGAGTGCACTGCAACCAGGCGATTAAGTTAGAGTACTAAAATACTCTTTGTACAGAATTACAAAAAGAATATGTCCCAGACTGGATGAAAGATGCCTTTTCAAAGGCCAACGATTTTGTATCAAGTATCGACCTTAGTAATATCGAGATCCCCGAAATCCGACTCCCAGATATCGACGTTGACTTATCAAAGTTTAAATTACCCGATATACTCCCACAGACACCTCCCGCACTTCCAGGCATGGAAAAAGCTGCTGAGAAGTTTGATGAACTGACGACTGCGGCGTTGGGTGGGGACCCGATTGGAACGATACCGACAGAGTTGGATGTTATGAAGGCCGTGCAGCATCAGGCAACGCAGACTAAACCAATGAGCACCATGACTCCGCCTGATGAAGATTTGATGGTGTTGACCAAGAAGCTGATTGAAGTCCGGAATTTGTTAAAGACAGTGGATAATAATGCAAAGATGACATTACCTAGTATTGTGGTGATTGGATCGCAGAGTTCGGGTAAAAGTTCTGTGTTGGAGGCTATTGTTGGTCATGAATTTTTGCCAAAGTAGGTGGTAGTGCATGAAACATGCATAATTCATAAGAGCTTAACACTGGGTTTGGAACAGGGGTACGAATATGGTAACACGACGACCCATTGAGCTCACGCTCATTCACACACCAAACTCGGCTGAAGAGTACGCAGAGTTTCCTCAGCTGGGATTAGGAAAAGTTCGCGATTTCACTCAGGTGCAAAAGACCCTAACGGATCTAAACATGGCCGTATCCGACGCAGAATGCGTCTCAAACAATCCGATCGAACTCCGTGTGTATTCTGCCAATGTACCTGATCTCACCCTTGTCGACCTCCCAGGTTACATCCAAATCCACAATCGAAATCAACCCGCCATTCTCAAAGAGAAAATTGCCGACCTGTGCGAATCCTACATTCGCGAGCCTAATATCATTCTGGCTGTATGCGCCGCCGATGTCGATTTAGCCAACTCTGAAGCACTTCGAGCGAGTCGCAAAGTGGATCCCAGAGGGCAACGTACAATCGGTGTCGTCACAAAGATGGATTTAGTCGAGCAGGACACGGGTGTGGGGATTTTGACCAACAAGGATTACCCCCTCCAACTGGGCTACGTTGGAGTAGTGTGCAAATCATCTGGGTCTGGAATGAATTCTCAGGCGTTGATACGTTCCGAAGACGCTTTTTTCAATTCTCAGCCCTCATACCGGTCCAAAAAGGTCATGGTGGGGACTGCGACACTGAGACGGAGACTCATGCAAGTACTTGAGGACCACATGGGACGATCCCTGCACAGCATTTCAGATGCCGTACAATCCGAATTGGATGAAGCTCGGTACCAGTTCAAAGTCCATTACAATGATCGAAAGATTAGTGCAGAGAGCTACGCCCTTGAATCGATTGATGCGTTGAAACAGCGCTTCAAGGAATTTGCAAAGCAGTTTGGAAAGCCCCAAGTTAGGGAAGAAGTTCGCACGATGCTCGAACAGCGGTTACTGGACATTTGCTCAGACATGTACTGGAGTGACCCTAGGATTGGTAACCTACCCCGCCTATGCCTTGTGGATCCCTATTGGCCCACCCGGCTTGACATGAGCTCGGGGGCGTTAACCAAGAGTGGCGTTGGACGGGCATCAGTCCAACTTGTGGTGGACGTCCTCATGCGGAATATGGAGCGACTCACTTCCACTGAACCATGGGTCCATCATTCGGAGGGGCGTCGCAAAGTCATGGAATTCACCAATGATCTCCTCCGCACAAAGTTCCATACTGCAGTAGACCAAGTCGAAAACACCATCAAGCCATACAAGTTTGAAGTTGAATGCTCGGAACTCGAATGGCAGGAGGGCCAAAAGCGGGCTGTGGCATTACTGGAAAAGCAAATGGCAGATGCAACTAGAGGATTACAAGGCATCAAATCGACGGTTGGACGTCGTAAATTGCGAAATGCCATTAAATATGTCCAGAAAGCTGACAAGGATGCTGAACTCCGTAAACAATCCTCTAGCGATGCCAAGCCGCTTGATGAAGCTCCACCACCGGAATCCCTTGACTCGGATCACCCCGCCTACAATGTTAAACTCATGGAACGCGCCCGCGAGGCCCTCAACCTCCAATCCCGCGTCGCCCTGCTCCAACACCGCATCAGCGCCGTCCGATCCCGCCAATGCAGCACCTCAGATAACAAGGCTTGCTGCCCCGAAGTCTTTTTATCCGTCGTCGCCGATAAACTGACTTACACGGCCGTCATGTTCATCTGGGTCGAACTCTTGAATGAATTCTTTTTCCAACTCCCCCGCGAGATTGATAATCGTTTATACTATGATTTGACTCGGAATGAAATTATGGAATTTGCCAAGCAGAATCCTATTGTTGCCAAACATTTGGAGGTTCAGGAAAAGAAGTTTACGTTGGAGGTTGTTATGGAGAAATTGAGAGAGTTGCAGAAAAAGCGTTGAGTGTGTGACATGGTGTTTTTTGGGGGGTGATTGGAGGATCATCATTCGTTTTTTTTTTTGTTTCTACACACTGTATCTATGCTTTTATCTTTATATTTTTTTTGTGTCGTTGTTTCGTTTGGTGGTGATTATAAGGGTAGATTTGGATAAAACATTACAATTTTCTTTTCAACTGGATATCTGCCATCCATTTTTAATTTTGGAAATCGGGTGTCGTACTCTGGGCGATACAGCATACTGGTGAGCTTGTATTATAAACGCCTCTCAGCATCTGACCTCAAAGTCCCTTCCACGTCACGTCCATTGAACACTGCGATCAAAAGCCCCATGATGTTTACTGCCAAAGTCCTTGTAGTGAAAAACTATAAGAGAGCCTACAAGGCCACACTCACATTTTGCCTGATACTTGCAAACCACACCAACACAATAAAAAAAGAGCATGACGTACGTACAACCAACCCAAACCCATAAGATAAACTACACACTAACATCCACCCACTCACCACCAGCGTCTTCTCCGCCCTAAAATACAAACCCAACCTCCGCATCGTCGTGGCCGTCATCGCCACAACAGCCCTATCTGGCATCGCCCTCGCCGAACGGGACCTCTTTTTCAATCCTACTTTATTGTTACGCCATGATCGTCGACATGAGGACCCGTACCCGTGGAATAAGGTCAAGCCGAATCAGAATTTGAAATTGTATGCTGTGAATCAGCGTGTAAGTTTTTTATGTGGAGTGCTAGATTGTTGTTCACGGTGGATGGATAAGTAATATCTTTTGGTTTGCGGTAGTTTGATAATATTGATCCAAAGAGTATACCCACGAGGGACTGGGATTGATGTGTGTTTTTTTGTATAAAGGATTTTGGGGTTGTTGTGAAATGAGGTGCCTTGAAGGCTTTCTTGTTGCTCGTTTCCTGAACATGTATAGTTTTGTTTTTTTTTGCAAGATTTTATGAGCGTTTTTTGTTGGAGGGATGATCAATCGGACTCTGACAATGAGATTATTGTTTCCAATCACTAGCGTTGGTCGTTCAATCTGTGCTCCAGTACGGGGGCATTGGAACGCATTTTTCGTCGATTTGAGGATACTTGAACGTTTTGAGTGTTTTGTATATTCATATTCGATCATGATCCAACTCCGTCTCAAACTATCAGTGCAGTTTACCTGGCCTGCTTGTATGTATATAACGTGTTTTCTTTTAGTAAAAGCCCAGTCGCAATGCATTTGTTTATTTTGCGAGTGGTCCTGCAAAGGTAGTCACTACAAGTTTTATCAAAACACAAGGGCCAAAGTGAGTGGAAACATTCACTATTATTTGGACGCTTGGTATGAAATACCATTAAGGCTTGTGAAGTATTTAAAAGGAGCAATGCCATGTATTCTTTGGAACGTATAGACAGTTTTTTGTCCCTCAACCATAATCCTCACGTACTGGAGAGTTTCCAGTGACAATATTTACCGCTAGCACGATGATTCAAAACAGCGAGAAACGCCGGGGTGATACTCTTTCATCTTCATCTTGTCTTGATTCGACAATGAACGATATGAAGTAGTGGATAATATCATAGGGCGTGCACTCTGCACGGCTTTCACTCTGGTACAGAAATCTGCCTTTCAATTTTATCTGGAGCCTTATTGAGTGCTCGCTGGTCAAGCAGCCCGCAGATCGTTCGGTGGACAACGGGCGCTGGCACCTTGCCGAATCCGCTAATGCCCTATTTGAATTCAAGACAGCCTGTCAAGACTACTGGTATCGACAATCCGCTGGTAAGCTCTGCCGTGATATTCCTTTCCTAAACTCATGAAGAAGGCCAGAAAGACAGCGATACAAGTCTTTGGAGGTCTTGTTTTCATTTTAAAAAGATGAAACAATACTTTTTTTGCAGTTGGGATGTTACTTATTGTCTTATATTCGATCCAGTAATAACTGATGTGGAGGCATATTGTCGGAGTACAGGCGCACTTGACTTGAATTACATGATGCTCTGTTAAAACGGAGATTCCCAACCTGCGCCCATATGGGATGAACAAGTTGAATGTTTTTCGAATGCCAGAAAGGTGGCAGATGATGAAGCCTAAAACGGCACTTGGTAGTGAAGGAGATGTCGTCCTTTGCACTTATTCTCATCCTATTAAACTCATCTCTGCAAGATCCCTCGTTTCTGGTGGGGAGCTAGCGCTTGAAATGCCATAATTCTGAATCCATTCCTCACTCATTCTTTTGCTCGCGATCGAGCATTGCATCTAGTTCACAGAGCAAGGAGTCCGAAAACTCGGACGAGCTGACAGTTACGTAAGCGAACGCGATCCTCCGAGTTCATCAGAACTAGAACATTGCTGGTAGAGTAAATACAACCATTCGCCCAAATGCTAGCAAACGCAGCAACAGAGGATGCTGTGAAGCGGAGACGAGAAGAAAGGGCACGATTAGCCAGAAAGGTGATTGCTGGTGTACGTTTGGCAGTTCGTTTATATCAAGTCGTTCTCAACTGCCATGACGGTTTTAGGAGATCTTGGAGCAGATGAAAGAAACAACCACCCCATCATCCCCAGCTTCTAAATCATCTTATTGCTCATCACGCTCAAATATCCCCACCCGCCCATCATCTGTTCTCGGAGTTCGAACCGACCGACCCGACAAATCACTACGAAGTAGTACTGGTTCCGCTCACCTCGATCGGAATGCCATCATCTCGAAAGCCTCCGTGTATCAAAGCTTACCATACTTACCGACGAAAGGAGAGCAGTTTGCTTCATCAGCAACTTCAACAGCAGATGAAGCGAGTACGACCGCAATAGATGACGATACGACTGCACATCGTGTGGATCGCATCCTGGACTTTTTGAAAGAGGTGGAGGAAGATGACGCTAAAAGTGCTGCCAGCATCAAAGCTGGGTCAGCTGCTATTGGGGGACTTCTCGGGACGGTGTCGGGGTAGGAGAAATGGTGTTGATCTAAAAGATGACCCAATGTTGATTTTCACGTTAACTTTCTGAAGCACGTCAAACGTTGGTACAACCGAACCCATCATCGGTAGCACAAGTGAGTTTGACAACTAATATTCTTCACGTCGTTATGCGCATTGCTCACTATGAGCATTCCGTTCTTTTATGAAAATAAAGCTGCCGTGTTTGATGGAGTAAAAGCCAAGATCATGGGACAACAAATGGAGATCGAGGAAAAGGGGCGTACTCTTGGCATGCTCAAAAAAGAACTCAAGAAGGTGAAGGAGAGTTTACATGATCAGGCTCTGGAATTGTAAGTACTTTGGTGAGCTTCCTTATTGTCCAAAAATTCAGTGGCTAACCCATCTGAGGAAGCAAGAAGGAACTGAAATCAAAACTATCCCTGCAACGCAAAGAGTATGAAACTATCATAAAACGACATTTAACTTTTATCGATAAACTCTTGGCTGAAAAAGAAGACCTGTCAAAAAAGTGTGAGGTGCTCACTGAAGAAGTCAAGAATCTCGAAAAGCAGTTTAGGGATAAGGTACTGCGGCGGGCTTGCTGTCGAAATACAAATCTAACGACACATTTGCTCATCTGTACTATTTTTCCAAGTCCAGGGTTCTGGAAGAGCAGCATGAAAAAGATCTGAAGCAGCAGCGAGAGCTGTGGCAAGCGGCTGAAAAAGTCAAGCGCGACAAGTGGATTCAAGAAAAGACCAAGGCTATCAAAGATCAAACCATCAAAGGTCTTGAGCCCGAAATCCAACGGATGCTCTCTGTAAGTTACCAGGAATAGAAAGCGGGCTTTTGAAAATGGATGTCTGAATTTGTACATGCCATCAGCAACAAAAGCTTCAAATCCGGCAGATGGAGGAAAAGTTCCGGGAAGATCTAGCTAAAGAGAAGACCCTTTTGGCTGAGCAACAGCAGCGGCAAATGGTGCGTGAATTACTGGCGCTATACACTTACATACATCATTGTAACATATTGATTTTAGGAAGCCATGCGAGACCGTATCGTGGCGGAACGACAGCGTGCGTGTGAAGAAGAGCGTGAATTCGCGCGCCAACGCTATCAAAAGCAGCTTGAACGGGACGAAATGGAGGTAGGCGATACGCTGATGCTTAGATAGAAGAAGTTTATCAAACATTATTTAATGGCATGGATACTAGTTTCAGCAACAAAAGCGCAAACTCCTCGCGGATTTCGATGAACAGAAGCACATTCTTATGGAATCCCACAAGATGGACCGGCAAGCTGAAGAATCATCACATAGAAAACAAATTGAAGAGCTCCGTCGTCAGGTTGACGTGGAGCGTGATGCCAAAGAACAGGCTTTGGAAGACGCAAGAAGAAAACAAGCAACGGAAGTAAGCAGGACTTGTCTTGCACCCGTAGGCAAATGCTTTTGAATCGACGTTATTGACTTTTCCCCTCGTAAACAGCTCTCAAATCTGCGCGAAAAGCTCGCGATAGAAAAGGAAGAATGGCAAACGCACTACATGGCTAAACAAGAAGCTGAAATGCGTAACCGTGAAGTACGCAGGAGCAAACTTACATATACCATCTGTCCACTCTAAACCCCATCATTAAATTATTAGAAAGCGTTCAAAGAAAAGCTTGTCCGTGAACGGGACGCAGAGATCGAAATGGTCGTACAACGGCTTGAATCCGAGACAAGCTGCAATTCGAGTGAGGCGACTAGGAGGTATCGTATGGAAATTGAGCGTCTAAAAGCCGAGACGGCGGAAGAGGTCAAGCAGGTAAGTCAGCCGCTAAAAAAACGATCAATTGACGGTCACATTCCAACACGACAGAACTGCCTTGGTTTATAGTTGCGAGATCAACATAGTTTAGCCATTGACAAGCTTCTCGCTGCACAAAACGAGCTTCGCGCAATTGAAGATGCCAAGCGAGATTTGGAAAAACAGGTCATCCAGGTGCAGCATGAGTCAACAGCAAAGGTATTGATCAATAATAATATCGCTACCCCCTAATAAATTTGAAGACTAAAAAGTATTTTGGCGCAAATGCACGCAGGATAACCTCATTCGCCAACAAAAGAACGAGCTCTCCCGCCTCAAGGTCGATGAAGAAACCCTAATGCAAACGATACGTGCGTTAACGCAACTGCACCTGTAGCAGCATATCATTCCTGAAGCTAATGCAGTCAAAAATCCGTTCTCGCAGGACGCGACTTTGAAGAACAGCTAGATGCCAAAGAAGCAACTTTACGTGCTCTCGCGGATCAAATCGCGGAGCATGACGAAAAAATAGCAATTCTACAAAGAAAGCATCGCAATGAAGTTGAGGAGGTGGTCAATGAGAAGGTGAAGACTCACTCAAGCATGCATGCAGTTACTCAATTTGAAACTGAACCCTTCACTTTGATGTCCATCAGGACCAAACAGTGAACCTCATAGAAGAACGAGTCCGAAAAGCGCTGGCGCTTAAAGACGAGTTGGTCACTAGTTTGAAGTCACAGGTGGAGGACCTCAGTATCAAAAACACACATCTTGAACGGTTGATCGAGAAGCAGCGACAGGTAACGTTGGATGGAAAAGGTGAACTGCGAGCTATCAATTCTAACGTTTCCACTTTAGGAACTTTTGAGTTAAAAGTAGAGTCACTTGACAAGCCAATTCATGTAATTAACTGCATCTGAAAATATAATTCTATTACAAGTACATACACATTCATGCACATCGGTCTCGTCCTACTACTGTAATGCTGAAAGTCAAATTATCTTATCCACGTTCAGGATTAATGATAACAAAATGTGCCACGTCGTAGGTCTGACGTAGAAAATGGTAATCAACATGCACATCGACCATCCGTCAGTCATTCATGGCAAATAATCATTACAATAGTATGGTACGCCAACCAAAATGAAGAAGAATGCTATACAGAAAGGTGACCACCAGCGCAACGTCAAATCGAATCCTCTGCAACCACCTAGTCTCGGCTGCTTCTGGCCCATTCCACCCGCAGAATAAGGTTATCGTATCCAAATCCATTGAGCTTTTCGAGTGCCCTTTCCGCATCCTCTTTGTGGTAGAAGCTGACAAATGCGAATCCCTTGCAGGCATTTGTTTCGCGATCCCTTGCCACGAACTAGCGACACGTTTTAGCCCTAAAATGCCTATTATTCAAATATCAACAGTCATTACTTACCACTCGTGATGTATGTCCGAATTTGCCCACTAAGTCTTTGACATCTGATTCCGAGGTATCTTCCGATAAATTTGTGATACGAATTGTAGGGAAATCGTCTCGTCTCTCTGTCCGCATCGATTCTCCTGGACCACGGTTTCGTAGGCTTGGAGGTACATACTTGCCACTCGTCTTGTCTTCGCCACCCGTCAAATCCGTCAATGCTAGCGCCCGGAACATGCGTGGTAAACAAGGGCTGCAACTTGGTAAAATTTCAGTACATGATTGAGACTTACATGATTCCTTGCTCTCAAGAGCTCCTAGCTCGTCAAGAGGTGCATGGGTATCCTTGAAGGGACACTTGCTGGTCCAGTGATCGCCCTTACAGATACGGCAACTAATCTTTGACTTGGCAGCTGCTGCCAATGCCTTCTTCAAAGAGTCGACTTCGTCTGATGGTTGTGGCATATCGTGGTCTTTGATAGTCGATGAAAGTTTCAGGAAAACTTTTTCGCCGTAGGACGTGCTGTTTGTATCGGGACCAGCTGAGAGGCCAGCAACCTCCCCGAACTTCTTCCACTTATTCTGTTGGAAGTGCCACATGATCCAGATCAGAGACAGTTCAAAAACAATAACAATGCCTGGTGTGTCCGTCGCCTTCTAGCAATCCCGTCTTGTCAAGGACACTCAACTCACCTTGCGCTCTGCGACCGCATGGTTGACTTGGGCCCTTATCAACCGCATTTTTGTTTTCCGGACAATCTTTACTTTCTTCCCGTCATCATTGAGCTTGTACTCGATCGTAACCCTCGTTCCGTCTGCCTCCTCACGAGTTGTGGGGGCAGGAAGGTCATCAGCATCGTACTCGGCTTCATTATCCTCTACATCCTCAGCCCAGTTCAGGCCAGATACGGGCTCGCTGCTCAAGTATCCACAACCTTTAGCATACCGTACGTGTAAGTCCAACTGTCTTCATACTTACGCCACAGGTGCCATTGTTCAGTGAGTTTGCGAATGAAGTTGAGGTGGCAGTTGTTTGTTGGATTGCAGTTGCGTGAGCTTTTCTGCAATACACGTATAATTGCCATGGCAACACTGCACGTGATATGTCAGGCAGGTCAATGGCCAACGACGGAGGCAAAATGTTCAAAAGATGCACGCAAGAAGCGCTGTTGCCAGACTGCTCAGTACAGACTCAAGAAGATCCCAACCGTATGCATTGAGGACAGGGTAACAAACGTCTTGTTAGCAGCAGATGCTTGTTGTCACTTGCTGATACATGTAAAACTAAGAAATAATGAAGCCACGTGAAACCAGAATGTAGAGCTTAGTAACGTAAATACGAGGCACTTTTGTCATTTTCAAATAGAGAACCCATAAAAGGACAGGGAATTTCATCTGCCGGCTGACAAATGAAGTTTACTGTATTCAACTTGTAAACTTGAACCCTTTGCACTTTCGCAAGCAAATGGACGTCGGGAATCAATTAGACCCTTGTATGTAGGGCCCGCCAAATAGTGTCACTCGACAGGATGTATTGAGCACCTATGGGATTGTGTCACGAAAGTATATGAAAAAAACATGCGGCCACATTGGTGCATTGATGCGAACGAAGAAGCTATGCAGACTCAGGACCGCATCGTTATCACTGCCAAAAGCACCACCAAAAGGTTCTTCTCGATGGACTCTGAATGTCTCAGATCTTCAAATTCTGACCTAATCAGTCACGTGACAGCGCGTTGCTTGCGCGCAGCAACCACGATCCAACGTTCTACGCGTGCGCGAAAGTGCACATCCCCCTTAAAAGCAACACGACTTCATAAAGAATCAAGGGGGAGAATAGCCGAGTGGTTAAGCCGCAGACATGCGGCTCAACTGACCGGTGTTCGAGTCCCGGAACGGGAGGACAAAGACTGATTGCTTGCGATGGAGGCGCAAGTGACGCCCCTTCGAGTGGGTCCCAATGAGGCTTTCAGAGCTGAGGGAGGGCCTTGTGTTATCTATCCTTTTGGATCGGCATACTCACAACTAGACTCTTTGCTCTCGCTCTTTCCTCAGCTGAATTTGATTATTGGTGGACCCAGCACCCTCTAGTTTTCCCATTTTAAATGGAAGGCAGGACCTCTGGAAGAAACTTTGAACCCATCAAAATCACGCTGGTGCACATAGTAGAGAGAACCACTTAGCTGCAAATCGCATGCTGTATATATCATCCCAAGTCATGCTATATGGGCATCTTATGAAGTCTTTTGTGAAGTAGAGTCAATCAACAGTGCTTTATTCGCTATTGGAGCTCGATTTCAAAGGTACTGCTTAGGACTCAGGTCCGCGAGCTCACCAAGACTTCAATTGGGAAGGCAATGCCATAGCGCGTTCCCGGTACAGTCGACAGTATGACACGAGTGGAAATCAGAACGCAACCTAAACCAACGGGAATGAACCGCACGACGAAAGTACTCCGTCTATGAAGAGCGGGAATCGATCACATGTACATTGGAATAAGTTATCGAACCACTGGAGCAAGGACAGCGGGTGATGGTATGACAAAGGTTGTCGAAAGATCCACAGTCAGGTCGTGACGATTGAACAAGCCCAGCAATACTGTACAGGTATGTGTTTTGCGGGAAAAAACAAAGAGACTATGCCCTGCAACATCAGTAGCAAGAACAGGGGGCCCTTTCCTTCAGTTTGCCATGCTGGTAAGTAGATCACAACTCTTGATGATGCAACAGAACAAAGAGCTGGAGAGAGGCGCGTTGAAACTCCACGAATGAAATCCGCAACGCTCGGTTGTTGGGGACGGGAACTGACTCAAAGCAACGTGTCCTTTCAGGCAGTGTACATCAATGGGATAAAACAAGTCATTGGCTCAAATCTTCAGTCGTCGATGAAGCCTATATTAAATAGGTTCTACGCCTATGGAAATACAAGACTCCTCAATGGTCATGTTGGTCGCTCCCATCGATAACTTCGATACATTGCATCCAAAAATACTTGGTCCTGTTGATCATGTAAATGCAAAGGATAAAGAATGCAAAGACTTCCCTTGAAATACCTGACACAATCTCGCAATCCTTCGTTGAAATTCCAAGTCAGAAAGACTTCCTTTGCCCGGCAACGGCGGGAGGTCTTCGATCCACTGCCAGATATCATTCAAGCGCTGAATCTGACGCTGCTGAGGAGTAATTGGGGGCGCCGTAACCTGGGAAGAGACAATATTCACAGTAAGTACGTAGGTCCTATATTAGCAACTTGAGGCCATTGTGTTCCTCGTTCATACCTGCGGAATAGCAAGGTCGCGTTGCGACAACGACTGATGTGGTAATGATCCGTGCGGTGTGGCATCTCCGGGTCCAACGATTTTCGCCCGCTGAAACATTGCCATGATGTCCACTGGCTGTCCATATGCCTGCTGCGGCTGTGCACTGGAAATTGGTGGAGCCCCAGCGATCGCAGATTGGTATTTCAGGAGTGTTGTGTACAACCTTGTCCGGTCTGCTGTCTCGTACATCCAAAGACCTTGAACACTATCGCCACTATCTACCCCGAGAATGAGAAAATGCTCAATATTTGCACATAGTATTCTCAAAGTTAATCAAACGCTTCGCACCGTCAGGCTTTCGATATATAACGAATTCCTGCATAAGCTGAACCTCCATATCTGCGCTGAGAAGAACCATCAAGTTCTCGATACCCAAGCGGTTCATCACAAAAAGGCCGTAAAAAGGCTCCACCGATCGTTGAAAGACAAACATTGTGCCTTCAATTCCTTTCTTAGTCTGTAGGTGGATTATGTACAGCGACGCCATCAGAGAACGCAGAGACGGTGAGATCTAAGAGCACCAGTCGTTCCCCACCCAACTTGAGCTCTGCTGGTCAAAATCGTACACAACAACATGACTAGAACTGTCGAGGATGGCCACTATATTCGAGTCGTGCCGCCGAAGGACGTTCAAATTCACGGCAAGTCGCGCCGCCGGGTCCATGGTTGGAATTTATGAGAATCGGAAGTTAACCGCGAAGACCATCCACCTACTGCTTGTGTGGTCAGCAATTGTGGCGCAGCAGAGCGCCATGGCGTATGCCATCAGTCGCAACATCCAGAGTCTGGGAATACCACGAAGCTACATTTCACTGCAGTAATCCCGCCAGACCTAGTTGGAATGAGCAAGCATCGGGGGCTCACCGTTCGTTTGCTTGAAGCGTCCCTTAACTTGACATTGTAACATTTCAAAAGCAAGAGATTACGGTGTAGTAAAAGCTCGATCAAGTACATCCCTTGCTGTCTTAGTGCCATTTTCAATCACCTCCACACTATGTTCCCTACCCTTACTCACTGCTTAAATTACTATTTTATCATAAAAATTGGTGGACAAATCATAATATCCACAGACATCCTGGTAGCGTTACTGTAAAGGTATTTCTCTAGAGGTACATTATGATGGTATGAATTTGATGCAAAGCAATGCAGCGAGAAGTGCATAGATAGAGGAGAGTTGTTTGGACGTTTTGATGAAGGATCTCAACCAGATCGGGATTGGTTACGAAATCATCAGATGGAGCGCTCGCAATGTTCGCGTCACTCCATGGTCTGCCACATGAGCGTTTGCAGTACAGTTCCAGACATTTGCGGCCGGAAACCAAGCCTCTCCTCCTGTTTATATCTGCTTGTGCCGGTCTCATCCGCACAGCAACATGTCGGTTCCCCGATTCCTCCCCGCGCTGATCGGTCGTATTCGATCCAGCAGAAATTGCCTTATACAACGGACTACAGTCGTGCGCTCTGAGAAAGTCATTTGCTCCAGAACGCAGTTGCCATATATGAATGATTGTACTGCATGGCGAAGTTTCAATTCGACCCGCCCTTTGAAGTTAGATACTTCAGGAAAGGAGACCTCCCAACCCCGAAACGCTGCGGCTTCCGGTCCTACGCCACCTGAACGCTCTTCAACAGCTCTTCCTCCGAAAGACTCCATGCACCGGCGAAGCCTTGGGGAGTCTGTTTCTTTTTCCAGGGTGGATGTTGGAGCACAACCGATTCCCTCAACAAATATTCCTGGGACAAAGAAAACTCTAAAACTTAAAGCTCTGGTAGGTACGAGGCCGCCTAGCATACGATTTTTGGACGTCCTTCTGTATTGTCCAAGAATACCTGCAGATATTTGATGCAAACGGCGACCTGCAAAGACCACTAGAGGGAGAGTTCTCAAAGATTGGGATATGTTCAAGGCATTCCTTGCAACCTCGTGATTTGAGAAAGGTAACACTTCTTCAAATTTGTTCAACGAGAGAAGCACCCATCTCAAGCTTCCATGTTGTTACCCTGAGACTAGATGGATAACACGTACTCAGAACAACTTCCCACGATCCTAGTTCGGGAAAAAGCAATTCTGGTAAACTTGCTGCATTTTAAGGCGCTTATCAAAGGTTGAGCTGGCTATTATTTTCATCTATTATGCCTCCCTTTCTAATCCGTTTGCATTTTGTCCTTCAGCTGATATGACAATCATGGCGGATAGCCTGGGATCTAACAGCTATTCGTCGGATTTCTTACAAGAGCTATGTACAAACTTGAAAATACAGGAGGGCTCATACGAATTTCGGTAAGTTCAATCTTACAAGATGGACTTTTGTTCCTAAGCAACCTCTGAGCAAGAACTAGTGCATTAGAAACCATTCTCCTCAACGTCATAGCCGCCCTTCAAGCTGAGCAGCTGGAACTTTTTTCTCGTGTCACCCAAACGTTAGAGAGGCTCGATGAGCGCGTCGACGAAGAGGAGCTGAAAGCGTTGTTGTTGAGCAGACGAGGCGTTGATCAGTTTGCTATAAAAGTGAACGCGATTCGTGGAGTATTTATCGACATTCTAAACAAGTATCTGAAGATTGTTTCTGAATAGTAGCGGCAATGGATGAAGGCATCATGACTAACACGCTCAATTTGCATTGTATTAGCGATGAAGACCTTGCAGGCATGTATTTGACTGCCAAAGCTGCAGGTCAACCAAAGAAAGTTTCGGATCATATAGAAGCGGAGCTACTCTTCGAACATTATCTCAATTTAACCGATGGTGAGTGCCTGACACTCCCTTTACGGTTCGTGTCATGTTCAAACTCGACTATTAAATTTCGCAACAGAGATTTCCAATGCTACACATCAACTCTCAACCAATATTTCAGCAACGCAAGCCATTACCAACATCGTTCTGGACTCACGACGGAACCAACTTATCAACTATGAATTGAAAGCCACACTCGCTACTGTGGCCATATCCACAGGGGCGCTGGTGGCTAGTATTTTTGGAATGAACCTAACGACCAATTTGGAACAAACTCAGGGCGTGTTCTGGGCGGTTACCACAAGTGCTATTATAATTGCTGTTAGCTTTTATGTGATTGCGGCGACACGATTGAGGAGGTTGATAGCCGCTGGGGGCTTTAAGAAACGCAATTCGCTTTGATCATTAGTATTCCTTTGATCCTTGCCCGTATTTTAGTTAGTTCTTCTTGTATTAGACAAAAGTTATCGTGAGGAACTGTGAACTACCAACGTCTCTTAGTTAACGGAGTGGGCTTAGCAAATGAGTCATTTCAGTCGTTCCTTCACCAGCAACCAATATCTTCCAGGCCATAGATCGTAACTTAAGACCAAGCAGAACAATGTTTCTCTACAAGGATACAACGATAAAGTCTGCCGTACATCCTGTCAAAGAATTTCAGGTAACGCTACTGGAGACCTCCTTTGGCAACCGTTTGCACCAACATAGCTGCCAAAACACAACCAACCCGTTCACATGCTCTGCAACCAATCTGACTCTATAGGCTGTTATTCTTGCTGGCAGGCCGCGGGACTGGGGAGGGTAGGTACCGCATTTGCTATCCGTACAGGTCGGTGATACCTACACATTCCTCATTGAAGGTTGGACACGTTAACGGACGATACTGATGCGAAACGGACGTCAAAACTCCCCAAGGCCGCCCTACCTGTAGCTGGGAAGCCTATGATACACTATCAACTTCAATGGTTGGAAGCGGCAAGGGTTCAGGGTGCGTAGACCGTTGTAACGCTCATTGTCAACTAGCTAATTGAATGTTTGTGGAATGCGTAGATATTCTTGTCCTGTGTCCGCCCAACTCGAGACAGGAGATTGCGATGCAAGTGGATAAGTACGAAGAATTCAGCGATCTGCAAATCAAAGTGCAAGTATTGCAAGTTCCGCACGGCGAAGGAACAGCTGATGCATTGCGATCGGTAAAGGATCACATCAAAGTAAATGATCAAGCAGATCGTTGGTGAGAATCCGCACTGGATTAACGAAATGGCTTGTCTTCCTAGCTTGACTTCATCGTCATGACATGCGATGTTATCACCGATCTCCCCCCACATCATCTCATTGATCTGCATCGAATTCATGGGCCAACCGTCACGACTCTGTTATATGATTTTCAAAAGTTGGAGAGTGCTGCTGAGCGACCCTGCAAGAAGGATGGTAATTAGTTGCCCAGCACGTCGTCTCTTGATAGTTTCTTCTAACTCCCACACTAGAATACGCTCAGTACATCGGTATTGAGGGTGCGAAGGGACGCCTTGTATACGCAAAAGCTCAAGAGGATGTTGGAGAATCGTTACGGATGCGTGCTGCCATGCTACGAAAGTATGTATCATACTAAGCTTGAAAGATGACAGCCTAGTTCTCAATCAAATACTTTGCCAGATTTCCGCGGGTGCGAGTTCACACCAACCTTCGTGACGCTCACGTATATATATTCAAACGATGGGTTCTGGACGTGATTGCGGGCAACAAAGCTATTTCAAGTGTCCGAAAAGATCTGCTACGATACCTCGTACAATGTCAGTACAGCAAAAAAGCAATGAAGGCAGAGCATATCGATGAGCGTAAGTCTCCGAACCTAGTAAGAAGTTGTGGATAACGCCAATCACATCGAAGTTGATAATTGTTATTCATAGTACTCGCGGCAAATCCAGATCCTCTTCAAGAAGCCCAACTTCTTTCGACAACCAACAGTGCAGGCATCGAACAGTGTCAGTAACAGACGCAGTACACTCTTTCCTGTATCTCAATTTGTGACATACAGCGTTTGCGTTCACAGTACTTCAAAGAGCGGAAAGCCAAACTGACGATTCACATTCCCCTCCAAACGCGGCTGCTGAACCATTAAGGAAAGCGACGACATCGAACGGACAACAGGTTGTCTGCGCTGCCGTTATTTGCCGAGATTCATTTTGCGCGCGAGCCAACACAGTGTGGGCTTTTGGAGAGATAAATCGTCAGGTTGGTGGCAAAGTAACAGACTTTAGTAATTACCTCTGGTGGAATCTGAACACTTGTTATAGTTGGCGAAGAATGTTCCCGAGAAAAATCCAGGCGGAAGCGAAATGAGGGCAAAGCAAACCCAGGTAGCCTACGATAAGCGTTTGGGAGTAATGATTGTATTATCAAGTGCTCACTCATCTGCTTGACGCAGTTTGGGCCCGACTCTATGATTGGAGAGTATTCACAGATCGGCGAACGGTGCAGCGTTAAGAAAACTATCATTGGCAAGCACTGTACAATTGGAAAGAACGTCAAGATCGTTAACTCAGTGATAATGGATTACGTTGTGATCGAAGACCAGTAAGTCTCTCGTTTATTCTGGGAAGCAAACCCGCATAATTTATGACATTCTTCCGTGCAGAGTAAAACTGGATGGGTGCATTATTAGCCAACATGCTAAAGTCCTTGAGAAAGCCCAGCTAAAAGATTGTGAAGTGGGGCCAAAATATGTTGTCGACAAAGAAAGTATGTTATCGCGGTCCCAATTCTCTCGTCCCATTGATATCTTGGTTTCATTGACTGTTTCAATAGCCGTAGGCAAAGGTGAACAATACACCGAATCACATTTTCTAGACATCAATCAGCCTTGAGATGAGAAAGAAAAAACGAATGCGCAAAAAACATTGTGTATATAGATCAATAATGGGGTGGGATGGAATTCATGTGGATTTTCTTGCATGCTCGCAAAGAAGCATAATTTTATAATATGCCACACTGCACAAGCACAATGACCACATGGCCAAGCTTGTTTGACTTGCTCATAACAATGTTTACAGCGTGCCAAGCTTCCAGTTTTTCAGGATGCACAGACTGTAAGGATCGCAGGTTATCCAGTATGTCGCAGATAGGGAAATTGAATACTGCTTTCGTGAAGACGCAAATGGAAAAGATGCTGCTAACCATCTTGTCTACTCATATCATCACCTGGAAGAGGTGTGTTCTCAAATTTCAGTTACTCGCATGGCATGATACGTTGTCGGCCAGACGACATTGACCTAATATCGAAGGAATCATACCGTGGAATCACATCCAATATCATCCAACATGTTCGAAACCACAAGATGCATCCAATCCACGGTTGGTCGCTCGTCCAATCAGTGCGCGTCGATCAGTCCACGTCACGCCCAAGTGCTGAGTAATCCAAAGTATTTAATGGCCGATCATTGCTTTATCCTCATAGTTAAGCTCACCCTTATATCTAAGGAGAAGTCAGTCATGGTCGCGTCAACATTGGACTACGTATGTCCTTTTACAATTAAGGATTTAAATGTGAGTCTCATTAACCAATAATTTAGACGGTCATAGATGCATTTACCCCAGAGCGTTTCCGCGGAAACCCTGCTGCCATCATTCTTTTGGAAGAGGCAACTTACCCGGATGATAGCTTCCTGCAGAAAATTGGCAGGTAAAGACCATGGGTTCTACATTCATGAATATGCAAAATTGTTAACAACTCATTTGTATATCTCATGATATCCTTGCCAGGGAGTTCAATCTTTCCGAAACCGCTTTCCTGATAAAACACGCAACCTCCAGTCCGGATTCTCCTTCATTCCACATTCGCTGGTTCACACCTACCGTGGAGATTGCCCTTTGTGGTCATGCGACACTCGCCTCGGCTCACTTCCTTTATACAAAAATCCTAGTTCCGAGATCTGTCCCAATTTCGTTCCACACAAAAAGTGGCATTGTGACCGCCGGCCCGAGCGCTAATAATGGGAAGATAGAGCTGGATTTTCCAGCAGAGCCGCCAGTCGAAAGTTCCGAAGCGGACTGGGAAATTGTCAGGACTGTTTTTGGACTGGACCGTTCCGATCTCATCTTTGTAGGTAGGAGCAGGCTGGATGTGCTCGTGGAAGTGAGCGAAGCAGTCAATATCGAGGAAGTCAAAGTGGATTTCCTAGCGTTGGTACGTAACAGAGTACTGTGTGATGCTTGATTGATGTACCAGCTGACGAACCAATGAACACAGGCCACCCTCAAAACCCGGGGTCTGATAGTTACTCGTGCAGCACCAGTATCTTACAAGGACTTCCACTTCATTTCCCGAGTCTTTTCTGCAGATACTGGTATTCCAGAAGATCCAGTGACTGGATCAGCTCATTGCACCTTAGCGGTCCATTGGTCTAAGAAGCTTGGGAAAGCGAACCAGCCTTTAGCTGCTTATCAGGCTAGTGCAAGAGGAGGTATTCTCGAAGTTACATGGGTGCAAGAAAAGGGGCGGGTTAAGTTGGTAGGAGATGCGGTAGTTGTAGCGGAGGGGAAACTGTTCTTGGCATAGGGTTCAATTTGACCGTACACACTGGATCGCATGCTTCTCCCTCCAGCCTTGCGGCACTGATAAATCAACATTATATGGTGGCTCGTTTTTCATCATATAAGTCATCATCGCTGTCAAGAACTATTACATCATCGGCCTCCTGTTCATCTTCTTCACTCCGATAATCCGCATTCTCTTCGGTAACATTGTGATCTTGAACCTGGCCGTATTTGCCTACGGCCACGTCCCGTATCTGCGATTCTCGTTGCTTGGGTGACATTCCCTCATTTTCGTCTTCCTGAACCACATCTTCCTCCTCTTCTTCCTCTAGCTCCTCCTCGTGCACTTCTAATCCATCCGCGCCTTCTACAATGATTCCGTCGGAATGATCATCCTCATGCCGATATCCAACGGGGCTTAGCACACCTTTGCGTAAAGCATTCTCCTTTCTATCACTAAAGTCGGCTAGCTGCGATGCCTGCGCAGGCTTACTTATTGATGACCTTGCGGGACCAATCAACTGTGGTGCTATCCTGCGTCGCTTAGTTTCGTGAGCCGGTGCATCGTTCGGTGCATCATTCGCGGAGCTATCAACCACCTCGAGCCGGTGTTTATGCTGTACGCCCATAGTGATCTCAGAACTCTGCACTTGGCTCGCGTTTCCTTGTGAAACTTTGGAATATTGACTGATCCATGCTTCAATCGTTTGTACCATCCTCCTCCGCAAGCCAAATGACGCGATCCCAATCTCCTCCTTCAGATATGCATCCAGTGCGGGACCTTGCAGGAGAACAATTGTACGCCCTGTTACATTGAGGGCTGTGGACCAAATATGGGTGTATATTCTTCGTCAGTTCTCGCTTGCCAATACCAGATCCATCCACCAACCGGGTTATACCTTGGAAAGAGGCAGCGGCTGGCTTGAAGTCAGGTCCAAGACTTTCAATGCGCGAGGCAAACTCCCTAGCGGTCCAAGTATCCATGGGATAGTCGGCGAGACGTCGGGATGCTGCATGTGAGAATTCATGGCCCATTGAGATGGCACGTGACAGCAACTGATGAGCAAGTCCTACGGTCCTACGAGGGCACTTTCGGGTTGCCATTGCTGCTGCCATTTGTCTTACTGATCCATCATGCCACTATTCCGCTTGCAGCGGTCTTTCACTCTGAGGCAACCTTGGTATGTTTGCTTTTTATTTTCTCAATCTCGCGCGCTCTACTTACTGAGAGTGTCAATGTAGCCGGTTGTTCTCAACTCCTGCAGTCAAGACTTTTGATAATCAGTCCCGGCTTCCTCGTTTGCCTGTTCCAACGCTTGAAAATTTGGCAGAAAAATATCTTGCGAGCTGCCTGTCGCTGCTTACTCCTGAGGAGTATGCGACTACTGAAGCAGCGGTGCAGCAGTTCCTCAAACCGGAAGGGTTTGGCAGGGAATTGCAACGAAGACTTCAGGACTATGATAAAACCCAAAAGGTAGGGCTTGTCATCGTCCCTGTGCGAAAACCATGCATTTCTCAACGCAGTGCCGACTGTCCTGTAATAGAATTCGTGGCTGGAAGAGATCTGGCTGAATAAGGCGTATCTCGAATGGCGCGATCCCAGTTTGATCAATGTCAATTGGTGGTGCCAATTTGTCGATCATCCAAACCATCCCAAAGATCTACTGCGCAAGCCACCACCGAAAGGTGTTCTCACCACCTTTCAGATTCAGCGTGCAGCCGGTCTCATCAACAACATGCTTAACTTCAAGGATCTTGTTGATACTGAACGTTTGCCTGCTGAGTATATGAAGGATACCCCGCTTTGCATGAATCAGTACAAATGTCAATTTGGCGCCAGTCGATTACCTGGGGAGCCGGATACCATCTCGACTGTGTGGCCAGCCAAGGCACGGCACGTGATTGTTCTTACTAAAGATCAGATCTACAAAGTGGATGTTCTTCGGGAAGACGGCTCCCGTGTGCCTATCAAGGAGCTTGAAAGGTTAGTGTTCTTACAAGTCCAAAAACGGTCAGACCTCTGATTCAAATGATTATGTTTCGGTAGGCTCCTCTATGCTGTCGGAGAAGACAGTTTGCACACTGCACCTGAATCCGGCATTGGCATTCTCACTGCTGGACATCGAGACACCTGGTTCAAAGCGCATGCCAGGTTGTCCAGCCTGAGCAAACGCAATGTAGAAAACTTTAACATTATCAACGACGCTCTGTTTGCCGTATGTTTGGACGACCACGCGGTATCGAAGAACATCGACGTGTCCCATCATCAAATTTTCCACAACTTCAATGCCCGCAACAGATGGTTTGACAAAGCTATGCAGTTGATCGTCTCTTCGAATGGACGGGCAGGTGTAAATGGAGAGGTATGAAGCTACGTATATCGGCAAGCGGCGTTCAGCGATGTGTGACTCATACATGTACCAATCGTGTAGCATACGCCAGCCGACGCAGTTATTCCCGGAAAGATCTTTGATTTCATTTTGTCCAAGTGAGCCATTATTTGCATTCATTGTGATCCCTTTCCGATGAGCCTAATGATCAACTGTTGTGCGGTCTGAAAGTGAACCGGCGGTAGATCCTGCAAACGTCGAATCGTCGGCTTTGCCCACCCCAAAGAAATTGCAATGGGTTGTAGATGACGAGGTTACGAAGCTCATGGATGATGCTCAGAAAACTGCCCAGGAGCTTATCGATGACACCGAGAGCTGTTTGCTACAAACTGACATATATGGATCTCGCTACATCAAGGAAGTTGGTAAGAATCGTGTCCCAATATTTCCTAGCCTTTTGGTATTAACAGCAGTATATAGCCAAAGCCAGCCCTGATGCGTACGTCCAACTGGCGTTGCAATTGGCATGGCGCCGTGTACCAGGCCCTGCTGGGCAGCCGAGTGGTCCCACGGCGGTGTATGAGTCTGCTTCCACACGTCTATTCCTCCACGGTAGAACAGAAACGGGCAGAAGCTTGACCAAGGATACCTGGGCATTTGCCCAGTCTTTCGATAATGATAACATCCTGGTATGTGTAACCAAATTGTAGCAGAAGGTACAGCCGTTAAAGATCTCCCTCTGCTTTAGTACGATGATAAGCGTGCTCTGTTCCGCCAAGCTATCAAGTCTCAGTCGAATTACATGAAAGATGCCACGTTTGGTAAAGGTATTGACCGGCACATGTTGGGTCTTCGATGCATGATTCAAAACGAGGAAGAAGCCAAGAAAGCAACTCTTTTCACCGATCCCGCTTACATTAAATCTATGACGTTCCGCTTGTCGTCGAGCAACATGTCACCTGGCAAGTGGTTTTACGGCGGGTTCGGTCCCGTTGTGTCAAACGGGTATGGTGTCAACTACGCCATCGACAAGGATAACCTTAAGTTCTCCATTTCGTCAAAGAAGAGCTGCAAGGAGACGAACAGTTTTGTGTTCAGGGATGCCTTGGAGAGGAGTCTGAAAGATATGATGATCTTGTTCCCGAAGCGAAGCGAGGTGTGGGGCTTGGGATGGGAGAAGAAACTAAAGCAGGAGAAGAAGGAGGAGGCGTACGTGAACATTATGAAAGGATTGAGTGATGACTATGTTGCCAGAAAGCAGAAGATAGAAGAAAAGTATGGTGGAAAGAAAACTGAGCAGGGTGAGGGTGAGAAGAATTAAATAGCCATTTTCTAGATAGAGCGTCGCAGTTGTGTGCCCGTTAATATAAGTTTTTCTGTAAATGAGGGCTCCTACCCTGGGCTGCAAACCTCGCTTATTTCTTGAGCACAAAACTTATCACCCGCCCCTTTCCGCTTTTACCTGCCTTCCCAACCACTACCCTGTCTACCATCTTCGCTTTTCCGTTCTTTTTATCTACCAACCAGGTCGCTCCAACATTTGACTCTCGCGCCAGCCGCTCTAGCAAGGTGGTATCTGACAGTGCAGTCTCCGGAACTTCGATGGTCCCACGTGTTTTTCCATTCACCTTAAAAAGCTGGCGTATTAGTACAATCCGAAACCGCCTGATGTGCCTTTTTCAACATACCATTATTGCGCACACGACGGATCTCTTCTTAAGTACATCATGGTCAACCTCCGGCCATCGTGCTTGGAACACAGACTCTTCCGCAGTCGCTTTCTGCAAAACATGCCAAAGTTCTTCGGCGATACAAGGTGCGAAAGGGGCTAACATTCGAACTAATATCGAAAGGGATTCTTCCAAGGCTGAGATTGACGTCTCCCCCTGGTTGTGTACGATTGCGAATTGTTCAATCGTGTGAGTCAACTTGATGAGAGATGCGATCGCCACGTGGAACCCATACGTGGTGGTCAAGGCCGTGGTTACCTGTCAGAAAGAGACTGAGCGCACTTTCCAAGCATCAGAGGAACAAACACCACGTACTTCTTCCACAGCTGTATGAGTTGCCACTTTTAATTGCGTCTCGTTGAAATCAGTTCCAATGCCGTTTCCTGCACCATGCCTTGGTGCCCGTACGGTTTCATGAACCAATTTCCATACTCGTGCCAACCATCTTTCCATTCCTACCACTGCCTTATCATCCCACGCTAACTCATCTTGAGGTGCAGCCTTATACAGCACGTACAAACGCGTCGCGTCGGTCCCATGTTGGTTAATGATTACCGAGGGATCCACTCCGTTGAATTTGGACTTGCTCATCTTTTCCCAGGAAACCAGCGGCTCCTCACCAGTTTTCTTAATAATAGGTCGGTCGAGGACCGACAAATCCAATTCGTCCTTTTTTAAATAACGCTCAGTCCGAGGTTCTCGGTACGTTCGGCCTTGCACCATTCCTTGGGTCAATAACCTAAGGAACGGCTCACCATTTGGCATATCTACAATTCCTTCACGTTGAAGAAACTTTCCAATGAAACGGGCATACAAGAGATGCATGATGGAATGCTCTACACCTCCAACATACACGTCCACCGGCAGCAGTGTCTTCGCTAAAGCTCCTGACGCCAATTCCGCCGTGTTATCTGGATCGCAGTACCGCAACCAATACCAGGCCGAATCCACAAACGTATCCATAGTATCGAGGTCCCTGTAGGCGTTCGCATTCTTACACCGCGGGCATTCACATTTAGATCGCTCTATCACATCAGGTGAAGAAGCCACTCCGCGAGAAGATAGGTTGATGCCTTCAGATAGCAGAGCTGGGAGCTGGTCATCTGGTACCGGTACTGCCTATACATAGGAGAGGACAATAAGCCACCAGCGAGTATGTTCAGACTTGCATCGTCTACTCACCCCACAAGTGGGACAATGAACAATGGGAATAGGGGTACCCCAATAGCGTTGTCGAGAGATTAGCCAGTCGCGCAACTTGTACTATACCAAGGGTGGGTAAGAGTGGATACCTAACCAGTATTGTCGGTGACTCTAACGAAAAGACAGGATGGAAACGTACATTGATCTTCTTTCGGAGTAGGCCAGCGCGAACTAATTCCTCCCAGGCATCCTGATCCGATGGCTGCGTTGACGAATACGGAATTCCGTACTTATTCGCAAACTCTCGGTCGCGTTCATCATATGCGGGATTACCCAATCTCGCCATATCATCTGCCTCAACGTAATCGGCTACGTATACAGGTAATTGTTTACATGTTTGCGGATGTAATGCATAAACGCCAGTGAAAACGCCTAATCCAATAGAGAAAACATCTCAGCAAATGTTTCTGCAATGAGTGAACAATTCAATATCACCATTCAGATGCGGTTGCATTGCGTGGGCGCCAGACATTGACAGCGCCGCTTTCTGCACTGTTTCTACGTGAGCTCCAGGCAAGTGATGCTCGCTAATCAAGGGATGACCAGTGCCAACGGCGATGTAAGCTGAGCCACCAATGCTTTCTGGATTTGTAGTGAACGCCGAAATCTTCTTTAATGGCGATTTCGCCCCCTATCATTACCGCAATGTCAGAAGAATGCGATGCACACACACTCATAGCAACCTTGTTTCCAAACCTCGGACTGTAGCGTCATATCAAACTCCACCCCTTCTATTCGCCTAATCCAATTCGCTTGCAGTTGTTTTACGTTTGATGGCCAATCAAGATGATCAAGATCACGCAGGAGTTCCTGAATTGGACAAACAAGAGGGTAAAAGAAACAAAACATACTAGTGAGTCTATGAGGATCTTATGCAGAAGTAACACGTGGGGCTTACATCGGCAAAGGCAGTTATTCGGAGAAACCACTGTTTCAATTTTCGCTTCTCTACCAACGCGCCTGACCGCTCTGCACGTCCGGATGCATCTACCTTTCCATCCAATCCAATCTCAGTTAGTTGCGTCTGCCCCTCTGCTAGGTAAAGTCGGGATATATTTACCTGCTCATTGGCCAGTACTGTTTGGTCGACAGGATCCCAGTTGACGACCGCCTCCTTCTGATATACCAATCCAGCCCGATATAGACGCAGAAAGAGGTGCTGGGTCCATCTGTAGTAGGAGGGATTACATGTTGACAGCTCCTAGAAGGCGAAGGAAAAGAGTTTGATTCTTATGAACTCAGCTATAACCAACATCTCGAGTACGAACTTGGACGTACCCACCCTACTCCAGTCGAATGATGTTCCCATAATCCGCATGTTAAGTTTCATTCGCTTAATGTTACTATCCGTCCAGCTGCGTGGATGTACACCATGGTCGATAGCAGCATTTTCCGCCGGTAGTCCGAAAGCGTCCCATCCCATTGGATGTAGCACCTAGGTACGACGTCAGCAAAAAAGCGTGCTACCTAACTTTGCTTAATTCAGATATCACCACTCCCGCCTAACGCACCTGAAAGCCTTGTATTGTCTTGAAGCGAGCAATGACGTCCGCAATTGTATACACTCGTACATGACCCATGTGAAGATCGCCAGACGGATAAGGAAACATTGAAAGAACATAGAACTTGTCTTTTCTGGGAGTGGTGCGAGAAGGGGCGACAATAAAAGGTTTCGATAACCATTTCTGTTCAATATCTGCGAAGGAGTATGTAGGAATGCTGGGTTGCTGTGGGTGCGCTCGTGCTTCCGCAGGTACATGTAAACATCGCCAAAAGGTAATATTACCCAGAGGGCGCACTGCATGAAGGAGCAATTGATAATCAATTTAAAGCAAGATAAGGAGGGAGGAATGCTTGTGGTTTTTAATACCAAGGGCCTTACATTGCCTTGTTGGCATCTTGGTAGATCCGTGGCAGATCGTTGAGGAATTCAAGGTGACAAGCCACGATTCAAACAACGCGCTGCCTGCAAATCCATCTGCGATATACCCAGTAAACCTTCATTCCAGAATTATTCTTCCTCTTCCCTTCTTTTGTGCATTTTAAGTTGGGTTAACAAACTTCAGCATCATGTAACATTGTGATTTAGCAGTATAATTATCAATTTAAAGCTTCGATAACCTGACATTCCAAGGGTAAGAAGACCCTATGTACCACCCGACATGAGCGCATATTCAGCGTTAGTTCTCCATTATTAGCTGGTACCACCTCCTATCTTTGTGGAAGGACCCAATGATTGAGAACGGCTGGTGATTTGTATAGTGCAGGGCTCCTTCGTAATTGCCAGCTTTGGACTTTGTAATTGTTGAATTCTATTGATAAAATGCTTACTAGTGTGAATGGATGGTCTTTATTTCTTCGAGCCCAAGCCGAACTTTCCGAATAATCGCCCCAGAGTTGAGACCTCCTGGTCTCCCTCCTTTACAGATTGCCCATCCTGTGTTTCTCGTGTTGTATCTTTGCTTGTCAATGTGTCAATCTCAGGTATAGCCACTGTATCCGTGTGTGCAAGCGCATGCTCGCCTGCCCCAGCTTCCACGACAATGCCCTCGAACGCTTCTTCGGCCGCAGACGGTGCCCTAGACACTTTTCCATCCTGATCGACTACATATCGTCCTCGTCTCAACGCTCTCCTGAACGCCCAACTCAACCGCCCATCCCCTGAAGATAAAGCCTCGTCAAGTTTCTGTTGCATTACCTCCACTAGTGGTTGGTCTCGCGCTTCCCGCTGTTCCCGTGCAGTTCTTGCATGCTCTGCCTCCACCTCTCTGGCTCGCGGCCAACTCTCTAAGCTTCGCTCCATTTTTTGCAACATTTTCATCAAACCCAACTCTTGTCTGGCTAACTTCATCTTCTCACGACCTGGAAGGTTGTGTCTGTCCTTCAATTTCACCACCTCTCCAGGCATCCCGGTTACAGGGTCACGGATCGGTATCACTTCACGAGCATATAGCCGGGATTCTAGCTCCTGTAGGCGGGTTCGGATTGTGGAAACATGCTGACGGGCAAGACCATGGACGATATCCCTTGGATTGTCCACAAACTCAACAATCGCCAATGGAGCGCGATCAGAAGCGTTACTGCGAAATCCATTCAAGTGAATCCGAGTATAGCCACCTTTCCGACTGGCATACCGGGCAGTTAGAGGTCCTTGAAGTTTGGATACTGTGATGTGAGGGACCTAACCATACGTGCGAGAATTGAGTTAATTCAGCAAAAAACGAGCGCGAAACTCAAAAGAACCTACAAATAACAAAGCCTTAGCCTTTTTCAGACTTTCTTGATCACCGGCTTTTGCCCATTCAATAAGCTGACGAAAACGGGTAAGTAATGACTTAGAAAAGGTGTTGAGCAATACTTCAACCCTATACCTTGTCCGCCGCTCTCTTCATATACTTCGCCTTGGCCACTGTTGTTTGAATGCGCTCATGATAAACAAGTTGGGTGAGAAGATTTCTCAGCAACGCCCGGCGGTGAGCTGGGGTTCGGTTGAGCTTTTTCTCCCAGAACCGGGTTCCGTGCTTCATTTTTAGTGAGTTTAAGACCCAAGATCGTTGTTGTGCTTGTTGAATTTGGTGGAGCAAATTTCCATAGCAACACGCGGGTCAAGCAGATCGTCGCCGCGCTCTTGACTCGTCGTCGCTGGCGGCATACCAATCAAGATGCATTTTCGTCGCCTCCTTGAGTCAGTTCTCTTACTCGCTGCACTCGCTGCTACAGCTCTTGCTCAACCTACAGTAGTGCGTTAAACTTTGTGTTATTGCTGTCCGTTCAAAGTTCACTCGTCCTAAACCTTTCACTAGTTAGAAGTCCTCCATAGTATTGACGACCAGCCATTTACACCTCGAGGCAGCCTCGTGTATGATCCCACCTCCCCCAAACGGACTGCAAATAAATACGAATCAGAGGTACCAATTCCTGATTTCTTGAAGGGAAGAGACACGTCGGATAGATCGCTATTGTATCGGGTTCGAGTGAAGGGTAACAATGGTGTAGATCTCAGTGCAGCAGTTCCAGTGGTAAGTTTGTCATCCATGATGCACAATTATGGCCGAGAGTTCTCCTACTTAAACTTGTGGATGTACAGTGCTTGTTGCAAGCGTCGGAATATCGAGAGCAGCTTACCCTACATTTGGACTCAAATGGTACGCATGTTAGGTAAAACATTTCATTCGATGTGTCAACCAATTTCTGACGTTGTCAGCGTAAGGGGGCCCATGGCACATGGACTATCTTGTAGACGCAACAGACTGCGACACGAGTAGAAAGGTCCGTTATATCATGCGTGCGCCGCGCGATACATTTGGCTCACCGTGTCACTACTGTCTGACATGACAACAGTTGGGTCGGTCCCCCAGAACACAAGTGCTGCTCGAGAGAGCGGTAGATGGACCGAGGTAGTATGCCAAATCTTGTGGAACTTTTCCTTGAACGATTATTTACCTGATGCGTGGATTCCAGGCCAAAACTCGACCAGATAGTTGAATCTACGCCGGATGGCAAACCAGCCAAGGAACAATCATTTTTGGCCAAATACTGGTTCGTCTTCTGATGTGCATAGTACGTGACCTTCCTCTTCTGAATGCGGACTACCCTGTAGGTACTATATTGTCCCCATTATGATCATCCTCATGATGGGAGGCGGAGGAGAAGAACCACCACAGGGCGGGGCACCGGCACGACGTTGAGGCAATATGATTAATACGCTTTCTTTGAGCGATGACTTATTGCAAATCAGAACGATCATCAGGTCACAATGGCTTATCGAAAGCAATGATGATGACAGGCCCACAAATATGCGAAAATATACAGGAATGATATTTGATCAAAGAAATAAATTGATTAAACAAAATGATATCGAAATTTCAGTTGCCCGCTCGCTTTCTCTTTTTTGCTGGATGATTTTCGCGTGCATCCCCCTTCGCCGATTTTGTTTGACCTGCAGGAGCTGATCCGGTCGACGCTTTTGCGTCTACAGCGCCATTCTCATCTATATCCACCTCAATCTCCTCCCCCGCCTTCAGTCTTTTAAGGGCTGCCTTTTTCGCCGCCTTCTTGTCAGCTCTCTGTTGTTGCTTCTTCCCTATTGATGGCTCCCCCGCTATCGCCTGTCCATTTTGCTGCGTTTTCTGCTTCGTTTCTGTGGGCGCCGCAGATGCGGATTTGGCTTCTGCTTCCTCTTCCTCTGTTATCTTCGAGGGCGTAGCAGTCACCTTGATTCCCTTACGCTTCAAACGTTTTCGCTCTGCTTCCGCAATGTACTGCTTATCCTCCTCTTCGTCAAAACCGTAAGACTCCGTCTGTTCCTCAACTTTGGTCTTCTTGCTGGAAGTCTTTACGTTTGAATCTTCACCAGTAGCTTCACTCTCCGTCGATGTCTTCCCGGGCACTTTATTTGAGACCTTTTTCAATTTGGCGACGTAGAACCCGTCCATATTCTGTGTGTGGGGGTAGTATCGTCGAGTATGCGAAAGAGTCGGGTGGAACTTTTTGCCACGGAAGCTGACAAACCCTTCACGTCCAAACTCCAGCCCCGTCGGCACCAATTTGACGTTGGGTCTCTTCTTCAATGCGTACTCAATCACCTCTTCATTCTCTTCTACCGTAACCGAACATGTGGAGTAAACAATGTACCCCCCAGTCTTCGATGTTGCATCGACAGAGTCGATGGCAGAAAGAATAAGTTCCTTCTGGACATGAGTCAACATACGGAAATCTTCATCTGATTTGTTGATCTTTACGGAAGGGTCTTTGGAGATAACACCAGTGCCACTGCAGGGGGCATCCAATAGTACCCTGTCGAACCCTCCTATAACGCCAGGGAACTCCCGCCCATCGTAATGGCACACAACCGAGTTTTTAACTCCCAAACGATGGCAGTTTGCCATCAGTGACTTCAATCGATCCTTGTTTGCGTCGTTCGCAAATAGACAACCAGTATTCTTTAAAAGAGCGGCAATGTATGTTGTTTTCCCTCCGGGAGCAGCGCACATATCCAGAACGCGTTCATGCTCTTGGGGCGCCAATGCCATTACTGGCAAAAATGATGCCGCAGCCTGAAGCATGTAGTGACCGGCGAGGTATTCTGGTGTAGCACCGATTGGGACCGGCGAATCAAAAATCTGAAGGCCGACTTTGGACCACTTTCCAACTGCCTCGAGATTGACTCCACGGTTGATCAGCGCTTGTGCCAAGTCCCTTCTCCGTGTTTTCAAAGTATTTGTACGAATGACGACAGGCCGTGGTACTTCGTTCGCTTCGAAAAACTCGATGGCTTCGGAGAGGGGGAAGAGGTGGAATAGTTTCTCGGCGAGGTAATCGTTGTAACCGTAGTAGGTAGCGATGTCTTTGATGAGCTGATCGATGTATTCTGATCGTGGACGGTCAGGATCCTTTAATTCTTTAAAGTTATTTAACACACGAATGATCTCCTGGATTCGAGTCTGTACTAATGATACATCTTCCGCAACTTGAGCATCCTTTTCAATTTCCTGTCCAGATGGCAAAACGAAGACTTCCCGTTGAGCGATGTTAGTCTGCAGCTCCTCGTCAGCCAGACGTTCATCTTCTTTAGCTTGCTCATCCAGCTCTCGTGCTTGCTTCTCCACCTCCAGCTCATCATCTTCCGATCCGTCCGATCCTTCTTCATCTGAACCAAAGGCCATCGCTAATGTTTGACCACCACCATTTTCCTCATCAGAAGAACCTTCGAGATCATCAAACTCATCACCCTAGCACCTTCGGTCAGTATTCGCGCGATTAGTAAGACAGAGAACGGGTTTTACCATGAGTCCATCCTCATCATCCTCCAACTCGGCATCGTCCCACATGTCCATTCCGTCGTCCTCCACATCGTCAAAACCATCATCAAGGTCTTCCCAGCTATCTTCATCCAGCTCTGGCTCGACCTCTGGCTCGTCGGCTGGCGTCCGTTTCTGTTTTGGCTTTCCGTTGATATCTTTGCTCCTTTTTGCAGGCGGGAGGGTTGCTTCCTCGTCATCCGACTCCCCAATAGCCGACACCTCCTCTACACTTTTCTGCGTCTTTCCTCGAGCTCCTCCCTTCCCATTCTGGTTGCCTGCCTTTTTCGTATTTCGGTCCAATGAAGCACCTGCCTTCCCCTTAGCTGCCTTCTTCGATCCATTTTTGGCCTTGGCACCTACTGGCACACCTTTTATTCGCGCTATAGTAGATTCATCTAAAGGTGCGGGTTCCCGCTGTTGCTTCTTGGCTTGGCGTCCTCGAGTTCCCATTTTTGCCCTAATGAGCGTATTCTATCGCTGTCTATTGCTGGTCGGAGTGATATCCTGGGTTCAAGAACTAACCAAAAAAACTGAGACCGTCTTGATTGGTTGGAGCGTAAGCTCATTTATCCAAATGTAGATGTAATTTATCCATATTTGACTGAAATTACGTACGCAGATCAGCGCGCAACTGCCTGAGCTGCGCGTTTTCGGACATGACAGGTTCGGTCTGGTTTTTTCCTCCAACGTGAGTGATCTTCAACAAGCCCCGGCTGAAATCTTACGAAAACATAATCTAGCAAGCCTTGTTTTAGTCTACATTTTACTTTTCAACTCTCCTACGTGGGACATCATCTGCATTCAAATCCCTTGCACTTCCAGTCGGCCGAATCAGGGCAACAATGGCCGATAAACCAGACATCCCCGACCATTTGAAACCGGACTTTGACCCGGCAAAACAGACCATCCAGCAGCTGACGAGCTTACTAGGCCGGCACGGAGTAACGACCCCTACATCCCGAGCAAAGAAGGACGTTTACGTTGGTTTATTCAAAGAGCACATCACTCCCAACCGGAACAAATTTATGGAGGAGCTGACGAAATCGTACGGAAAAGCACCAAAGAACTTTGGCTCTGGGTCTCTTGATGCCGATTCTGGTCAAGGGAGCAGCGCTGCGCCTTCGAGCGCTGCACCTACACCAGACCTCAAGACACGCAGGAGGAGAGTCACACTCTCCAGCGATATGGTGGATCCCTTTAAACCTGGCGACGGGGCTGGGAGCGACGAGCAACTCCCAACGACTCCGGCTGCAAATGTAGATGACCGAAAAGTGTTCTCAGACGACAATCCATTCCAAAGTCCACCCAAAGGTACTCCTGTCAAGACAGGTGCCAAAACAAAAGTTTTGAAAAAGCGGCGTACTACCATCGCCGCGCCTACCGAAATTTCCGATGATGAAGATCAACCGACACAAATTCACACTGGACGCAGGCCTCGGCATTCTGTGGCGACTTTTCCTGAGCAGGCCGCTGCATCTCCGCAACCCTTCATGTTCAAAATGTCGCAACATACCCCGGTTAAAGCGGCGGATTCAGATGTGCCTGACTCCCCAGTACCTTCAGCTCGAAGCCGTACCGGAGATCGTCGTAAGACGATTGGAGGTGACCTCCTTGCTTCGCGCAGAAAGGCGGCCGCTGCACGCCAATCATTACCGCTCACCCTAAGTGATTCAACGAGCGAGCGCGAGGAACTCTTATTCCATCCCATCGAGAAGAAGCAGCCCGAAGTAGACGAACCAGCAAAGGAAGTCACGCCCAGCGTGTCACTTACAGAAGCTGAGCCCGAAGAGCCGTCGGCTATTCCGGAGGGAAACAGCATGGAACAACAATCGGCTACAGGCGACGACACATGGGCAACGGTAACTCCAAGAAAGACCACACCGCCTCGGCCGAAATCTACCAAGCGACCGGAAAGGAGATTCAAGCGTCCTTCTACAGTAATGCCAGCAAAGACGGACCGCACCTTTTTGATTACTCTCCTCGTGTTCCTTGCTGCAGCAACTTTCGGACATTGGTATTGGGAAGCAAGAGATGTGATGGGCTACTGTGATGGTAATGAAACTGCTGTCCGAAATGGAACGTATGAAGGGTACAACCCGCTTGGGTTGGTTCTGCCCATATGCAGAAAATGTCCACCGCGCGGCGTGTGTGTTGACAAGACTGTCTTGGATTGTGACCATCCGGATTATATTCTTGAGCCGAACCTCCTTACAACGGCTATACCAAGCAAATATTTGCCTTTTCCTCTGGCCGAACCCAAGTGCGTGAAAGATACAAAAAAGCAGAAGGCAGAAGTGCAGCGCCAGCAGCACATTGAAGCTCTTCTCAACTTTCTAAGTACGGTGGTCCGAACGTGGATTGGGACAGCAGAGTGCGGTGGTATCATCCGGCAAATAACCGACCCGCTCAGATCTACCGCTACTGGAAATATTTTGGGGATGCCTTACAGTGTCGCAAGGGACGAACTTAGGAATGTGATTGGCAAAAAATGGGATGATGAAAAGTTGAAAACCTACTGGGACTTGGCTATTCAACTTATTCGTGAGTCCGGACCAGACCAATCGACATCGGATCTAGCTGAAATTATGGACGAAACTGGGCGAACACGTCTTCTCTACTCTACTCAGCCACCGATCATGTCTGTATCGTGTCGCTTAAAACGTTCGATTTGGGAAACCTCTAGAGCCTACTGGTTACCACTTTCTGCTCTTGGCATTACAGTTATTTTCTTTGTTTGGTTTTGGTACCAACGTCAAGCGGTAGCTCGCGAGGCCCGTATGATTGCAAGACTCGTAGAGGATGTCTTGGATGCCGTATCTGACGAAGCGGAAAATTATCGACTTGACCCAACCCGCCACCCTATCCCTGGTTTGTCCGTAGCCCAACTCAAGGATTATTTACTTCCGCATGTCATTCCCGGTAGCGACCGACATGGTAAAGGAAAAGGGGAGAGTGTTTTTGATGAAAAGACGGGACACACCAAGTGGCATCTGGTTGACGAAAGAGCTCGCGATCTCACCTGGGAGAAAGTGCATCAATTGGTGCTCAAGAATAGTAATGTGCGGGAAACGGTCATGGATTTGAGGGGAGAGTCGCACTTGGTATGGCAATGGATTGGAAGTCATGCGTTGAGCCCCAGGAGGAAGGGCGTAGCTGCAGCTAGATTGGTTGGATCGTCAGCCACGGCATCAGGGACGGCATCGGAAAGTGGAAGTGATGCAGAGGATAAACAAGGGAATCAAAGCGGAGCGTTTATGAAAAAATTGGAACAGGCATTGGAAGGAGCCGTTCAACCCGAAATAAAAGATGAGTGACGATCAATTTACGGGGGGGAAAGGTTCGGCAGGTAGTTGTCCCGTTTTTGGCTTCTCTGCTTTGTAGAAGGGAACAGCGAAATTTGCATTGATATTGTACAGAGTTCCGTAGTTTAGATCTTGTCATTTAATATATTTGTAACTTTTTTTTTTCAAAAAGTGTCTATCGTTCATTTGCTCTAGAGACTACATTGCGTAGTTTGCTAAAATGTGCCCGATGGCCCAAAATCGAGGAAGAGAAGAGAGAAAGCTGGCTCAATTTAAATATATACATAAAAATAAAAAGAAACAGAGTCTAGGTAATTTTGCTGCAAGTAAAGTGTTCTTATTAGCCCAACGCTCATGAATGGCAAGTAAAACCCCAAAGCTTTCGACTTACCTCGCTTGACACGACTTTGTTGCAGGATGATACACCATGAACTCAAACTCTGCTCCTCCAAACGATCCAGGATTGATGCATTTGCATCCTTCATAATCTACAGAATATGACTCGTGTTTGTCGGCAAGGACAAGCTAACAAAACAAATAAAATGAGACACCATCCCACTCCACGCTCTTCTGCGTAAACAATAGAGCAGTAATACCAGATGTGGTTGTGGATACAGTCGCAATGCATGATCATATCCCCAATATGTTGGCCGAGCAGCGGGAGGAAGGGGACACAAATGCGCTTGATCTATTAATGTTGCTACGAGCTGATGTCGAACATGGGTCAGTCAATGTATAATCTAGACCTTTGCAGTCACAACATACGTGTCGCTCCAGTGACACATCCACGTCTTCTCGCGGTGGAACAATCGATCCTCTTCGCATACGTTTAACAATGTCGTCACGGAAGATTACGATTTCTTGGGTACAATATTTGATTCTGTCACAGGGGATGCAACAGTCAACGGACAGTGGTTTGACATGATCACTGAAATATGCCTACCTGCACGGATTACTCATGAACATGGCTTTCGGTAGCTTGCTTCTGATCCGCTCTGTGTAGTATTTTGGTATACTGGGTCTCGGTAGTGTTTTTGCGCCCCATGGGTCCTGCGGGCCAGGTACAAAGATGAAACGTGAAGTTTGAGCCAGATCGCGGAAATCTGATAGGAGATCCGCTAGGGTGTTGAAGCACTCTACATCATGTGGCACAAAGAATAAGATTTGCGGATCCCTTCGTGGAAAAAAAAAATATCGAACTGCCTTACGTTTATATGGCTCGTGATGTTGGCCCTCATAGAGATACGGTATCGACATGAAATTTCCAATCAATATAAAGGCCAGTGGTGGTGCAGAACTAGTGCTCGAAAATCCTTCAAAGAGCCGTCGTAGCTTCATGACTACCTTTGGCAGTTACAATACATCAGCGCGCCGGCAGGGCAATGTGAAGAAAGAAGGACGACTCATACCCGTGGTTGATCAAGCCAGACATCAGATATTATAACGAATATCACATCTGTCATATTTACTTCAATGTTTTCCAGTACCATCTGAGGGAAAGGTCGACGTGAGCAACAGTATGCGGAATGTTAGAACGCTAAAATCTGTCGTAAGACCTGATCGTCACCAGCCGATGGCCCTCCAAAAAAGTTTACGTTATGTCCAAACGCGGACCTACATGCTATGAGGTTAGACGGTTCTCACGTAATTGAGCATCGATGCCCAAGGACTTACAGCGATTTTTGTCTCGTTTCGGGCAGTGGCATGCCTAGCGTCCTTACTTTGAAGATTCTATCTTCTGTATAAAGCCCTTCGGCAAGAACAAAGCAATTCAAGCAGAAAAGACCCACTCCTTTGTCAATCTATCGAAGAGGTATACAATGAGTAACTATCATAAAAGGAGTGAAAGTTAAATCACACCACTCACCTTGCCGTTTAGGTGGATCTCAATCAATCCATCCGGATCCTCAAGATGGTACTTTCCTTCTTCGATCGTTGTCAACATCCCAAGAAGAAGGTAGCTGCCCGGCTTATGTCCCTGCAAATTCTTTATGGACGTGATCTGCTCGCAGATTGGGTGAGCTAAATGCTCTCGACGTAGAGGCGGGATAATATCGAACCTCAAAATGGTCACCCGTTCTCGTAAAGGTAGACGGGCGGAAGGCATCGTTACGAAGCACGCGCTGCTTGAGTATATCGTAGCGATCGCGAAATGCCACGGCTTTTGCAGCGGGTGGCGCCAGCAGTCGTGGCTTTTCATGAGATCTATTCCATGATTCTTTCGTTAACTATATTGATCAGCGTTACAGAAACATAAATCAAGATGGCGATAGCAACCTTGTAAATTGTTTAGAGTCGGGTCGCCACTTCCACCGCGGAGTCGAGAATGCATCTATAACATGCAGATACCCGGCAATATCTTCAATGCTGATTTCCCCAACCATTCCTCCAACAGCTTCCGAGTCTCCATTTGACGAGGCACTGACTGCGTTTTCCAAGGCTTGGTTTATCGCGGATTTCCGAAAGATGTTTTGCACTACTTCCTCGAGACTGGCGCGATCTACTAGGAGCTTTCTTGTTTCTGATTGAATGCACAGAAATTAAGGTTAGGGTCTCAGTCCATAACTTTTTATATATTGCGCTGACCAGCAAAGTACCTTGTTGTTGTGTATATGATAAAGCAATGTAGTCCAAGGTTTCGGCCAATTGTTCGTTTGGGAGTTCTGCAACAACATCCTCCAGATACTTGAGTGCCTCCGTTTTAAGTGTGAGGCCATGCTTTTTTGTCAAGATTCTGTATATTTGGGTTTTGAAGGACGACATTATTGTAGGAAAAGTTGGAGTTTGACCTTTGAAGCGTGTGAGCGGAGACAGATCGTGTCCGAAGAGGTGGACGGAAGTGGGTGGAGTGTGGCTTCGCTCACGAAGCTATGGCAACAGTCATTCGAATCAAACATGGTCAGCGTTGAGGTTTCGGCAACGTCTTGAGTTTGCCCAGCAAACTTGAACTTATTCATTCTTGTTGAGCCTTCCGAAAAGCGAACTCATACCATGCCTCTACCGAGGAACTTTGTCAGGACCGAAATGCTAAAGGTAATTTCCGCACGAGAGACAGATTTCTCAAGGTTGTACCCAACTAATACTCTTCGTCTCCGTAAGTTTGGCGTATATATCTTCTTCCCCATTGGTGTACTGTACTTGTTCAACCGACCAGAACTTCAGGAGATGTTGAGTCGAGAACATGTGCGTATTTCGATAATAGCACGCAAACTCTGCTTTCTATGCTGATATTGCCACTTGTCCAGCAACAAACGGTGGAGTCTTTCAAAACGCCCGAAGAGCAGCTCTTTGTGCGTTTCTATCATTTGTTCTTTTACTGAGAGCTACCGTATTTACAATGGTTTCCGCACTACAGAAACTCCCCAAATCTATGGAAGAAGTGCGGCAGGAGGTACACAAATGGCATTTGTTTATGTCCAGTTTTCAGTCCACTGACATTGGTCCAATGTAGACTGCAAGAATGCGGCAGCATTTCAAATCCAAAAGGGAAAGTTCCGAGACGAATTCTTCAGCATGAGAACGATCGCTCATGAGACTTTACGGAAGGCAAAGGCGATATACAAACCTAAATAGCCAGTGAAAGCAGCGTCAGAACACGTATTCGGCATAGTGACTGCATGGACTAGCATGTACCCACCCGCTACCTCCCACTCATCAGCGGAAATTGTGCCTTCGTCATTTACAACATTCATCCTATATAGCAGATTTCGATGCTGCTCATTTTGCGATTCCTCTTGGAAGATTTCATGGAATGGTTTCTTATATTCTAGCTCTAAACCGTATTCTAAAGCCAACCTGTACAGTACTTTGTTAATAATTATTGGCACACTCATTATCGGCGGCTATTTTCTTACTTTTCGAATGTGGGAAAATGCAAGAGATACTCAGGACAGTTATCGATAGCATCTTTTAGCTCGAACCAATATTTGTGCCCAAAACGAGGGTAGTCATCTCGTTGATCAAAGGCAACCGTCAAGATGGAATTCCCAAACGACAGCCCATCAGCAGCGCGCAATCTCTTTACAATCCAATATGCGTTCGGGATAGTTCCAATAAAATGACCACCGGTTTTCAGGCTTTTCGTGATATTCTCCAGTCCGATGCGCGCCTTCGCCTCTGATTCAAAGGAGTAGTGGAGCGCAAACTGACAGCTTACAAGATCCAATTTATGCCCCGGCGGAAGCTTGTCATAGATGGATACTCCAAAACAATCCGCTGCAAAAAATGTCGCCTGGAACCTGTTTCCTCGTCCTTGGGTATATCGTTCTTGTGCTTGTTCAATAGACACGGCAGCAATGTCAACTCCAACCAGGTGCCGTATTCCCGCTTTGCTCCATTTGAGCAAGTCTCCTCCTTTTCCACAACAAAAGTCCATTACATGGAACCCTCTATGAGCGTATTTACTGATCAAGATAGATTTGATCCAGTTGTTAAAGTTTTTCAGGTGGAGGATTGGCGAGTCTTTTCGACGGTCGCGGCCCACCTCGGGTCGAGCATTGTAGTGTTGGGCGACAACATGTGCATTGGTGCCGGCTCCCTCTGTAGGTTTATGATGTTTTGCGGGTCTCCTTGCTCCGTCCTCACCGCCAGTCACCGCTACCTCGTCGTCGCGCTCGTCGTCGCGGGTTCGTTTCATGGTAGAAGGCTTTAGAGCAGAAAGTGCAAACGCTTGTGAGATTTGGGTTAGTATCACGTGGTTTCTGCTTTGCCACGATCTCGTCAGCAACCATGAAACCTTTTGGCAACTAAAAACCTTGAACACTACCAGTAACCACAGCATTTCAAGGCCCCTGCCACAGGAATATCTTGATAATCAAACGAAAAAAAATAAATCTCTATCGATGGCATACAAGTAGTCTCCAAGCATCAGGTTCTCTAGACATCAAACAAGCGATTGTGTCTTGATACAGGATATGAGCCGGGGAGGACGCTCTGCCTGTGCGATGCGCGTACGAACAACCAGGCGTAACCCCTTCTACATTGGCCCTGCAAGGTAGGCAACCCACTCGAACGCTGGACAGTGGCCATCCCACAAATGCAAGTGTGTGCAACTACAGGATATACTCTTACACCTATATTTTCTTGTAAATGTAAATTACTGGGAAATGTCACGTGCGTACAGCCACTAATAATAAGGGCTGTGAGATGACGTTTGGAGAGACCCCCATACCAGTCGAGTGACCACATCTTTACAAGTCTGCGCTCTTTTACAGCTACGTTTTTCTGTTGCCAAATTCCCAAACTTTTCGTCAGCTGTGGAGGGGCTATCCACAGTCAATCGTTTCTTGGCCAAATGTGTGTGTGGCCGTGCGTTTTTGCCAAATGCAGTTTTCCAACCAGCTGACCCACTTGAAGCGCTTTGCGCAGTCTAAACTACCCAAATTGTTTCCCTTGTTAACCGGCATAAAATGTTCAACCGACATACAAACCACGCGACATGAAGCAGCTGTTTCCATGCAGAGCAACTCTTTTTTTTTCGCTAATGTCGTTTCTTGATGGGGTGGCCCAGTGCTTTGCAGCCGTGGAAAACTTTCAAACCCGTTTGTTCTTTTGGGTCGCCCTGGGTGACTGGGGGTTGTTGTGCGGATCGATGGGGGAATTCATCGGAAGACCTTTTTTTTTTTTTTCCATTTGTCAATCCATATGTCACCTACTGTTCTTGACGCGCGGGAACTGAGAAAAAAGATGCAAATGCCGCTTTGTCCGCTCTCGGACATATAAAAGGAGAATGTACTTTTTTTTTGAGCCGCCCCACGGAAATGCCAAGATAGCATCCCGAATTTCTTGATATTCTTATACCGCTCTCAGTTTGCACCTCCCGTCAATAATTAAAGACCTCTTTGTGACCCCGATTAACTATCGCAACCATCATGTCGACTTTGGATCCCCAAGAGAGCAAAGAGACCATTGTCGACATGGCTCCTGAGATCCAGGATAAAGTCACTCACAAAAACAAGTCTGGCCACCTTGCATACATACGCCATCAATTTCGGTATGAAATCCATGCTTCCATATCGATATAAAGTTTTTTTTTTTTTCTAAATGTTTGTATGTTTCACAACATTCAACAGCGAGGAACTAGCAGAATTGTTGGGTACATTTATCCTCATCATCTTTGGCAACGGCGTTGTTGCCCAGGTAGTTCTTCACAACAATAAGAACGGGGAATACCTGTCCATCAACATTGGGTGGGGACTTGGAGTACTCTTTGGTATCTATGCAAGCGGAGGCATCTCGGTAAGCCTATCCATGATCGCACACTATGACAAGAATGTTTGACATATCGATCATCATCTAATTTAGGGAGCTCATTTGAATCCGGCCGTAACTATCAGCAATGCCATCCACAAAGGCTTCCCATGGCGCAAAGTGCCAGGTTACGTGATTGCCCAAATTCTTGGCGCTTTCCTTGCTGCAGCCGTCATTTTTGGAAACTACCACGCCGCGCTAGATGCATTCGATGGAGGCGACCGTCAAACTCTCGGACCCAAGGCGACAGCAGGCATCTTTTCAACATACCCACAACCATACCTTTCCACAGTTGCGGCCTTCTTCTCTGAATTTCTTGGTACGGCTATTTTGATGATTGGAATCTATGCGTGTAGCGAAGCCGGCAACAGTGCAGCACCAGATGGCTATGGACCAATAGCAGTCTCATTGCTTGTCATGGCGATCGGCATGGCTTTGGGATCAGAGACGGGATACGCCATAAATCCGGCTCGTGATTTGGGACCTCGAACTCTAACAGCAATCGCTGGATGGGGCTCAGAACCCTTTACAGCATACAACCATTACTTTTGGATTCCAATTGTAGGGCCCATTGTCGGTGGAGTGTTTGGTGGATACGTCTTTCGGGCATTGTCGGCCTACAAAAATTCCGACGAAGGAATTTACTAGTTATTCTTGTGATCTGCGCGGGAAGTAGAGAGCAGGACGATGGCGAGGGACTCGGAGGGAACGATACACCATTGTTTACAATGTCAATAACTCAATGTACTATGGATATGTAGCTGAGCATTTGGAGGGCGCCGTAAGGACGGTGGTTTGGACGGACTAAAGTCATAGTTGCGGACCTGTAAATCTATGCAAGACCTTTGTTTTTAGCCTCTGTGTAGTAGTCGCCAGAGCGCACAATTGTAGCTTCTAAAATGTTTGAAGTTATATCCTGATTGCTATTTAGCAATTCCACCAAGCGTAGACGCGTGTCAGACCCACAGACTTTTTGACATTCATTTGACGAGCAATCGTGATCCTCTCCTTCCACAACTGAGACGCATACCCAGCGAGAAAACAGCTGCCGACGACACTCATCATGACAACAGGGACGTTGAAAGAAGGTATACTTGAACATTGTTGGCGAATTGCACACCACGCCTTGTCAGGGTGGGCACCAAACCAGAAAGCCTTTGACTAAACCCAGATGTTCGAAATGCACACAGCTTTCGCTGTCTACGAGCAGTTAAAGAAGGAATTCAGCTCACCAAAGGCAGACCTACAGAAATGCGGGCAATACTTGGCAAACCTAAAGGTGGGCACGCGGTCCTGGTAGCCCGATCTCGCTCGTAATTGGAGCACGATTGGAGCAGGACGATACGTCAAGATGAACCGTTTTTCTCATCGACATACTTTTGCGCACACTGTAGATCTACTTGACCGAACTATCATTCCTTTTGCCTGGTGACCGGGCTCCGGATGCTCAAGAGCTTCTCCTTGCACGTACGTAATTTACAATTGTGTAAATTCCACTCGAGTCATGTATAGCTGACTTTTCTTGGCCGCTAGGCGAGGTCCTTGAAATTGGCGCTCAATGGAGTATCCGTGTCGGCGACATCCCATCGTTCGAACGCTACATCTCCCAACTAAAGACATACTATCATGACTACAGGTCTGTTCCCTCTATTACAAAGTCGACACTGTACGCCATTAATACTCTTCTCCACCAGCTCAAACCTCCCAGCTTCCGCCCGGATGTATCCCCTCCTTGGGCTGAATCTCCTCCGCCTCCTCGCACAAAACCGCATCTCGGAATTTCACACAGAACTCGAACTCATTGAAACAGATCAAATGGGAGAAAATGTGTACATTCGGCATCCAATTCAGATTGAACAGTGCTTGATGGAGGGATCATACAACAAGGTGTGGCATTCCAGAGCGAACGTGCCTGCAGAGGAATACGCTTTCTTTATTGATATATTGATGGGAACCATCAGGTAGGTCCTGGTTGTGCAATGATACCATGACTTGACAATGTCCTGATTATTTTTTTTGTGGCGGACAGAGACGAAATTGCTAGCTGCAGCGAAAAGGCCTACGATAGCTTGCCTATCGCTGACGCGGCGACGCTTCTCTATTTCAAATCCGGGGACGAGGTCACGGCGTTCGCTTCTGAGGTACGGATTTTCCAAATTCTTTGGTTTCGTTCTCCAAGAGGTTTACTTACTTGCTGGTTTCTGGTGTTTCAGCGAGGTTGGAAGGTGAACCCACAGGATAAGAAGATCTACTTTGGGGTAACGGATGCGGATCATTTGGACATTCCTGCAGACAAGGTTATCAGTCAGACATTGGAGTACGCAAGAGAGCTGGAGCGAATTGTGTAATCTGCCTCCGGGGAAATAAACTGGTGCAATTGTAAACCACGTATGTATGTCCTTGCCACATTTTTGTGCCTGTCGACCTGTAACAACCCAGTTGGACTATGCTGGACGAATGCAATTTTATACCCGAACCATCTTATTATCAGATACTTGCGTAAAAAAGCTATATGTGGTCTCTACCAGCGTCATACACTTCATCCTCCTACCAATGCTCATAGCCGCTCAACTTTCTGGTTAAACTGCTCCATGGCTTTCCAACAAAGTGACAACAGCTTGTCTGCAGATGTTTTCTACTGAATGTAGTATGAAAGCCAACGGAAACCGTCACCGTATCCCTGCTTCATGACAATGGAGCACATGAACACCTCAATTGGCCGGATATCTTTAAGAGGCAGTTTTCCCTTTCCAGTGGTTTGGAATAGACCAAGGGCGTGTCTTAGCTCATCCTCTGATACAGCTCCCTGAGCATCAATTTTGTTTCCAAGAATGAGGAAAGGGACTTTGGAGAGCTCCTCAATGGACAAAAGAGCCTGCAAACAAGCAGAGCAAACCGTGAGACCATGACAAGTTTCAGGACAGCCAACAATAACGTACGTCTAGTTCTGCTTTGCTCTCTGGGAACCTCTCCACGTCCGCGCAATCCACCAAGTAAACAATCCCGTCAACTTCTGGAAAGTAATCTTTCCATAAACGACGCGCCTGTTGGTGTCCACCCAAATCGTACGTTGTAAACTTGATGTTGGCAACCTGCAATTCCTCCGAAGCTATTTTTGGTGTGAGCATTTAGTTGTAGTTCACACAGGACATGAAGGTGCGCCGTTGAGTCATCTACTCACTGGGATGTAAGGTTGGAGTCAATGTCGCCAATCGATCGTTTTTGAGCATGTGCAACAACGTAGTTTTGCCGGCGTTGTCAAGACCGAGAAAGAGAATCTTTGCATTTTTGTTCAAAAGACCTATTTAGCGACATCAGGAGGTGAGTACATGTATCATGCACACCACCAGCGACCGTCCGCCAGGCAAGATCATCGTGATGGATGATGATGATCCTCATATGCGTACAACTCGCGCGAATATTCACAGTCAAAAGTATAGTGCAGACATACCCCAGTCAGAGAGCAAGCTCCAAAACCAATTTACTATAAACATTATTGACGGCGTAGAATGCGATGGAACAGGTGGAAACAGATAAGGTATTGCAAAGTAAAACGTGCGGCAGCTGTCGTGTTTGCAAGAAATAGCTTCTACAGACTCCAAAAGATTGTCAATAGACCTGTGGCAGGACGGCTCGGGCAGACAAGCGTTTGGGCGATGATTTGCTTGGAGGCAGTCGTCCAAAACGTAACGCAAGCAGAAAGTCCACAACCAACGACGAGAGAGTTGATGAGTGGCAACGGCCCATCGAACATGGCGCGTCCATGTCACATGAACTACGGTGACTGTGCCGCTGATTTTGTTCATCCCGATCAATTGGCCTGCGATGGTCAACGACTAAACAGTTTGGATGGCATTGCTGGCCAAAAGGTTTATTGCAATGATCCATTGCAGGAACATGCATGTTTATTGCATCTTACAGGGAGCCCAGAGCTGTTCAATAGAACGTACAGATATGAATGTGCACGAGCGTGATGGGATGGACCTCACAAATCATAATAAAAATCCTGTGACAGATCAATGAAATAAACTGCATGCAGGATGCATCGACCCCTCCAAGCATAGTTTTTAAACATAAATGGGTATATAGGGTAAGATGAGCACGTTTCATCAACGTGGTCGCCCACTACTCTACAGGGAAGCACTGTGATTGCTCTGCTCAAGGATCTTGCACGCGTGGATGGCGAGCGGTACCCCAGATCCGCAGCTTTCAAGGTCCGCTGCTACAATCAAAATGCTGCCCTGTTTCTAATGTACTTACGACCGAAAAACACACCTTTCTGAGCTGCACAGCTATTCTCGACCACCGCCTAAATCCCGATTCTTATAATCCAGCTAGATCCCTTTTCCATCGTACTTTTTAGGAGGCACATGCCAGTTGGTTGACAGCGCTCCTACGGCATATCACTCGTCGATAGATTGGGTGTTAGTAGCATCCGTCTAAAATTTCCTGGCCTGCGACTATGAAGATATCTGCTGGCACAAACGCTCAATGGTTCCGTTCTTACTGCTGTGTCAAATCCATTGCGAGGGCAACCGATGGAAACCACATTTCAAGTGTGATTACGCGTCCCCTGGTCTTCAGGACTGTTAACAAGATCTTTTGGAGATCACCCCGGCATCCAACACCCATACATGGCGCGATCACCTACCACCCCTCTTCCAAGCACTCCTTCAGGAGCCCCCAATCCATTTTCATTAACACCCGCTAGAGAAATCCTTCCTTCTCCCTCTCGGATCAACCTTGTTCCTTCCGCACCGTCCCCATTAGACTCTTACCAACTTCGCCTCGCGTTGAGAGATGCGGCACAAAAATGTCAGGAGCGAGGGCTCTATTATGCCGCAAGATGGTGTGTGCATTGATTTCTTCCAAAATCTTTAACATGGATCGGCTGTCTTAGTCATTTTCATTTAGGGCTTCGGAGCAGCTCGTGAGCATTCCCTCGACCAACTCAGTTGACCAGTCCGTCCCACCAGGGGATGTAATGGCTACGGCGTTCACATCTCCACAGCTAGAAACCCCACGAACAGTACCACAAGCTGAAGAAGATGCTTGTCTACTGGCGCTTGCGCATTTTCAGTTGAAAGAGTATGATCGTGCAGCATGGTGTCTACGGGCCTATGAAGGTGATAAGGCTCTGTTTATAAAGTGTTACGCCAAGTATATGGTAATTAGATCTGGAAGGGAAAATTTTCTTGAGCAATGCATGACAATCTGTTGTTGTTTTCAAGCCAATCTAACGCTTGACGTTCTATTGAACAGAGTGGGGAAAAGCGCAGGGCGGAGCAAGATCTGGGACATGAAGGTGAGCATATTCAACGGTAAGCAGAGCCGTTACACATTCGAGAGCTTCTTGCATGATTAGGCGCTTATTCTACTTGCCAGTGCATCTCGAAGGCACGCGGACGACAAACGCCCAACTACATGATATCGCCATCGCTCTGCAAAAGAATGAAAAGAACCTGGATAGCTTTTGCTGGTATCTGTAAGTTGTTGAGCACAGTGGTTCAATGCAGCGATAGTGCTCACCCCCGAATGCTAGACGCGGAATGATCTATGCGCGTATGAAGCTCAAGTCAAAAGCTCAGAATGCACTCGTCCAATCCCTCCAAAAGTATGCATATAATTGGAGCGCATGGGAGGAAATTGGGACTTTGGTAGAAACAAAGGAAGAGGTGAGCATTTTCTTCTACAGCATCTTTCCCAAATGTCCACTGACATCATCCTGTAATGGTTTGCTTGATTCAAGTTGGAAGCTCTGATACCGCGATTACCAGCCGGATACATGCGAAAACTCTTCCTCGTTCACCTCATGGCGCATCGCGGTATGGCAGCAGAAGAGTTTTCACAAAATAGCGTGGACCTTTCGGCCATGTTTCCCGATAGCACGTACTTGGACCTACAATACGCTGTTTCGTATTACAATCAAGGAAGTAAGTGATGTCTTCTGTGAAAGAGGTTTACGGGATTTACTGATTGTAATAATCCAGAATACGAGCGGGCGTTGGAGTATTTTGAGGATTATCGGGAGCAAGAACCGTTTTCTTTGGAATACGTTGATGTTCAGTCACATATCCTGTTTACAATCCAAGATAGCACAAAGCTGAGCGTTCTTGCCCAGAAATCCTTTGCTTTGGATCGATATCGACCCGAAACATGCATCGCAATTGGTGCGTTTAGATTCACAAGATGATTTGTACCTTACTTTAGCCACATATTCATATAACGTTTCTTATTAGGCAACTACTTTAGCACTCGGCGCGATCATTTCCGAGCACTAGATTATTTCCAGCGAGCGCTAAAACTCCGTCCCAACTATGTTGAAGCACTCATTATGATGGGCGATGAGTACATGGAGTTGAAGAATTCGAATGCAGCATTAGAGACATATCAACGGGCTGCTGGTGAGGACCTTGACGTAATGGACATTTGAACTTGTGTGTATTAATGTGCATGTTGACTAGATGTGGCACCTCACGACTTTCGAACTTGGTACGGCGTCGCAAAAGCCTTTGACATGCTAGCCATGTCAGATCACGCCATACCCTACTACCAAAAAGCCGCCGCCTGCAGGTAAACCCTCATCCTACTCACTCCGTCTTTGTTCTCACACTAATGTGACGAGATACTTATAGACCCTACCATTCCCAAACCTGGACCGCCATGGGCCAAGCCTTTGAAGCCAGCGCAAAAGACGCCCAAGCCATGATGTGCTTTAAACGCGCCCTCATCTGCACCGACAAAAGCCCACTCTTATTCATGTACATTGCGAAATTGTATCAGATTTCGCCCACGTTGCGAGACGACGAGCAAGCCGCGTTTTATTATAGATGTTGGATTGAGGAGTGTCGCGGGAGTGGAATCGATAAGGTGTGTATTATGCGTACCATGTCATGTAGCTGGTCTATTTAAACCGTATTTTTTTTTTGTCAATTTCATGCAGAGTCAATACTATTTTGAATGGGAAGATGCTGTAACATTTTTGGCAGAGTTTTATAAAGAAAAAGGACGCTTTGAGGATGCGGTATGGCGTGTATTCAATTGGTTTGGCGATCTCGCAAAGTGTATTGATTCTTGTGTGTTTTTTTTTTTTAATCAGGAGGCGTATGTACATGAGATTGCGCATACCGAGGTAAAGGATTTTTTGAGTTTTTGATCTGTGGAATTGCCGGCTTTTGCTCATGATGTGAAAAATAGAGGGGAAAGGCTCTCCTTCGGGAGCTGCGAGCTGTGAGAGAAAGCCGATCCGATCACAAATCCCGGGATACACTCGCTCCCCCGCAACCAGCCACGCCAGGGGATCCAGGGTCGCATGGGGATTTGGCGCATCGAACGGTTCAGTTTGTGGGTGGGTCTACGGGTGAATTTTGGGTGAGTCCTGTTCCCGGGGGTGGTGGGCAAGGAAATCGGTATTTTGGGGCTTCGGCGCAAGGGAGTGCTAGGACCAGTAGGACGGGTTCGAGAGGGGGATCCGGATGGAACTCGCCCGCCGCAGATGATGTGAGATAATTTTGTAAATAAGAACATTGGAGAGGTTTTGAATAGAAATGCAGCCAATAATCAAGACAACAGTTTTGTATTATCAGAAATATTGCTACTACATGTAATTGAGTGTACAATATCCTAACGATTCCCATAAACTCTTATCAATAAAAGGTTCAAACGGCAGCAGCAGCCTCACCAGTCCAAGCGCCCCAAGACTTGACTGCATCCTTCTTCACCTTTCCATTCTTTGTGTACTCTTCCACAGCTTCAGCAAACACAACAGATGTCTTGATCTCATTCATGATTCCTACTCCGAAATCGACAGCCGTGCGCCTGACCTGATAACGAACATCGTCGGTGGTCCTGGGACGATTACGAGCCAGGGAAACGACAAGAGAAACCTTGTGGGAATCGTAGAGCGCACGAGCAATACGACGATCCAAAAGGGTGTCAATCAGAGCGCGTTCTCCGCCTTCGACAAAGAGAGGAGCATCGATGCCACCGTTGGATTTGAGGACAGACTGGGTCAGCTCCGTGTCGGCAAGGATTTTGTAACCAGAGTTGATAAACTTTTGCGCAATATAAGCGGCTTCACTTGGGTTGGTCAAGTTGTCGACGCTAATGACAATACTACTTCCTTCCGGCATAGGAAGCTTCTTGAAGTTGTTGTGGTTCGCATACATGGAAGTGAAGTATGCCTCTTTCACGTTCTTTCCAAAGCAAGCAACTTCACCAGTACTGGCCATCTCAACACCCAGCATGGGGTCGGCGCCAGCCAACCGAGTCCAACTGAAAATGGGAACCTTGACAGCCTTGTAATCGCGCTTAACTGACATGGGATCGACCGAGGGGACAGCGGACGACAAAGTGGGAGACTTGACCAATGCGCGGGTAGCAATGTCAATGAAGTTGGTGTCCAGAACCTTGGAAACGAAAGGGAAAGATCGGGACGCACGAAGGTTACATTCGATGACCTTGAGCTCGTGCTTGCCCTCCACACCAGGTGGAGGACGACGAAGGATAATCTGCATGTTGTAAGGACCGGTAATCTTGAATGCCTTGGCAACCTTTTCGGCAATGACCTTGCAATCCGCGACAATTTCGGGAGTAAGACCACGAAGACCAATATCCTTCTTCGAAGCATCGGTCTCGGCCTGCTCTCCCTCATACGTGGGAGGCAAGACCAAGGTTGCATCACCAGAGTGGACACCTGCATTCTCAATGTGCTGAGACAAGGCATACACCAAAAGCTTCCCCTCGGAAGCCACTGCGTCAACATCGAGCTCCTGAGCACCTTCGATAAACTTTGTAATCACGATGGGGTGCTCCGGAGACACGTCCGTGGCAAGCGACAAGTAAGTTTGAAGATCGGCAGGACTGTGCGCCACATTCATGGCAGCACCAGAAAGTACGTAGGATGGACGGACAAGGACGGGATAGGTGACGCGTTCCGCAAAAGCAAGGGCTTCGTCAACACTGTTGAGCTCCTTCCATTCCGGTTGATCCACGCCAATGTCATCCAAAATTCTAGAGAATTTCTCACGGTCCTCGGCACGATCGACATCAACAGGGCTGGTACCAAGGACGTTCACTCCACGGTTCCAGAGCTTCAAAGCAATGTTTTGGGGAAGTTGACCACCGACACTGACAACACATCCACTGGCGTTCTCCCGTTCGTAGATATCCATAACTCGTTCAAAGCTGAGTTCTTCAAAATACAAACGGTCACACTCGTCAAAGTCCGTTGACACCGTCTCAGGGTTGTAGTTGACCATCACGGTACGGTGACCCAATGAACGAAGCGAATGGATGCAAGATACTCCGCACCAGTCGAACTCGACACTAGATCCAATACGGTAGACACCAGACCCAAGTACCATGATACCCTTGTCATTGAATTCAACATCATCACTTGTACCATTGTAAGTCATGTAAAGATAATTTGTGTCAGCAGGGAATTCCGCCGCCAAAGTATCAATCCTCTTCACGCGGGGGATAATGCCATAGTTCTTACGCAAGGCACGAATGGCGAGCTCACTCGACTTGGTGTACTTTGCAATCTGGTTGTCAGAGAAACCTTTTTGCTTGGCTTGACGCAACAAGTCGGCCGGGATGGTAGAGGTGGAGAGCTGGTAGTCAGTCACAGGAACGGGTGGTTTGCCTTCGGGGTTCTCGGCATCCTTCTCCAAAATTTCTTCCACAGGCTTTGGTCCGCTATACTTGGAGAGTTCAGCACGAGTTTTCACAAGGTTTTCAAGCTTGTAGAGGAACCACTTGTCAATCTTGGTAATGTCATGGATCTTGTCAACCGAGTAACCGTGATTAAGCATGGCGCTTCCGACCGCGAACAGACGACGGTCAGTCGGCTCAGCTAAAGCTTTGTCAAGATCGGGAAAATCCAAGGCTTGGAAACCCTCAAATGAAGGGTCAACCATACGAACAGCCTTTTGAAGAGATTCTTCCCACGTTCGCCCAATACCCATGACTTCTCCGACACTCTTCATGGAAGAGCCAATCTTCCTAGAGACATGTTGGAATTTGCTCAAATCCCATCGAGGAATCTTAGTGACAACATAGTCCAAGGAGGGTTCAAAGTTGGCCGTCGTAGTACGAGTCACAGAGTTCCGCAAGTCAGGAAGAGATGCACCAAGAGCAATCTTGGCTGCAACGAACGCGAGAGGATAACCGGTAGCCTTCGAGGCAAGTGCACTAGATGCAAGAGTCAGCGCCATCTCATGGAATTAGAATCGGTAAAAACAGCAAGATTACGGACCTACTACGAGAGAGTCGAGCGTTGACTTCAATGACTGCATACTCCAGGCTGTCAGGGCTGAGAGCGTACTGGACGTTACATTCTCCAACCACACCGAGGTGACGAATGATCTTGATGGCTGCCGAACGCAGCATGTGGTATTCTTCGTCGCTCAGTGTCTGACTGGGGGCAATAACAATGGAATCGCCGGTGTGGGTACCAAGAGGGTCGAAGTTTTCCATGTTGCAAACGGTGATACAGTTGTTTTCCGCATCACGAACCACTTCATACTCCAACTCTTTCCATCCCTTCATTGAACGTTCGATAAGCAGCTGGGGTGAGAGAGAAAGAGAAGAAGTGGCGAGTTGACGGAGTTCTTCTTCGTTGTTGGCGAAACCAGAGCCAAGACCTCCCAGAGCGTACGCCGCACGGACGATGACGGGGTATCCAATCTCGGAAGCGGCCTTGAGTGCATCATCCACAGTTTCAACAGCAGTGGACTGAGCAACAGGAATGCCGATATCTGCCACAGGAATATATGAGGAAGTGTTCCAAGATAGAGAAAAGCGATTAAAATAGTTCACCTTTCAAAGCTTGGGCAAACAGATCACGGTCCTCGCTGAGCTCGAGGGTACGAACAGGAGTACCCAAAACTTTGACATTGTGCTTTCGCAAGACACCGGCATGCTCAAGAGCGACACCGCAGTTAAGCGCCGTTTGTCCACCAAACGCCAAAAGAATACCGTCGGGCTTTTCTTTCTCAATCACGTATTCAATGTATTCTGGGTTGGACGGTACAAAGTACACGACGTCGGCAAGGTCCTTGCCAGTTTGGATGGTAGCAATATTAGGATTAATTAGAATGGTTTCGACACCCTCTTCCTTCAACGCCTTGATAGCTTGGGATCCTATAGAAAAACATAATTAACACCGAGCATACACCATCTAAGTTATGATTGCGTGACACCTACCAGAGTAATCAAACTCGCCAGCTTGTCCAATGCTGAGACCACCACTACCAACGATAACAACACGCTTGGCTGGCGGGGGCTTCTTGAGAGCACTGTTTGGTGAAGGCTTCCAATCTTCCCAAGGATCCAACGCAGCAGTGGCAGCGGCATCAGAGCTCTGGTTGCGACGGAATGGTTGACGCTGCTTGGGATTCAGTGGCCCTGTGAATGCGCCAAGGACATACTGACGGAACGCTTCCGGACCATCGAGCGGGACAGCAGGTACACTGGATATGTTTGGAGAGATGTTTGCTTTCGACGCTGCAGCGGCGGAAGCACTAGCTTGGTAAGCCCGAAGTAAAGAGCGGTTGATAATAAGGGAAGCCTGAAAGTGGCGTGTAGCTAAAGCTACTGATTGACGAAAGAGCGGCATATCGGGAAATCTTGCGAATTATCTGTAGATGTTGATACGTAATGGACAGAAAACGATTTCAACGTCCGTGGCTTTTGTAAACTTGTTCGGAAATATAGTTGTTGGAAACCTTCTCGTCGTGATGAGAGTACATGAAGGGGATGCAAAGGTAGGACTATGAAATGCATCGAGAGAAAGATCAATATTAGGAATCAGATGATACTCGCGCATCTCCCATTGCTGACGTGTAGTCCAGTCTGGGTCATGATATTATTTGCATCCAGCAGCGCCCCAGATGCATTTCTTTGCACTTTGGGTTGGAGTGTGGCGACCACTTGCCAGAGATTCCCACACACCAACCTACCTCAATAGAGATACAGCCGGGCCGACCAGGCCTGTTAAGCTATTCCTGCGTAGCCGATAGACCCGATTGTCTAAAGAACCACAAGTCACGAATGTACTTTGTTGTCTTCCTTGGAGGGAAGCAACTAGATGCAGATGGACAAACGTTTGGAAGAAAAAACGAAAACCGACCGGGGGCCCTTTTTTATACCCGATGGGCGCGCATCGCAACCGACTCGCAGATTATCGCTGGAAGGTGATAGGTGGAGAGTGAGTCATATGTCATGTGATATGATGAATTTGCTATCACGTGATCCGCTGGCCTTTTTTCGCTTACACATTGCTTACAGAACCTATTGCCGACCATCCGACGAATGGGTAGTGTATTGGCAAAAACAAATGTCACACAACACAATACACCAGGGAATAAACCGGCGACAACCGGTTCGGAAAAGCCAAGTAATTCCCTCCTTACAACCAACTACTACTAGGCCCAATGGCACATGCAATACATTACGGTTGTTCTAACCGGGTAACTAAGCCCACCACACGAGAGAAATCCTACTAAGCCCTTGATTCCGAAATTCTTTAGTCGCAGGATGTTCAGATACTAGTAAAGTCAGACTTAGACTGAGTAATACGCGTGGGAACAATCATAAAGATAATGCATACCTGCGATCGTTGCAGCATAGTAGTAGCAGCGTTTGCAAGGGGTTATGCTGTTTTTGTCGGGAGGGCAAGGTCCTCGACACCAGAGCGGCATTCTCATGATGGACTTGAGAGTTGCTTGAGCGTGGGCAGATGCTTCAAGAGTCGAGGGTAAAGAACAAGATGGGGGGAAGAAGAACAGCGGGGGTTTATATAGAAAAACTGAGTGGCTACATTGAGTCATTTAGCGTCATGCAGATGGCAACTGCGAATATTCCTCTCATAGATGGCCACAAGGGATAATAATTGCAATCCGTTCATGGCCACACATATTGGACCCATCATGATGGAGCAAGCATCTTTTGTGCATAGTTCATTTGCCAAAATCGAGGCATCTTGCATTTCATCTCATTCGATCCAGTGGCTGCATCTATGTGCAGACTGACAGTCTTTTTTGCCCACATACAATGTTGAACTTTGAGGTTTTGAAAGTGAGGTGAGGAATAAGGAGTATACTAATGACGCATGTTGGGTTTATGCCTCTGATGTCTGCTGCCCTTAAAGAATGGATCTTGGAGACGACAAGCGCATGGTATAACAGAATAGAACAAGAACAAATATCGCATCTAAATGGCAAATGACAGAACACCCTAACAGATGCAAACTGCAAGATCTAATCCAAGGTTTTGCTGCAATAATTATTCAGCATATACGCGAGGTACACTATCACCGATAGACCATGGCAGACAGGAAGGGAGGTTTCAGAGTTCCTCTCCCAGGGACATATCAAGTATCTCCCTCTGGAGATACAGATATCCCAAATTGGGAAGCCAAAGCCATGGACACCGGAACTCGGTGCTCCATTAACCTCTCTTACCTGATGTTTTGAGGGTCTTGCTTGACCAGCGCATGCCTCCACGCGCAAACGGATCATGAACGGCTTAAATAGGGAAAAGGGTATTGCACTGCAATGTCAACTGTCCCTCTACACTATGTCGACAAAAAAGCTACCTTCTTTAACAAAACTGAATGAGAAGGTGTATAGCATCACGAATCTATCTATAGCTCACATAGGAGATGCTGCGAAGCCGGGTGACAAACTGAGTGGGGCAACAGGGAGTTTGCTTAGTTTACGAGAGCCGAAAACTGAATCTAAAAGGTTTGCACACATGTTTATTTCAAGGCTTTTTCCTTTTACTTGCACCATGACACTACATTTGATATGCCCAGCGCAATACCACCACAACCACCGACACTTCAAAGCAGGATCATTGATATTGTCACCTTACCTCTCACAATCTTCGTATCCCTCTTTGCGTATTGCCCTTTCTGCGTTGCTGTCGTCTTCCAATCCGCAGTCACACGCCGAGCGGTCGACACAGACAATTACAAGAATGAGATGAAACCATGGGCATGGGGTGTTGGGCTCTTTGTATTTTTCGCCCTTCTCGTCTACCCAGCTGGCGTCAGTACAGTCATGGACAGCTTGATTGATCGCGGATGGAGAGTAGGAGTTGTCGTTGCCTTATTTTTGGTGATGATCGGCGCCGTTCAGGTCTTGACGATCCTCTACGCATTCCTCAAGCCGGGATTGGGAATGGTTAGCATCCCTGCTGAATCGCGCATTAATCTCTTCCACTGGAGAAATACCCTTCCTCTTCTTGCGCCCATCATTGAATTTATCCAATTCACATCTTTTGCATTTCGCACTTCGACGGATACGTGGCTTTGCACTTCTTCCCTTGGAACTGCTGTCAGGGCCTTTGTTCGCATATCAAGCTTCAGGTTCGAGGACGTCACTTGCAAAGGTATCTATGAGATGAAGGGACCTAGCCTCTTCTACGCCGCGACCGGCTCTGCATTCGCTGTTTGTTGCCTGTATGCCATATTGCTGGGATATGCCATTGCAAAGTTTTTGCAGCCTGGGCATTGGCTGTGCACGATAGTTTTTGAGCTTTTTGCGGGGATTGCATACCTACCTGTGGTAAGCAAACTCTTATCGGTCTTGGATTGTAGAACAAAGGTGGGTCGTTTATATCAGTCAATGATGTCCTGATGTGCGAAACAGTTGAACGGGTTGCATGCAGATTTCAGAGACAGGGCAACGCAACATGTATCTCTATTATGCGGAACCCGAAGCACCATCCGTTGATGTACCCTGTTGGACAGGCGAACACGAAAAGTATGGCGCCATGGCCTTTGCCGGTCTATTAATTTTTGGACTATCGGCCATTTTTGTCGGTTCTTACAAAGGTACGTCGAGCAAGATTTGGAGTATAAAGCCATTGAATGCTCATATAGCATCATGCAGCGGACAAGCACGTTCGACGATCTTCTGTAACATTTATTCCCCGCATTGTTGTCATCAAACGTACCATCAATTCGGCATTCTTGGCAGTGAATCTCCTCATTGGGTACACATCGACATCGCGGACAACCTATACGCACGGTACACAGGCCACTGGCCTACTCACACTCTGCACCCTTCTCTTTTTGGACGTGTACTACAACTCTTGTACTTTCCACAAGCTCCGAATATTGACGTTTGGGGCGCATTTGGCTGGCCTGTGGTCCTACATATCAACCATTATTGCGGATCGTGATGGGTTGGAAGACTGGGGGTCCCAAGTGACACTCTTTCTTGGATGGGGAGTAATTGGGATGAGTGTTTGTGGCTGGTTGTTGGTTGGATGGTGGCAAAAGAAAAAGAGCAAGCACCAAGAGATGCAAGACAAGCTGAAAAAGGCAGAGAATGAAAAGGAGCAAACATCGAACGTCTTCAAAGTAGTGACCATGCGAAGACGCGTAAAGGTTGACGTTGGCGGCGAGTGTGATGATGAGGATGAGGTTATTGCTAGGGCCATCTATGGCCCGGGAGAGAAACGACGACCCATTCCAAATGGAGCGTTGGTCCTTGTCCATCCCACTCAAGAGATGGCTTCTGCTTGAAGTGTTTTTGAACACTGCGAGATTGGGAGTGTTCCAACAATTCCACGAGGGATCGAATCCGGGCGCGTGTACATCTGCCTCCAAAATTGCGCGCCTTTTTTTGTTCGCTTTTTTCTTTTAGCCTTTTTGTTTAAATGGAGAGTTCAAAAGGCTTTAACGGTTAATGGAGGTGGAAGGATTGTAAAAAAGCGCTCTGTGTGTGCGATTGGCAAAAGTGAAGTCGATTTCAACGTTCGTTTTGGATTGACACGGAAACACACAAGTCAAAAAGCCATCTTTTGGAACACTTGACACTTTAACCTCTTTTTTCTGTGCGTAAATGTTCCTCATCCAAGACGTGTGATCTCATATACATGAATTTTGTTGTACTAGTTATTATTATCATTATTCCTACATGACCTTTTATTTTTGTTTTGGCTTGGTCGCTATCAGTGTGCTTTAGCGTCTAGGCTGACCTCCTCCTTGCTTCTCTCTCTTGGTGCCACTGTAGAACCCAGGCCAGTTGCATGCAACGATATCCATGACCGCCCGAAACTCTTCACCAACACCTCCATCGACGCCCTCTCCGCCACCACGCCGTCTCTCGGTCGCTTCGACAGCTAGCACGTCCACACTTCTCTCCTCTTCAACAGCAACAACTTCGACAATCAAAGTCGCTCTCCGCATCCGCCCTCCCGTTTCCTCACAACCATCCAGAGGCTCACGGCAAGTCGTCCAGGTCCTCTCGGATGACACTCCAACACCAAATAGCGTCGTCGTCGACGGCAGGAAAAGGTTTACTTTTGATTCGGTCTTTGGACCGGACCACTCACAACATGATGTCTACGAGGCAGCTGTAGCACCCTTGGTCGAGAGATTCCTAGAGGGCTACAATGCTACTGTCATGGCCTATGGTCAGACCGGAAGCGGCAAGACCTACACGATGGGCACTGCCATGGATGTGGCCGGTTTTGGATGGGATTCTGCAGAAGCGGATGATCCGCGCGAAGGCATCGTCGCCAGAGCCATCAAACACATCTTTAGTGCAATTGACAACGGCAGCCACGAGACGGGTGGAGAAGAAACAAAGTTTGATTTGTCGGTCTCGTTCATCGAGATGTACAATGAAGACTTGATCGATTTGCTGACTGTGCCGCCTATGAAGGGTGTCACTGTCCGAGAGGATCCAAGAGGTGGAATATATTGGGCGGGTGCGCGAGAAGAGAATGTCGAAAATGTAGAGGAGGCACTACGGTATGTTTTGTGGAAGGCAGAATGCAAATGGAGTAGAAACAGAACGCTCACTGGATTATTCAAATACGACGACGTAGATTGCTTACAGCTGGATTAGAGCACCGCCAAACGACCTCTACAACACTCAATCAAACCTCGTCCCGCTCCCACGCCATCTTCTCTCTCCAACTCTGCCAACGACGATGGATCCCTGGCAATACGGCCGATACCGGTGACGCAGGCGACTGGCAAATTGTCAACTCCAAATTCCATTTTGTGGACCTGGCTGGATCCGAGCGACTTAAACGCACCAAAGCGGTCGGAGAACGTCAACGAGAAGGGATTTCAATTAATTCAGGACTATTGGCGCTGGGAAATGTCATTAATGCTTTGGGAGGGGAGCAGGCAACCAGACAAGGTGGACCCGTTCATGTACCCTACAGAGACTCAAAATTGACGAGATTGCTCCAGGACGGGCTAGGAGGCAATAGGTACAGGCCGTTTTTAAATGCAAAAGTCACTTGTTTTGGCGCTAACAACAAGTCCTGCCTACAGCCAAACCGCGATGATCGCCTGCATCTCGCCATGTGAGGCGGACCTTGGGGAAACACTCAACACCTTGTTATGGGCCAACAGAGGACGCAATATCCGGAATACGGCCTTTGTCAACCACGAGTACCAGTCCGAAGTCCGTGCACTCAAAGAGCAAGTCGCTCGTCTGAAAGGCGAAGTTGGAAAACGTAAGTGCTTAGTCAGTCATTACATAATCGGACCAATCAAATGAGGGCTGGTTATTTATGAAACAGAACGCGTTGGGGACGGTTTTGGGACCATTTTGTTCCTAACAGCAACAAATTGCCTTTTGTGTTTTATGCAGATGCACCATTGCCATCCAACGACGCCGATCGCTTGCGGGAGGAGAACGACGAGTTGAAGAAGCAGCTAGAGTCTTTGACACAGACGCAGAAATCTCTCCGACAACGCAACGATTACCTCGCAAACGAACTTGCCTTGGTGCAGTCCGAATCGGTTATGATGAGGATCTATGCCGCATCACCAACACCTTCCGCCACCCCATCAGAATCAAGTGATGTCCCGCTGCATAATGGACAAGATTCTGTCATAGATTTCAACGGCTCAACAATGAGCTCCATTCCACTCCCGAAACGAAACCGAATTCGTCCACGCTCCGCTACCTCTGCCGAACTCATCCGCGACCTCCTTATTTCACCATCACCCAACCTCCCCGACGAAGTGAGCACTACCGACGACCCAATACCAACTCAAGCCACCGTTCGCAAACTCCGCGCTGAACTCCGAGAAACCACATTAGCTGCCCGCCAGTATCTCTCGCAAGTTGACTCCCTCCAAACTCGCCTTCGCGAACGAGAAGCCGAGTTTGAAGAGGCAGAACAAGCTCTTCAAGAGGAGATTTCCGAACTGAAGGCATTGAATGCTGGTGCCGAAGATTATATTGCGGGACTAGAAGTTCAGCTGACGAAGCATCAGGCTCTCGCAGATCAGGTTGAACGATTGGAGACTGAACTGGAGCGAGAGAGAGAGGGAAGGGATGCCGACAGTGGTGGGCCTTGGGAACGCGTTAGACTCTTGGAAGAGGAGGTAATAGAGTTGAAGAATGAGCGCAAAGATGTTGAAGTGGCCTGGATCAAAGTAGCGGAACTGGAGAAGGAGCTGGAAGAGTTTCGAAGGCAGGACCTTCATGCCGCTGCATCTGTTGTGGAGAGGGCTGCTCCCGCTGCTGAGGGAACTTTCACCCCGTCTGTAGTTATCCCCGCAACAACCAAAGACACATTCGAGAATCCGCCCAGTGATATATTATCATTGAGGGCTGCAGTTTCGGACTTATGGAACCAACTTCTCGAACAGGAGACCCGGACCGCTGAGTTAGTAGGATCCGAAGAGGATCACCGCGTTGCACGAGAAGAAATACAATCCAAATTGAAGACCCTCCAGTCGCAGCTTTCCCAGCTCGAAGCCGAGCACAACGTTCCACCAGCACCTATTAACACGACTTCCACCATCGCTCCCGTCGACCCGCCAGCACTCCATAGCCTTCTCGCCGAATCAAATCAAGCTTACGCCGCCCTGGAATCCGAAGTCGCCCAACTCCGCCAAGTCGCATCCGATGCGGTTGCACGCGCTGCCAAACTCGAATCTGAAAACACTGCCCTCGAACAAGCCCGCGAAGGAGCCTTCAAAGAAGTAGAGGAACGTGTCAAGGGCGTGGAACAAGTTTTGGAGAATCTGAGAATGGCGGAGGAGGCGAATGAGGAATTGCACAATGGGGTCAAAGAACTGGAAGGACGGATGGAAGCCTTGATGAAGGAAAAGGAAGAGTTGGAGACTTTGCTGAAGGAGCGCGAGAACGATCTTGTACAAAGGGATGACAGGGTCGAAGAATTGGAAGGTCATCTAAAGGCCTTGGAGAATGAGATTGGTGAGATGAAAACAGCGGCAGCGGAAACTGCAACCCGAAGTCTCGAACACGGTGAAACTCTCAAGGGTGACTTGGAGGGTTTGCGAGAGCATGTTAAAGAGTTGGAAGGACTTTTACAGCATGCGCGTGATGAGAAGGTCAATGTTGAACATACCCTTCAAGCTCGCGTAACCGACCTAGAAGCCGAAATTGACAAAGCTCAACAAGCTGTCGACACATCCCGATCAGAAGCAGACAATATCCTTAAAGAACTCCAAAACGAAATCACCTCCCTCCATACTGACCTGTCCAAGGCAAGAGATCAGCTCTCTGATTCCTCATCCCGCACCGCCGAACTAGAGCAAAGCTTGGAAACCGAGCAAAGACAGGCATCCGAAGCCCAGGCCAAACTAGTGGCCGCTGAAGACGCAATCACGACCCTCCGTTCCGAATTGGAAGCTGCAGCGCACGAAGCACATAGCCTGGCCTCTGCGATTCACGAAGCCGATGAAAAAGTCCGAACCGCGGCTCAAGATAGAGACGCCATTCAAGCTGAGCGTGACTCTATCATTGCAGAGCGCAATGCCCTCATCTCCGAATTGGAAAGCTTGAAAAGTGCACTTGAAGAAGCAACTTCGCACCACGAGACGCTGAGCAGGGAGATCCACGATGCCAAGCGCCAATCGGTTCTCTTGTCCGATGAGAAAGACAAGGAACGTGAGGCGTTACAAATGCGAGTTGCGGAGCTGGAAAAGGAGGTCGAGGATGCCGCTGGGCGGTTGGACGCGGTTGTGAAAGAACATGAGACTGCTTTGAATACTGTTCAGTCGGAACTCGCTGAAAAAGCGGATAATATGGCGACAGAGCTTGCAAATACACAATCTCATGCCAAAGAACTGGAGGAGGAGGTTGAGACTTTACGCAGTGGACGCGTTGATCTGGAAGAGCAATTGGATGCAAAAATGAGCGAGATTGAATCTCTTACAGCTCACATTGACGAGCTGGAAAGAGGCGTCGATGAGAAAGATGGGCAGTTGGAAGGTTTGCGGGCGGATCTCTCGGGCCTATCCAAGCAGTTGGAGGAGAAGCAGCATGTGATAGATGAGCTTTTGCAAAAGACGGAGGGATACGAAACCGAATTGACTGACGCGAGACAAAAGGTGGAAGAACTGGGACGAGATCTCCTAGATAAAGGCCGTGAACTGGATCAGGTGACTCACCAGCTCGACGACGTGCGGACTGGTTCCGACCGCGACTTGGCTGAGGCGCGAACTAAATTGGTAGAATTGGAAGACATACACAGTGGAATTGTAGAGGCGCACGCTGCCTCTGAACAGCATCGTACGCAGCTGGCTGACGAGGTTGAGGGGTTGAAAGCTGCCCTAGAGGCCAAGACACGCGATTTAGAGGCTCTTGTCACACAGCTGGAGGAACTGCAAATTGAAAATGGACTGAAGGAAGACAAGGTCAGGGACGAGGTTCAAGTCCTAAAGACTGAATTGGATGTGCTACAGGCCAATGTCTCCACTGTCACGAGTGAGCGTGACGAGGCTCTACAAAAGATTGAAGACATTGTAAAAGAATTGAATCGCATTGTGGAGGGTGATGGCGAATTGGACACTGTGTTGACGGGTGCAAAGTCGTTGGTTCAGGATCTTCGCGATGGAGTCAAGGAACGAGATGACCGGCTTGGTGTGGTCGCTCAAGAATGCGAGGAGCTAACAACAAGAATAGGAGAAATCCAGCAGCTTTTGGATCAAAAGCACACTGAAATCTCCGAACGGGATACCGTCGTCTCTGACCTGCGAGCCACGCTCGCCGCCCTCACTACTGAGCTAGATGAATCGAAGGCTCGTGTCAATGAACTGGAAGCCGTCCAACGGGATTTACATGAATCTATCACCCTGCGATCGGAAACTGAGACCCAAAAGGTTCAAGAAGTTCAAAAGCTCTTGGACGACAAGCATGCAGAACTCGCTCAACAGGAGACTGTCGTCGCGGAACTGCAAACCACTGTCGCTGCATTGCGCACTGAACTGACCGAATCCAAAGAACGTATCAGTGAACTGGAAACAGTCCACCGAGAATTGCACGAAACTCGCTCGCTGCAAGCAGAAACTGAAAACCAACAGGTGGCCCAAATTCAAAAGCTCTTGGATGAGAAACAAGCAGAACTTGCTCAACGGGAGACTGATCTCTCGGACCTGCAAGCCACTCTTACTGCCTTGCGCACTGAACTCAATCAGTCCACAGATCGCGTCCAGGAATTGGAAGCAGCTCAACGAAGCATCGAGGAAGCTCGCGCGCTGCACGCAGAAACCGAAAACCAAAAGATGGAACAACTGCAACAGCTCTTGGATGACAAACAAGCAGAACTTGCCCAACGGGAGGTTGATCTCTCGGATCTGCAAACCACTCTCGCTGCCTTGCGCATTGAACTGGAAACAGCTCAACGAAGCATCGAGGAAGCTCGCGCGCTGCAAGCAGAGACCGAAAACCAAAAGGTGGAACAACTGCAACAGCTCTTGGATGACAAACAAGCAGAAGCCGCTCAACGGGAGACCCAGCTCTCTGACCTGCAAACCACCCTCTCCAGCTTACGCACAGAATTGGATGAGAAACAAGCAGAACTCGCCCACCGGGAGGCTGAAGTATCTGATTTGCAATCTGCACTCACTGCATCACGCACAGAGTTGGACGAGAAACAAGGAGAACTTGCACAGCGGGAGGCTGATGTCGCTGACCTGCAAACCGCGCTCTCCACTTTGCGTACTCAATTGGACGACTCTAGCGTGCACGTCAATGAACTGGAAACAGTCCAGCGTGAGCTGGAAGAGTCACGTAGATTGCAATCCGAATCTCAGAACCTGGTATCCGATCTCCAAGCCCAGCTAGAAGCTCTTCACGTCACCCTCACAGAGACGCAAGACCAACTAGCGACGGAGCTTGAATCCAGTCGTGCCCACGAGCACGAGGCCTCTGAATTGGAGTCAGGGCTTCTGGCAAGGGATGAGAGTAACAAAGCTTTGCAGAATCAGCTTTCTGAAAGTGAAGTGGAGAAGCAGGCCCTCATGGATCGTGTCCATCAATTAGAGACACACTGTGAGGACTACGCTGCCAAGATTGGAAAGTTTGCAAAAGAGGTACAGTACCTTGCTTCGTTGCGTGAAGCTGTCGTTATAGAGCGGGATGAGCTCCTGGACAAGGTCAACGCCCTTGAGGAGCAAATTCTGCACCTGCAAAATGAGAGTGTGCAAGGAACTGAGAGGGGGCTCGAGATTGAGAGCACCCGTCCGCAAGCCGATGTAGCTCAACTGGACCGTGAGTGCAATGACCTCTTGAACGGACTTGGTCTTGCGGAGACGCAAGTGGAGACCACATCGGCTGCGACTATCCTAGATTTGGAGAACAAGATGCGAACCGCCGAAGCTCTCGCTACGGAACTGGAGCAGAACCTCTCCGATACTCAGCAGGAACGTGACATGCTTTTAGTACGCATGAAGGAATTGGAGCACTCGAACGCGGAAATGGAGAAGGAAATGATTGAGTGCAAAGACTTGTCCGTGGCTGGTACTCGGGAAATGGAGGATCGTCTTGGGCGTATGGAGGTAGAACGTGATGAGGCGTTGACCAAGTTGCAGCAGCTCGAAGCCAAGGTCGAAGAGTTGAACTCTTCTTTGGAGGAAAAGGAGACTGCGCTGCAAAGGATTGCAGAACTAGATGCCTTATTGGAATCCAAGGACCAGGAACTCAAAGACGTGCAGTCACAATTAAGTTCCCTGGCGTCTACTCACGAAACACTCAAGGCGGAATCCACCGATCTTCGCGAAAAGGTTGAATCCATGGAAAAGACGCAATCCGAACGGGATGTTGTCCCCAACGAATCCGCCACGGCTGACCAAGAAAGCGATGATAACTCTGTCTTGGTCGGCATGTATCGTACTCAGATTGCGGAGGTCGTCTCGGAACGCAACTCTCTGCGTACTGAGATTGAGCAGTTGGGCACCGAGTTGGGCGACAAGGCAAAGTTGGAAGACGAGCTCGCTCAGGTTGTTACAGAGCGGGATGAGCTGAAACAGGTCGTGGAAGCTCTAAGTAACCGGGTGGAGGAAGTTGAAGCTAAATTAAACGAGGCAGAGCGAAGAGTACCAGTCATTGTTGACCCACCTCCACCGTCCAGAGTCTCAAAACCACGGCCACCGTCGATTCAGACTGGTCGGGAAGCAGACCTTCGTGATTCGGATGAAGGAGACATTGGACGGGACTCGCTAGATACGCGTCGGTCCGCTTCATTTGACAGGAGGAGAAGAGGAGGAAGCAGTCTCCGTGGTTTGTCGCCGGGTGAACCGATATCTCCTACCTCCATTATCGACTCCATTCGAGAGATTGCTGACCGAACCAACGATACCGAAGCGACTACCGAAGCAGGACCCGGTCTGGCAGAACGCGAACGTCAAGAATTGTTGCGAATGATTGAGATTCTTTCTATGCATATATCTGCTGCTGATCGACAGTTGGAGGAAGATGCCAATACAGTTGCGAGGCTAGAAGCTGAGCTCGAGGATGTAAGAGCCTCCTCTTCTGCGTCTTCTGAAACATCTTTCCGGGATGTCAGTAGGAGCAGCACTGCGGTTCGCTTACGTGTGTTGGAGGATCGGGTCAATAAACAGCTCGATGAGATTGCCAACATGGAGTACGAGTTGGTCAAGGCTCGGAGTGTCGCCAATGCGGCACAGACTCGGGTTGTTGAATTGGAGAACCAGTTGGAAGAGGCAAAGAAGAAGGAGCGGGAGGCAAGGGCAGCACAGCCACTGAATGCGGCAGTCAGCAAGGCTAGAGGCGGCCATCGTGGAACATTCAGGCTCACCCCATTGGAGCTAAAGGAGATTATGCCTTCGATAATGTTTGAGGAGTTGACCAGGAAAGATGGAAAGCGTTCATCTATTCTTACGGGTGCTCCCGAGCGCATACAGAGCGCTGCGAAAACTCGGGATCGCGGATCTGGAGCGCGTCAAAACATACCCGAACGGTGGAGAGATGGGTCACCACTACCTGCCAAACGGGATCCGCCACAACCAGATTCGCCATCCTCCGATCCTCGTTCCAACCGCCACCACACCCAGCTCGCCCAACAACAACACCAACACAGACTAGCCCAGCAACAAGAGATCATTGGGGAACTCGGACATCAACTCTCCACCGCCAAACGACGAGTCAAAGACCTTCAGGACCAGGTTCAATCTCTCGAACAAGAAAACTATAGTTCGCAAAACAATATCCGAATGTTGATGGAACGCGTGAAATACCTTGAAGAGTCTCGTGCCATCCTCCCGCCCCCTCCCGACGACACCCTAGACCGCGACGGAACATCATCATCATCATCAAAACGATCACGAGGCGCTTCGAGAGGTCGAAGTGGGAGCAAGGAGGAAGGGCGTACCAAAAGCAAGAGCCGAACACGGAGTGTAGGGAAGGAGAAGGACAAGGATGGGGAGGTGAAGAAGAAGAGGAGTTTTTGGTGGGGCGGACGGGGTAAAGATGAAGATAGTGATTGAGGTATATATGTGATTGGTTTTGGGTAGCGTATGTAGGTTATATAGAACTTTTTTGTATGTTGCATTGTTGTGTTTAGTGGCATCTTATTGAATACTTTTTTTTTGATTGCTAGAATTCTATTGATATATTATTTCACCTTTGTGTTTTCTTCATGTCTGTTGGATGATATCTTTATGGAATTTGAAGCAATGATGTTTTTTTTATCACGCACCTGTTTTAATGTAGTCGAGCGTCACCCGGCACGTTGTAAATACATTGCAGAATGAGAGACTCCACTCAGCATCCCTTCTGGGCTTACCAAGGCGAGAGATTAGGATCGGAGAAACCAGACGACTCGGCGGCAACTGGCAGCAACAGTTGAATTCGAACAAACAACATCAACCATGCATATATAGAGTTAATCTTTTTTGTATAACGTCCTTGTTGCCTTGCCTCAAACTCATCGTTTCCTGTGTTGAAGCATCTATAAAAACCCTTCCCATGCAGCCCTTTGGGACGATTATGTGTTCAGATTACTCGATTTGAGGATCACACGCGGCTGTCGGCCCTTTTGCGACCCTCATTTCGGCCCCTCGGGCTGCCGCGTTTTTGTGGGCTTGGGGGAGACTTGTTCATTTTGTTTTTCTTTTTTTAGAACCGTTTTTTACGCTTAAAGAGCAGAGGCAGCCCAAAAGGAAGCGGACAGGATAGCTCTTTTGTTGGTTGTTTTCTATTCTATCGCAATACCCTTTGACACGGGGATATTCGCTGCCCAGTGTCATCTCGTTCATATCACACTAACTTGAGACAACGATGCTCCAACTTCTTTCCACTGTTGACCGCTATCAGCACTCGACGATCACGAATCCTAGCCTTGCTTTTCCCCACCTCGTCGTCTCCTGGGCTTCTCTTTTCTTTATTGCCTACAAGGTTGCCCGGAGACTTCTAACGCCGACAGCACCATACTCTCTCCCTTTCCTGCCGCTCACAGCTTCCCCACAGTCAGTAGAAGAATGGGCGAATAGGACTGTATCAATCGTGCATGCTTTGCTTGCTTGTTGTGGGTGTGTGCATTGGGTCATTGCGGAAAAGCACCTGTTGGTTCGGCCAGAGGACTATGGGTATCTCCGCTCGAACGTGTGTGATTTTTACCTCGGCGTCACGCTCGGCTATCTCCTCTTTGATCTCCTCCGACTCTGTTACTACCGCTTTCTCGTTCTTGCAAATCAATCGCTCACCTCGGCGCCGGTCACATCCATGTTCATCCACCACGCCGTCATCATTGTTGCATATTATCTCGGCGTGACATACCACTATGGAACATTCTACATGGGCCTGCTCCTTAATAATGAAATCACTACACCGTTCTTGAATGTGCGATTTCTGATGGCTGAGAGGGGTTGGAAGACAGGGAATGCGTACAAGTTGAACGAAGCGGCTTTTGTGATTGGATTCTTTATCAGTAGGGTATTGGGGAACATTTGGATATTATGGCACATGCAGACCCATTTGCGGTATTTCGCACCCGTGGCGACGAATCAAGGCCTCCCTATTCCCATTTTCTACCTCCTTCCCGTCCTCGCGTATGCCCACGGTGCGCTCCAATTCTACTGGTTCGCCCTTCTCATGCGCATGGTGTACCGCAAAATCACCTACGGCCAGCGAACCACCGGCCCACCAAGCGGGGATGCGGTAATGAAATCGGATCTCGTGTCGCAACCAGGAAGCGAAAAAGTTTTGGTCTTCGATCCCCCTGTTGCACCCAACGTCAAGTCTTCCAAATTGCTGGGGTTACCACCTGCGGGAGTCACTGGAAAGGCAATTAGGAAGCTGGGGTTGGTGGAGGTCGCAAATGAAAAGGCAGCGGAGGTGTTGGGCTTGAGGACGACACCGCCTTTGTCCAGGAGGAAGCGGCAATCAAGCTCTGATTAGTTTTAGCCAATGGATTCATGTGATGGGAGAAAGATATCCGAGGTCATCGTAATTCGTGCACGCTACGGCTGCGATAACCTTCATCCTGCACAAATTTCGTTATTCTACGGAGATCCTCCAACGGCCACTTTCTGGTTTCACGTCTGTCCTGCGGGACGTATATCATATGACATTAGATTTCAAGCATAAGTGGAGAGTGTTGGGGCATGGGGAAGAAGTGATTCGGTAGCCGCATGCATCTTATGTTCAACTGCTTTGAATTATTCATCAATGTGACGCATTCACTCAATTTTTTATCCTTTATCTTGGTCTGCTCTTTCAAAATAGCCAAAATGTATTTACATTAAAAGAAATCATATGCTACAAATATTTTAACCACAGTCAACAGTAGTTGCACAGCTAGCTGTGCCTTCTTATCCTATAATACCAACTCGTTCTTAATTTCAGGCTTCAACTAGTCTCCGAAGCCATTCTTCCCCCCCATTCCGTACGGCTGTGATCACGTCCTCTTCGTTAACATTGAGTCGAATTCGTTGGCGTCGATCACCTGCGCGACTCATTTCCACAAGCAAAAGCCGGCATGTTGCCAACTGCGCGCACACAGCAATGAGATCTGATGGATTTGGATTCTGGATGTTCCCGAGTTTGCATAATCGGATGTGTTCATCCGCTACCTATGTACCGTGAAAAAGGTCATTGAGCTTCATGAATGGGAACTACGACCATCTCTTCGTAGTGACACTCACCTGTCCATACTCTACTTCCGCTGTTCCCCCCCTTCTAACATTTCGAACAATTGCAACCAAGAATAACCGCTGATGGGTACTAGCTCTCTGCACAGACTGAACAGCCGGCGACGCAAACATCTCCTTCACTGCGCGGTCAATGACCGCCATCGTAACCATTTTCTGGTCCAATGGCTTGCCAGCAGCTTCCGCATCTCGTAGTGTAGCCTCCAATATCTCCACCCCTCTTCGACAAATGTCGAGCGCCCTTCTTGCATCCCCGGATATAGCGCCGACCTTTCTGGCGCAAAGTACGATGGCGTCTTTTTCGAAGCATCGGACTCGTTCCAAGCGGGATTGGACAATTTCAATCAGTTGCTGATGGGTGTACGGTTGAAAATTTATTCGCGTCAGCCCTACATGATCACCACGGTTAGCAAGTTAACACAACCCTGCAGATATGATAGAATGTCCAGTACCCAGTCGACTAGAGACCCTATTGGTCAGCATTCGCTCAGGAAGGTCCATAGTATTTGCAACCGCTACCACAATCAGTCGAGAATGAGCGAGATTCGGCCAATTGAAGAAGTTGTACATAACCGTCTGATTCTTTGTTACAAGAAGGTCCAGTTCGTCCATTAGCACAACGCTAAACACGCATCATGACAGGTTAGTACCATATAAAAATAAATGTCAATGTAAAGCGATTGCAACCTACACAGACTGTCGATCTGGTGACGCTGTGTTGAATCGCTTCTCTAAAAGATTCCCGGCATGTGCAGCGCTGAATTTTTGGCCCGTTAGAACTTCCAAAAGTAGCGAATATGACTGTGATGGTTCGGTCAGCTTCATGCCGTTGATTTCAACAAATTGAAATGGTGGGATTTCCTTCAATGAAATGCAGTCAGCTCGGGCAGTTCTTACTGAGAATAACAGACACAATGCTTAACACCTCTTGTTCTGCTGCCTCGCTCAAAGCGCGCATAACCCGGTGCACCGTGGCAGTCTTCCCTGTCCCCGGAACACCAGATATATCTATCCGCAAATGCATTAACTCTTATAGATCAACTTCATCACATCAACTGACTTACATACACACACAGCAGCCCGTTCCTTCGTTGATAGCACTCTCAACGTGACCGTATATTTCCGCAAACTCTGTTTCTCGACAGGGTAAAGCATCGGGAACGACTGAAACGTGTAATCGCTCCCGAGCTTTTTCAAACTCGGATCGTGGTGTACTCCGTTCCTGCAATCTTTCTGGAAGAGGAGTCGCAGAGAGTTTCCACCTTCTAATGGCCCGGTCAGATATGAATAGCTCCTATGGTACGATCATATGCGCGAAACATCACGTACCGCCCAGATCCCAGGGTGGGTGTGTTTGGGATGCGCGATGAAGGTGTACGAGTTCCGACTTTATTTCTCGGCGTGTACAACTTTGATGGTGTGCGGGTGCTGCTGACTTGTCGCGCTCGTTTCCGAGGCGTTGCCACACTTTTACTTCCTCTTGTTTTTCTGCCCTTTTGTTCGGTATCCTCCAAGGCATCATCGTCGGTTAGGATTTCATCTCTAAGATCTTCCTTCGGTGGCGAAAAGTCCTAAGTTTGGGCATTGAGATTCTATCACGTACAAGTGGATTTTGGAAACCGCTATGCTCACCTTATCTTCATCGTCAGTCTCCATCTCGTCGGCCAACCTCTCTAACCTTTCTTGTAGGTTCTTATATGATCGACGGCGAGCACTCCGTCGAACCGGCGTGGTACCATTTTGGCACGTTGTTTGGACCATCTTTCCAATGCCTACCAGGTTCACGAGATCTGTGAAGAGGAGGAAGGAACAATGGTCGGATTTCGGACAACGCTGTGCCACATTGTGGATGGAACCAAAAGATGCTCACGTAATTTTGGTTATATTTCTTGTTGCCGATGATTGTTCAACGTCCGTCCACCAGCGTCATTTTCTTTTTTTAGTTGACATTGTACGGGCCTGTAACGGCCAACCCTTATCGTGAAAGAGACCTCCAATCCGCCTCTATATATTGTATCTCCGTGGTTATAGAAGTCGAACCTGCAATATGATCCGTAGACAAACTCGAATGCGGAGGGAGTACCTGTACCGTAAAGCTCTGGAAACGAAAGATCGGCAAATATATGAGCGTAAACAAGAGCTACGAGAGGCTTTGGAGTGTAGGTTATACCAAACCAGTGCCATAATAGTTTGATTTGTGTATGAGATAGTGTCGGCATTGAGACTGACTGGTCTTGATCTCTTGTGCTTTAGCGGGGAAGCCATTATCAGGGTCTTTACGACAGGAAGCTGAAGAGTTGAGGAAAGAACTGCAGTATGACGAGAACCAGAATGGTCAGTGTATTATAGGAAACTTTAACTCCACTGCTAGTGGTAGGAATTGACATCCATCTACAGTGCCTACAAACCACATCGATGACGAGTATGCCCAGGCCGGCGTCCACGATCCCAAAATTCTTATTACAACTTCCCGCGACCCAAGCAGTCGTCTGCAACAGTTTGCAAAGGAAATGCGCCTAATGTTTCCGAATTCGCAACGAATCAATCGTGGTAATTACGTACTGAAAGAAATTGTTGACGCCTGTCGCAGCAATGACGCTACGGATCTCATCATTCTGCATGAGCACAGGGGCCAACCAGGTCTGTGAAACTGATGACCTGTTCTCTATAGTTCCGCTACTGAGTATCCTGTTCTGTAGATGGTATGGTGGTGTGCCACTTTCCATATGGTCCAACCGCTTTCTTTACCCTTCACAACGTCGTCTTGCGCCATGATATCGCGGACAGGGGCACAGTGTCCGAACAGTATCCACATTTAATATTTCACAACTTCAACTCGAAGCTGGGAAATCGGGTACGTTCTTGGCTTATCCTCGAATATGGACAGGACGGCGTGCTCACGCGTTATTGCATTAGGCGCAAAACATCTTGAAATATCTATTCCCAGTCCCGAAGGAGGACAGCAAGCGTGTAATGACTTTTGCGAATGAGAGCGACTTTATATCATTCAGACATCATGTCTACCATAAAATCGGGAACGAAGTCCAATTGGCTGAGGTTGGACCTCGTTTTGAGATGCGATGTACGTATACTTCTGTACCCATCATGAAAGCAATGAAGCTAACTGGATGCATCATGTTTAGTATACGAAATCAAGCTGGGAACAGTGGATATCACGGAGGCAGACACCGAATGGGTGTTTAGACCATATCAACGCACCGCGAAGAAGCGCGATTTCTTGTAAATAGGCAACTATGTAGTCTTTTGTAATTTATGCATTTTAGATCTTTCGTTAGTATTGAATATTCATCCCTTGCACATCGACGATGTTTTCGTAAGAGTTTTGCTCTCGGGGCAAACCATGTGGTTTTCAAATTCGTTTCACTTGCTTTACAATTTCCAGGAAGATTCATATACAATGGATCCCAGTATTGCGCCCGACGATCAGCTGAACTTTGCATTGCTAAAGTCCATTTCGGGATGCTAATTCAGGGCTCTAGTTAGCCACAAATGACGCTGTTGCAGCAAAACATCATTCACGCACTTGTTCCTGGAATTTCTTTAGCATCTCCGCTTTTTTTCTTTCATCGCTGGTTGGCTTTCCCATTTGCTTCTGCTGCTGATCAAACTGGCACCAAGGTAGACACTTCAGCGAAAGGGACGGTACCAATCAAGCGGCATTTGACTATCTACCATCATCTTTTCCACCATTGCCCTGGTCTCTCCATCTAAATCCGACAATTTAGAATTCTCCGGCTGGATCTTGGTCGTATCGATCTCCGGGTGGTGTGTTAACACGTTCTTCCACCATTCCATCTGATTTACTTTCTCCAGATGTATCAAGAGTTCACCATTATCTGTACGTGTAGTCAGGAGTGAGACATGCATTGTCAGTTCAGAGTCGAGCTCGCAAGTCATACCCAAAGTCCATGTGCTATCGTCTACTTTGATGTCATTACATAATTCTCCCTATTGGTTTTCGTTGGCTGAGGCAAGGACAGAGCACGAAGTTGACAACTATTTACCTCCAGGATAGGATCCTGGCCCTTCAAACCCGCTTTCAGTCGTCGCTTCTGGATGAGCACGTTGAGTTCTCGCCCCTTGATGCCCTTTGGTACCTGTACAGTAATGTCGACCTCCTGCAGGGTCTGCTTCCAAGTGTATGGAAGACCTGTTTAGAGCGATATCAAACGGGCGTTAGGGAGATGTCATGACATCTTCGTTAAACAATACCAACAGACTTGCTTGTTCTGCATCTTCCTTTTCTTTTCTTGCCTTGTCATACGCCTCCCGATCAGCTTCACTGAGCTTATCGTATTCTTCTGCGGACAGCTTTTTGCTTGCGTCGACTGCCATGTTCTATAGGTAGCGACTGAGAATTGAAAGGAATTGTTCAAGAAGGTTCGCACACGACAGTTGACTCATCACCTTGTCCGAAGCCCGTGACCGATGGATTATGGCATTAAATGTCTTGCATGTCCGGAGTAGATATCCTGGTCAACGAGGAGAGGCCAAGGTCGCTATTAAAGGATATGATGGAACAGCCCATGATAAGAATCACAACTAGGAGTGCTTACAGTGTCTTCTACCAGCTGCAAATCTGTGCATGAAAATAACTAACAGTTCTCCGCGGACAATACGACGTCGTTTTGCATACAAGTATGTATCCAGGACGGCAATGTTATTCAGAACAAAGACCGCACACGCTACTTTTGCGTGCAGCATCTCAACGTGCTGGTTTACGACGGTTGCGGGAACATTTTGGAATATGCTCCATGTGCTCTACACGAGGAGGAGAGTTGGCCATAGGCGTATTGCAAAGACTACTCATCTTAAAACCCGGATGAAAACGGAGAAATCCATGCGTATTTGAGTACAAGGAGGCCATCTTAAATACTTGCTACACCAGGCAGAGGGGCACTTCTCAAGCGCCGTCCTGTCTCTTCTGTTCAACATCAGCACTCTATACAGTCCTAGGTATCATTTAGACTGCCCTGCTCCGTTATTACCAGTCGAGTTTCGGCCGAGAGAGTAAAGGCTCCTGTCGACAATGAAGTCGATCTTGTACAAAGCCACTCGGCTGTGGTTTTTGCTGCCACTCGAGATGATTCCCTAAACAGTTCTGGCCCTCAGCAGGCGAGATTGCGTTCAGGGCACTCCATGGGTGCGATGTAAGAGTCGGATTTGCCGCTGAAATAAAACCTCGCGAAAATCTTTGGCATTGTGGGTTGCACTGGTTTGAGAAAGTCAACTCTCGTCACCGCCCTTTCGCATTATTCAAACGTCCGACGTCAGTAATGGGGTTGACCATCGCGATTGAGCTTTACTAGGTTTGAAGACGCTGCGATCATACCAAATGATTTGGCAGGAGTCATCGTGTTTATCAGCACCATTCGCGGGAAGCTAGCATACAATACATATGCACAGACGATGTGGTAGGGTTTAAAGATTACGTGTCGTCACTGTCCAGAAAACTCGATGCTCCGGTTGTAGAAGGCGGCAGCAAGCTTCCAGTAGGTCAACGTCAGCTGGACTGCGTGGCCAAGGTAGTGGATGAAGCAACTGCCGCCGTGGACGCTCCTGTCGCAAGCAGATACAGCAATCTATCATCCTCATGGTCTCCGCTACAATCGGAGCCTTTAATCGCGTGCTTCCACATGACGAAGGCAGCATCATGGAGTTGGATGCCACTGGCTCGGCGGACGCTCCAGTCATTCGTCAGATAGCTAAAGAAGCACATCAACTGTTAGGCTGAAATTGTTAGCTAACATGGGCAAGGACGGGATGTTTCTGTAGGATTAGGATGCACATCCGCAGCTCTAATTATGCAATACAACAATGCCCGATAATATAGAAACGATTCAAAGGAAACAGCTATAGTGTGAATTGTCCAGTAATTGGATTGGTATATACAAAGGAGCACATCTTACAGCTTTCATTGAAAATCAAACCACGGGAGAGTAGAGCACGCGGTGGCCATTCCCGCGCTCCGTTCATCCACCGACAGCATGCTGAAGCGATTGACCAAGGCGAGCGTCCTCCTGTGCGGTGCGCTACGACATGGACAATTCATCGTGCGTGTTAAAAGTCTGCTCCAGTATTGCGGAAAGGAACCGTCCCGTATTTACCTTCTTTTTGTTTTGCAGCATCAACATGGTATTCGCACATTCCACTCTACAATAGCAAGCAAGATCAAGGTTGACCGCAAGGACACTCACATTGAAATTCAGTGGGGTCCTTCGGCCTCACCCTCGTGTAGTAAATTTAACTATTCTTGGTTAAGAGATAACTGTCAATGCCCACTGTGCGTCCACCCTTCAAATCGTCAAAAATTGCATTCTTCCGGGGATGTTGCCCTTTCCATTAAGCCCGAGTCTATCTCGATAGTCGAAGGTGGGAATGGTCCGCACCTTGAAATCAAGTGGCCAAGCGGAAGTCTCCGCCCCCATGCAAATCACAGATCTCGTTCTGAAGCCCACACAAGTGTAGTGGATGTTGCTTGGCTTCAGAAGCAAGATTATTCCCCTCAGGCGGTCCGCCAACGACGCAACGCACTCTTCAAACCTGTATACTGGGATGGCGATATGTATGATCAGAGGAAGCGCTCGGTGGACTATCAACATTTTATCTCTTCTAATGACGGACTCCGGAAAGCTTTGGAGGAACTTCGGGATTACGGATTATGCTTTATTCGGAATGCCCCGACGAAGGATAAGGAGGTGGAGAATATCGGACGGAGGTTTGGGTGTATTCGTGAGACATTTTATGGGACTTCCTGGGACGTGAAAAGTATTCCAGATGCCAAGAATATCGCATACACATCATTGGATTTAGGGCTTCACATGGATCTCATGTACGATTGTTGTTTTCCCAAGTGGTCATCAAGCGAAAATCCTGATGATTTTGTCTGTGGTCTTTCTTAGGTACTTTGAAGCGCCGCCAGGTCTCCAGTTCCTTCACTGTCTCAAAAACTCGGTGACCGGCGGTGAATCCATCTTTCTTGATTCCTTCAAAGCCGTTGAGATTCTTAAGACAATGCATCCGGAGGACTATAGCGTACTCACGCAGGTCCCGGTTACTTTTCATTATATTAATGACGGGCACCACATGCATTTCCGACGTCCCACGATTGTCGAAGACGACTTAAACGAGCAAAGGATGGTCTATTATGCCCCTCCTTTCCAAGGTCCGCTTGAAGCAGAAGAGCACTTGGTGGGACCTTTCTACAAAGCTTTTGCCAAGTTTGAGGAAATACTGCGTGACCCAAAATTGACGTACAGGATGCTGCTGCAACCTGGAGATTGCGTAATTTTCGCAAATAGAAGAGTACTGCACGGGCGCGCTGAGTTCGACGCTGCGTCAGGCGATAGGCATCTGAAAGGGGCATATGTGGATTGGGATGATTTCAAGGACAAGCTGCGGGTTTTGGACGTACGGAAATAACGCATGGTGAATATAGAACACGTGTGATAACTTATAGGGCACTTCTTTACAACATAACAAACATGAACCCATCACAAAAAACAATTGTGTAGAAGCTCCTATTTATCAGCCGTATGGGTATCATGTCTCAATGCCAGCAGTCTGGTATATAACCCCAAATGTCAATTGATATACATGCACGAAAATTGACACTCTTTACACCGATATTCAGGAGGGCAAAATGCTCTGTTTTCTTCCCGCTGCTTGTTGACGACTACTAGTATGGCGAGGAAGGATGTGCTGATCCGTTGCCACAATGGAACCTCTTGGCGAGGAGAGGTACGAAAAAAGACCGCCCGGCATATTACTGTCCAGATTGGGGTTACCGGCATTCACCGACGCACCGGATTCTTCGTCATACCCGCGAGGAGTATATCCAGACCCAGGTAGGATATCAGTGGAACTGCTTTCACGGCTAAGGGGATTATTCGTACCCATAAGAGCAGTAGCAGCTTGTGCCTTCAGAAGTGTTTCAAGTTTAGCAACCGAACAGTGGTAAAAGTGCATATCAGAACACATTACCGTTAGACTTCCAAGACTCGCCCAGCTCTTTTTCAGCTCGCTTCCAAAAACTTGAAGCATGGATGGACGACGTCCTCTTTCCAGATGGGGTTCATCGCTATCCAAACCAGCTTCCGGGTCATTCACATTGGGCAAACTGCCTCCAGCAGCAAATCCGGAATTTCCTCCACTGCTCTTGTAATAATTATAGCTTCCCGCGCCAAGCTGTCCAGGATTGCCAGTACTCTGTTGCTTGTCGCCCGCTGGAGGAGCTTGGAAAAGGGAATTGGAAGAAGGTGCACTGTAAAGTGAGCCGGTTGATGGCGGCCTGTAGAGATCATTGGAAGAGGGCCCACTGTAGAGGTTGCTATAGGATTTGGTTTTGCTTCCATCAAGGTTTTGAGAAGGGTAAGAAGGATGACGCATCTTTCCGTAGCAGGCAGTATTCGTCTAGCTGGTTTTTAAAGCTATGAGAACTGTTCTCTTGGTAAGGTTGTCAATGACTGGAAGAGACTCTCGTTCTTCCGGAATTCGTCATAACCCCCACTGGCACTGTCAGTTCTACGCATCCGTACTATTTATAGCTTATCAAATGACGAGTAACCTACTGGTCCAAAAATCCGTCACTCTCACACCCAACTAGATATCGACTAACAAGCATCAAGTATGCCACGTTCCAATATAGAGCGAGTGTACGTACCCCTCGAAGACCTCGAGGCAAGCGTAGCTGAAGCGGACGAAGCGGAGGACAATCTGGGGGATATCACCGAGCTGAGCAGAGAGCACAGGAAGACACCAGCTCCATCTCAGTATGGCTCATCGGCATCTGTCAGCTCTTCCGCAACCCAGGGAGGATTTGGAGGGTTACGTAGAAGGCTGTCCAAGTCCTTTAGTGCACGGCCTTCAACATCCAATCTTTTAGAGCAGGTTTTGATGAAGTCTGGTGCGTCCTTCGCGGTTGGGTAAGCGGGCTTAGCGCGTTTCCCGCCCCTAGCACTCTAACCCGTTGAGGTTTCCAGTATCCAGATCTGCTAGCTTCAACACCAGCGCAGGCTACTTTCCTCACCCAATCAGTGCGCCCTCGTTTAGCCGACTTCCTATACCATGGTCCTCAACAGGCGCACCCCGCGACAGCCGGGAGGCAGACATGCTATGTGGGTTGGCGATGGGGTTATCCAGTTATGGTGCACCATTATACCGAGTAGAACACCGAATAGCGCACGCTGCTGAGGAGTTGAACATTCCCATCTCACTATTTTGCTTACCAACTACTTTAATGGTCGCTATCGGCGACGGATCTGCACGACATCCCTGCAGGGTCCAATACTTGTCATACTGTTACGCTGTACATATCGGAAAACTACACGATGTAGACCAACTTGCTAGACGGGCTTCTAAGCTAGGAGTATTCAACAAAGGTGGATCGTCCAACTCACGCAGGATGAGTTCGGCTAGCGAAAAAGGAAAGGTGTCTGTGTCGTCCATGACGATACAACACAGTAATCGAGTAGCTGATGCTGTGGAACTTGGTCGCGCCCCTGTATCGGATCGCCCAGATCGCCCATCAACACCTGAGAAACCATCAGATGTGGACATGGACTGCTGTCTTGCAGAGTTGGAGACTATCATGACATCTCCAGGGGACTATCACCGTTTCTTACGCATTATGGCAGGGGCAATGCAAAGCGGGGTGATCGTGGTGCTATTATTCAAAGGCTCCTGGGCGGACGGACTAGCAGCATTGTTTTTGGGAGCGTTCACAAGCTTTTGCCTCTATTTGTCTGATTTGTTTGGCCTCGAGGGAGCAGTCGAGTTATTAGCGGCAATGGCAGTAGCAGCAATTGCCCGGTTCATAGAGCCATTTGGTTTCTGGAGTGCTATTTCTGGTACGGGAAAGGGCCTTTGCCACGAAGTGGTTAGCCTTGGTGGGGTGTGTCAACTGTTACCGGGAACTGCTATGTGAGTTCAGCGTGCCATGCTGCAAGAGATGCCTCAGTACATTAAATGTCTTGTAGCACTTTAGGTATGCTGGAGGTAGGTAGCTCGAACCCTGTGGCCGGATCAGTGCGGATGTTTCAAGCATTTATCCGAGCACTTAAACTTGGGTAAGATGCCGGACACACTTGCAGTAATGGCGATCTCGGGATTCATATCATTACCTTCTGCCGGTCCAGATATGGTCTGTCTACCGGGTCTCGCATCGCCGTTCACTTATTCGAACTCTTCGATGCATGGGAGGACTCAGGCATTGATGCATGTCCAGTACCAGGAAGAACCGCCATAGACTTCTGGCGGCTGCCACTATGGATTCCGGTGAGTGCTCTTATACCGTTATAAGTCAATCCGAGAAGCTTATTTCTAGTAGATGAATATTTCCATCATGATCAATCTTCGGGCATATCCGTGGCAATGGCCACATATGAGCTTAGCCTCCCTCTTAGGCTACTGTGTCAGTTTGCTTGCGAGTCAATGGTTCAACAGCGTAAGGATAATGTTGAAGTCACACGATTTACGCACAGCTCATTTTGCCGCCCTAAAAGGACATTACCGCGGGTATGGCAGCTTTCTCGATTGCTATGGCTGCAAACCTTTACGCCCGACGAAAGAATGAGATTGCGGTCGGAGCAACCTTGGCAGGTGAGGGAGAAAAAATCACAAGCCAGTTCTATGTTTTCAACGGCTGCAAAACGATTGACTAAACCTGGCTTTTAAGGCATTATCTGGTTGGTACCTGGTGGCATTGGAGTGCGAGGGGTGATGGCAGCGCTTGCAAAAGATGCTACCTCTAGCGGGACGGCTTTCGGAATAGAGTAAGACACTTTCTGAGGTCAAGACAAACGCTTCATTTCAATTCTCATGGACTGTCTGCTAGTATGATGACACGAGCAATGTCAATCGCCGTCGGATTATAGTAAGTTATCCGTCCTTCCCCCTTTGTTGTCTTGATACATCACGTAACGCAATTTCCAATGTCCAGTATGGCAAATGTTGTCGCGTTCCCTATCATAACTGACCGTACGGCTCGGGACGCCCTCAGAGACACGATGATGACTGTATAGCAGTCTTCGTCATGCACCGTCGTCTTTGTAAACTCAAAATGTATTTGCAAATATTGTTAAGGACAGGGTGATAAATTACAGATGGTAGTTTGGAAGGTGATCTAGCGGTTGTAAGTGGAGGGCGAAGGTTGATTGGGAACTACTGTTCTATAGCTGCTTCTTTCTACGTGCTTTTGCCAACCAGAAATTGATTTGGTCGACAGATCGGGACGACCCAGTTGACTTGCCCTATCAGCCAAAGCATTAGTCGCAGGTAACCACGGAAGGTCACAGTTATCACTCACTTGTGCGGCCATGCATGTCATGAGAGATTTTGCTGAATCCGCACACTGTTTCGAGTCAACGCTCAGGGCCCGCCTACCAGTGTGCATTGCGTCAATTATGTAACCGTCGCATAAAGGATCATGGCAGGCTGAACAACTCACCAGCAGTTGAAAAGCGTGGCAACTTCAACGGCACACGGAGTGGCCGACATGACCTTTGGGGGTCGCAAGACCAACGGCTTCTTAATTCTGTCAATCGGTCGCATCACGGTGAAATTGACTAGTCGGCGTTGACGCTTGCGAGGGCGGATCTTTGGCCTCTGGGCTAGTCTTGTTGCCATGGTGTTATTTGCTGTCACACAGGCGATCGAGCACGTGAGTTTTAATCACGTAATGCAAACGCTGGCGTGTGCTCACTGCCCTCCAAACCTTCCTGCAAAGAAGACGAGTATGTACCGCATGTTACCATTCATTAACCTCCCTTCAAGCAAGAAGATCATCTGTCGAAATATTTCGATGCAAAGACTGAATCCAACCGCCCTTTCGAAAACATTGGAGAGCGCCACACGTGAGTTTGTTCAGATGAATAGAAAGAGAAAATAGAAGGCTAGGCCCTCTGATTTAGTCCTATCCTCCCGTATTGGGTCGGAGTTGAAGGGAGTGCGTTCTCTTTCTGAGATACCGTAAAGTTTCCTTAAATTTCCGCTCACCTGTCAACTTGCCACCATTAGGGTTTGTAGATCCTGTTATCTACTACACCAAGGTCGGCGTTGAATTTTTCAAAACGGTCGCCACATACAACAATATCGGAATTCCAAACCTCAGTGAAGGGCTCACAGGATTGCAGAGATCCACCAAAATGATTCGCACCGGAGAATGGAGGAAGGTAACGCTTCGACAGACTGGAAAGCTGGTAGTTGAGGGAATCAAAATTGGAGGATTCTTTGTTGTTGGGGAAATGATTGGTGAGCGTAGATATTGACAAGGTTCATTAGCACGGAATTGAAGAATTCTGATATGTTTCTAGGGAGACGCAGCATTGTCGGATATCACATTCCGGGGTACGCCGATGTTTTTTTGAGATCATGACAGTGTATGCTTATACGACTTGAACCCACAGATATGATTCAGATGTCGACATACACTAGGGACAGGTTTGCAAAAAGCTTGCCGTGGTGCTTCTCTGTGTGGTGTCCCTTGTAAATCTGTTCGGCAAATAGCTTTGCTGATTGCACAGCATAAACTGTTTCTAATTATACGCTTAAGAGAAGCACATGAGTCTTGTAATGCCTAATATCTGCCTGACTGTTTTGCTAAACAAAGGAGAGCTCTCGGGAGAACTGTCAGTTCCTTTGGGTGATGCGATGGATTCTTGGAGGAGATGATATGTTGTGGAATGAATCTATACAATTGTTTATGACGTGTTCAGTATCAAATAATGTTATAGTAGATACTCAAACTCGTACCGTGCCCTTGTTGTCCTCCGAGTTGACAATAAATGTGGTGGAGTCCGTAATGGCTTGACCGTGGCTCGCAATGAAGCCGGCTGCTTGAGTGGCTTCGCCTACTCTCCAGTTTACATCGAATACAACGCTTTGCCATTCCGCCTGAAACCCACCGGCGACTCTAAGTTTGACTGACCAGGTAGCCTAAACACCAACGCTGCCAAACCTCATCAGGCAGAGGCCATTCATCTTCTGCCTCATATGGTCGAAACTGGAAGACGCATTTAGAGCTTGACATATGACGGTTGCTCGGACTACGACGGAATGCAAGATGGGAAGCAAACGCGCCTATTCCAATGATGCACATGTCTTCGACTGCCGGATTCTATTCAAACGATCTTGAGTAAATGTTCGGTGTATCCCCATTAGAACGCACCTTTAGTATTAGATCTGCTATTTCCACCCCCTTCATGCTTGTTGGTCCAATGAATTTCAGTCCCATTCTCGACAATGTCTATCTGATCCCATCAGTTACGAGATACAATGAACCATGACTTGCGTTCCAACCTTGAAAAGCATCGGTGGCGACATCCACCGATCCCCTAAATGCGATTCAGTGTATTCTGAGTGTGGGCTCATCAATCGACAGTTCCCTTCCCCAATTTCAATTTTGATATCGCTCAACGTCCCTCGAATGTGAATGATGGCGCTGTTTGGACCAGACGGATGAATATCCCAGTCCCGTAGGGGAAATTCTGCGTAAGTGCCCTGGAATTGTAGTCAGGGTATACAGCCAAATCATTATCCGGAGATGCATTATTATTCTCACTTGAACTGTTGCGGTAGGTGCAAAGTGTATGGTACGGAATTTCACCAGGCCCGCGTCTTAGCAAAACAGCAAAGATTTAAGCATTTCGCGACGTAGTTGACAAGCTTAAGGTGGAACTAACCTGCTTCAATCTCCACATCAGATATTCCTTCATCATCCCACATCTTTTCCTCCTCATTCCACCATCTCACTGTAGCAGCGTCAGCGTTGGCAAAGCATCCAGGATCCAGAGAGTATGTAACAAGCATGGGCCAGATAGAGGCATCCGCCGCCTCTTCTTGCTCCTCCTCGGGAACTTCTGTCAAATCTTTCTTAAACGGGTAAGATATTCGCTTGGGCTTTCCCTGCTTGGACAAGACTATCCTATGTGAATCAAAGGTTCTGAAGTTGACTCGACAGTCTGGAACATACTGGGTCGAATCGTCCATGTATCTACCGTTTTGGCTGGATCGGGCATTTCGAGCAGGTCGAAAAGCAGTACTGGTCCGATGACAGACAGATTCCGACTACCGTTCTGCTTTTCGTAAGGGACGGGTGCGCTAAAGCTGGATTCAAGGAGCATGCGAATGGCAACATTTGATAGCACGAGAGGTTTTGGCAAACTGGTGGTCAACTTTCGCTCTGCGAACTCAATAGTTTTGTAACTGCAGGGAGGCAACGGCGTCTTTTGTAAGACGACGACCACTCGCATGCCGAAAATGAAGTGAAACAGCTCCTACCGTGGGTTCTTTGTCAAATTACCCCAAACGCCGAACGCATAGTCTTGCGTTGTAGCCGCCAATTGAAAGTTCTCATTAGGTTCTCTGGAAAATTGGTCAACGTGCTTTACTCTCAGAGGTCAATGATGGGCTAGCTATGGGACACCTAATCTCCAGATGTACCTGCAGAATTTGCGAAGTTGCGGAATCCCACTTGTCATGAATCAGTGTCCGCAAACGCAACAAATGTTGGGTAAGCCTGTTCTTGTATGCATCATCATTCGCTCCAGCACCAGAAAGTTCCTGCTCTATTTGGGAGCACAACTGCAATTCAATTACTGAGTATTCTTGTCCGGTAGATCATAGATCAACAGAATGTTCTAATGATGTGTACTCACGATCTCCGCAGCCGGAAGTTCGCTGAAAAGTGGCACTAATGGTGATCCTTCTTCTATATTAAGGTCCTCAGCAGACCAAAGGTCTAGGTATGTGTTTACTTCGCGTTCCTTTTGCGGATTGGGCAGTGGGCGGCATTCCAGCAAAGTTTGCCACTACATGCAGCGGAACATTCAGGTCATTGACACGAGGTTACTCGTTGTTCTCTGTACTGGATCAAGTACCTCCATTTCCCTATGTCGCTCCTCATCCACAGCAGTCAGTTCGGCCAATTGGCTTTCCATCAGACTGGCAAGAGCCTCCGCCTCCGTCTTGAACCGCTCTTGCTCCTATATTCCGCCGAAAATGGGCGAGGGTAGTTTGCAATGTGGCACATAACTATACCAAATGGTTACAGGAACCCACCTGCCGAAAAAGCGCTTCTAAAGCTTCCCGTTGCTGGCTCTCTCTAAGCTCAAGCTCTTTTCTCTGCTGCTCAGCCAATCGTGCCTCTATTGCAGTTTACAAAAAATCAGGATTTCTCAAGATGACGAATACAAAGACTCTCAGCACGAACCCTCTTCCGCTCTCAAGCGCTCTTCTTCCAATAACCTCTCCTTCTCTAACTCCTTCTTGCTTTTTTTCTTTCCCTTTCCTTTCTTCTTTGGTGGCATCCTTCTGGTTGACGCTGGTAAAAACGATCTGAACACTAGCCTTCGTCCTTGGAACACGTCTTCCGTAATCCGTTCACGTGCAGTCACATGACTCATCAATCCATATGTGTCCTGCCGCGCCACATCTTCCCGCAAGCAGCCGACGTTTGCAGACCTCCGCTGCATCATAGTTCGACAAGCACAGGCTGATTTCCGCACCATGTACCGTTACGCAACTCGTGTCGCTCGTCCCATCTTGAGAAACGTTGCGGGTATGTCAAAACAGGTGAAAGATGAAGTATTTGTGCACTGGTTAACATTTCTGGTGTGCAGCCCGTTCCTACGCAACCGATGCCACTCCGGCTGCCGGGAAGTTGCTGTTGAACTTTGCTCTCCCGCATGAGGTAGGTCTGGGTGAAGAGGATTACACTAGTGTGTAAAGAAGATGGCGCCGATAGCGTCTGTGCGAGTGAAATCTCGCCTGGTAGCGTGGAATTGGTAGAGAGAACGTCCGCTGTACATTCAAGTTAATGGCGGGGCACGAAGGAGAATGTATGTTACCCTGGGATCATCGCATCCGCATCTATGTCGAGAGCACTGCTTGGTCTCCGCCTGGAACCGGTACAAATGATGCAGGGTTATCGGCCATCGATGAAGTGGTTTTGGGGATGTGCGTATAGCATAGCAGACTTCTAGACCACCGGCATCCGTACCCTAGAGAGGCAGGGACGTCAGTTCAACCCTATTCGATTTTGTTGTAAAAGGAACTTGTGGAAACGATAAGCTAAATCTTGATGTGCTTTTGGTCGATGCATAGTCAATTCTTAAGAATGTGGAAGCCACGCAAGTGAACTTGTCATCCACAGAGGGCGATATGGGTATTCTCGCTGACCACGTACCTACTGTGGCTCAATTGAAGCCCGGTGTTATCGAGATTTTTTCTTCCTCGGATAAGCCAAGAAAGGTCTTCGGTGTGTTAGTGGTCTCTTTTACTTTGTTCCTTCATATGCTTTTCTCATCATACCTTTTCTCGGGTGTTCAGCAAGCGGTGGCTTTGCTATCATTAACCCAGACTCAACGCTCAATATCAATGCCGTGGAGGCCTTCCCTGTTGAGGACATAGATTTTGATGTGAGTGTTCACTATGTTAGTTGTCAATTTTCATGCTGGTCGGAGGCGGAGCCGCTCATGAATCAATAATCAGGCTGCTCGTCGTGCCGCCGATGATGCTACCCGCCGCACAACTTCCGCGCCCACTGAACAAGAGAGGCTGGCAGCCAAAATCGAACTCGAGGTATACGAGGCGATCTTGGCCACTGCGTCCAAATAGATTGCATCTGAATATAACGACGGGATTGTGAATACCCACAATGATGCTTCACCGATCTGATGAAACATCTTGCTTTTTCCCGAGATGGGGGACCTGATATATTGTGCATTCAATTGAGCATTATCTCATTCTATTTTTTTGTCATGTGATTTGGCTTTGCTCATTGCCTGTGGTCAGTGTTATGGCCTCAGGCTCAGACACAAAGCTAGAGCAAACCGCGGAGGATATGCGAGCGAGGATTTCAATGCTCGCTTTTCTCCTGGTAGTCCATCGTGTGGAACGTTGCGGAAGGGTACCTCTGTAATCCCGCTGCGTTGCACGTCCCACTTTCTTAAACTCGGAAGCGAGACAGATACGGGCAACCTACACTCTGCTCAACGGACGCTGTTCCTTTGAATGATATGAGCCGAGAACTCGTTGGCATCAGGTTTCATTAGGTCTGATGGATCTGTAGCTTTTTTTAAATATCTCCAATAAGCAATAACTGCTGGCTTGTAACCACAGACGTAGTCGCCTCTCCAACCACAGAAATTACATGAATGCAAGTAAAATACTTGGTATCTGTGTTTGATCGAAACGTCGCTGGCATGTTATATCATGATCACGTGACACCAGAGGGCAACCCCCCTCTGCCCGCAAGGCCAGCTGCAATCCATCTCCATCCACATGTTCTGACACACGAACGGACGCAGCAAAATGCTCTTACACCCTTCAATATACCCTCTCCGTGGTATCTTATATTTCGTGACGCACCCCACACTTTGGCTCCGGGTGATATGCGCCCTCATAATAGCCCTTCTCTTTGCGGTGGGATCTACAGTCGTCTTCTTCGTTTTTACGCTGAAGCCGCAGGCGCACGCCTTAGATAGTTTTATGCCAGAATGGTTGGCTTGGATACTCGCGGTATTTCTGGTGCTGGTGGAAATTTTCGCGGCGAGTCTGTTGTTTTTGGCGATAGCTTTACCAACAGTCGCCGATCAGTTGTTTGACGATGTTGTAAGCATGGTGACAGGTTGTCCTGCCGGAGAGGGGAGCTGCGCAAGGGGATGCTGGTTGGGATGTGCACATGCTGGCGTCTGGATAATGTACTTGGTTGTCGCGCGGTTGTTTCTGCTGGTGGTGACGGCACCTTTACACCTGTTGCCAATATTTGGGACGATCCTATTCCTTCTCTTGAATGGTTATTTGGCTGCGTGGGCACTTCATTTGCATTGGTTTGATTTGAGAGGATTTGGATTCACGGCTGGGAAAAAATTCGTCAGAAGCCATCGACAGGCGTATACGAGCTTCGGATCAGTAGCTGTTCTGCTAGAAATGGTACCCATAATTGGGATGCTCTTCATGTTTACGAATATTGTGGGGTCCGCATTATGGGCAATAGATATGGAAAGGTCTGGGATTATGCCGGCTCTAGCCGTCGAATCGTCTGAAGTATAGATGCTGTGCTGGCAATTGTTATATTTTACATGCGTCATCTATTCAATCTTCTTGGTCCGGTAAAGGGCAATGTACGCTGGAAAGGCGAGAGCCGACCATTAGATCTTTTTCTTACCACTACTGAGCCCCCAAAACATTTACCTGTATGCCAATCTCCGCCCCCTTCGAGCTTTTCAACGTCCTCCGGTTTAATTTGGGAAACTTTGTCGTCATCAAATTTCCCTAAGGAGAGTCAGCAGATCAACATTACAAGCTACGATACACAGTTGACTCGAAAAATGTTCCTTACACCACTGATCTTCGCCATGCTTCACCCATCCAATATAGTGTCCCGAATCAGCCGCTCGTCCAATATGTGTCAGGACTTATTTGTGATATGAGTTTAAGGGCTCCTGAATACTATACTCTCGGTCACTGACCTGCGACAAGGTCATATTGTCCAGAGACGTTCGCTCCGATGTCGTTGTAAAGACTCGGATCCACACCAATCTCCTTCATTTTCTCTAGCTGGTCCAGGTTGGAGGCTACATTTTTTTGGTCCACGTCGGTTTGGGCTGGTGGGGCGGTCTCCATTGTGTCTGACCCGCCCGCTACAACAGGACCTTCATCAAGCTTCACCTTTTTGGCTTTCTGAAAAGAAAAATACGTCGATTATGGCGCTGAATATTGCCCGCAACAGCTTAGGTGAACCTACCCGCTCTGCCGCCTTCTTCTCCTCAACATCCTTTAGCCTCAGTTTTGCAGGTCGCAATTTTTCCTGTAGCTCCGGTGTGCAAAACTCCGACATGTCCAGGTCAAATGGAAACTTCACTTTCTGTAGACGTGGGATACGAGATAATCCGTTATTGTACCATCTGGGGTGGTCTTCTTTATCCGAACCCACCTTTAGAATCTTGGCCTTGGTGCGGGTTTCTGGTTTCCACTGGAATCTGACGAAGTTTATTGCCAGGTATGCTGGCAACCGAGAAATTTTGGACTTTTTCGTATATACAGCTGACCGATTGAGCGTGGGCGAGTTCTTTTCAATCTTTTCCTCAAGGCCCTATGCTATGTGATAAGAATGGAAGAAGCAGGGAAGAGGGACCACTTGCGTTCTCGCACCTTCGCAATATCTGTAAGCATATATGTTGACACTACGAACGTCATTTAACGTTAGTAACTGCCGTGGCCCTTGTATCCAACAAGGATCAGTCAGCAAACCTCCAGAACCGATGTTAACTCGAAGCTTGTTGAACGTGTCGACGGACGTTGTGCTTCCTTCCTCCGGCGCTTCATCACAACTCAACCTATCCCGGACCTTAGCATAATTGCCACACCTTTTCCATAGATGCACAAGACTCACATAGAAAGGAGTTCTCCCGTCATATACTGATCTACAAAGTGCTTGTCCGTATTTAACTCCCCTTCCCGGGTGAGTCCAGGCACTTTTGCACCAAGCGCGTGAACAATTTGTCCCCAACATTCCTCTGCATCTTGCTGCATGTAGCCTCCGCGGTCCATCTCACTAAATTGCGGGAAAACTGATCGAAGCACCTAAGGATGGACAATATCAACATGTGCTCGTGTACGATTTTCCAATCTCAGGTGAGTGCAACTCGCACCTGCAAGAATACGAGTGGCGGAACAGAGTCGCCAGACTTTTCCAATTCTTCAAAGAGTGTTCGCATAGATAAGGCCAAGTTCTCCCGGCCATCAACACCAATAGCCGATGGCATCCTGTGGCAATGCAATATGAATATTCCGGTGGATACTTTGAGAAGGGAGACTAACAACATAGTTTACTTACTTGACCAACGCACTCTGGAGCTCGGGAATCGCACGCAGACATTGAAGTGTAGCGTTCATGTAGCACGTATTTCCCATATTGACCAACCCGGCCGGAAGTTTCAGCTACAGCTTGTAATAAGTCTCCCAATCATGGTCGTACCACATGGTACATATTCCTACCGCCTGTGCGATCTGTGCGTCCGTCATGTCCTCTACGAACATAGTCTGCTTTTCGGGGGCCTTGGGCAGTTCACCTGCGGTTCCCATCATCTGGAGCACATTCCATTCTTAGTCCACCTTATGACAACGTGCACTAAGAGTCAATAGAGAGGATGTACCATGATTTGCTGGCCTTCTTTCCAGCCAAGGCTGTTCATATCAGCGTCATCCTACGGAAGCAAGATGTTTCTTTTTAGTCTCCCAGCGCTGTTACGCCAGCTTTGCCAACTCGATAGTCGGGCAGCATAAACGCGATCTGCAAGATCGCACCTTCAGCATTCCTCCTTTTGCCATGATTTTTTGACGCTCCGGAGGCACACCTGTGACAGTGTAGAGTTGTGTTTTGAACACGATCCCTGGTTGGTCGGTATCCAATTCAATGTTTTCCAATTTTTTGCCTCCCCATTTTACGTTCACTAATGGTCGCGTAATGTAAAGAAGTATCAGCGTCTGTCAAAAGACACGGGCCCTTGATATATCTGTGCACAGCACAATATGACAATTAATTACCTTTTATAACGGGCATATTGCAAACTGATCTATCTTGGGTTGTGAACGAGGATAATCGGAATCTGTTAATTCGCGCCGTCCAAGGCCTTTGCCGTGACAAAGGTCGCAGTTTGACTTGGTTTGGTTGGATTCAATGATTGGAATGTGTCCCAAAAGAGGTAAATTACAGACCTCAGTTTAGCCGCCTGGACAGCCCAACAAAAACGCACAAAGCTGAAGAATGGCCACACCTTTGCACAAGCAAGCATCACCCGAAGTTGTCACCCCATTCGGCCCTTTCTTGGATATCTCTTCTTGGAATCCAGTCGTTCTAGGTGCTGTGCTAGGGTTGATTGTACTGGTGCTCGTCAAATCCCTCACGCGTGGTCAGTCCAAAGTTCCTCAAAGGTGCGTCACCAAATTTGTAGATTACGTTGGCGTTTGCGACTAAATCGCTTTTGTAGTCCAAAGAAACCGCAGTCTCCACAAAGCGTTACCTCGTCTGCTCCTGTCGGCATGATGACTACTGACTCAGGTCCAACACAACCACCCGGCGACAAAGAATTCACGGCCGCAGAACTCGCGCGTTACGACGGCACTAACGCTGAGTTACCAGTTTACTTGGCCGTTAAGGGGACAGGTATAGCTGCTGAAGCTACCAAGTATTATATTGCTCACTTGCTCATGAACCGGTTGTTGAACAGTGTTCGATGTCACCAAGAATCGTGACATGTACAGTCCTGGAAAGGGATATCACGTATTTGCTGGCAAAGATGCATCTCAAGCGCTTGGCAAAAGTTCTCTAAAACCTGAGGAGTGCGTCCCAGATTATTCTTCTCTGACTGCCGAAGAGATGGAGACATTAAACAAGTGGGAGGCGCACTACAAGAAGAAGTACAATATTGTTGGGAAGGTTGTTGGTAAGTACTTTATTCATACTGGAGCCGAGTTCATTTGCGTGGATTCTTATTCATCACATATTAATATCTCAGACTGATACTTTTGTTATCAATCATGTTGCCGTTGTTTGCTGGAATATGGAATCATAATATCTGATGTGAAATATATATACCATACGTGTTGACATTTTTAAAGAGTTGTCCGCCTCGGATTGAATTGAACCAGCTCACTGGAATCTGGCTACTAATCAAGTGCTGCGCGCTTCCGAGATGAGTTCACCTCTGGTCAGCATTCTTGCTGTTGCAAGTATAGAGATCGCACCAACACGCTGTATCAAGTAGACTACCATATACTGTCCTTCTGCCCACCAGTGAAAAGATAGAACCGTTTGCGTATACAAGGCATCTTCAGGACCTCGTACATTGAGCTGTGAGCTCCGATTTGCCCGTCGAGTGATTTTACGATTTCCTGCCGGAAACCTGGGGCGAAGGGTTGTCGCTACATAGTTGAGCCATGGCGACAGGAACAACACGTAAACAGAAGGTGTCCTATTATTATCATCGTAGGTTGAGCTGGGCATCTTCTTTGCTGTGTTGTTCGTGCTGATCTTTCTCGATAGCCGAGGTCGGAAACTATCACTATGGACCGCAACATCCCATGAAGGTTCATGAGAATCTATTACATGCTAGCTAAAAGATCTACGCCAAGCTGACTATCCCAACTGATAGCCCCATAGAATACGGATGACACACAATTTGGTTGTGAACTATGGACTATACAAGAAGCTTGAAATAAATGTAAAGTACACTTGTGTGATTTTAGATATTGCAAGATACTCAACTACATACATTACAGCGTCCGTCGCCAGCCACGTTCAAAGAACTCACCAAATTTCATTCCGATGAATACATTGAATTTCTGCAACGTGTGACACCTGACAATATGGATGAGATGACGAAACAGCAGCAGAAATGTGATCAAACATGATAATTGTCTTTCTGGATTTGCTTAATACTTATACTAGTGTCTCGCTTCAGTCAACGTCGGAGAAGATTGTCCAGTCTTTGAAGGCCTTTATGACTTTTCTTCCTTGTCGGCTGGAGGATCAATATGCAAGTGCCCCCATTGAAAGTTCGTTCTTATTTAATTCATTCCAACAAAGTTTGCACCCTTGGCAGCGGCTGCACGGAAGCTCAATCTGGGAGAAGCTGAAATTGCTATAAATTGGGGTGGTGGACTTCATCACGCCAAAAAGTGCGAGGCATCCGGCTTCTGCTATGTAAATGACATTGTACTTGCCATACTGGAGTTGCTAAGGTACCGGTGCTGACATATTCGGTCGGCATGTATGAACTTCGCTAAATAGTACTCATTAGATATCACCAGCGAGTTCTCTACGTGGATATTGATGTCCATCACGGAGATGGGGTCGAGGAAGCCTTTTACTGCAATGATCGAGTAATGACTGTCTCGTTTCACAAGTACGGGGAGTACTTTCCAGGAACGGGCGATATAAATGTAATGCATCTGCAATTACTTACAGCAATGTGTTGCCCTAACCATATCCCTTATATACAGGATATTGGTCACGGAAAAGGAAAACATTACGCAGTTAATTTCCCACTCAAGGACGGCATTGACGATGAAACATACAAAACGATTTTTCAACCTGTAATTCCGATCTATCAGTTTGACTCACATTCATCATGTATTGACTGGGATGGGTTGTCCAGGTAATGCGGCATGTGATGTCCTGGTACCAGCCGGATGTTGTGGTACTTCAGTGCGGCGCAGATTCGTTGGCAGGAGACCGACTTGGCTGCTTCAACTTGTCTCTAAAAGGTTGGTTCTCAGTGGTAATATTTACTGTCAAAGACAAGGTCGATAACATTCATGCAGGCCATGCGATGGCGGTTGAGTTCATGAAAACGTTTAATGTGCCAATGTTGATGCTTGGTGGTGGAGGATATACAATACGAAACGTCTCTCGTGCATGGTGCTACGAAACTGGCGTTGCGGTAGGCGAAACTTTGTCGGAAGGTCCGTGGCAGTAAATGAATCGTACCTACTCTGCCTGTTTATTGAAACCCTTACAAATTAGAGATACCCTTCAACGATTACTTTCAATACTACGGACCAGATTACCGCCTCGATGTTCCTAATAACAACATGGAGAACCGTAACACGAGAGAATATTTGGAAAGAATATAGTGGGTATTTGCTGTAGGTTAGCCAACGGTAATTGGTCACTGACTTTCTACCATAGCGCAAAAATCGTTGACAACCTGCGAAATGTCCCATGCGCGCCAAGTGTTCAAGTGCAAGGTAAGTAACTAGCGCGAAGCTCCTTCCACAATTTCTAAATCGGTTTGGGTGGTCTCTAGAGGTTCCGAGAGATCTGGACCATGATGAATTCATGGTGGAAGAATCGCCTGATGTGCGGATTAGCCGTGAGTAAACGATGCCAGCTTTACGCGTTAAGATTTTTTTGTTCTAAAATGTTTAATTGTGGCTCAGAATCCATGACCGACAAGCGCAGAGTTCCTGAAGGAGAACTCTCAGATTCGGAAGATGAAGGAGATGGTCGGCGTGATTATTACAGCCATGAGGATCGGAAGAACCGATTTGATAGAATGGAGACAGTACGATCGCCTGGTGTGGAGAACGATCATGAGACGAATATTCCGTCGCAGGTTTTTGCTGCACGATCACCTTCTTCAATTGGTGAAATGATGGATGTTGATGAAACCACCGGCGTCGACCCTGATGCGATTTCTCGATCCACTTCGTCTGCTCCTGGAGAGTCAGCCGCAATTTCATCTGGAAATTCATCTCCTGGAAGACCCACCCCACTCGATAACATGTTCACAACTGTACATGATACAATGCCATCACTGCCACCGACAAACGACGGAGGGAATGATCATCACCAGGCGGAAGCTGGGCGCTCCGATGCCAATGGTAAGGATGGAGTTTCACAAATGTTGCTCACAGTATATCATATGCTTACTGTATCTGCATTAGGAGGTGTCATTTTGGACGTCTCTCCGTCAGTGAACTCAGAGGATATGCGAGAAACAGGGATGGTAGCCAAAGGAAGGTAGTAACAATTGAAGAAATGAGGTCTCGACACCTGCTCCTTGGGAACCCTTTGGAGGTTAACTCCTACATATTGTAAACCATATAAGTCTTTTATTATATACGCAACAGCAGATTTTTGATTGATTTATAGGTGCTTTCGAAGCCAGTGCCGGATTTGGTAAGCATTCCAAAAGTGGGAAAATGGAATATCACCAAAATCCGCCATGCACCCTCTTCGTAGATCTTGTCACTTTGATGGCAACATCGGCTTTGGAAAAAGACGCCACATTCGTAGTGGAATCGGACGATGAGTCTGGGGAGGTTGTTGAGAAGAATGCGCTAGCCCTTTTGGAATCCCAAGTATCGAAGTTTGCTTCCGTCACCTTGTCATCGGAAACCCAAGAGCTTGTATTTGGACGGCACTCGAGCTCGCCTCTCACAACTCTTGATTGTCCGAGAATAAGTAAACACCATTGTAGAGTTTTTATTGATCATAGTCAAGGTGGAGGAATTTGCGTTACAGACTTATCCACAAATGGGACCTTTGTCAACGGTGAAAAGCTTGGGAAAGGGGAGACGCGGCAATTGAAGCAAGGAGACACACTTTCGTTTATGAAAACTTCAGAGGGGGTACCATGGTATATTGTGAGAATCCTTCATCAAGATGCGGATACCGCGGCTGTAACGGCGGCGGTGGTTCCAGCAGTCAAACGCCCGACTGATGATGATCTTGATATTGACGTTTTGAACCCCGAACACGAATCCAAACGGCAGAAAGCCACAGGACAGGATGACATGGAAGAGAACTTGATTTGGTTGGTGCTACACCTGATAGTCAACCGTCCACCTTTTTTTAGTCGACTTTCAAAGTTACCTATTGCGCTTACCTTCCTTACATCATTAGTGGCATCTGTCATGACATCCTATACCAAGTGGTCTCACTTGTACCATGTCTGCACTCCTTTTGCGGTGGCTGCTATAGTAAGTGGAATGAACGATCGAGTCAGTGTCCGCAATGTCGGGGGGCGGTGACAATGGTGGCGCGAAATCATACTGTTAACAACCTGGTAGCCGCGTACCTTCGGCTTCATCCGGAAAAGCAGCGCGATCCTGAAGACCTTCGTACGTTGGAAATTTCAAATCAATACACGTCCGACCAACCCGTCCGACCACGAAGGCGATCTCGAGAGTGGTCATCGGATGATGAAAGTGACGATGATCGCGAGGTGGTGTGGGATGACAATGATGAAGATGAAGAGGTGGAACCTAGCCGATGTTCACAGTGTCCACCTGGAAGAGCATCGGACGGATATCAATGTTCAGAGCAAAATCCTGTGCACGTGTCTTGCATGGCGTGTATGAGTAGGATGCCTGACAGGACAGACGGACAACGAGCGTTGCAACGCTGCGCCTTCTGCCAACATTCCTACTGTGATTTATACTTCAATGCGACTCGAGGGGCTGGCTGCTCCACACCTGCCGGGCAAGGGGCCTTGAAATCGCTGGAGGAGTACGAATTTCATGCATTGCCGCCTAGCGCGTTCCGTTACAACGTGCACGAGCAAGAAATCTTGAGAATGTATGTGGGCGAGTTGCTTCCGTCCGTGAATGCACTCTGGCTGATAGGACTGCAACGTATCCGGGCGGGCCAGTATATACTCCAATGTGGGGCGCACGAGGTGGATGCCAGACGCGACAATGTGGCAGCTTCTGAGGGCGACCGCGGTCCCAGTGAGCAAGCCTCAGGATCCGCAGTGTCTCCTAGGAGAAGTCCGGGAAGCACCCCTCAGTTGTTGGGATTGACTCCAGTAACACCAGAATCCATTGCTTGCATCGGTTGCGCTACGCGCGTGTTTTGCGAAATTTGCTACTTGTACCGTGAAGACATCGATCCTGAAAGGCTACCGCCTGTGGTGGCTTCAAGGCCAGACTGTTGGTATGGCAGGGAATGTCGAACGCAGAGCCACAATATCATGCATGCGCAACGCTTGAACCATGTTTGTCCTCGCACTCGATTTTAGATCTCGACCCGTATGTTAGTGATGATTTGAGAATGATTTCAGCATTATGTATATTTTTGCGATTTATGAACTCATCGTATACAAATTATACCACAGCGTATCTCCTTATTTACACGGACCAATTATGAGATTTAATCTGGAGGACACTCTCAGAAACCCTTTCCAGTGATGCCATCGTATTGCGACGTATTCGATTAGTCGCTATTCGTGCACCCCATATTTCCAAAGCCTCCGCAAGAACCTCCAATTTGATGGGCTTCGACAAATGATGATCCATCCCTGCTTGCAGGCACTTTATCCTGTCAGTGTCCATTGCATTCGCAGTCAGAGCTATTGGCAGGAGTAATTAACTTAATGGACAAGATTGTCATCTGTGCGCAAGTTCATCCACCAGGGAATGCATTACCTATTATTATAGGCTGAGGATCGATTTTCCTGTCAGCTCGAATACGCATCGTTGCGTCCAATCCATTCATAATTGGCTGCCAGAGTATAATTTAGAACAATCAATCACCAAGGGATCTCACGACATTTAGTAACCCCTCTGTTACTTGCCATTTGCATATCCATCAAAATCAGATCGTATGGACGGTTGTTGACGGCCTCGACAGCGTCCGCTCCGTTTGTTACCACGTCAACGGTATATCCCAGTCGCTGCAGCATCCTCGTTGCCAATTTGGTATTGACTGCGTTGTCCTCTGCCATTAGCAGTCGCATGGGATACCTATCAGCTAAATCATGCAATAGTTCTTCTTTCGCTTCCGTCTTTTTTGTGATCTTGTTCGAACTAACAACGCTGGTACTGATAGTGAAGGAGAAGACGCTTCCTTTGCCTTGCTCAGATGTAACCCATATTGTTCCACCCATCTGAGGACCGCAGTGCCGGTGAGATAAGCACGGTCAAAGTCAAAGAAATGTACGATGCCATTACCATTTGGACCAACTGTTTGCAAATCGCCAACCCCAAGCCTGTTCCTCCATATTGCCGCGTAGTCGACGAATCAACTTGAGAAAACGATTGAAAAAGCCTCCCAAGCGCTTCTGACGGTATACCAATGCCGGTATCCTCAACTTGGAATTTCAGCTCGACTGTGTTGCTTCCATTAGCGCGTGCGGTGACCGTTACCAGAACATAACCTTCTGACGTAAATTTCACTGAATTTCCGACCAGGTTGATGAGAATTTGCCGAAGCCGGACAGTATCGCCCATTATAAACGTTGGTGTGCTCGGCTCTATTCGGTGTGAAAGAATTAGCCCTTTCTGTGAAGCCTTGAGATTGAGAAGGTATAGGGCGTTCTCGATGCACTGTTGCAGGTCAAAGGGGCGGCTCTCCAGTTCAAGTTTGCCGGCCTCTATCTAATATGTGAAGAAGTGAACAAGGTCAAAGAAGAACGAATTTCCAAAAAGTCACTCGAAAACGGAGTATACGGCCTTCTTGCTTGAAGCTGCACACACCTTTGAGAACTAATCGAGGAAAAGGACGGAAGATAAACAAATTCAGCACATGTAAAGGAATTCTACTGGCATTGTGTGACTTACATCCAGTACGTCGTTCACAATGATCAACAATCCATCGCTACATTCTAAGACGATATTAGGTATTGAACTTATAGGACAGTCTTTCGCGCGATACGCGTCCGGTACCTCGTATAGAACTAATCAGGTCTTTCTGGTCCTCGTTCAGCGACGTTTCGGCAAGTAGCGCACTGAGCCCAATAATCCCGTTCAGAGGAGTGCGCAACTCATGAGTTATGGCAGCCAAAAACTGTAGGGAGGAAAGTGTAAGGTAAAGCAGCACGATACTGATATCGGTGGCAAGTTCAAACTTACCGCCGACTTTGCTGCATTAGCGCCATCAGCCTAATAAATGCGTATCATAAGTACAAATGAGTTCGTTGAGCCTAATACGACTACCGACGAGTATGTGCAATTACCTCTCGCTTTGCCGCTGCCAGCTCTTCTGTGCGCTCCTGAACCCTCCTTTCCAGCACCTCATATTGACTACTCAGTTGAACTGCCATAGTGTTGAAAGCTTGATTCAACTCTCTAATCTCGTCTGAAAATGTGCCTTCTTTGCATATTGCTCTTGCTGAGAAATCTCCCCGGCTAAACGTCAACGCTAGGGTTCTTAGTCTCCTGATTGGCACGACAATGTACTGTGCGGCAAATATAGAGATGAGAAGCGTGGCTACCAAGTTTGCAATGATCCCCATTAGCAGGTAGAATCGAAGACGATGAATTGGACCATTGATCTCGGAGGAAGACTGCTCAGCCAGAAGAATATAGTTGCCATGAGGGATGAATTGGTAACTGGTCACGACTAATGTCCCGTCGTATGACGTCCCCGTAGTGACACCACTAGAGTTATGCTGAACGGCTGTCGACAATGCTTCGTATTCTGATAGTTGGTGATTTGTGGTATTGAAGACCTCTGGATGGCGTTCAGGGGGCATAACGAAGCGATATTCATCCTGCACGATGGCAAATATGTCAACAAAGGAGGCCAATCTCGCAGTATGGGTCCATATGGTAGCAGTTTACAAGAGGATCTTACGTTCATTTCGCGAGCAACCAAAACAAGCTGTCCTGTATCACCTAAGCCAGCTATCACCGATATATAGTTAGGATTACCGTTGGCACTTTTCTGCAGTCAGTACCCCACCTCTATCCCAAAGTATATCCCCAATATCCAACGTCTCAGTGACTATGTGCACCATCCCCAGGTCCATGCTCGCGTTTGAAAGTGACTTTACAGGTGCGGTTAATGCCCACACAAACAGCCCTGACGGAAGTCGTATAGGATTGTACAGCTTGAAACCGCTCGTGAGGGAATCCCCTGGGCGATAACGCACGGCGTCCAATGTGTCCAGTGATATGTCATCCCTTGTTGTTTGAAAGATTGTACTTCCGTTGGGTAAGAGAAATTCTATCATTACCATGCCTTGGTAGCTCGACACGGCACTTCTGAGGTCATTCTCCCCGATGTCGAGTTCAAATTCTGTCATGTTACCCCCTTCTACAATTCTTTTCAGGTAATTCTGAATCAGAACCCTACTGGATATGAGTTGAAGATTTCCAAGGGTGTTTGCGATGTACATGGTTAGATGTTGCGCTCGGAGTAATGCAATAGTGTTCATGCGTTCACTGATCTGTGCGGAGAGAAGCCTGGAGCTCGTAGCCCAAGCTAGCACCGCCATGACTCCTGTTTGGTGCAATGATTGATATACAGAAAGCATATTGCAAACTTTTAGCCGTGTTCACACACCTACAGTGAGCAACGTCAAAATCCCGACAAAGAGGGCAAGTTTAAAGCCAATAGTAAACCGTAAAGGCCGGCGATGTATTTTTGTGGAAGTTGGAGCAGCTCCATTACTATTTCCTTCTTCAACATCTTGCATATCATCATCCTTGACCATTCCTAGAACTGCCTTTGCTGCGGCCATATTTCCATAAGGCTTTCATCAAGCACAAGGCAATATAGAATGACCTAAAATCTGTTGACAACGCTGACGACACTCAATGGTTACGGGCGACAGAATACACCCTCAGGATACTCCAGATGGGCGATACCTTACCAAGGACAAACATACGTCTCCATTCGATGCGTCGGTTGCTGCTGCCCGATGCTGACGTAAGTAGTATCACATGATCCAGCTGATTATAAATTTAATGCCAGAAGGCATTTGGGCAAAGCGCTGCTGTCTGGCGGACATAAAATCGCAATTCAACTTCCAAGCAGGCGCTTCAGCCAAACGTTTAACCCAGACCGAGAACTTCGGCATCCACGTCTGATAGTAATCCGCAAACTATGAGCCGACTTTTATCCCGTCGTCGTAACCACGCTGACGACCTTTCAGAGGAAGGCTCCGATGGTCCTGATCTGAGTGGTTCGGACGAGGACTACTCAGGAAACGAGAGTGATGACGTGAGCGAGGCGGTGACAGAATCTGAAGAGGAGGAGGAGGAGGAGGGTGAAGAGGAAGGCACGGAAGGAAATGGGGTACCTCCGGGTACGCTGTCCGATGGGGACGCATCTAAGGAGGGGGAACTAAAATCACGTAGGACATTGGATAGCGAACGACAGTTTGGGGTAGAAGGTGACGAGCAAGGGGGTTCAAGAAAAGCAGGTATGGCGGGTGCAGGTAATTCTACGCTGGGAGACGAAGACGAAGAGATTGAGTACGAGGACGATCGCTCGGATCAAAAAGTCGGCACCAAAGATGGACGGGAAAAGGGAAAGGAGGCAGCTGCGCGACAGTCGCTGGGTACGAGTTTTGAAAAAAAGCAGAAAGACATGGACGAGTACCGCCGAAAACTACGCGAAGATCCATCATTTACTCCTAGCATTGGAAAATTCTGGCTACATGATGACCGGTTTGCTGGAAGGGGACGGGGGAGAGGCGGATTCAGGTAATTGTCTTCACCTATCCATTTTCATGCTCTTTTTCTCAGTTGAATTTTGATTTGCTGTGGCAGAGGTCGCGGCCGACCCTTTGGTCGTTCACCTGGTTACCGCTTGCCTGCTCCCTCAGAACAGAACTCAAAACCTCGCGCCCCAGTGGAATCAGACGTCGAAGTTCCAGATCTATCTCGCGGAATATCTAATAGTTACAGAGAAATGACTCCACCCCGTAAAGTATATGATCCATCAGTGGCTGATCCAACGGAGAAGAAATGGGTACATGATAAGTTCGAAGAACTTGCAAACAACGATCCAGGAAAGTTGCGACATAGGAAAAGCTGGACTCCGCGTGATAGTGAGGTTTGTAAAACTTATCCATCAAGTGAGTTACTCCTCTTGTCTCTTATATTCTAATCGGACCTCCATCGTAGACGATGCGATCCACCTTTAGGGTAGGAGAGCACGCAGTCACCATCACAAAGAGGAAGTCTACACCTGATTTCAAAGCTAGCAAAGAACTGGCGGAGGAGCGGAATCAAGAAGGAGGGAAGCTCAATGGAATCTCTGCGGCACTATCACCGGCGAGTCAGAAGGCAAAACACCCAACGCAACGCTATTACACGGTCGGCAGTGGCGTGGGCGGACGACCTGCAGTGGATGAAACAGGAGATCAAGCTCCACGTCAGAGTAAACGATATCTCGGTGCGTCGCGAACTCAGTCCCGCCCAGATCAGCCTGCGAATGATGTTGAGAAAGTAGAAAAGCACACCGGCAATGATCTTAAAAAGGCGGTGGATGCCCCCGAATTTCAACCTGCTGTGGCCACGTCAGTTTCGTCCCATACAACATCGGATCCATCATGGAGTGAAGGCCGGCACAAACAATCAACTAAAAATCGATATAATAAGACATATCCCAAATCAGCATCGCCCTACGATCAGCCGGCGGAAGCTGTGGACAATGTACCATACGCGACGCTATCGGCGGCCAGCGTGGGGCAACCGGATCCGACGACCATTACGATACATCCTATGATGACGAGCTCTGGGCAAATCGTATTAATGACTGAAAACGGGCTAATGGTCCCCGCGGATGGCTATGCAAGCAATTACATGTACCCTCAAGCGTATCAAAATTACTCATATGTTCCCCAAGCGCAAAACCCGGCGACGCCAGAAGGTCCCGGATCGAGTGCGGCTTCTGCAACACCTGCTTTCGCATATTATGGACCGGGAGGACAACTATACTACGCCCCTTCCATGTTCCCCTCAGCCATAAATGCATCCGTTCCTCCAGCGATGATGGGTGCTATTAGTGCACCCGTACCATTTTACTCGAACGGCATGTACATTCCACAAGCGATGTCAATGCCAATGTCAGTTGGACCTGTCATAAGTGGGCAGGCGATTCCTGTTGATGTCAAATCATCGCCATCCGTACCTGTGCGAATTCGTCGACCAGATGACGCGGAGAGTGAAGGCAAGCGGGTAGGCAACGAAGCTGAGAAAACTACTGGCGCGAAGACAGCGGAGACAACTGCCTGAGTGCTTTGTAGCTGGGGAGCATCTGTAAAGGACTATGATATGGAGTTATGTAACTCATGTAGGCCTATTGGTTCAGCGCTGTATGCGGTGAGAGAGATTCGGCCACAGGGCAGAATCATGGTGCTGATACTCGCTTTTGCTGTAGTTGACCGTCAGAGCGCAATAGACATACACATGGATGCCGGTCTTCCCCTAATTACCCACTCATAGATCCACACTGATATTAAAAGGTGTATTCCAGTTATTGTTCATTACATGGTTATTCTACTCCAAACCGTATGCCGGGTGTGCAACATTGATATAGTAGGAGTAACAAAACGGATGGAGGTATGAAGCGTGTACATCTGCATTTCTACTGAATGTACTTGTCACGAATATCCTTCCACTGGCGCTGCAAGGCACAAAAAATTGGGTCAACCGACTGGCGGTATCGCTATTTGAACAAATGAATCGCAACGTACCCCCTTGTTGATCGAATCCCACACCCTGTCGGATACAGTGTCAAAGGCAATTTCGAAAGCGAAGGCCGACGCGAAGATGCCAGCCAGGTAGGCGGAGCTTCGGCGGAAGAAGACTGAATTTCAAAAAGTGAGCCGAACGGTAAAAGAGAGCAGCAATCTCTTTGTTAATAATGAAAGAGGAACAACTTACCGTTGTAGGTTTGCTTTGCGATTGCAGAGGCCATTTGGGAAAAGCTATTGAACGACGATGCGGTTGCTGGAGGTCAGTTTTGCAGAAGCAACTGGCAGATTTGGTTCGAAACATTGCTTGAAGCGCGTTGTTGCCATGGAAATGTACGGGTTGAACTCGGGAGATGATTACGTAAGGTGGACATCTTAATGTGGAGGTGATTGAAAATGGCACTAGAACTCATTATTATCCGGATTAATCCGGTTAGTTATATCGCATAATCAGCACCCCCATCTATTGCTCAAAGCGTCCTGCTAATGTTCTCCAAACTGCGGTGTGGCATGCTAATGTTTTTTTTTTTAAACTACGGTGAGGCGCATGCCAAAGGTCTATAAAAGGGGACCTGCTCCCTCTTCCCTCTTTTCTCACCAGTCCTCGACTCACAAGCATCTGCCCAACTCTCATCAATCATGAGAACGCCGATGTGGTGGTGCCAAGGACCTCGCCCACCCGACTACAACAACATAACCCCTTGTAAACGCTGCTACTACTATATTGCTACGATCGCAGGTATTTCTTGCTGATTTTCCCACGCGGATTACCCAGTCTAATTCTGATCTACCTTAGTATCTGAACATCCTCCGACTAAAGAATTTCGAAATCAAGGGCTTAGTAGGATTTCTCTCGTGGTGGTGGGCTTAGTTACCCGGTTAGAAAAACCGTAATGTGTAATTGGGCCTAGTGGTAGTTAGTTAGTGGAATCGTGCTGCTTTGCACGTACCCCAGTTCAACCCAGGCTGGAACCTGTAGCGAGTTAGGATAGGGGTGGGACTCGTTTGCAGGATAGGTTATGAAGGGTTGGACAGGCTGGCTAATTGTAAATTAGAACCGGCTGTAGTGGGTTGGAGGGAGAATTTGTCCCTAGTGACATTTTCTACCACCTGCACACTAATTACAGACCAAGGATCAAATGTAAACAAATAATGAAGAATATGACAAACTATACCCTATCACTATGCCCTCCGTATGATAGCCCAAAGTAGCGAATAATGATAAATACACCAACAAAACACATAACATACCACGATGTTAAAGGCAGTGGGAATAAAAAAGTCATAGATCAGTAATATCAGTAATTTCAGTAATTCGCTCTCGCTGATAATGTCTTGCCACGGTCGCATATGATTCCTTTCCAATTTCTGTACCGCTTTCATGCGCTGCCTTCTCTTCTGATCTCGCTCCATCTCGCGTACTGCAAGGTCCGGTGGAACTAGTATGCGGATTGCGTTCTCCAAGCATTCCACCCAAACACATCCGTGCTCAATGCTTTGGCCGTCCACGTCCAGCAGTCCCAAGTTGCCGTATTGGTTCATCCCCGGCTCCAAAATGAAGGCTTTGACGCGTTCGACGTGCCATCTTTTGTCATTCATATGTCTTGCTTTGTCTTGTTCCAAAAATAACGGAAGAAATCCCGTTCTATCCGTTTGGCTAAATACCAGGTCAATAACGCCATCAGACGCAGAGGTAAAATTGCAACCAAGTAAAGATGACGAAATCCATGGGTGGTTCAGAGCGGTGAACGAAGTAAAGCCGGCTTCCAGCGTCACCCAACCCGACGGCAAACCAGTGGACGGATCTAGATGTGCGTACTTTGCAGGGGCGCGTGGACGTGGACGCGGCCGTGGCGGAGAACTGAACGACCTTACTGACCGCTCTTTGGAAAACTTAGCCCTTGCTTGCAGTGGAGAAGTAAGCGAACGTCCACGATGTAAGTGCGGTGGGCCAGTCTCGTCAACAGGCAGGTAATGAAGGACTCCTTGATATTTCCTCAAGTTTACCATCCGCCAAAGTCCGAATATGTCAAAGCGCAAAGAACCGATCCATCGCCACCATTTACTTTCCAGATCAATGTCAGCCAGTAATCCCCACATGAATGATAAGTGGGAATAAACACGTTGTCCGGAAGATGTCGTTACAGCCATCAAATCTGTCGGTTGGGGCACTCCGCGGATAGCAGCCAACGTAGCGACATACGGGTCCAAAGTATCAAGAGATCTGTTGAGCGCATTCGCAGGTCCTGAGGGAATGATACCCAAGGGAATTTTGGACGCTGTTTCCCAATCTGGCCGAGAAAGCAATGCCTGCCATGCACAGGTGCAAAATAAATCATAAACTCAAAGATTACAATAATCAAAAGGGTTCGATGAACTTACATTTATAACTTCATGTACTATTCTATCGCCGCCAACGGTAATTATTGTAGTATACTGTGATATATTACTCTCTTGTTGGATGAAATCATACGCGTGGTTAGGCCTTTCGGTCACCCACAACTCAATATCCACTTCCGCCAATTCCAGCATCTTTCCCACAATGTCGTTGTATACCCCTGCTCCTGAAGGTAAGCCCCTCGGGTTCACGATGACCAAGAGTTTCCGGAAACGCACCAGCTCTGCCATGCAAACAAAAGCTCAATATGGGCGACGCAGCCTGATGAGCTGATTTACCTACCTGCAGCCTCCGAAACTTGCTTCGCGAGTCGATGTATATCGGGTCCTTCAAAGGTCACAAAATCAAGCTTGCTTCCACCGAACTTGCCAATATTCTTGAGGAAGTGTATCTCTAACTTTGTATCGCCGTCTAGCAATCGAGCAGCAAATACACTCTTCAAACTGACTTTCCAGATAGCTTACAAAGGGGTACAAGGAGTGCAATAGTCATAAACTCTATCCCGACTCTGGAGCTGCCTTTATAGCCGGACTTGTAACTTACCGACACCATCCAGTTTATCCCATCGCCAGTCAAAGAGAGATTTATGACCTGAATGCAACCTTTTCCATAGTAAGTCATAATACTCCCCGCAGTCATCTTTCGCTTCCTGCGTCAGCCAGAATGTAACAGGTATGGGCTTCCAGCTCTGCGAAGGAATGTAATACAAGCCAGGCTCTGGTGCCTGGACTGTAGTCTGCCAGCTTGTAGGGCTGCACTCACGAGGCCTCCTGGATCCCCTTGAAGGCATCTACGGTCAACAAAATAAGGCGCTGAAATCTCTTGAATTCTGGATGAAAGTCAACGTATGGAGGAAATTGGGGGAATAGCCAGCAATGTCCGAACGAGCGTACGCGTCGGATTTGATAATCGTCCAGAGTTTACTCAGACTTCGTTCTAGTTAATGCACCCATTTGTAAAGAGAATCCCCTCCAGTGCAAGCAACGCACGGAGGACATAGAATTCCACGGCGAGCAATTCTTTTCTTTGTTAAAGATGCTGGAAAATGCCGTGGGTACTTGTAAAAGTTATAAAAATAAGTAATTTTCCGATCGCAGATACCCGTAATCCATGATCCGCGAGATCCCTTTGATATATGTTTTTGAGCTGCTGGAATACATTACACTTGACTAGCCTTCTCCAGATTCTCTTACTGCCATTACTGCTCTCTCCCTCTCTCGCTCACTGCGAGGCTTTTTCTCCTGCCTATCATGTCCAGCAGTTTCTACACTCTTCATCCACAGACAGGTGGTTCACGAAACGCCAGCATTCCTCCCGTTGACCAACTATGGGGATTTGACCCCTTACAGTTGCTTGAAACCGTCGAGTTTCCCAATGATCGGTATGAAAAGTATCTACGAAGAAACAAGGCTGCCAGAATGGTACATGTTAATCCACAAAAGCCTGATATTGGCACACTATTCACCAGATCTCTTCTAACGTATCGCAGATGGCCATTCGCCGTATCCCTCTTCCGGTAACCCCTCCAACGTCCGACACATCTACACCAATCTCGACCAAACCCAGTACGGCGGCTACTGTCCCTTCATCCGCCTCGCATCAAATGTCTCAGCATCACCTACGCCGATCAGTTCTTAGCCCAGCCTCGACAGCTATTCGAGATGAAGCGACTCTGCGCGAGCAACTGGCGCGCCTTGCTGCCACCCTGTTGATCCAAGCTCTGTTTCGAGGTTGGAGAACCAGAACCAAGTACATTGCTGTAGTTTATGCAAAGATCAGCGTCCAAACACATCGTTTAAGCCCTCCCGATGTGTTCGGAGCGTTCCAAAGGGAACTGCCTGGGGTCACTGCACAAGATCTTAGTGTGCAGGTATGAGTATAACGATTAGCTGCAAGGCCTACTGCATGCTAACATGAGATGCAGGAGAAGCTACTTCGACGTTACTACAAGTACTGCTCTCTCGTCGAAGCTGCTTCCCCGATTGACACGGTCCCCCCAACGTTTCCTGAGTTTGCTGCAGCTTACATACAAGCTGTATGGCGTATGTGGCTCGTGCGACGAAATTGGTTACGATTCAGAAGAATGGTTAGACGTCGTGATCTGCCGATTTTCCGAGAACATCGTGTAATGGACTTAACATTGATCTATGGATAGAAATCAGGTGCACCACAAAGCGATGAAGCTGAAGAGGCCCGAAAAGAAATGTTATGGAAGGCTCGAAAGGCTGGTGGACAGCAAAACACATGGGATGAAGCGGCAAGAAAGATACAGAGAGCCTGGCGAGGCCATTATGTGAGTTCAAATTAGAGGACTTAACTCTAACTAACGCCTATGGTCTATCCGTGTCGTTTGTTTATACTCTACCATTCCCTTTTCCAGAACGTAAAGATCTATCGCTTCCACCGGGACCTCATTAGATTCCGTCTCCGCGGAGACCCGCGCAAGCTACTCAGATTTATCAACCCGCAAGAATCACAGCTAATCGACGGCGCCATGGGCATCCATGTCAAATTCCGGCTAGGTGGTGTAAGTTGACCCTAGGGACAGCTAGCACGTATGGTTCTGCAGCAACCTTACTGTGACTGATATGCTCAACATTACTTCTCCGTACTGTAGACGGCTTTTCCACCTACCATCTACTACAAAATCTTCGTTCACAAAAACCTGGTAGATATGAATGCCTTCAGTCCACGGGATTACACTTCCCAGGAAAGTAAACAACTCTTGCCAGTGGACTTATTTGACAGAACTGGACCCTTGCCAAAGCCGGGACCACTGGGTATGTGCTCTGGAAGTTTTTGCTGGAAGGTTCTTGGAAGTTGTTCATGTTCCATTTTGCTGTAGCTGGATGGTATCAGCGAATTGAGAATAATGGATGGCGGCCAGTTTCAGAAAAGGTGGGTGAGAGTGACGATCTTGATGCTTGTCTCAAACAAGATATCCAACATTGACATCAAATCATTGCTGTCTCCGTTAATGAATGAAGATGTTGGATGAGCAGCAAGATACGGCACCTCAGTTCTCAAATTCAAAACCGATCCGCTACCATCATTTGCAACTGAAGCGTCGACAGGATCTGGAAGCCGCAAAGCGAATGCGGAAGTTGGAGTGGCTTAAGAAAATGTAAGTCGCCCGATTATGATGTGATCACACCGTCAAAACAACGTCGTCAACCCCATTCTGGCTGGTACTAATATCAAAACGGTTTATACGCAGGTATCGCCAAGGCAAGGAAATGATGAGAGCAGCGACCACAGCAGAACAGAACCTTATCCAATCAGGATTCGAAGACGACACACTTAAAATGAAGTCCTCTGGCGGGCTAGTTATGTCAGATCAAACATATGAGCAGATAGGGCCGCCTTCACATCAGCCCTCTGTCAGCGAACTAGAGTTGACCTCCGAAGAGCATCTTTCAAAACTCGAATCAGAATTGGATGCGGACGTGTTAATTCGATGGACCAACGCGCTAGACTTTGACGCTTATTGTGCTGACTGGATAGAGATAGCTACGAGTGGAAAGTCCGATGGTTAGCTGAGATTGAACCATTCGCTCTAAAGACCGAACATTCTCTTCTCACATTCTCGTCATTCAATTATAGATCCAAGAACGTTTGATATCGAAGCAGAAATTACCGTAGAAGATGCAGAAATGGTGGAGGGACCCGTCGAGTCAGAGACCGCCGTCCATGATGGAGTTGATGACCCACTGGAGAGGTCTACCGCTTCGGCTTCAAAATCTCGACCTTGGTCGGGGAAATCAGATCGCTCCGTCCGTGATTTAATGGTGTCCCAGCGTGATATACTAGAGTTTTAAATGTGAATTAAAGGGAATAGTGAGCCTACTATCACCAGCAATCATGTCGCTAAAGACAAAGGAGTTGCTTGCACCTTCTGGAAGCTAAGGCAAATCTTACTTGGAAATGCTTCATCGCCAGCTGCCAAGTTTGCTAAAGGAGGAAAGTTGAAAGAGGGTTAGGGTTTGGAAATTTGTTGTGAGTGTAAACGCTCCTGTTCAATTCCAGTACAGCACCTTTTTGTATCTAGATTCATCATAATGAGTATAAAGTAGTATGATATTGAGTAGATCATGGCGACCCAGTCATGGTGATAGGGAGACCAGCAATTATCGTTTCAACTCTCAATTATTCTCTACAATATAATGCGACTATTTACAAATGTTAACCATAGCCCTCAGAATAGTTACGAGTTCTCGCTTGCGCAGAATGGTTTCTCTTCATCCTTCATTGATTCCCATCCGCATAGCCTTGAATCTAGACACTTTCTTCCCCGTCTAAGAGGAGTATTCATTTAGCATCGCATGCGTGAGAGGCCGAGGGAATGAAACTTACCGACTGGGACTGTGCATCAGAACGAACGGATGCGGTCTCGGAGTCTTCTGCAGCTTTCGAATTCTGGATAATCGGTATGCGCTTATCCGAAGAAGAGGCTCGTCCAACGACAGGAGGAGCAACCAAACGTCGGGAGACACGCGGCACCATAATTACGCCCTAAACAAAGCAATCAATGCAGGAGTCAGTCACAACAAGTACTTTTTCCATTTGACCCGGCAGGAATGATACCTCATCAGACTCCTCTCCTTCCTCTTCCATACCAACACTTGCTTCTGGCCCTGAAGACTGCGTAGACGACGAAGCGGCACTTGACATTCGTGCCGCTTTAAACCGGGAGACTTTCTGTTGAGAAGGTTGCGCATCTACAGCTTTCTTTTCCACGTTCTTGATGACGTCTCGTTTCGGCGACTGCAATTGGCCTGCTATAGTATGCGATCCACCAGACGTGTTGTATAGTGCACGTACTGGTACACAAGGTTTTATTCTCTTCTGCGGCTCTTGAACGGCCACAGATGCTGGCTCTGATGATGGCTGCATCAAGAGGTAATATGATGAATAGGTGGCTCGATGTGATGTCCAAAACAGCGAAGTCGTACCTCTGCTAGCTGTTGCAGAATCTGAGGCAATTCTACCGCCTCTCGCACAGCCATTCGTGCGGCCTTGAACCGAGATACTTTGGCCACCTTATTTTGCAAACGCTCTTCGCTTGCGACCTATTATACGAGACAACATCTCAGTTCCAGCTTCCAGCGGTTCTCTGCAGCCCTTCGCCAATATAACCTACATCCTCCTCTTCTGCAGTTAATGGATGGACCGACTGCGCCTGAATGAGCTGGTTTCGCTTTAAATGATACTCGTTGAGCAGCTCTCGCCCAAATAAAAAATCATCAGTTTCATCTTCAGACATTTGCTCCACATCTTCTTTCTCGATTATGAGATCTTTAACTGAATGCGCTTGTGGCGGACGATGTGGTTCAGCAATTGCTCGGGGACTACCAGTCGAATCTGGCATATCTTTGGATTTCGCCCGCATTTGTTCATAGATATCAGAAGGGCTTCTGATAGACGCGGGCGCTGTGGTCTGGATGTTTTCATCAAAACTGACGTGTTTTGGCACCTTTTCACCTTGCCGTTGCGCTTTCGCCGGCTTCTTGAGAGATGATCGAATGCGCGTGAAGGTTTCTAGAGACTGATTGAAGTCGTCTTCATCGTCATCCATAGTTTCGAATCGCATTTCCCCATCTGAGTCGCTGTCAAAGTGCTCCTCCTCCTCTTCCTCTATATCATTATCAAGATACCCAGCTTCCTCCTCTTCTTCGTACTGCTTAATCTTTTCAAAAAGACGACGCTCGAATTCATCAAAATGCTTCGCGTCAGCGGTGATGTTCGAGTCTGAAAAGGACTGCACGCTCTCATCAGCAGTGGGCTTCGGTTCTGACAAGGGCTGCACCGGTCTCTTTTCTGTATGTATGTGGGTCATTTATGTCCGTGTCGACGTGGTAAGTATGCTAATGCTTGTCAGCCACAACTAACACGCAATACAGACGTCTTGCCTTCTCCGCCTCTTCATTGTACTCTTCACGAATCTCAACAAATTTGAGGCCTTCCTCATTGACCTGAGCAAACCATCTCGTTAGCGACTAGCCAGGAACGATAAAGCGGCACGCTTCAATTTGAACATCAATGTACCTCGTCACCATCTGAGTCCACATTTGATTTTTCGAGGGTAAGACTCGACCTGGGATCCTCTAGTTCTGTAAGCTCCATGCGAGCATATAGCTCCTTTTGCGCTAGTTTAAGGTTCTTGACTTGTTCTGTGGTGTCTATGGCGATTCTTTGCGTCAATTTGTCGTTCAAGCAAGTAACAAGACTAAATATCATTACTAACATTCCCGCCTTCTGCCAACTATTTCCAAAGCTTCTTTGACGGATCGCTCGGCAAACCAATTATCGCCTAAAAGTACCAGCACCTCGTTGGTATGTATGAGTTGACCGGGCATGAAGGCGAAAGGACCGAAAGGGACCTGCAGATCGGTATGAGTATAGTGGCGGAACGGGCCAAGAGACGACATTCCTACCATAACATCCTTTTTGGTAACTTGTACCGCACCTTGCAAGAATCCTTCAAGCGTCTGATAGTCCTCGTCGTACTTTTGCCAGCGTTTCAAATTCCCTTCAGTGTTGGCGATCGCCTGTTGGACTGACAGCCGTTACGATGACTAGCTAAGCCAAAGTCTGCTTCCTTTAGTATTCTACCTCAAGTAGCTTATCCTTGTACCGTAAAAGCATTGTGCTAGTCGCCTCTTTTGCCGCTGACATGGTGAAAACTGTGAATTGTTGAATATTGACGTGAGGTGAAGATCTTGAACTCTCGTGGCTATGGCAACAAGCTGACTCATGCAGCAGCAGCGATCTTCCTCCTCAGTTTCCGACACTTGATCTACCACACGAGCAGTGGTGCAGAAGTTCCTCACCTCGGGCGATCCTCGAAAGGCTGTGAAGCATAATTTGCTCAAACCTTAAGCTACCTAAGATAATAATCGGGGTGGGGAAGCTTTTACTTCGTCGTCAGACGGACCTCCCTGCTTCGTTTTCAGTGGGCCAAACATGTTCATCCTAACATTATTGCGGGATAATATCCGCACTCATCCTTCCGACTTCAGCAAACCACGGATTGAATCATTAACGGACGAATTGAACAAAAAGTACTCAAACAAGGTCTGCTGTGGTCTTGTTTCTAGTGCGTTGGCGCTTCATGTAAGACTTATCTCCTCTTATTATCTAGATCTTGCACAATGTTGGTCTTTGTATCCGTGTGTGGGATATTCTGGAAGCATCAGACGAGATAGTGCATATGGTTCAAGATGGGTCTTCGCAGGCTAAGGGTCCGTACGCAGGAAGTTTCTCTTCCCAGACTGTTTGGTGTGTTGTTGAAGCACAGCTAATACCTGTTTTAAAACAGTCACTTTTCGCATGGTGGTTTTCCGACCATTCAAAGGGGAGATAATGACAGGAAAGGTTGCTTCATCACACCCAACGGAAGGTGTACGAGGTAAGGGACGGACATGATACTTTTGGAAGAAATTCACTAATTATATGTACCGAATGGTAGTGACCATGGATTTCTTTGACGACATCATAATTCCACCCTCCTTTCTTCAAGCTGGCTCCGAATAGTATGTTTCATCTCCCCTGGGATGCTCACAGCCTATGCTTTACTTAAATGCTCAATGCACAGCGACGAGGAGGAGAAGGTGTGGGTTTGGAAATACGAGGAGAACGATCTATATATGGATAAAGACGAACCAATTCGCTTTCGGATGGAGATTGAAGAATTTGTGGATGTTGGGCCGGTGCGGGACGGAGTAGATGAGGAAAAGAAAGTGGCTCCTTATTCATTGGTGGTAATGCTATTGGCTTCGTTGAAGAGCCCTAGGTTTGATTTGTACTGCTAGATGCTAATTTGTTCCCTGTATCAGGTTTCGGTGGCCGAACCAGGTCTGGGGCTTCTGTCATGGTGGGAGGGGTGAGGTCCCATTACAGGCGTTCACATTGTAATTATTCCGCAAGCTCCGCGTCACGATCAGTAGTCGGATGCGTATGTACATTAAACATAGATTAACATCGTAGAGCTAGAGGTGCTACCATATATGGGCTAGCATAAAGGCGGCACTGACGGGTCGTCCTCAAAGTCATCCGGAACTACAGGAGGCATGATGGAGAAGGTTCTATCAAAAATACTCGCTTTGGCGCTTGCCGTCGGCGTCTGTGCATCTGCCACGATATTTCGAAGATCAACAGATTCTGTTGGAGTGAAAGAAGTCCGGTAATTTTTCTTTCGTTCAGCTGAAGTTTCTTGTTTCCGTTGCAATGCTCTTTTCTGCCGCTCTTCGTCCTCCTTTATCCTACGCTCCTTATTCCTTATCTCGATCACGTCCGCCTTCGTCTTGTCTACATGCGCCTTCACCATCGTCACCGCCAGCCACCCTGTTACTCTGCTCCTTTCGCAAAGTACATTTTCCGTCTGCACTTCCTCATCCAAAACAAGCTGAAGAATCTTGCCCTTGACACTAATTCGTAACCAAGTCGGTTGCACATCCACATCGATTAGACTGGTGTCGACAAACTTTGACAGCTCAACATGAAGAGTTATGGTATCCGTAGTTATGGCGAAGTGAAATGGCCATTTCCCTTGATTTTTTTGAAGAACGCGACCATCTGGGGCAAATAGGGGAGTGGGCGACTGCTGTTGCTTGGTTGGTGGATTCTGGTTGTTTTTTCCTTCTCTCATGGATGCGAGGTCGCGAGCAGCCTCTAGCCTAGCTGAGGGTGTATGCGGGACAGGCTCGTTTTGAAAGCGCCAGCGCTTCTCTTCGAGCCTGGAAGATCGTGTTTCAGTAGGGATGCGACGAGTAGACCATTCATCCACAACACCTACTCATCAATGTCTCCGGATGCTGGAGTGGGATTCCGACCTTCATTCAGAGAATCAGAGCTATTCGTGCTATTCTCATTGTACTGTGCCTTAGAACTTTCATGGTCATTTGCTTTTTGGGGAGCAGGCTCAGCTTCCACCTTGGCCTCGTACACCGTTCCAGTCCTTTCTTCACGTTCGCGGATGAACCGTTTTCGTACATTTTCATACACTTGCGCTGCCTCGATCCGTTCCGACCTTGTGATGTCGCGTCCATCGAGATTCTTTCAGTGTTGATTTTATATGAGTACCATACATACGAATTGATGCGACGGATCATCCTACTTTGAGTTGAGGTAACGTAGTAATGACAAACTCCCGATATCCTTCCTTCTGAGTACAAGGGTTTCCCACCAGGAATCTATTCAAGGAAACATCAGCTAGTGATTGGTGCCAAACTATCTCTCTTGTTCTGACTAACAATTCACGTAGCATCTCATTGCCCTTCAAGCACTCAACGTCCAGAGGATCTTCCACAAAGTTGACCGTCAGGTCCAGTTTCTCTAAAGCCTCACATCCTTCAAGGTTCTCTATTTTTGATACGTTATTGAGCGCCAGCTGCAAATATTTGAGTTCCTTTAACTTGTGAAGATTCTCTGAAGAGCAAAAGAGATCAACATAAGACCAATGAAAGGGAACTGCTCTACATTGCCTCACCAACCGATTTTAGAAATTTGGTTATTCTGCAAGAATAGAATCTCGAGATGTCTACAATACACATCTAGGTTCTCGATCTTTTCTATATCATACTGATGCAAGGTGACCTCCTTCAATGAAGATAGTTCTCCATCGTTGTGTTCCGCGCGCTTGCGCAGTAGCTCTTTATCAACTGCCAAAAATCAAAACCCGTTATGATGAGAGTTACTTTTGCGGGTCTGTGTAGTGCCATAACGTACTTCTTTGCACCATAGCGGTTGTCAAAAACGACTTTGACTGTAAACACCAAGTTAAACGCGTCTTATACAAGCATATATCACGTGCTTTCTATGGCAACAAGTAGGTGAGCAACGTTACGGACCCTCGCGGTGAGTGAGCATTTGCAGCACACCTCTCAGCACAACATGACATCAGTTGCAAGACCACCCCGCGCGCGCCCAGTACGATACTGGCCGGGGAAGGCCCCACAAGGGGCTGAGGAGGCCTCTTCGAGCGACTCGGAAGCGGACAACGAAGAACTGTCTATAGCAAAAGGGCAAGAGGCGGGCGGCGACCAGGAGATTCAGGAAGTTTCTTTATCCATTCAGGATGAAGCTGTACAGAAGGATCGGAGACTGATGCGTCTCATGCAAACTCGAGCACAGCGGGATGATGAAGACGAACTGCGACCTGGTAGACGACGGGAGCGGGAGGAGCGAGGAGCTGAAGTCTCGGAACTTCCGAAAGAGGAGAGTGAAGATGAGGACGAGGACGCCACAGCAGCACGTCGGCAACGAATACGAGAGCAAGCATTGAAACGAAGGCAAGAGGAGGAGGAACAGCTTGGAGCTCAGGAGGACGAGGAGGAAGAGGAGGCAAGTAGCTTGCTGAGGAACCCTTTTCGGCTTCTTCAAACCCTTACCGATTCCATTTTGGTGGGTAATGACAGGGAGAGAGTGAATATACATCAGAGTACACAACCGACTCTGAGGATGATCCAGTCTCGTCGCGAACGTTACTAAAACCCGTTTTTATTCCAAAGTAAATTATATTTCTGAATGCCTTACTTAGACCTTTTTTACGGTTTATGCTGACTGACGTCGATGTATAGGAACCATCGAGAGACCGTCCTAGAGAAAGAACGCTTGGAGGCGGAAGCGCAAGAAGCGGAAGCGAGAAAACAACAGCAGATGGAGGAGAGGAAAAAGGAGTCACACGACATGGTCGCGGAAGAATTGAGGAAAGAGCAAGCGGCGGCAGAAGTCTCAAACGGGCCCTTGGAGGTGGATGATACAGATGGCATCAATGAAGAGGAGGAATATCTGGCTTGGAAACTGCGCGAATTGCGTCGAATCAAACGGGATAGGGAAGAGAAAGACTCACGGGAAGCAGAAAAGGCTGACATTGAGCGACGAAGAAACATGACTGACCAAGAAGTAATGGCGGAGAAGGCGAAGGAGGGACAATTGACGAAGGAAAAGTCAAAGTATCGATTCTTGCAAAAGTATTATCACAAGGGTGCCTTTTTTGTGGATGACGATGTCGTCGGAAAAGCACTTCAGCGGCGGGATTTCGCAGAGCCAACATTGGAAGATAAATTTGATAAAACCGTTTTACCAGCAGTTATGCAAGTCAAGAACTTTGGAAGGGCTGGACAAACCAAATATACCCACCTGGCAGATCAGGATACATCTCAGGTATGATTTTCCACTAGTTCTACGATTGTGCTCACAAATAACCTTTTTGCATTCTGCTGTAGATGGATTCACCATGGTTCCAAAAATCGGAATTGAACAAGCGTACAGTGAGCAAACTGGGTGGAATGAAGCAATCCTTCAGCAAACCTACTGCAAAACGACGCAAATTGTGATGATCGTTCATGTATTTTATCATTACTTTTGTAAATAGAAATGTATTTAAAAAAGAACAAGCCTCGTTGCGTTGAAAAGATTGATGGGCGCGTATCAAATCTTGGATAATTGACCGACAACGAAAAAGCCTCTTTTCATCACCCATTCGCTTGTAAATTACTTGGAGGCTCGTGTTGCGAGATTCCCGCTAATCGTTCTAGCGGTGGTAGACGTACGCCCTTACCATGGACCGAACATGCAGAGCTTCCTTTCGAAATGTTGGCATTGGTTTATTTCTGCTAATGACGTCGATCATCACCACCGTTCGGGGATTCCCTGTTGTGACAAATCCATATCCTCTCACCCTCGAGAGGAGTGGCTGCCTCTGCGCGGACTTTTCTACTCCTCATTGCTTGAACCCACTTGTTTCTCCAGGAAAGATTGTGCTCCCAGCACAGGATGAATCGTTGTGCATATGTGCCGATGGCACCCTGGCAAATTGTGACACCACCACTTTCGAACATGAAGGAGACGAACCCCCTGTAAAGCCCAGAAGTATGCGCTTTTGGTATACCCTCGCGGGAACCATCGTGTTAGTTCTTATAGGTGGCATATTTGCTGGTAGGGCTCACTCAAATAGCATCACTTCTTCCGGCTAACGACTGACCTTGGTTCTGGTAGGCTTGACGATTGGAATTATGAGCCTGGACACGACCAATTTACAGATTCTGAAAAACAGTGGCACTGAAAAAGAAAGGAAGTACGCTGCAAAGATTGAGCCTATCAGGAAACACGGACATTGGGTTTTGACGACACTCCTCCTTGGCAATGTGGTCATCAATGAGACGCTTCCGATCCTGTTCCACTCCATTGTAGGGGGCGGACTAGCCGCCATTATCATCTCAACAGCGCTGGTGGTATTATTTGGAGAGATCATTCCAAACGCAATTTGTGCACGACATGGGCTTGCTGTGGGCGCCACGCTTACGCCCCTGGTCAGAGTGTGCATGTGGATTCTATTCCCTGTTGCCTACCCTATTGCTAAGCTGCTGGACTACCTACTCGGACATTCAGAGGGAACTATTTATGCTCGTGCCCGTACGTTTCATCTCCCCTTTCTTTCTCATCTTCAAAGTTGTGACAGCTGAAGAACCTTATAGAATTGAAAACTCTGGTCGCACTGCACGAGGAAGGCTACGAAGGGAATGGTCAATCAGGCGAACTCATTCATGACGAAGTCGGTATAATATCTGCGGTGCTGGACCTCAAGGATAAGACTGTGCGCCAAATAATGACACCATTAGAGGACGTGTTCATGTTGGAAGCATCTCAAGTAGTGGATGTGGAACTGATAAAACAGGTTAGTCTCCCAAGAAACGAACTCGTCAGCAATCCGGCTCACCAAGGGTGGTTATCTTCAGGTCATTGGGCGTGGCCACAGTCGTGTGCCCGTTTACCAGCGTAATCGATCCAATCTAGTAGCAATCTTGTTAGTCAAGCGTTTGATTGGATACAATGTGGAGAAAGCCAAGCGTATCAACGATTTTCCTCTGACATATCTCCCGATAGTTGACGATAAGACAAGTTTGTTTGATATGCTCAACTTTTTCCAAGAAGGCCGAAGTCACATGGCTGCTGTTGCGGGATATAGGGTGAATGATTGGTTGGATATCAATGGACAACCTGACAGATCAGAGCGCGAGATATTAGGGGTTATCACCTTGGAAGACGTGATTGAGGAGCTCATTGGGGAGGTGAGTTTTTTACCGAACCTTGCATAATTTTGCTTCATAGCTAATTTCGCAAACATATGCTCAGGAAATTATTGACGAGACTGACGAATATATTGATGTACACAGCAAGACACCCGTTATGCGGACGCCTATTACGAAAGCATTGGCAAAGCTCTTGACCCCAGTTGGTACAAAACAAGAACGGACAAGTGGTAATGCTCCTTCCCCGCGCATTACTCCGACAAGGCGAAAGTCCACCTCGTCCGGCAAGCCTACAACTCGCAGAGGCCGTCGAGCGGAATCGGCCAGCCGTACCGACCCGGCAGACAATGAAATCCCAAAAGTAATACCTGAACAGCCAGATATATTATCAGAAGGTGACGATCATGTTGATAACGTTCCGTCATCTGTCGATTATTTCGCAACGGCCGTCGATCCGCAGCATTCGAGAGATGAACGTTTGCATGAGGCGGGTTGGGTGGTCACCCCCATGAATCCAGCTGAACCAGAGTCCAGAGGAGTATTGTCGAGACGGAAAGTGGGTGGGTCCGGTGTGTCATCTGCTCCTCCATCCATACCTCCATCACCCACCCTGGGCAAGGATAACATTACACTGGGCGAGGGCGGGGAAGACCGAGAGAGCAGATTAGTAGTGGAGGATGAAAGAACGCCTTTGTTGAAATAACATGCTCGCTTGTACATTCATATTTGTTATATCAAGGGATTAGAGATCCTACAGGATGCCATCTCCAACGGGTCCCTCTTTGCTGCAACGTCAAGCATGTTAATGGCCTGGCGGACTTCGGACACACGGTCAACAATTGGACAAGTTGCGGCACAGTCATCCGAATGAAAGTCACGTGCTGTATCGAATGTCCGACAACCTCGTTGAAACCTTTGTTGGTCAGGTTTTTACAAACTCTTTCATCTTGAAGTGTGAAATGCTCCTGCAGCCCCACCAATCGGGAAAGAGCGCGTAAGGAAAGCATATTTCACAGTTGAAGCATACTTTGCATACATTGTCAGTAAAAAATTGGAAAATTCAAACGAGGTAGGTGGGCTCGCACTAGCACTGTTAAGCTGACCATTTTTTCGCTCATGAACGGCCAGACAAATCATGATAGGAAGAAATACAAACACCAGAGGCATTGCAGCTGCTCGGCCTCTAGCTGTTCCCGGTGGGCGGTATCAGATGTCGCGGCCGCAGGGCGGCAACCCAGGCGGTGCTGCTAATATGCCCCACGCGAAGGCACAGAAGTCAGACTGTCGTGACGAGCAAGACGATGATTATTATGATGGCGACGACCGTGAACAAAGCAGTGGGGTAGACGAAAAGGATAATGCTATGAACGCAGAGAAGGAAAATCTTCCCCCGCGCCCCACCCGTCATGTCGCTTCTCAGCACAAGACAGACCTTCTTCCTCCCCTTCCCCAGCTCAAGAGACATACAACGCTTCCCGCCCCTGCTCCTCAACACAAGAACCAATCGGAACTTCTTCCTCCTGTTCCCCAGCTTAGAAAACATACAACTCGTGCCGCCCCTGTTCCTCAGCCCAAGAAGCAGTCAAGTCTTCCATCTCTTCCTCAGCAAAAGAAACAGAAAACGGCTGCACAGCAGAAGCCAGTTGCGAACCCGGTCAGCAACTTTGTGCTTCCTAAATTGGTGCTGCCCGACACGCCGAGGGCTGAAGAGCTGATCGAGCAGATTCATTACTCAGCGAGATACTATTGTGATACCTTTGAGTATAGGTACGTTGGAAGGTAAGGGTTCAGATAAAGGAAGTGTACTTACCAAGCATGTGCTTCAATGATCTTGCAGGCATGTTATTTTGCCCAAAGCGTTGTACGAAATGGTCCCCGCGACCCACAAACGTCGTCTGCTGAGTGAAAATGAATGGCGTGCGATTGGAATTCAGCAGTCGGTTGGATGGGTACATTACATGCTGCACAATCCGGAACCGGTAAGCTGGGAATAGGATGTCCTCCGAAATATATTAGATGGAACGCTCTCTGATCGATTTATTGCAGCACATATTTGCTTTTCGACGCGAAAAATACTACCAAGAGAAGCTTCAAGGACAGCATCAACCGTCGCAAGCTACACAGGAAGATGTTCACGCCAATGGAAGCACTGCGAAGGAGGAAGGAGAGGAAGATAGCTGGGACGAGGACGAAGAAGAACTAGGGGAAAGCGATGTAGAGGAAGAAGAAGAATATGAAAGGGAGGACATTGATGAACAACAGCTATGTATTACTGATACAACAAGCGACGAGGAGGTCGACCAGAGAGGGGAGATCAATGGAGGAAAGTTATATCTTTCTGATTCTGATTTGCCAACTTCGGAGGTTGATGAAGGAAAGCAATGTCTATCTGATCCTGATTCCCCACCCCCGGAAGCTATGGCGGAGCAACGAATGGAGGAAACAAGTACAGTCTCGCTGCAGGATGGAGTTCGGCGGTCCACGCGATTGGGAGGAAGTAGGCAAGCCCAAACATCTCAATCAGGCCGCCAACCATCACAGTCTTGGGAGCCACAGTCTGGTGCACAACCAACTGCAACGCTCCGGCAGCATGGAAGAGTAGAGGCTGCTACCGTGGACTTGCCAAGGCCCCCTGCTGAGCGGCGCTCATCACGTCGTGCCTGAAACTATGTCAGATATGATTTTGGGGGGATATATATTCCCAACGGTTATTTAGGGTGTGTACAGCGAGGTAGCCGATGCTGTAACTCGGATACATGTATTATAGCAGCCAGCACTTATTATGAACGATGAACATGAAAACGGGTCTGATATATGCGATTGGACAACTGGATGAGTGAAATATTCTGTCGCCAGTTGTGTGGTGCAATCCACCCTGGTTCATTGTATGTGATATGCCAATACACTAGGGATGCACATTACTGTGATCGTGCTTTGTCATCATTAGACTCACGACTTCATCACGTGACATGCTTTGCAAAACAATCCGATCGCTGAAGTATGTCGTCCTTTTGCTACCAAACATGACAGCAGAAGCGTTTGATGCTCGTAAAAAAGAAATCCTTGCATTTGCAGTGGACAAGTCTCCAAAGGGGAGCATAGACGAACCAGTCCGACCCCTGCTTGATGTTGTGAACAAATGGTAAGTCTAGACATTTGGCAGCTGGCGGTCTGCTTCAACCACAACTCATCTGGTAACACCACAAGCAAAGACTTGGTAACAACGTCCAGTTGTTCAGGAAGAGTTGCAATTTACGTCGACGCGGACCCATCGACCCTTGAAAAAGTCAAGAAAGGCGGCATATGGCTTTCTGTCTCTCACGACCCGTTGCCAATAGAAGACTCTACAAGACTTTGGTCCAGCCTTTTTCCTACCCATCCACATCCCACCTCAATTGAGTTTTGCCATGCAGCTCCATCGCTATCAGATCCCATTATATACTTCAAGTTCGAGCCCTTCATTCTGCATGTTTTGACCCGCTCGCCGGAAGCCGCGGCCGAGCTGCTTACTGTCGCCTTACAGGCGGGTTATGCCAACTCGGGGGTCCAGCGATCTATCGTACAGATTCGAGGGACATTGAAATTGGATGTGCCGATTGGGACATATCGTCGTGGACAGGTTGAGCTATGTGTTGGTAGAGAGTATGTAGAGTTTCTTTGTCGGTTAGCCAACGACAAGTTTATAGAAAATTTTGCCAAAATGGGAAGGTTTCAAGAGATGGTTATGAAAGAGTTGGTGGACGGGCCGGTGGTCACTAAAGAGTTTGTCGAGACGCGAGAACACCGAATGGAGCGCAAGAAACGAGAAGGACTATTGAAGGCTTCCAAAATGAAAGAGGAAAGAGAGAAGCTTAAACGCGAGCAGCGGGTTGAGGATGAAATCGATAGCACAGAAGTATTAGGAGATAATGCTGTGATAATATAGTTTCTTGTTTCGTTACGTTATTACATGATTTGATTCAAAACGATAACTCGGGAGAAATAGGCACATTCTCAAATCTAAATAACACCGTTAGGATATTGTCGATCCTCTTCCCCCATACTGACATCGATTCTACGTTACGCTGTCTTTTTTGCTGTCTTGCTAGCTTGTACTTTCTCTTCGAAACGTGCAGTAAGCCTCTTCACCAACTCATGCTCCGCGCCCAAAGTTTCCCGCACGGACTCTACCAATCCTACACTGATGAACATATCATCTCGCTCAAGGTTGTCTAGGACAAGGGCCGCCTCGGCCAGTTTGTTTTCCTTCACGCACCGCCGTACCAAGGCTGCATAAGAGTACTTATCGATGCCCTGTCCCTTCTCCCGAACCTCGTTGAACAATCGCTTTGCGTTCTCCACGTCACCATGTACAAGGTATGTCCCGATAACGTCGGCATAGTGTCCACCGTGGGTAGTCCATTTCTTTGAAGCCATCCACCTTAGGACCGTTTCCGCGGACACCGGATCGCGCAGACCTCTATATCCTCTCAACAAATAAGAGAGAACGTTCGCTGTCATGGGATATTCGGCAAGAGCCAGTGTCTTTTTAAACTCTTCTAAATCTTCCACTTTGACAGGTCCTGTCGCCTTGGCCAGGTTGATCATGACTTGTACACTTGCCACCTTCTTCCTTGTGGCATAAGCCCGGCGAAAAGACTTCCATGCTGTGATTGTATCGCCCTCATGGGCGGCAAGGGCAACCTTCAGATCATCATGTCGGTAGTCAGGAACATAGTTGTGCTGTTCAACTTCCTTGAAAAGCTCGCGAGACTTGTCCAACTGATTCGCAGCAAGATATGCATATATTGCGACATTATACGCGGACTGCAATGGCCGTGAGGAAATTTTGCGCATGATCGCAAACCATTTTTCCATTTCTTCGATATTGCCGACAGATGCGTAGTAGTCTAGAACATGGTAGTGCGACAAGCTGTCGGGGGCAGGTCCTGAACTCTTCATGTCCTCAAACAATTGCAACATTGGTTGCTCATATCTCCCTCGCGAGTATCCCATCAACAACGAGTTTGCCAATACCCTGTCACGCTCAGCGTCAGAGGTTTTGAGGAATTCGTAGATTCGCTGCGCTTGGTCAAAATTCCCAGTACGCGCCGCTGCAAGCATGATCCACTGTTGAACACCCTTCTCAAGCACAGGAAAACCGGCCTCTTTCATATATGCCTGAACTTTTTCCAAATTAGCCAGATCTCCGGCGCGTCCATAAAGTTCAACAAAGAGTTTGCACAATGTCGGGTCCGGCTTTATTTTCGAGTTGGCCATGGCGGTCCAGATCTGGTTTAGAATACGTACGCGAGCAGCATCGTTGCGTTCAAAGAAAACGCGGTTCTCTTTGACCAATAGGACAACTTTGTAAAAGTCGCGGGAGCTCAAGCGTTCTAGATCTCTTGTTCGATACAAGACACGATACCATCTCCAGATTTCGGTATACCGGTTAAGGTCCAATGCTCTTTTGAATTCTTTGAAGGCATTAGGGTCCTTTACGAGAGTATTGACATCCCTCACCCGCCTAGCAGCCGGTTCGGTGGACGCAGTCCTGAAGCTCAAGAGTATGGGAGGAGCCACAAGCCGAGTAGGTTGCTTCAAGGCAAGTAAGGTGTGACCTGCACGAGGTACGCAAGCCCGAAGAGCCGTTCGTAGGTGCATGCTTCTGGCAGGACGTGGCGATCGCTTCAATTCCTCACCAAAGTGTTTTGCAACTGACGGGTCGTCCCATCTTGAGCGTAGCTAGGCAACAAGGACACGAGCACGTGACTGAGCGCGTTCATGACGGGGGGACATTTGCAAGGTTCGATCTGGACTTTCATCCTCAGCTCTCCATTTCATCCCCGTCTTGCCACTTAACGAACTGGTCATCCCTCCCACCCCATCTAGTTTTTAACGCTGTTTGACCAATTGCCAAGATATTCTGTTGAGGCATGTCGTATGCTTCCTACGGCTATGCCGACTATGGCGAGCGGCAGGGCCCTGGGGGAATGGTCGGCCACAGGCCACCTAGTCACGACCCAGGTCAAGTTGGGCTCTATCCCCCGCAAGGAGAGAAGCAGCAGCAACAGAAGACAACGTCCATGAAGAAACACGAGCGACTTCAACAAGCTGCTGGTGTCCTTGAGGAGCAAATGCAACGTGATCGTTATCCGGACTTGTACGAGTTACTAGATCGCCGACGGGATGACTTATCAAAAGACGCCGAAAAGAAGGATACTGGGTCATTAAAGTTTCTGCGTGGTGCCAATTTTGTGCCCCTGCCCAATCACATTCTCGCTCATTACGATACTGTCCTTTGCAAGACGTTTATGGGGTTCTTTCCCGAGATCAACCGTGTTTGGGTTACAATGGACACCCGACTGTACCTTTGGAACTACAATGATTCAGGACCGGAGGCTATCAATGTCTTTGGTGAACAGGTTCAGGTGATCTCGAGTGTGGGAATAGTCAAGGCTTTACCGGGTATGTGACTGGATGTCGATATCAGAGTTTCTTAACAGTTATTGAATGCAGTTCATCGGTAGGCATCTTCTTGGAACAGATAGAGTACATACTCGTCGTCACTACTCGCGTTCAAATCTTCCTGCTCGGTCTCGCATTTGCAAGAAAGGGCGATCCGTCCAGTCCAATGACGATATATAACACGGATCTCACTTTGAGTGCTGATGGGCTGACAATGACAGACATCGTAGGCACAGATCAGGGACGCATCTTTATGAGGGGAGGCGATGGACATCTATATGAGTTACAATACCAGGTAATACATTGTCGCAATTGAATGAGCACGCGGGACGATGACCCTAACCCACGGATGGCGATCTCGGCGGGCAGGCAAAAGAGGGTTGGTTTACACCAAAAATGCGCATGGTGAATCATACGGCGACGGCTCTGTCACTGTTCGCACCCACATTTTTGAACTTTGCGAATGAAGGGGATGTGGAACGCGTTGCTCTTGATCGATCGCGCCGGATCTTGTATACAATTTCAAAGAGGAATGATATCGAGGTGCGTCAGAGATGGAGATCCAGAGCAACTTATTGGGGCACACTCCTAAGCGCTATTGTACATGTAGATGATATACCTCGGTCGTGATGGGAAAGGATTCCATCGAGTCAAGGTACTTCGGGATGTGGTCGCTAGTGCCCTCGGTGCTGCTGCCTCGGAAGATGGTGTCATCCTTCAAGGACTCTACCCTGTAACATTGGCAGAGTCGCGACGGATTCAATTGGTCGCCATAACGTCCTCTGGTGCGTCGAGTGCGGAACTTACTCCCAAACTTTTTGCACCGCGCAATAACCGCTTTGTTTATTTCGGAACCCTGCAGGCGACCGTCTGTATTTTTCCGTATATGGACGACAATCTACTGGCGATATTACCGGATCCTCTGAGGGAGAGAAAGAACCATTTACTTTGGAATTGGTGCACATTCTTGAAACCAACAAAAAATTCATGATGTCGGAGAATGCCATTCACGAGGGGCTGTATACCAATGGGCTTCTCATCATGGCTGATGCTGTTAGTCAGGATATGGATCGTATATATGGTATTGAACCGCATGCGGGGGCCATTGCTCAGGTATTTTTTGGTTGGACTATGGCACTCGATGCAAGAACCTAACATATTGGGGGTTTGACAGACACCGTCAAAGTTGTGGATAGATAGTATATCATATGAAGATCAGCAAGGAAAGGTGTGGCAGATTACTGAAATTCCAAAACCGGCGGCAAGACCCGTGTCCAGGATTACTAAAAAAGACGACACGGGCACGGTTCTGAATGAACTTGCCTCTCAACTTGAGTCTCCCGCGCGATCTTTTCGGTTACTTACCAATGAAGGTACGGTTACTTTCACCGTGTGTTCTCCGGGGATCTACATTAACGATCATTGCAGGTATCGGACACATGACAAAACTACGACCGATTGATCAATTGTGTGAATTGATCTACCGGGCTGGTGGAGATGGTACAGCGGATTACCAGCAGTTCTTTAATATTTATAGTCCCGCAGAGGCGTGTGCCATGTGTCTTGCGATCGCTTGTGGACATCCGTAAGTACCTCTTGCCGTAAGTTTAGCACGATCCAGCATGCTGACGACCGAGTTTCCACAGATCTGCTGATCAGGCTATTCGAGGTAAGCTGCAGAATTGGACTTGTGGGACCATTTTGAGCTAGTTTTTGAACTTTCTATGCAGATTATGCCCCTAATGGACAGCATCAAGTTGTTGTCATTGCGAGTCGTCTTTTTGACGAGTTTGGAGGACAGCCTTTTATAAATCGTCCTGACTCACTAACAAGTATGTTGCTGTGTCCCTAGGGTATGGGTAGCTAACTACTGTTGGACTAAAAGGATATTTGTACAGGCAACAGCATGGACACAAACGGTGCACTAGGACACGCGGTTCCCGCTCCGGAAATAAAGTACAGTGGACGACACAATGGACTGGCACTCTATCTTTCCAGACTATTGAAACCCATCTGGGCACAAAGAGTTGTCGTTGAAGTGTACGTTTCCATCAATGTTTTTTAATGGCACGGTATTGGGATACTGAACTTGCTGAATAGGTCACGCAACGTGGTGTCGAATGTGGATTCGCATGCTCTCGTTTCTTTGCAAATGAATTTGATGAGTTTGAATGATTTCCTTGGACAGTAGGTTAAAGAGACTTTATTTTTGTTTTACTTGGCGTTCACTGATATGACTCTTGTGGCTAGACGTAGTAATCTTACTGCACCACCTATTCCTGAGAATCGTCCAGAAGCTGTTGATAGCGAGGCATGGAAGGTTGGTGGCACCCCATGGTAATGCGCTGTCGACGTTTTGCTAAATATGAACACAGACGGAACAAGAGTCACTGCATAACCTTTACGAACTCTTGCAAATCACACGGGAAACAATTGCCTTGCTTTTGATTGTTTTTGAGCAGAATCTGACGCTTATCAAAGAGTATGTGTATTCGATTTCGTTAATGGTTATGGCATTTAATTCATATTTTGTTTTAGTATGCCTGTTCAGCAACGACAAGCTCTTGAAAACATGACTTACCAGGGACTCATTACGACATCTAGCGGTCTGGAGGTTACTCGAGCCCTCATGGCCGCGCACATTGATAAGCATATTAGTGATGAAAAGGATGTGAGTTTTTCTCTATTGTGTGCGCGCAGACTTGTCGTTTTTTCTAACAACGGTTCAGGTCCAAACCATCACAGACGAGCTCCAAGCAGCCTGTCCATCGATTTGCTTCCAAAATGATGTGATATTGTATAAAGGCATAGAGTGTATTCAGATGGCGAAGACGAGGCCGAACCGCGAGCAGCAGGGACGAAAGTTGCGGGAAGCATTAGAGTATGTCTTTTGCGCGCCGTATGTGTGGAATTTTGGTTGATTTTTTTGTGCAGGTTGTTTAAACAGATTCTTAAAGACGTGCCGTTTCGCAAACTGCAGGAGATTACTGAGCAGTTTGAGGGACTGTTTTATTATGAGGGGGTTGTGGAGATTGTGTTGCGGTGGGCTGCGGCGCAGGATGCTGTAGAGTATGGCGATCGGGGGGGTATGGACGAGGATGAGTTGGTTGTACGGGGTTTGGTATGTGTGTGGTTTTTCGTGCAACTTATGAGGTGGTTGTTGATTGCGATGCTTTAGGAAAGTGGAACGGTTGCGCGACGAGGGGCGTATGAGATTATTTTGAATGCGATATCCAAGTTGGATGGCATGTTGCAGCAGCCGGTTGGATATGGAGGACCGCATCCTGGTCAGTAGCGTGGGTTGTCAGTTTTTTGAAAACGTTTTGCCCTTTGATCCTGACGTGTTGGTGGGTTTGGCAGATCATATTTTACATGTCATTAATGGCATGATTGGTCAGGCGCTTGCGTATGATGATCAATTATTCCATGAGACGCTTTACGAGTGGTTTATCAGTCAGAACCGACAGGAGCAGTTGTTGCAGGTTGGGTCTGTTTTACTTTTCTGCCTGGAGAACATGAATACTAATGTGTCTTAAATTTGCAAGATTCGGACGAGATACCTTGAAGAATTTCTGACGCGCGGGGCAAACACGAATTTAGCTAAAGCGACCCTCTTGGCCAAGTATTACGTCAAGCATGAGCGATTTTACGAGGCTGCCAAGACGTATCGGGGGTTAGCTGAAGCTCCAGGGTGCGTACATGACGACATTCGCATGCCATGTACGATATTTGACTAATAATGCTACAGATTACATCTGGATGCTCGTATGCAATTCCTCTCTCTAGCCCTCGTCCAAAGCAAACTGTGCTTCCAAGGCGAGTACAGAGACCACATGGATAAAGGCGAGGTGGAAGATATACAGGACCTGAATGCGGTCGCCAATGTCCAGAAAGAGATTTTGGATACCTTGTCGAGAGACTCTATGGGACTTTCGCCTGAGTTGATGCGGGAGTTGAATGAGCGGTTGTTGACTGTTTCAGAAGTAGGTTGACTGTGAGTTTGTATTTTTCTTGTTTGAGAATCTTGTATTCATTGTACCCGCGCGCCCTTGCAACGTAGCTTTTCAACAAGTACGTCCGACCGTGCAAATTGTACGAAATCCAACTGTATATTCTCCATGTGTCTGATGTGGATGCAAATGCACGGGGGTATGCCCAAACCGCTTGGAACGAGATTATCAAAAAGAGTAAGACATTATGTTTGTCAATGGTTTTAGAAAGATTTACTAATGTTGAGTAACAGCAAAACAAGACGCAATGGCATCGAATCGAAATGTGTTTGCAGCGTTGGAAGAAAAAGTTTGGGGGATTGGGTCGAGGTTCTTTCCTGATGAAAACGTCTTTCCTCTACGTGAGTTGCAAAAAATCATACTATGTGATGCAGCATCAATGGGATCGATGTTGATCTATGTTACAGAATTCCTTATTCACCGATTGGAAGAAGAGAGTTTTACCGCCTCTGAACAAGGACGCGGCCCAGAACGCGGCTGGGTGATTCGCCTCTTTTCATCCATCAAAGTCTCGTATGCCGAACTGTTTCAGCATTTCAACGACATGTACGAAACGCAGCTCGTACCCTGGACGTCCACAGCTGCGCGGATATATCTTTTAGAAGATATAGCGTACCTTGTTAATGAGTGGATGCGGTGGAGGGGGCCCGAGGGGGTGCCAAGACGGGTGTTGGATGACGCGATTCAAAAGTATGTGATGGCTGTGCATGATGTGGGGGAGGCGCAGGAGGTTGTGGGGAGATTGCAGGTTTTGGCTGTTAGGATACGGCAGTGATGTGCGGCATGTAAAGATGCGTTTGTGCTATCTGAATAGGAAACACTGGACTGTGTTGTGTGTGTGCATATAATACTCAAGACCCAATGGTATGCATAAAAACAAGTATATTTTAAACAGGGACACCCAAGGACGTTAATAGGCCCGTTCTCGCCCGTCTGGGAGTCACACTTGATAGTTCCTCCCCTCCAAGATTCTCCTTGTCTTCCAGCACCTCTTGTCCCTTCTGCCCAACAATCTCTTGAGCTCTCGTCAATTTATCACATGTGCCTTGCAGAGTCGCGTTTAATGCCGCTGGGCGCGTCACGACCGTTTTATACACGTCCGATAGTCGCGAATAGTCGAGATTCCCACTCGTCTCCTCAACACTGCTCTTATCCACATCCCCAAGGCTCACACTCTGGGCATTCGAGCACTCGGTTGCTAATGCGCATTCGCGCTCAACAAGGTCGCGCACGGCCATGGGCACACTGGTACGCATGTGCGCCATGGCAACTTGCAATCCCGTCACTTGCGCATGGATATTTGCAAGCTTTTGAGCCAATTCCTCAGACGTGGGTTCATACTCGACAATTTCCTTGAACGCCTCGTCATACTCTATCCCGTTGATGAGGATATTGGGTTTTGCAATAGTGAATATGGATGATATCCAGGATTGGATGCGCTCGGTGAGGGTGTCACGGTCTTGTTGTGAGCGAGAAGTGAGGAGGGGTGAGGAGAGGGCGTGGGAGGTGAGGATGGATTGGAGGTAGAGAATATCGTGTTTGGACTCTGTTTGGATCTTTGGGTGGGTCACATTGGTATTTGACGACAAGGACGACGACGCCGACGACGACGACGACATGATTGCATTGACAACGAGGAAACAAGTTCTCTGTAGTCGGACACTGTTCGGACACGACGCGCGCGTCACATGTGAGCACATGAGCACACATGACTGTATCACGTGGGAAACACATGAGCTTGATGCTTGTCGCGAGGGACATGCCGATCTGTTCCGTCAGAATCCGTCATCTACCCGGGACGATCCGATAGTGTAATCAGCCGGAATGGCAGGCGCGGCTGTATCACTCGGAACCGGAGAATGTATTCGTGGGGTCAATATCGGTGTGTCACCGAATGCGCGGACCTTTTCATGTGAAAGAATGGATCCGTGGGTGAGAATTTGAGAATGCAACATAAGCAAAAGCCCAGGTGCTGCCCATTTCGCATAAAATTTGCATTTTAAAATGAACGTGACACATATGTGACACGAATGCATATGAAAATAAATGAATTTAATGGAAATGCACGTGGAAGGAGAAATGACACGTGGCAAGGAGATAAAAAGCAATATAATGTTTCTATGGCAACATGTAAGATGAAGACAAGAGTGTGAAGAATGAACAAGAGCCAAAGGCCCAGTTGAAAGGAGAAGAAAGGAGAGGAGTTGTGAACAAGGGCTTTGAAGATGGCGGGGATAGAAAGGAGACCATCATCCAATGATAACCCAAAATGAGGCAACATGCAACATGCAACATGCAACATGCAACTGTACACACACTCGAGCGAATAGATGATGGAGGATATGCATGCAATTGGAACGCTGATATCAAACGGAGAGCAATCTCCAGCTAGGAATCGCCCTTGGTTTCCAAATGGCACGTTTTTGCTTCTTCTTTCTAAAGACAACTTGATTATGAAAATGCTCCAAGCTGCCGCGCCCTTTTTCAAAAAGACAATTTCTTTTTTTTTTTTTTCTTGTTCTTGGCTGTGACTTTTTCCGTTTGCGTGTGTGCATCTGCTCTCGTTGACATGAACTCTGCGTGTGTTGCGTTGGTTGCGTTTTTCTTGGCTTTCCAAAACTTGTCGGCAGTTTGTTATCATCATTTCAAGAGAATTTCTTCTTTGATTCGTTGCGTGATCGCTCTCTTTGTGATTTTCTCCGCTTCTTCTTCTTGTTCCGAATGACTGACCCTTTCCATGGATTCATCCCACTTTTTCATACTTATCATCATCACTTACCTCCTTCTTCTCCTCCTGCTTTCCAAGTTGACTCCTTTCTGGCCCGTGCTAATCTTATCCTTGGTCTTTAATCATAACCTGACTACTCGATTTGACAGTCGATTACAGGAAATCCTTTATAAAGAGGACTTTATTCACACATCCTGCTCTATATCCCACTTTTGCCTCCTAGTTTCACAGCAATGGACATTTGCACTCAACGCTCATCACCCCGCGTTCGTCCCCGGAGGACCTCCAACCTTCAAGAACGCGGAGCTATGCACACCAGTAGAAGGACCGTTGCAAACAAGAGCCCGTCTCTTGCAAATAATAAAGTCCTTGCACGCACCAGCACAAGTAACTCCTTGTCCTCAACTTCATCAATCTCTTCGAGTGGATCGACGGCATCGACAGAAGAGGTCTTGGCAGACTTTGCAGTTCGCTCCCGCTCCTCCCGTCAAGCCCTCTACATTGTCCGTCGCCTTCAGGCTCTCAAGCGCGCTGCGGACGCTGCAAATCCGTTGGATCACGCTCCCGCTTTTGCCTATGCTAAATACATTCTCGACCACGCAACTCGTCTCGAATTTGATCAGTACGCCTACGTCCAAGATGCACTCGCCATCATAAAGGACCTTGCGTCCGGTCCCTCGGCCTATCCTCCTGCTCAACTCGTTCGCGCCAACATTCTCTTGTCGGGCCCACCTTGTCAAGACCCGTCCAAACCCATCCTCCAGCAGCGCGACAATGAAGGTGCCTTTCGTCTCTACATGTCGGCTGCCAAAGCAGACATCCCGGACGCTGCTTACCGCGCCGCAATGATGATTCAAAACCGTCGCGTGCCATGGGGAGGCGACATGACAGAGAGCATTCGTCTCTTGAACATGGCAGCTAAGCACAACCATCCAGGTGCACTCTATGCTCTCGCAAAACGCCTTCTCGGCTCTGGTTCCCGCAAAGACCTCGTCAAGGGCATTGAATACCTCCGCCTCTCTGCCGCAACGGCAACAAAAGTCCATCCGGAAGCCCTGCACGATCTGGCTCTCATATACCGCGACGGTCTCTCGACCCTCGTCGCTCAAGACCCAACCTCCGCCCTCAACCTCCTCCTGGACGCCGCTGACCTCAAACACGCACCCTCCCAGCACCTCTTGGCAACAGCCTACCTCTCCCCAACGCCTTCACTCGGCATTACGACTCCCAACCCGGCTCTCGCCGTCCACTATTGCTCATTAGCCGCAAAAGCCTCCTTTCCACCCGCCATGCTCTCCCTCTCGAAAATGTACCTGACAGGCATGTCCACGCCTACGACTGTCATCTTGTCACCTGACCCCGCCGAAGCCTACCTACTGGCCCGCAAAGCTGCCGAAAAGGGCCTGGCAAGCGCCCAATGTTTAGTCGGCAGGTTTGTAGAAGAGGGGCAATGTGTCAAATGTATGGATCCGACAAAGGAGGCCACATTGTGGTACAAGAGAGCTGCAGATCAAGGCAATCGGGAGGCAAGAATGAGGTTGTCGAGATTGGAAGGTCGCCCTTAATGGATGATTTGATTATATTCCTCATTTGTATTTCCTTTTGCTTGTATGATGATACTACATCTATGTATATTATTTTGGAGTTTTTCAGCTATTAGCTTTAATATGTATATGAACGATATTTCTCGTATTGGAAAAAGATCCATCTCGACTTGGTTATCCTTTGTCGTTCGTTCGTTCGTTCGTCGTCGTCGCGAAAACGCGAAACGATCACCAAGCTAAGCCACGGCCTGTCAAATGGCGCGATTTTAGCACGTGCATCTCCCACTTATGTTATCAAGATTTTAAGGTTTAAAAAAAGCGAACGGGATGGGGATGCACTCCTCGCCAGACAAGGATCGCCCGTCATGCACGCACACAGGCACGCCGAGGAACCCACCGTCATTGTCCACCCCACCGAAAGCACCATAGACGTGTCCGCCCAATCCAGTTCCGAAAAGCTCTACACAACCACCGAGCAAGATCCCCCAACACCCCGCCCTTCAAACCGTCTATATGAATCCGCCCGCTCCTTCCTTCCTCTCTCGGTCATTGCATTCGGCGGTCCCCCAGCCCACATTGCCCTCCTCCACAACACATTTGTCGTACGCAAGAAATGGTTGGACGATACGCTTTTTGGAGAGTATTTTGCAGTGAGTCAGGCGTTACCTGGACCCGGGAGTACGGAAATGTTGTTTTCGATTGCGATTCATCGGGGTGGGATATGGGCTGGGCTTGTTGGATTTGTTTGTTGGAGGTGCGTTTTTTTTATTTGGTTTGTCAGAGTCGTTTTTGTTTATAGTTTATTAGTATACCAGGGTTGATCATCATGACCGCACTCGGTCTCGGCGTCTCTCACCTCCCCTCCCCACTCCCCGACTGGCTAATCCACCTCCAAAACGGTATCAGCGCTGCAGTGGTAGGTCTCGTCGCTCAAGCCGGCACATCCCTCGCACGCAAAATTGTCGTCAATAAGGATACATTGGCTGTATGTACGCTGGCGGCGTGTGCGGCTGTCCTGTGGTCGGCATCGTGGTTGGAACCTGTTGTGATTGCCGTTGGAGGGATCCTGACATTTGTACTTGTCAAATGCCATGCAAGATGGGACGCGAGACGGGCAAAACGGGATCGTACACAAGAACCTACACCGCTCGAAGCGGCACATGTCGAGGTGGAAGTACGAGAGGAATATCCAGCACATAATCCTATATCCTGGAAAACCGGTGTAGCGATCATGATCGTCTGGCTCATCCTCCTAATCGTTTGCATGGTCCTCAAACCCCACGTGGCATCCATCCGCCCCCTGGCCGTCCTCACCCAATTCTTTGTAGCAGGCTGCGTTATATTCGGTGGAGGCCCTGTCGTTATTCCCCTATTGTATTCCTACGTGGTCGTACCAGGCTGGCTATCCGAACGCGATTTTTTGTTGGGTGTAGCCCTCATCCAGGCCCTTCCTGGTCCAAACTTTAATTTTGCGGCTTATTGTGGTGCGTTGGCTCTTGCGCCCTATGGTACCGCCGCGGGAATTGGTGGAGCATTGTTGGGGTATATTGGCATTTTTACTCCTGGGTTGGCGCTCAATGCTGCTGCAATGCCGCTTTGGGCTCGGGTACGAAAGAGTAAGGTCCTTGTGCATGTGTTGCCGGGTATGAATGCCGCGGCGGTGGGACTCGTTTATGCGGCTGCGTACCTGTTGTGGCAAAAGGGGGTCGTGAGAGGAGCTGTCGTGAGACCTTTGGGGGATTTTCCGTTTTATGCTGTGGTAGCCGGTGTGGCTTATGTGCTTGTTGATGCTGGAATGAGAACAGTGATCGTCATGGTTCTGGGATGTCTGGCGGGGTTGTTGTCGTGGGGATTGGGTATATGAGAGGTTGCCTCTTTTATGGATCTGCTGTGGACACTGGTACCCATGCAAAGACACAATGCCAACAAGTTTGTGAATAATAACTCTATAGAGATTTACTTGAACAAAAAAATATATACACAAAAGAAACACTGTCTCCCCCTCATCCCCTACATGGGATCATCAATCAACAGGGTGTGTACCTCATTACTAAAGCACACCCGTTTCTTGACCGTGGTGACAGCTTCCCCTGGGACACGTCTCACCAGTGACCCCCGCCTCGGACTCTTGACCCCCGCACCCTCCCGCTCCTCATCCTCAAATCTAAACTCAATCTCTGGGTATACCTCTTCCTCCTCATCCTCCCCATCTTCCTCCATACAGTCCGCCAATATGACTCCGACTTCTTCATCCCCTTGACACAACCTCTCCACCGACAGAGCCGGATCCGCCTCAACAGCCTCATCCTCCTCCTCATCCTCTTCCCGCTCCTTGGTTTGTAGCCACTCGACAAACTGGGCACAAGACGCCCGTATCATGTTGTGGGTTGGTGACGAACTGGGGAGGCGGTACCATTCTACAACGGCGGTGGGTTCCACTAATTCGTATTTGTAAATGACGCGGAGGAGGCGGGGGAATAGGGCGGGTTTGGGGGGTGGGGTGCAAAAGGTCTAGTTGAAAGTATGTCAAAAAAAGTCGGTAATGTATACACAAAGAAAAAAAAAACGTCTTACCTCGACGCCCTCGAGAAATGCCACTTGATCGGCATCACTGTCAATATAGTAGCACAGCAGCTTTTGGTACTTGCCAAAAGCCTACCATACACACCCGTCAGTACGGCAATCAACAGATCAGTCACTGGTCATAACATACCGCATCCACTCGACTCCAATCCTCATACAACCCCAACTCCTCCATGTGAGCCAGCACGATGCCGATAATGAGTGAGAGGGATTCACGGGAGGATACATCGCGCGTGCATTTCATGGCGGCATCTTCGAGTTGGAGGACCATGGCTGAGGCGGTTGCGTCTGAGACTAAAAGTTGAGTAAGCCGGCTAGTAGCCGTTGTTTTAAAATCTACAAGCAGGGTGTAAATAGCGTATTCTCGCAAATGCACGCGAAACCATTTAAAACCTACCCGCGAGTTCTTCTAATGACTCTGTGTGTCCATCATCGTCATCCTCTTCGCTCATACTAGTTTCCTGTAACGCTTCCTCCAATTTCAAGTGAATAACTTCATCCATCTCCGCCAACGCCGCCCGCTTCTCAACCACCGCATCCAATTCAGCCTCAATGTTTTCGTACACCCGGTTTTGAACGACCGTATCCACTTGCACATACAAATCGAGAAACTCGGGGGTAGACTGTCCCCTCAATCGAGCAATCTCTTGTTGGAGGTTGACATTATCCGTTTCCATTCGGTCGAGTTCGGCTGCGTATTCGCGTGTAATGACTTGGACATAGTCAGCGTGACATTGGGCTGCGAGGACGCGGGTTCTGTGCTCGTTTTTGAGGTCGTCGCGGAGGAGAGTCCAGGCTTCGTGTGCGGCTCTTTGGCGGCGTCTAGAGAGGTTGAGACGGAGGTTGAGTTGGCGAATGGTGCGGCGAAGTCGGGTATTTTCTATAAAGAAAAAAATGTTTAAACGATAATGTTTTTTGGGAGGCCCAACGGATCTGACTTGTTGTCTCACCTGCACGAAGTCTATGCCGATCCTTGATCAGCCGGGCCCAGGTAATACTCTCAAAGTACTTGTTCCTGACAAATAAATAAGGTCTCCACACAAAGAAATGGACGATCCCCGTCGCGGTCTGTTGCAACTCTGTCCGTACACCGATCGCTGCATTCTTGACCCGCTGTATCCACGTCTCCACAGGACTCGACACCGGTTCAACAACAACAGGTGTATCCACTTGCTGCCCATCTCCCTCTTGCTCTGCCTCCTCTTGAACAACAGCGCTCACTTCCTCCAACAGTGGCATAAAAGGCCCGAAAATCTCATTAACCTTATCCTCCGCCAAAAAAAACCTTGCGGCCTTTTCAACAGCGACAAACCCCATCCCAACACAGACACACGGTAACACTTCCACAAACTGCATTGTCGTCACTTTCATGCTCGTCAAGTAATCTCGTTCATGTGATGTGGCAGTCGGACGGTGGGATGGGGACGAAAAGAGGTGCCTTTTTATTATCCCAGACATTTATCAGCATACCCATGTATCGCATACGTCGGAATGACGATGTAGAGTGTGTCGCGGTAGTGTCGCGGATCGCTTCGTCGTTGCTATTTTTATAAAAGATGTAAAAAGCTCGTTCTTCTCTTGAGGGTCTGTCCTCAACGAAAGGAAGGAATCTCCCCCACAACACGTGACTCTCATCGTTTGGGCTTTTGGAAGCGACTTTCTTGTTTCCGAGATTATCTTTTAACATCTCACATTTTGTTTTTTATCATGCCGGTAAGCGTTTTGTATGAGTTCTTCGCAGTTGGTAGCATCCGTTTTATTCATAACAATGTGTCATTACTAGAAATTCAAGATTTTCATAAAAGCCGACCTAGAAAACGTCACCCATCTCCGTCCCCAAGATATCAACGAGTACGACTGGAAATTCAAGGTAAATCCCCCTCTCCCCCCACTGTTTATTCCCTTTACTACACAAACACGATCCTCACTGCCCCCAACTAGTTTCGTTGCACGAAATGCCAAGAAGAACATGCCGGATGGGTCACCGTCAACGCGTCGGTACGTCTCCTCTCATCCCCACACACTCAACATAAAACTCACACTCGAATAGGAAGAGGTTGAACAATCAAATACAAGAGGTGTCGCCAACCTTGTTATGAGATGCAAGTCGTGTAAAAATGAAGGGACTGCAAGTGTGTATTTTTCTTGTTGGTTTTGAGCCGTACGCTTGTGGGATGTTGTTGACCAAGATTGGTACAGATGTGTTGGTAGATACACTTGAACCCTACACGTTGGAATCAAGTGGGCGGTTTGCGCCGTTGGTGCAGATCGAGTGTCGGGGGTTGGAGCCGTTTGAATGGGCACCGGCGGTAGGTTGCATAGCTTTTCGTTGATGACACTGGTGTGTTTTGACAATGCATGAACATTTTCTATTAGGACGGGTGGCAAGCTGAGGGCGCCGAGTCAGAGACACCTTTTACAGATATCCCATTGGGTGAAGGAGAAGAATGGGCAGAGTACGATGAAAAGGCATCTGAGCCTGTGGGTGTCACGGAATTGGTGGGCAAGGTGGAAAAGGCGTGAGGAAAAACGGCCTCTGGGTTGACACATGAAACTGTACATTATCAAGAAAGGACATTATAAACCATCACCGTGCAAAAACATCACACAATGCCATGAAGGTATAATATACATTGATTCAGAATGCGGAGAAATATCGACAGTTTTCCACATGCTGTCATACAAAAATAAACGCATTTTCCAGGACAAAAAAAATAATCCCAAACATGCGCCCGCAACCCCATCAATTCCCCTATTCATCATCTGCCTCTTCCGGAGCAGGCACTGCTCCCTCAGCATCACTCTCCTCCTCATCACCAGAAACCTCTGCATTTTCCCGCTCCACTCGTGCCATAAGCTGTGCAAGCTCAAGATCATCCGTCGCACTAACGACTCTCGGTTTCATCTTCACTGTCAGATGCCCAGACTGCTTTTTTATCGTTTCTTCGATCGTGGCAATGGCTTTTTCCATGATTTCGATACCCCCGCTCTTCTCAAGTGAGTTTGTCATCACAACGTACATTGGTGGCGCGACCAGTTTGACCTACACCAGAAAATCGCATTGGTGAGCATGGCTTCAGCGACACAACACCGAGACAGAGCAAAACAACGCACCTTGATTGGTACATCTTCTGTGGAACATGCCTCACCGGCTTGCAAGGCGGTTTTGATAGCATCTATTCCCTCGTATCCAAAGCATGTAACTTCAATATCTGCGACAGGGAGACTTGTTCAACGACATTGTTTTAACAAAGGAAATGAATTCCGCAATGCTTACCAGCTCGGATCTTGACTGGTTGTGGTGTCAATCGTCGCCGAATGTTGCTATGAAGCTCCTTCTTTACATCTTCTGGCATTTCCAACCCCTCAAAGACCGTTTCTGGTTCACTGAAAGCAAGCATGCCATAAACATCCATTCGACCTCAACACCCAACAAGCCTTGAACTTACGCGATTGCCAACTTGAAAGCCTCGTATGCGTGGCCATACTTTCTATAGAGTGGCCACCCAAACTTCTCGTAGAGCTCCTCCAAACTCCAGTTCAACTTTTCCGCAACGTGCCGCATAATACTATGTACCGCCTTGGATTTGTTAAACTTTTCCTCACACTTGGCGACATCTTCAGCCGACACACGACGCTTGGACAAGTCGATATATCCCTTCTCCTTGTCCACCCTGAGCACCACCACCACCTCGTTCCTCCCCACCCGAATAAGCTTCTGAATAGACCGAATACGTCTCCTAGACAACTCGCTCAACAAGATCATTCCCTCAATGTTGTTGTATTCGAGAAGATGTACATAAGCTCCCATTTCAGCGATTTGTCGTACATTAACCATGACGAGTTGGTCCACTTCGGGAAACTTTTGTTCGTACATGCGGCACTGAAGACGGGCTTGTCGTTCGTCAATGGCTGCAGCAGCAGCTGGGGTGAATGTGGCACGGTAGACATCTCCGGTTTCTTCAAGTTCCTCAACAGGGTCATTGCCGAGGTTTGGAGCAGAGAGGGTTTCTGGGCCAGATTCGTCGCCAGACTCTTGAACTGACTTTCCGCTCGACATTATAGTTTAGAGAAGATCTATTAAAAACAGTAAACGGTATTCCGGAAGAAATGGAAAACTGGCCAGTAAGGAGATGGGCGGAAAGACCGTTCACAAGTTCCGTTTTCTATTTCTTTACAATGACACTTGCAGGCAAGTTGCGCATTTCCCAACAGCGTTTTTCTGCGGTGTTGGCATAGCAACAAGTAAATGACGCACGTGATGTCACGTTCCCATCCGCTCCGTTTTGCCCCAAAGACTGGCCTTCAGCTGGGTCTTCCGTTGCATTTGGCTTTTCGTCGTCGTCATCCCATCCCGCAACCGGCACCGCATCCACTCGACATGTCGTCCTCAGAGTACGTTTTCCTGGGTATTGAAAACCCCTTGCTCGACATTTCGGCCCGCGTCGACCCGTCGCTGTTGACAAAGTACAACCTCAAGGCCAACGACGCCATCTTGGCCGCAGACGAGCACAAACCTCTTTACAAGGAACTCGTAGACACCTACCAGGTCGAATACGTTGCTGGTGGTGCGGCTCAGAACGCGTTGCGTGGTGCACAATGGTTGCTTCCCCCCAAGCAAACGGTATATATTGGATGTGTTGGCCGTGATGCCAATGCCAAGATCCTCCGTGACGCTGCCGCCAAGGATGGATTGAGAACCGAGTATCTCGAGGACCCCGACACCCCCACTGGTCTCTGCGCAGTGCTGATCACCGGTACCCACCGTAGCTTGTGCACTGACTTGTTGGCAGCCAACAACTACAAGGTTGAACACCTCCAAAAGCCAGAGATTTGGAGTCTGGTCGAGAATGCAAAGTTCTTTTACACTGGAGGTTTCTTCTTGACTGTGTCTCCTCCGGCAGCTCTTCTCATTGGTGAGCATGCCGCCAAGAACAACAAGGTGTTCACCATGAACCTGTCCGCTCCCTTCATTTCCCAATTCTTCACTAAGCCATTGGACGAGCTCCTTCCTTACGTTGACATACTTTTTGGTAAAGTCGCAGCAGAAGGACACTTTGGCATTGACTGTGCAAATAACTAACTCGACGAATCATATTAGGCAATGAATCCGAAGCGGAGGCATACGCCGAAGCTCACAACTGGGGAACTAAAGACGTGAAGGAAATTGCCCTCAAGATTGCTGCCCTCCCCAAAGTCAACTCATCCCGTTCCCGTACAGTCGTCTTCACCCAAGGAGCCGAGCAAACCATTCTGGTCAGCGAAGGAACCGTAAAAGAGTACCCCATCATCAAGATTCAACCCGAGGCTATCGTGGATACCAATGGTGCTGGTGACGCGTTTGTCGGTGGATTCATGTCCCAGTTCGTCCAGGGCAAGCCACTTGACACTTGCGTAGCTGCTGGTCATTACGTGGCGAATGTTGTCATTCAGCGCAGCGGGCCGACTTACCCTAAGGAAGCACACGGCTTCAAGGCGTAAATATATGAATAGAAAAGGTGTGAATAGTAGCTGTTCATAGTGAATGTGATAGACTGTATATATAGTCGGTCTTTTTTTTTGATCATCAACAAGTGGCCCAACTTTACCGAAAGAAACTATGGTTCTGTGCAGGCAGTAATTTTCCAGCTCAGTAGCATAATCTATTACTTCATCGCAAACAATATCCTAAAAATATGCACCATACTCAATGCTAGTATACATAACTCGGTTCTCTACTATGTAAGCCTCTTATAACACATTGGGATCCATAACAGAGTACGGCGGAGGAGCAGATGGCTCTTGTCTACCATCTCCGTATCTCCCCGACACTGCCGGGTTGAATGGAGGTATCTGCGGGGGAGTATGCGGCCCTTGATTCCGGGAAGAGCTCTGTCCTGCTCTCCGTTCCTCTTCACCCTGCCCATCCGGTATAGGTTCATATCCTCGTCGTTCTTTCCTCCCACAAATCATTCCACAGCATTTTTGACCACACCAGGCAATAAGGGCTACACCAAGGCAGACGCCAACTGCACTTGACAAGGACGCAAACAGAGCTGCGTACGCTTCTCTTCGTGGTTTGGTCTTGTATGTCATCGTGTACGAATCACCGTCGGTTGGGGCTACAAACAGGATATCAGCTTCGCGTCCTGGGAATAATGTAAAGGAGCAGATATCGTTCGATCCGGCCGGACAATGAGCAGCTGGATTGGTGATGGAGTAGGTGATGGCCTTCACTTGAAAGGACGCTGAGCCTTTTGCGTACGCTCGCCGACTGGGGGAGTAAAATATAAAATAATACTCTGAATTATCGGGAGCGGTAAAGGTATAGGTGCCCTTTGGTGTGTTTTGATCATGCAGCCACCATTGGGGAGGAATGTATGCATTGGCCTTCCACGCGTGGAATGCAGCTTCGGATTCCAAAATAGCAAACGTCGGATGTACATTATAACTGAAGACGGAAAGATCATTTCTCAGTTGTCATACAAGGTTGTCTATAGCGTGATGTAGGAGAGCATACCTATTGAAATCCCAGGTTACATGGACTGTCGAACCGGGGTGCACGTCATATCTCACAAAGTGGTAAGAACCTGAAAAATAAACAGCATCCCGTGTGAATATCGAATAATATGCTGCAATTGTCTGCAAAATAGCCCACCTCGCTCCAAGTTGACACTGATATTCTTGGACATCTGAACAACGTCGTCAAGAGGCGGGACTTGGTTGAACAGATAAACATCAACTTGCGAAGCTCCTGCCACTTCAACCTCCTTGAACCATTTCGAATCTACTGACACCAATTTTCGGTCTCCAACCTGGAAATGCACACGACACGTCAACACAAGCTTTCCCAGGTGCTATGCCAAAAAGTCTCACACTCACCACTACTTTTACGTCATGGGCTCCAGGTTTTGGGACAAGCATAGCAGCAATCACAATGGCAATTACCAAAAGAATACATAGACAACATGATAGACTGCAGGCCCTTTTTCTTGCCGGTGTCGGCGGGGGACCAGGCATGACAAAGACGGGGTCTGGCAAAAAGGGCACATTTTGGGGCGTGGACGGACGGGGCGGGACGGGGGAGTATTGCGGGTAGTAAGGATGCTGGGGCTGAGGTCTAACAGGAGACGGGGCAGGATAATACGTTCGACCGTCGTTTGGGAATAAAGGTTGTTGTGGATGTTGTGGAAAGTATCCAGATGGAGGAGGGACTGCGGGATTGTTAGATCGCCACCATGATGCACCAAAAGCCCCTCCTAGAGCACCAAGCAACAGGCCCGGTACAAAGGAAGACGAGGAATGATGGGAATGGTGAGAATGGCCATGGCTGGGCCAAGTGCTTGAGCCAGAATCAAAAGTTCTGGAGGAATCGTCCCGAAACCCGGTTCCCTCCATAGGAAAAGCCTACAGATTTTCAAAATCGATGGGATTGAAACTCGGTTGATAGCGGGCCCGTTTTGCAAAACTGTTTAGTGGGGCTGTAGGAAGCTCTACAATGGAAATTTCCGAGATGTTAACCAGCAACTTTCAAAATGAGGTTTTTTTAAAACGTCTTGGAAATGGGACCGATGGCGGATGATGGCAACCACATGACGTCTCGATCACGTGATCAACTTCTTTTTGAAGTTTGCTAGTTCGAGATCTTTTGGACATTTTCATTTTCGGCAATACCTGAACGATCCCTTCCCGCTTCGTTCCAGCACCCTCGTTGTATCAAACATGGAGAACGAGAAGGGTCAGGTGTGTAGGGCGTCGGGGATGCAGTGGGGGAGGGCGAGGGGAGGGCAAGGGGACTTTTGAGTGCGGTGCCAGCAGCACATGGACGGGACAACGCAAGTTTATATTGACATTTGCAACTAGGTCGTCGACCTCTACATTCCTCGCAAATGCTCTGCAACCGGACGTCTCATTACCGCCAAGGACCACGCATCGGTTCAAATCAACGTGGCTGATGTAGATGCTTCTGGACGTCTGGCGGGTACTTTCCATACCTACGCCCTGTCTGGTTTCGTCCGATCCATGGGTGAATCTGATGACTCCATCAACCGATTGGCGACCACTGACGGGTACCTCAAGGGGTAAGTCAGGATTGACTTTTTAGGTGCGATTTGTTTATTAAATGCGCTGTTGCTAGTGTGTGGAGTTACCAACAGTAGAACTCTCCATGACCTGTTTATCTGGAGAATGCAAAACTGTATCTTTCACCCTCTACTCTGATCGACCTAATAAAACTTTTTAAAAATCGATATAATGAGGATTTGAGGACCATCGAGGGCAATCAATGTCCAATCACGAATTGTAACCAATTCCAAGGCTCAATGGCCCCTTACCCCAACTCGATCCAGGCTCAGCATGTGTGTTCTTTTGGATGCATGATTACTGAATCTGTTTGCAACTTGGGAATATCTTGCGTCTTCTGTACTTTTTTGAAAGTGAGAAATGTACCGGCTGCCCACCGGCATGTTTCATTTGATAGATGCGATATTTAGTGTAGAGGTGACAGAAACTGGCACTAGCTACTACACCAGGGAATAAACCAGCGATAACTGGTTCGGAAAAGCAAACTAAGCTACTACTAGGCAATTATACACGCAATACGTAACGGTTGGTTCTAACCGGATAATTGCCCACCACCACACGCGGTCCCTACTAGGCCTTGATCCAGAACTCTTGATGGCATTGAAGCCAGAGTCTTCGCAACATTGGGGAGACTCGCAAGCTGGAGGATCTTCAGTGACAAGGCTTGGAGACTAAAAACTGCATGTCAGAAGATGACCCGATGACAAGAAATGCAAGAAATGCCATTGATACATACCAACCAAGCTCAACTAATGTGGCAGCATAATAGTAGGTTTTGTTATTGGATCCGATTGGTTGCCGCTGGTTCTGATCACGGTTGCTGTCGGGCAGTCAAGGTCCTCGACACCACCACATCGGCGTTCTCATGATTGATGAGAGTTGGGCAGATGCTTGTGAGTCGAGGAACTGGTGAGGAAGGGGAGAGAGAGCAAAGGCTCCCCTTTTATAGACCTTCAGCATGCGCCTCACTGCAGTTTAAAAAAAAAACATTACATGCATGCCACACCGCTTTGAGCAATAGATGGGGGTGCTGATTATGCGAGATGGTTAACCGGATGGATCCAAATAATACTGGGTCCTAGTGCCATGTTCAATCACCTCCACACTATGTCAACGTCTTGCGTTGTTTGGATGTCTGGATGAAAAGCGCAACAATCAGCATCATTTCCAATCATCCCCACCGCAAGGGCCAATATTCGAGTGCCAAAAACAAAAGTTGGGACATTTGAGTGAATAAATGAGATTCATAATAAAATAGCCCGATCAGTAAACACAGATCAATACATATACAAATTGTCCCACTTAAAACCCCTACTCAGCCACTGATGACATATAATACGTTGGATGCGCATTTGCGCTGGCTGCAAGCGAGCCCTCCTCGATATATGTAAACCCTCTGAAATTCTCTTGAACCGTTTCCGACAGAGGCGCTGAATTGCTCGGCAACGAGTCGACCGGGATTGAATCCGTGAATGCAGGATCAAAGTTTGATGTATCCGTTTCGGACTCGACCTTTGGTTTAAAGGGAGGTGTAACTTGCTTTTTGAGTAGTTTATCCCATTCGATATTGGAAAAGAAGGGGTGTCTTCGAATTTCGGCAGCGTCTTCCGGGCCACCTCCTAATCGTTTTCGAGGGTCACGTTCAAGAAGCTGTCATGTTTGCGCCGTTAGTCGCATATAGGGGATATTTATGTGCCGTCACGGACTTACCCCTCGAACCAATGATTGTGCCTTTTCTGAAAATCCTGGTGGGAATAGCAGTTGATTGTGCAGAATCTTTTTATACATGAGGTTGGTGTTTTCCGAATAGAACGGGGGCAGACCCGTGGTCATTTCTGTTCAATGCAGTATGCATATGTTACTCATGCACCAACAATCATATGACCTGATCACGTACCATAGAAGAGGATTCCAAGTGACCACCAATCAACAGCTTTGCCATAACCCTGTCCTGTTAGGACCTCTGGCGCCAGATACTCGGCAGTTCCACAGAACGTATTTGTTGTGTCATTGAAGGAGAGGTTTTCTTTGCACAGACCAAAGTCCGTCAATGCTATGTGGCCTGTACTATCCAGGAGGATGTTCTAGATGCGCCCAATCGTACCGTCAATAAATCAAAAAAGTGACTGTCTCTGACGAATGCTGCCTTAAGAAAGGCGACAATTGCTCTTACCTCCGGCTTTAGGTCTCTGTACACAATATTATACTTGTGCAGATGTTCCAGTGCTAGCACCAGCTCACAGGTATAGAACTTTGCCCGTTCCTCACTAAAAGCGGTCTCCTTTTGCAAATGATAGAAAAGTTCACCGCCGTTCATATAGTCAAGGACGAGATAGAGTTTTTCCGGAGTTTGAAAGGAGAATTTGAGGCCGACGAGGAAAGGTGATGTGGCTTGAATGAGGACATTGCGTTCGGAAAGGGTGTGAGCGATTTCTTGTCGTTCAACAATGTCCTTCTTCACGAGGACTTTCATTGCATAGATACGACCTTTGTTTAGTAGTCAATCGTTAGTAATCGCCTTTGACTAGGGAGCACGAGCGGGTTCCTAATGATGTCCTCACCAGTGTCTTTCTTACGGACTTGAAGAACCTTGCCGAAACTTCCCTTACCAACGACCTTAAGCAGCTCAAAGTCGGCAGCTGTGAGAGCCCTTGCCTGTTATATCCATTCCAAGACGACCGCGTCAGTGCACTGGCCATGTTATGATAAGAGTTTAATTGTTGGCTGACATACCGGAATCGTCCGATACATCATTTGTATGCGGATTTCCCCCTTCACCTTTTCCTTCCACTGACGAGGTAACAACCTAACATACCGACAAAGATGAATGATTGATCCACTTTTCACAACATTGTACAGCAACTACATTGTACAAACAATTAAACATACCTGAACCAGTTGTCATGCAATTTGCCATTGATTCTGGATGGTCGGATTTTCATCATTCCCAAGAATCCTTCACCCTCTCCAGGGACCGCTCCCGCTCGGTCCCAAATAGTGATGGTAACTTCGCCATCAGGACGAGAAACATCACTAAAAGTGACGCGTAATCAGCCTTGTGCAGGACCATGACAATCAAGAAATATACGTACAAGGTCGCCTCATGCTTCCAGACCGAATAAATAACTCTATCACCAGACTCTCCCCCTCCACTTCCCAAGTCCATCGCATCACCACCGTCCACCATGTATCCCGAATCACTTCTAACAACACCTCCCTTGCCCTCTTTCGCGCGGCCCTCCCAACTCCCCTCCCGAGTCACAAACTCATTCTTCTCAAACTCGACCACACAATACGGACGGGAAACGGCAGTCGACTGCACAAGTAAGTTGCGTGCTTCCACCACCTTGAGCCATAGGCGGCCCTTGGCAGGTTGAGAAGTTGTAACGTCCCAGTGGGTGCCGTCGTCCATGCTTGTTGAGTGTTTCCAATAAACGATGCAAGCGCCCGTACCAGCTACAAGAACGAGTTGGTCGCGTGAGGTTGCGAGTATTTACAAACTGAGGGCCACACGGAAAGAAAGGAAAAAAAAGGATTGGAAAACGGTGTCGGAGATGGCGGGAAGCCTGGGCGGAGAAGCAAAAAACGGGGAATCCAGCTGTGACAAAGCAACGACCAACTTGCGACTCAAGACTTTCGAAGCGGCTGACTTGACTCCACGTGATCTCATTTGCTATTTTAGGAAAAATGAGGCGGCGGGTAGCTAAGCTTTGATTACGTACACTGCGGAGTTGTTGGTTTTGGGTCGTCCCCCTTTCTTTGTTTAGAAAGGTGTAAACTGCCCAAACATCTTTTATAAATACATGCAATACGTCTCCCACCATCATCAGCACCCGCATAAAATGCCCATCGATGTAATAAAGCCATTGGCACCAAGTGTCCTCGTCAGCAAGGAAGACTATCCTCCTTCTTACCGCGCTAACTTTGGTCATCCGGATGATTTGGTCGAAGCTAGTACCAAAATTGAACCAGACATCTTCTATTATGCTTTGGATGAATATCATCGCTTGTTTGCTCGGTTGCCCATTCGCTTGAATGGGGACACATTTACATCAGCAACATTCATTCTGGACACTGGTGCTTCGTGCGGAATTTATGTGAACAAGGGTCTTGAACAGTTGCTGACCGAACACGGTCGTATACAAGACGATGAATTGGGGTTTAGTTACATGGACATTGACCACCTCGAGCGGCAAGTCAAGGTTAAGATTGAGCAGGTGCCGGAAAATCATGCGCAAGTCAACATCATTGGCTTGCCCTTGCTGCTCAGCGTCGGCCTGAGTATTGGAATCGGTCATCCTGCTGATCGCCACTTTGATCAGGAGCGTACTTACCGATCAGTGGGTCTACAGTTTGGCTTCAAAGTCTTGTAGCAAATGATTATGGCATTCCAGATGCCTATTCAGATTTGTGTCTATTATGCCTAGCTAACCGGTAACAGTTGAATAAAAGACATGTTTCCCATGAAAAGCATTTTGCATTTAAAGCTTTTTTCACAGAAACATAGAGCCAAAGCCCGTTGAATCCACAACGCTGGACCCTGTACAACCCATGGGTGATTCAGATTACGCATATACCAGAGACATTCACGTAATATTAGTATTGTTCATCGTAGGGATACCGGGAACTCTGATTGGCGTGTAACAGGTATAGAGGCGAAGGAAGAAGGATGGAAGATTCGATGAACAAGGATGCGGTACCCCTTCCTTAACCTCGGGACTTCGGAGGAAAGACGAAGATGCCCCAAATACACAGCCGAAAAGCGTGCACCTTGGATTCCTGCTACGTCACTTGCCTGGCTCCGCCATGGAGTTGCGTGAAGTTGATTTAGCAGCATCCTATATACTGGAAGCCGACCTTATATCACTGTCCGCAGTATGTGCGGTGATCTGCACAATTGGGGTCGTTGGAAATGCCTTCGTGGTTCTGCTCTTTATCACGAATAATAAGCTGAGGACGGTCACTGTACGTAGTTTATCAAGTTACATGTACTTGTCAGCGTCTAAATTAATCATATCTCTTCTAACACTGATGCGCAGAACGCTCTTGTTCTAAATTTGAGCGTCAACGATCTTGGTCTTTCGCTTTTCAGTGCAATTATACTGTGGGCGAACGTGGCTTCTGAAAAATGGGCCCTGGGATATGTTGGATGTCATATCAACGGACTTATCAACATTCTGTTTTGTGGAGGAAGTTTAGTAGGTCTTGGTAAGGCCACAACATCAAGAGAGTCGGACTATTGAGCAATTCTTTTGAAACCATCATTAGCAATAGTAGGCTATGAGCGCTACCTCGTTATCGTCAAGCATACGCCCATGACCGCACGGAAAGCGCTTCTGGCTGTAAGCTGTGCCTGGTGCTACTGCATATGTCTTAGCTCCTTTCCATACTGGTTTGGAGACCGTTATGTTCTTTCGGTATGCTTGCGAAGGTTTTGGGGCTGTTGAGCGAAGGCTTACCACGCTTTTGATACTATTTACAGTCTTCTGGGATATATTGCGGAGGTTGTACGTTGGTATTGCATGGTCTCTCTATGGCTCTCACTCACGCCCGCATCGATGAATGTAGGAGACTGGTCAAACCGGAAGCCGACTGCTATCATCTTCTCCATTCTCTGCCTGATGACTGTCTCCCTGCCGATGAAGTTCTTTGCCGTCATGTATTACCACATCCTGCGTACTGCTCGAGAAAACACACGCTGTTGGGCGGCTCGGGAAGGCCCTCATTCCAATGATGTTGACCCGAAAGAACGATTGGCACAAGTTCTGGAAGCGCGGATTGCCCGCAAAGCAGCCATACTCGTGCTCGTATTTGTTGTCAATTGGTTGCTGTACGACGTGCAGTTTATGTGGGAGTTAACAGCAGGGCGCCAAGCAGAGAAGCGGTTGTGCCAGCTCTCAATATTAGGCTGCTATTTAAAGTAAGGAAACATGCTGTATGGTGACTATCAGCAACAAGTTGCAATTGACTGCTATTGGTTTTCACAGCTCAGCATGTAATCCGCTCCTCTTCATCACCTTGGACGCCAAGTGGAAGAGCGCTGCGTACAATATTCTGGGCATCAAGTGGAAAAGAAGGAACTCAGTAGTCGGCCAAGATAAAGCAGCGAAACAGACCGAACTGAAGGCCACTTATAGTGTTCATGAAACAATCGACCTATAAGCGGACTATGATGTCAGTTGTTTGCACTGTAAACAGCCAATGTATTTTTGGTACCATATTACACCAATACAGAAAGGATAAACGAAAAGCTGAGTGTAGAGGGTCCGACGTTACGCTGGGGCCGGCTGGACTGGGCTGACGGTGCCGTTCGTGTGTACTTTTGGGTAGACCAACGATGGGATGGATGACCGCCAGCACTTCCATCTATCTTGTCAACCCCATTTCGGCTCTTTCAGCATCAAGAAAGAGATCGCTGGTCGTCCGAGATGAATCAATGTCGGGAGCTACCATCTAAGCCTGTGAGAGAGTTTGATGAGCAATCTCAACTTCAGTGTTCCTCACCCATTTGATAAATCCCTTGAGCATGAGGTGCACAATACCATCTGCTCCTTCCATGACGTGCCGGTCGCGAGATAGATGCATCCAGACAATGTTGCACGTCTTAATAGGATCAGTTGGTCCACTGTTACGCTTTTTTCTTTCGCTTTTTGATCTCTGGACCTTCAGGCTCTACTAATACGTCCCAAAGCAATGCCGATGTTCAAGGAACACTGTGTGGAGAGGTTCATCGCAAAGGCAGGGCAACAGTATAGGAAGTATTACCGATGCATTGAACCATTGATGCATTGAACCATTCGAAATAAATTAGAAGGCTACTCGGATATCGTTTCAAACGATTCGCAATAATCTGGTGCTAGCCTGGAATAAACCGTGTGATGTGTTAGTTAGTACTTTGGACACAGTCTCTCATGATTTTGGTCCTTAGTACATGCATCTGTCATCTCAATCCTAGAGTTCGAATCGTGTCAGAGTCCCGACACCTACGCTTTGACAGTAACTGGCATAAATTTTATTTTCAAGACCGAAAGTTTGCTTCCGGCCATCTTCAAGTAGCCGAAAAATCAAAGTATTTACAAAAAGGCTGCCCACTCCCCCCATATAGGGTCGCCTCGTGAGAGCTGTATTTATATACACTATCCAACTGCTCCTTCAACTTCCAATTCAGAAATCTCTGCATCAACACGAACCAATTCCTGGTTCAAAGAGTGCAATCTTCTTGTCAATATCGCGAGTATCTCATCCGACTCATCGCTAAAATCCATAACGTCTATCGGTGGTCCTTCGATGACGCTGATCGTAGCATCCGCATTTGATGCATTTAGCAACTCAAGTTCAGTTTGCGTTGCAGCATCACCCATTTGAACTGTCTCGGAGGAATTGGTTTGGGCTGCTCTGCTACTTCTAGCTGATACAATAGGGGAGGTCTGCGTAGAAGCACTTGCGCTCGCGCTGTTTATTGTTTGCGTCGTCACAGATGATCTTGTAATTGGAGGTGACTGTGTCGGGCTTACTACTGAGGTATCCTTGTTCGGCCCATCACTGGATTCTTGGGGCGCATCCAGAGACGTTACTATTCCAGCGGGCGTTACTAAATCCGCAGATAAAATCGCGGCATTGACCGCATCCTCATCCTCTTTCTGTAACCCCAACAGCAGTGGCTCCGTAGCATCTTGCGTATCAACACACACTGGAGTGATCAACGGCTTTGGGCCATGATGACTCTCCTCGTCAGTTGCGTTTCCGACAATCGCCCCATCGATATCTTGATCTTCCAGTACAACGCGGACCGTGGATGCATCATTCGCAGGGACATTGTCACGTTCAGAGAGCACGAAGGCATGGTGGTTCAGACCTGGCGCGGGAATCGGCCTCTCCACAGATTGTTGCACAAGAGCTGCTCCCTCCATCTGCGTAGGTCTTTCGTTTAAGTCTGACCCATGACCTTGTGACATCAATGTGTCTGTCACCTGCTTAAATATTGATCCTTCAGAACTACTGGCACCACACCCGGTAAAGCCTTTCCCATCCCCTGTTTCAATAGATGGCTCAGAACGTTCCACATCATTCAAGACAGCAGCTGGAAAATCAGGATTGCAACAGGATTCCAGTCCCGCTTGAGGTGTCCATCCAGGATCAATCCCTCGGATAAACGCAGGTGACCGTTCGGGTTGCATGTGGCTATCTCGAGAATCAAGATTCTTCGCACGTTCATCGTCGTCAACAGCCTGTGCCCGAGAGAACTGTCCAGATTCTGTTTCCTGATCAGAAAGTGACGAGGAAGGTACTTGTTTCTCTTCAAAGGTAGTACACTGCTCGGAAGCTAGTTCGGATTCTTGTAGTCGGTGAGCTTCTTTTCCGTCTGGAGTGGCATCTCTATTTTGATCAGAGCCATCCAAGAGCCCATCGTTTTCTTCCATGATATGTATCGTTCCCGTTCCCGCAACATCATCAATATTAACTTGCGCTGAATGCTTTGTACTTTGGACGTTCTGACACAAACCATCGATACGGCATGGAATTGACAACGGAAGAGTTAAAATGGCCAAAGTCGTTTGAAAGGCGGCCACCGCTGCTGGTTGAACCTGCATATCGGGTAGTCCGATGTTGGCTTCTTCTTGACTGGCCATCATCACTTGTGTCACAGAAAAAATGCGTTCCATTCGTTCCATTCGTGGGTTCCGTTCATCCCTTGGTTTTCTCCCCTGCGATGCAACGTGCGGCAGACTCTGGTTGGTGGGCATAAGCTCAAGCGGCTGCAATGGAGGATCCGATGAGCCAGATGGGTCTACCAGATCAGTGTCCATCACCTAAGCTTATGAGTACGATAAGCGTGCAGACAAAAGGGCATGGTTTCTTCTCAACTTACCAATGTCGACACATCAGCAACTGTTCCAGTGCTGCCTCTAAACTCTCTATTAGAATCGACCTCGCCCAGCTGAGTACGTGCGCAGAAAGTAGGTTTCTGCAAGTGCACTGGGGGTTGGATCAGGGTGGACGGTGACAGCACCTGATTGCAATGTGACGGCGCCGATAAGCGTAGATGAGAAAGCGATTCCGGAGTGGTGTCCGGCGTATTAGCCATTGGTAATCCGTATCCATCTATCGTTTCCGGAAGGCCATGTGCATAACCGTTATGGTGCGATGATAGCTCCTGTTCTGTAAACATTATCGAAGCCATTGGGCTGTCAGATGCCATGCGGATTGCGCGGCAGCACGCTTACGACGCAAGCTTACCTTTGAGGCACCGTACATCGTCGGATTGAATTGGAGTTAGAATGGACACACGTTCGACGGTCTCATCACGGAGCAAATTGGGCCCAATTTCTGCGGCCCCTCTTGATATTACTCTACAACATATCCAGATAGTTAAAAGACATACTATTCATCCAGAAGGACATGTATTAACCGCGTACTGTTCATGATGGGAGGAAATCGAACTGTGTCCAATTCTCATAGGAGCGCCTTCACGTTCGTTCCCAGTAGTGGGAAGAGGCGGCGGATCTAGCCCGTATCTGATAAGAGGTAAGTTTTTGCCGTACTGCGCCATAACGTCTACTACTCGCGACTAAACTTACCTTCGTCTTATTGAATTCAAAATTTCGTCTGGTTCTCCCAACTGTAGCTGTTCACGCTTGCAGGATTCGTCAAGGTCGAGAGGGATGCTCTTTGGCCGAAGTTCGCTTTGACGCTCACGTCCAACACTGTGAGGGTTGTCATTCATCAGCTAAAGTGGAAGGTGACCGCGAACGCACTTTCCATACCTCTCACCGGAAACATTGCACGGGTGTTTACCGGTCACACGGTCCTTATCCGCGGTTTTGTTCGTCCGTTCCCTATCTGCTCCACATCCGCTGTGAGAATTATCAATCCGATATCTAAAGTCACAGTAAATTTAGTTGATATCCAGTTTTTAACCTATGTCAATTCAGCGCACCTTTGACGTAGTGAGTTCAGTATCTCTTCGGGATTCAAGGTCGCTGAACAATTCAGCGGTATGGAAAGTGGCTTTTTCGTTCCTGTGTTGAGGAGATCCTCCATATTCTCTTTTTCCTCCATTTCCAGTCTGTCAGGTACGACAATGGATAATGACATTAGTCAGAGAAGTCATTGGGCGCATGTGATAGTATCCATTGATGATACCTTCTTCCCAACATCTCTACATTCTTTTCGCTCATTGTTTCCCAAAAGTATTTAGATCGTAATGCAGTGATGTCGCTGGTCGTATCCCAATCACTATGGACAGTATCACCCTGGGCACTTTCTGAGCTCCATTCCCATCGACGCTGTCCGATGTGATCGTCTTCAGCAATATCACTGGACGTGGTAGAATTTAGCGATGACGACCAAGGAGAGGATGTATGGCTAGACCATTCCATGCTTAAAGGACGCAAAGAGCCTTCCTCGTCTGGACGAACGGGTTTGGCCAACCCATCATGGACCGCATTCACTGGTTTGGCGACTGTCTGCGACGCATGATGTGCTACTTTTGCGGGAGGCTTTGGCCGATTTGTGGTCGTCACGCTAGGGTTCCTTTTATTCTTGGTGTCCTGCTGACGGAATGCTGCAGTCGGGATACGAGACTTGGTGATGACTGGGCGGGAGTGAGCTTTCTTCGTGGCTGCATCGCCTCCGGAATATGCCTCGTGTCTATGGTCGTTCCTTGACCGTGGAACGAGTTGTCTCCTTCTGTTGGGTGCCTCTGGTGGATCGTGGCGAAATCGCTGCAAAAATTCCTTGTAGCTTGGCCGCCTGCGATCTTCCATGCTGGTCCGCCCAACCTGCAGAGTGTACGCGTCTCGCTTATCTTGCCATCAACTCCATTGTTCAGATGATTCAGTTTCATCATGTAACACTCTTAGCGGTATTTGTCTGCAGCTCTTCTTCCGCGACAGACGATACCCGGTAGAGTAGCCGCACAAAAATCTTGGCCAACCTCCAAGATTCTCGAGACTCCGGAGCTGCTGGATTTCCAGCCTTCACTATTGGGGTATATGGCGAGGTCATTCGCTCTTGTCGCCATGACTGGCAATCTCTAAGTAATGTGCAATAGATTTGCAGGGGAACCTGGGTTAAAGAAGTGTTTTGTTTATATTCATAGTTTGTTTATTTTGATGAATTGCTGTGCCACTCACAAGGACGCAGTCATCGTGGACGGGGAGATCTACAAAGATCATCATCTTGTTCTCAGAAACTTTTGAATCTGGCTTTATTCCAATATGGCTGCTCCTATAATACCGGCATTTCAGTCTGTCGAAAAGCAGGTGGCAGATAAGATGCTTTACTACCTCTCGGACGAGGTACTATCGTACGACATACAGATCGTCGAGGCGATTACCAGCAATGAGGGGAATTGTCAGTATATAGACCTGGGGCAATGTTCCAGCTTTTCGCTTGTCTAACGTTGAACGCTTTGGGTGTAGGGATTCCCTTGGAAATCTTCACTCAATCTCGTCTAAGAATAACAAAAGACGACGCTGTGGTCGCCAACGCTGTCCGAACATTCGCCAAAGAACTGGAGGTATAACATAGCTGTAGGAGACTTGAAAACATTCGCGATAACCGCTCATCGTTAGAAACTAGGTTAGTGAAGATGGAAAAATGGTTCGACGACGAATTCCTCTACCCGACTATGCAGAGATCGACACAAGAACCGTCTACATTGTGAGTATCCTTGCAGATTTACTAGCAGCTTAGCGTGTGCGTAACTAACTCATCATGCCTTCAGGAGCGTTTACCACCTCGAGCAACAGAGCGACACATTACGGATCTTTTTTACCCCTTTGGTCGCGTCCAAAGGGTTATTTTTTCAAAAATGTACGGAGATGAGTCAAAGCATGCAGGTTTCGCCTTTGCGATCTTTGAGAAAGCGTCGGACGCGGCTCGGGCGGTGGACGCTATAGGAGGAAGATTCCGGAAAATGCTTCCTGACGTGGATCTCAAGTCGTTTACTGAAGAAGAAGTCAACCTGGGGGGTTTAGGGGAGGTGAGAGTTATGTCCAAGTATGTGTGGGTCGGTTGGTGACTACGGAAGTATCTCATCTGAGGTTGTCACTGAAATGTCAATCTCAGGACTCAATGGAGAGCCCTTACGAATGAGTATGCGGCACTTCTGAAGAGAAGAAAAGAGGAACTATTTAACGTCATCCAGGGCCAAATGGGTACACACGAAAAGGCTGAATATCAAAGTAGGATAGTGGCCAAGTTCTCGGGAGCACACAAGAGCACAACACCGAAAGTGCTGAAGGTAGGGCTTCAGTTGATTCTAGAGGTTGCAGTTTTTGTCGTCGTGCAAAGTATCATGCTAACTTGTAAATGTAGCGCTTGTTTGAAATGATTGCTCCCGTATCCTTCATAGATTTGAATCGAAATCAGGGTTCCGTAAGTGTACTGAGCCTTCTTCCACCGGCGGGGATTTCTAACCAATAACAAACATCAAGGGCCATGTTCGTTTCAAAACATCGCATGGTGCACGACTTGCTTTCGTGTTTTTCTCAAGAGAATATATTGCCCAGACACATAAGGACGACCTTGGAACCTTACTGCCGCGCCAGACAAAGAAAAATAACCAGGAGAAGAGACAGCAGGCTGCAACGGAAGCCAGCGAATGGGGTGAATGGGATGACGAGGCGATGGAGGAAATGGTTTCGGAGAATGCAGATGAAGCCCGTGAAAAAGAAGATGAAGAGAAACCACCCAAGTGGCCAAATATTCAGCTTGAGATACTGACAGGTGAGCGAGGACCATACATAATGATGCTTGTCTGGTGGTTCCGTCTCCTCATTTCTATGCTCCGCAGGTCAAGCCGAAGTCGCCTATTGGAATCTGATATCACAACGGCAGCAACAAAAGGAATGGCACCAAAGACATGAAAAGACTGGAGATACTACCCCACACTCAACATCGGACGGGATAGCAAAGACCCACGCACCAGCAGTTGCGCGGCGGCATGTCAAGTTCGCGAGGAGCGATGACGAGGACGAGTCTGAGGAGCGCAATTTGGAGACAAGTACTGCCACACACACGCCCACTACACATCTAAGATTTGCAGATAGCGATGAGGAAGATAATCCAAAAGATGCTAGCGGAAAAGTAGAGGAGGAACTCGGTGCAAGAGGGGAGAAACGGAAATTGGATGAAGCGGACGGGCTGATGGCAGGTATTGAGTTAATAGATGCAAACAAAAGACCACGGCAGAACAAGTAGTGTAGAATCTTGTATATTGTTGATCTCTCACGCACGTATGTGAATACTTTTTTTTGAATGCATTATAAACCAAAGAGAAGAAAACGCACATTAATCTTGCAGACTCGTCATTACCAAGTCACACTTTGGCAAGTCCCTGTAAGTCGGGCATAGTGACCAGTCATTGGATACATAGATAACGTTCAACAGCCATGTAACAACTGCCATATTACCGATGATATGCAGACCGCTGTACTGGTAATATATGTGTGCTGCACAGCCAATATGATCAAAGTGAAAGTCAGCCCTGAATCATAATTTCATTTTTTGATTCAATAATAACTTTAGCTTCAGTATCCAGCAAAGAATTCGCCAATAAAGTCCGATAATTGCCTAAAGATGGCATTTGTTGCTGGGCCAAAAAGTCTTCCAAAATCTGTTCCTAAAATAAACGCTGATCACTCCGAACTCGAAAATATCGCATCATTGTCACTTTATGGCTACCCTTGCTTCGAATCTTCCCAACATCGGTGGCAGTCACGGTAAACGGTTAGGGTCAGCCAGTCGCCAGCGAACAGACGGTCGAGCGGGAAGCCCGCGATTATCAAAACACGGACCAACGACTTCTGTAACTGGTAGAATAATCAATGGCACCCCTAACCCTATGGCAGATGCATCCCTACCACCAGTGGAAAACAACAAATTCGGTATCATCGGCCCCATTCCTCTTCGGCCCAAGAGCAAAGCCGACGTACCATTGATAACCAACCGATTGGACGTCCGGTTTCAACTTTCAGAAGGAACAGACGTGAAGCAGGACTTACTGGCACCAGGCACCGCATACTTGGGCTCTAGCATTAATGAAAGTGATTTGACGATCATGCTCTCAGGGGGCACATTGGCTTCTCACACGGCGCCAGCAGCATCAGGATGTCATCAATGGAGTCTCAACGACACGGAGGATGATGATCAGTACATATATCCGTATCCCCCTGCCCCGCTCACAAATGGACCATTTCGTACTCCGACCATCTCATATCCTACGAAACAGCAAAATGCCCGACTAGTCAAGCTTCTAGCTTTGCTCAACCGTGCAAATGGCGCAGAAGGTAGAGATTATGCTGGCGGTGTTCGGAGGCGGGAGAATGAGTACAGCTTTGCGGTGGAGGATTCATATGTTGGATTTGAGAAGAATTTGGTGGACATTCAAAAGCTACTGGGTAAGAATTTTGGATGGCATCCCCACAATACAGCTTTAAAACTAAAGACCAGTGCATCTGACAAGAACGTGCCAAGAACATTGACGAAAAAGCTTATAACGGTGCTTCCTTGGTGACTAGCGAAGGGGACAAAGCAGGAAAGCGACGCAAAGTGGATAAACCAACTGCACAACAACATCACCAACCGCAATTATTTGATCTATTGACGGAGAATAAAACATTGGCCGGACGAAAGCCTATTCGCGTTATCGCTGCAGAATTGGAAAAGCGCATTGAAACCTTGAAAACAAATCAGGCGGAATGGGAAGCATTTCAAACCAAGATTTGTAGGTATCGAGCTTTCTGCTCTTAATACTTCCTTCAATGCTGGTATCTCTGTGTCAGTTGCAAGTACGGGAAAGTTATCTGACGGATCTGCATTCGTTGGTTCTTTAGCAGAATACCGCGCTGCCGACAATGACCGTGCGCGGACGATACCAGCTGATCTGATCCGCCAAAACAAGCTTGCAGTCGCTCAGATGCATCCAAGTCAGCGACGACTTATGATACAAGAAGGGGTATATTTTAATGTCGAAGTGCTGCTGTCGTTTTAGATTTTGCTAACGTCGCTCATTGACCAGAAAGAGCTGCATGACCGGCATCGTGCTGACGTTCGCAATCGAAAAATGCAGCAAGATATGGATCTGTGGAAAGAGCATGTACTTGCGCTGCGAAAGAAGCAAGATGCAGTGGTAAGATTTTGGATGAGGTTTAGACGCTTGCGTCATTGAGTTCATCATTCCCCTTTGGCAGGAGCATACTAAGAAGAAGGAGAAAGATCAGATGGGGAGAGCCCAAGCCCTCCAGAAAAAGTGGTTTATCCTCACCGCAGTTGCTAGTCGAATGACAATAATGAGAATAGTGCTCGAGGTACGACCATTCCAGGCATTTTCATTTCTGAGGAAAACAACTCAGTCCCAAGCTGTTCTGTAGACGGAACGAAAGCGGCGTGCAGAGTTGTTGGTTAAAGTTCATGCTGCAAGAGTCATTCAAAAGGCATATAGAAAGTATAAACAAGCGCAATATGAACGGAACAAACGCTTGGCGCTTGCAAAGATAGCTGTGTACGTGGGCTCAAATCCAGTGTTCGCATCTGACACCTTGCCAACAGACTTCCATCTCCCTTGAAATTAGGGTCTTTCATAAATTTATCCGCCGTCGTCGTGAAGTACAAAAGCACCGAGCTTCGAACACCATTCGTCAATTCTTCCGGGATGTGTACGATGTTTCGAGGCTCATGAAAGTCGTCAAGAAGTATCGGTTTTCAGGTACAGGAACAAATCTGCAAAGGTACTCAAGGCCCAGCTAACACACGCCTGCGTTCTCAGTCGTCAAAGCGCAACACTATGTCATTGGCTGGCATGCAATTCGCAACGCGCAAGTGGATGTCATTTGCAAATACTGGGAGAAGCTGGAGCCGCTTTGGTGGAGTTTAAGAAAGGTGCATGGAGGAGGGGGAACACCGCTTGCAGGGGCACGAAAACTTGGATCGTCAACGGAACTCGATGACAAGAAGGTTAAAGGAAAAAAGTAAGAATTGTGAGGTCCTAGTATGCATGGAAAGGCTCTGATGATCGAATTCAATTTGTCAAACAGAGGACGAACAAAAGCAAGAAAGGACGACAATACTGATAAAGTGCCTTTGAGAATTGCAGAGTGAGAGACCGAAAATAGTTTTGGTACCACATTGTGTTGACAATTCTGATATATTCCATTCAGCAACACAAAGAGGGCGGTTATTCTTGAAGATCTGATCAAACGGCGATATCAGCACCGCAAGCAACTTGCGCAATACGTACAAGATCTCGGTGCATTTAATGCAAGCCACAAGGTATGTTGACTGAGGTTTGGACGTTCATGTCCAAAAAACCAGCCAGGCTGAATTGTTCGCTTTTCAGTCTGGGAAGGGCGAACCCGGTCCTCCGAGGCGTCCGATCTTCAAGGTAAGGCCAGTGATTGACTTCCGGTGAAACTATTCTCGTTGCTGATCACTTCCCGGACAATATGTAGCTTCTACCACTTCAAGCCGACATGATAGCTCTAATTGAAAAGGGGTTCTTAGAAGCGACATCTTCAGGATTCCGCTGAATGGAATGACTGTTAGACGATGACATACGTTTGTACATAAATAGAAAGCAAATACTGGGACCCTGCTTAAAAATATGTTTCTCACATGGTACATATCGCTACCACACTACTACAAACTGTCACGGCTGCCTTCCTCCGCTCTTCACTCCCAATGCAAACTGAATCCCCTAAAATAGACATACTGATCTTTCGGTGTAGCCCAACTAGAGTCCGACCCGCCAAAGAAAGTCTCAAACTCAATCCCGACGAATCCTACATTTGCAGTGTTCCTGTAGCTAACTTGCCCAAAGTCAATCACCTCAACTCCATCGCTAAAAACTTGGACACGTCCATCTGCGTGGCCTGGTGTGTTTAGCGTGATGCGTTGCAGGAGGGACTGCCATTTACCAGTCTTGAATTTGAATGAGCCACGGCCGATGGAGTTTCCGTAGTCACCGTTACAGACGCTCAGAGGGGGAACCTTGCAAAACGTCTCAACTTGCTTTGAGGCGTCTACGTAAAGATAGGTCTCACCCGCTCCCTGTTTACGGAACTAATAAAAGAATAAAACCGCAATTGGATCTGTTAGTCAAAGGGCATTGTCGTAGGTAAGGCCATACAAAAAAGAAAAAACAGCATACCATATAACGAGTGGAGAAACAGTCGAGGGCGGGATCTCCTCCGGAGCAGCTCTCACGACCACCTAAAATCGTCGCTGGTTTAGAGCGTTGACGAATATTATTGCCATTTTTATTACCAACCGTAGAGTCCAGGTAGCTTCCCGCCCTTATTAAAAGCAAATCCGCTTGGAAAGTATATCTGATACTCGAACGATACGACTTTTGCATTGCTTAAATTGATAGGCTGAGCATAGAACTGTAATATGGATCAAGATGCTAAACATCATGGTAATCACAAGAGAAGACAACAAAGTATGAGCATACCCCAGTTCCACCTCGTGGTTTGCCGGAAGGGTTGTAGCTGCCTGCAGGGTAGCTATTGAGGCAAATAAACATTAGTGAGTGGAATGAGCATGGTTTCCCCTGCACATCAAAAACCCGCTTACAAGACACTCAGCACTGGCTTGCCTGACCCTGCCGGGTCTTTAACGATTTTACGATTGGTTTCCCCATAAGAGCTCTTGACCACATTGAATGCATCGGTTCCCGTCGTCAAATCGGTGAGTTCCCAGGATTGTTCGCCAGTTGTGGATGGTTTTGACGTTGTCGATTTGCCCGTATCACAATATCCTCCTGTACAGGAACCCGAAAGACAGTCTTTGGGTGTATCACATGGAAATCCGAAAGGACAAGCGTAAGGGCATCCAGCACCACACCCGAGATCTGATACATGATACGATATGGGTGAAATTGAACTTTGGAGAAAACCTTATACCAGATAATCGTACCTAGGTCGCAAACGGTAGGAGCTGCCGCAGATTGGACAAACTTCCCATGCAATACACCTTTACGGGAGATTATCAAGAAGATCCCGGTGCATCGAACGGATAGAGAGATTGACCTACCGGCGAGCACGTACCCCACCATCAACATCCGCCTCAAGCTTACCATCGCCGCACACATTATAAACACCAGCTTACAGCTTTGCAAAAATTAATGCCAGCAAGAAAAATGCACCGTGATGAGTAAAACCTGGCAACTGGATAAACGCTGTACAAGAAAATCGCATATAATCCAGCATAAACAAGTGTATTTGAGAGAATCGTTTTGGTGCTCACAGCCGCACTTTCTGGTCTGGGATATTGCGAAACGATCCTCATAGAGAACCCTCATTTTGAACATAACCTATTGAATTCTTATTCAATGACCCAGTAAAGGAATTTCCTTGTAGGATATTTGAACCTGATGCGTCTCGGATATTTTTGAAGCGGCCTGATCCTCAAGCGTCCCCCACCTTTGATCATGCACATGCGGAAAATACGTGGCAGTCAAGGTTAGCCTGCATCACGACTTTGATTTTACGGTGGAGCGAAGTAATATTTAGCCGGTATAGTAACAGGTGGTAATATTCATCCATATACGTGACCAGCAACTACATCCGACTACTTTGCTACATGTATAATGTACTACTTTCTCCTAACGAATTCCTATACTCACGCTACTTGTGAACACCAAACGCCGATATATGCGATAATTACGCCAGTAATTAAAGAAGAAATAAAATTGACCTGTTGAGCCAAAAGAGAAGAGCAGCATCGAGTTATTCTCGCATCCGGAACCTCATTCAAAATGCAAAAATACTGCACCTGATGATTATCTAGTAACTCGATCCCAGAAATATGTTTTAAATCCGACGTGGTTTCTCCCTCACGAAGGCGACGGTGATCACCCGCTATTTTTTTGGAAGCTGCATTGTACACGCTCTTTTGAAGAGTAGCCCCAAGCAATGAATCAATCTGCCACATGTGATAGATAAGTTAATTATCCATTAACGTGGGCACGACTTAAAATTGAGGTAAGCTTACCAATGAACCGACCAATCCCCCCAAAGCACCCATCACAAGAATGAAGAGATATGGCTTCGACTGTGAACACTCGGGATTCCAGGGTAAGCCAATCGCAGCGATCATTCCGACCAACAAACCCCCAGCAATCGATGCTGTCAAGCCAAGTAATGAGATCCCTAGACATAAGGATGATGTAAGCCTTATCCAGTGGACTTATAAATAAAGATGAACCTGTCTAACCTCCATTCGTACCCTTTGGTACCTAGAAAAGACGTTGAGCTAATTATTAACATCGCCGACCTCCAGCGAAATACCTTTTTAAGCGTTGTGATGAGCAGCGGTTGACCTTTGCTCAAGATCCCCAGTTCGCTCGCCCATGTGTCACCGCAGCAACATGCATAGTGACTACAGCATGCAATCAAACAAGGATCATGATAAATGATGTCTCCAGCGCCGAGATACCCACCCACAGCGTCCTCACCCAATATATACCAATACTAGAACTGTATGCAGCAGCCCGACTCTCGTGTCAATCACACCAAAACAGACTCGCTCTTGCGTGGCCCGACGAACAAGATAGTAATGCAATGCGCATGCAACGGTGCCAGTGAGTCCGTTGGAAAGGACTTGGATCGCCGTTCGCCGACCACCTTTTTTGAACAAGACAATTAGAGTTCTGGTCGGTCGGGTTGGAGACGATCGCGATAAACTTGTATGCTTTTCCAATACTACAAAATCGATATCCCACCTTCTTGAAAATCTTCTTCCAGTTGCTTCTTAATGTTTTGCTTGAACTGGAAAATTGAAAATATATATATGGCGACGTACAGCTTCAGAGCTCAACGGCCGCGGCAAAGGAACTGCGGCTCCAATTTGTCTCGGCATCACGTATCGAGACAAAGTATAGAGTCATCTCACCTTGGTAGCTCTCGAACCTCCAAGATAAAAACCTAATAAAACGCCGCCAAAGAGCAGGCCATCCTGCGATCCCGAACACGAAAATGTTATGCAGCCAACCACAAAGGCAGCAATAGCACCACTATAACTAAGCGACTTTTTGCGGATGCCATGTACTGCAAGGGCGGTGCAGAGTGCGAGAGTTGCGACGGGATGCATTTGCGGTGACAAGAAGCTCAGAAGATCATCGCCTGCCTTTCGCACTAGTTGCGTGGCTTTGCATATCTTCACGTAAGCATGAATTCACCCAACATCATAGCCCACAACAATATTGCAACGTGCATTATAGGAAGCAGTATTATGTTTCTGCTTTTAGTCTAGCAAACAGCATCCACAACCCTCCGCCCAACGTCCTGATCAGGGCTTCTAGCTGTGACCTCCAGCGTCACGCCGTCGTCACCAAGTACCATTCGACACCGGCAAACCACTTTTGTCCCACCAACATACACTCCGCTCAATAAGAGCGTGTGCGTTGTGGCTTTGTCCTTGACCATATCGCTTCCGTCGCATGGATGCATGCCGAGAAGTTGAAGCAAATTTTGTACCGCAGCTTTGGGTCGGGCAGGGAGGACATCATTATAATTAGAGCGCGAGTTTTAAAAATCATAGCACTCCATGAGCGCTTACCTTTAATGCTAGCTACATTGGTCAGGGCGTACGTCTCTGTAACCTCGGTGGCCTCCCCGAGTTCCTCCCACGTTCGCTTAAAGTCGACGATGTACGACGGGAGCATGTAGTCTGCCGTTACCAGATCCAAATCTTCCAACTATGTACAAAACTAAGCACGTGTTTATCGGGAGCAACTTTGTGTGCAACCGCTATCATACCAAATATTCATCCTCGTAGCCTTCTTCCGAATCAGGTTCGCCCGTGCTAGGATCGCAGTCTTTGACAATAAAACGTAACGCATTTGAAAAGGTTGCTGAGATTATAATAACGGCATTAGCAACAGCACATTCATCATGATGATACGGGACGTCACTGCATACCCGTCGGACACACCCCGCCAGGCCGGCTGTACACAACGTATGCTGTTCCCGGGATGTCATAGATGAGTCTTTGGATGGGTATAGCCTTATCTTGCACCAACGCTGTCGCGTCATCGTCCTCAGAGGTCTCCAATTTCATCACGACATTGACATTTTCCAAAAGAGAGTCGTTCAATGTGTTGCGGCAGTCAAACTGGCTCACCGAAAATGACACGTCAACGCAGGTTATGGATTAACCAACGATGCATCCTACCTGGAAAACCAAGTGCTCTGAGAAGACATGCTTCACGCATGAGACGACGTACTCAGTTTCTGATTCTGTCAACTCGACAGGTTTTGACGACTTGAAAAGCGACCCCAACCCAGCCAGCTCTGGGATCTTCTCCATGGCAGCCGCATATCCAGCCTGTGCGTCACCCGCCGCTGAGGGCACAGCTCCCCGTGCGGCAGGAGTGCTTGAAGGTGCACTCGGTGTCGGCCCACCCTGAGTGCTTCGCAAAGTGGGAACTGCTAGTTCTGCAGCGGCCGTCGCGACCCCTGAATACGATGGCACATGAGCATATCAAAAAAGAACGTTCGATACAACGCTTGTGACGTACGAGCTCGTTCCGCCCTCTCTTGCGCAGCCGTGATCACAGGTGTGGTACTGATATCAAAGGCCGAAGAATGAGCGGCCTCATCGTTCACGTATTCGACGAGTTTCCGTTCGAGAGAGGGCCAGCTATATGTGGTTTCTACGTTGGGTAAGATTGGCAGTTCCATATGAACACGGACGCCCAATAATCAGAATGACTTTGCCGCAACTAACCATCTGCAATGTAACGCTTGCAAAGATCCTCGTCATCGATGATGCGTAGATACATCACTGCACGATCTCTTACTTCATCCTCATTATCGTCCAAGCATCTTCCATGATTATCCAGAGATATGAGGATGGCGTGCAAATACACGAATGTCACGAACAGCTGTACTCACCTGGTCAGAAGAACCTTAACACGGTCTCGTAGCTCGGGGAGATGGACCGCAAACCGCGCCAAAGCACTCACTGCAGCCGCACGGACTGTGGCGTTTTCAAGAATAACCCGATTGTAAATATATCGGATGTACTTTGACGGTTTTGATGTCTTGGGCCCTTCCCTTCCAAGCAAGTGCAGTATGCGAACAGCTAACTTATTGAACTCGCAATCTTCGATGAACTCGCATAGGTGGGATAGTGCTAATCGGTAGAAAGAATCCAATATTACAATACGATTCCTCGCTCCGGTTGCTCCACCATGTGCCCCTTACCAAACTCCTTGGACTCAGGGATATGATAAATAATATCCAAAATGGCGTCTACAATCGCTCTCTTGTATTCGTATCCACCCTCATCTCTCAGCACATTCGATAGGAAGTTCAGCATCAACGATTGCTTCGCCGGAAATTTGAGGCAGAGAGACCGGATCGCATCAATAACGATGATTTTGAACTCGTCAGATATCTCATTCATAAAACCGGTGATTTGCTTCATCAGACGATCTACGCTGGCTTCGTTACCGGTCTGATGTCAACAGGATAAGCAGACCATCAAACACATGGGCGATATACATGTGTGCGCACCTTTAGGAGGGTAGTGATGGCGAATGTGGCGATGCTTCTATTAGGATCCGTTATCAGATTCTCCATGTCCAGGTTGCATGGGAATACTGCGGCAGGATGTGTCATTGCTAGTTTGCTTAGGGTCCGGATGGCCGCGAAGCGGAGGGTGGGCTTGTGATTCACGAGCATGAGCTGCAGAGCTGAACAAAACGTCAAGACAGTGACGATCACGCGCGCTGTATGTTCTTCACCCACCGGAAACTGCGGGGAACAATTCTTTACTTGTGACATCCCGCAAGTCGCAAATTGCGCGTGCTGCCTCATATACGACCATATCGTGCTTGTGCCGCAACCAGCCTTCCAGTAAATCGTACAGAGAGCGTGACCTGCGTAAACGTTACTAAGGACACTTGTACTCTCTGAGACCACGTGGATCACCCATACCCTGGTTCTTCGTCCTCCATAATCTTACACGCATATCGAATCAACATGCAGTACGCTAAAGGTGAGCGCAAGGATCCGCGGGAGTAGTTCTGCACCAATTTAATGACGGCCATTCGATCATGTTGCCGAATCTGGTACATTAAACCTAATGCATGGTACTGTGTAATAGGACCTTTGCTGTTGATGGATTCCTGGACCTCGTTAGCCCACCGTCTCACAACATCCTTATTCGCGCCAAAAAGATGAAGGGAGGAAACGAGAGCTGCGCTAGAGACACTGGGATTTTTGTCCACAATTGCCTGCTTTATGAATCGCTCGATCGCTTGCAGCATGGAGCTCTAAATCCCATGATGGGTCAACCAAATCCATCAAAACATATACATGTGACAAGACTTAAGCGTTCTGATATGTCCGCTTACATCGGTAATCTTTGCCAACGCTCGAATAGCATTCGCTCGGTAGATAACGTCCGACTTTGCATTCATATCACGCATCAGACTTGAGGTCACCATGATGACATCCTCGGCCACCGTCGATAGTTCTTTGATGAGAAGGTAGACCATTTGCCGAAGTGGGGTCTGAAAAGCACGTGAGATGCAACTCTATGGATACTTGTAGTATGGAAGCATGATGATCACGGTAACATACATCTTGAGATTGAAAGAGCTTTGTGATGGAGAAGAATGTTTCGGTCGCTTCTTGGGTGTGAAACACCTCGGACTGGTAGAGCAGATACACAATCTTGGTCAATATGAGGCGGCATTTCCGAGGATTGATGGGAGTTTCGTTGAATGCGCGTGCTTCTTGCAGGACCGTACTCTTGTCAATGTGGAAGAAGAGGCCTGCATCTGGCAGTTTTTAAAAGGCAAATCCATGGTGGCCATCAGGTCAGATAAGCACGTAAAAGTGACGATTTTCCTTTGCACCCGTACCCGAGTCTTCATCTTTCTTGCCCAAGTTCATGGTGTTTGAAAATGCTACAAATCCCAAGTTGCGCGTTGAACGGGACTTGTTCCAAGTTTGGCTTGGAGAGACGCCTCACCACCCGGACACGTGTCACGCGTTTCCAGTCTTGTTGCTATGGCAACATTTTGCTTACCTAGGAGACTCGTCTGGGTCGCTGTGGGAGAGCCGACGGTATGGCTGCGGTATGTAACTTTGTATGCAGATTGCGTTACAGATGCCCCAGGATTTCTGGGTTTGAGTGCCGCCCTTTTCTTAGTTTTGGGCATTTTGAGGAGCAAGACTTTCTCTACAGGTTTGGGACTTTTAAGACATGGGGTTTGGAAATTGTCTTATCGACGGGCCGACAACCCCTCTGCAAGAGATCCATAGGATCTGGTGACTTAGTGTCGCAAGAGCTCTGGAGGATTTGGGGACTGTCCTACCGACGGGCCGACAACCCCTCTGCAAGAGCTCCATAGGAACTGGGGACTTTTCGACCGACGGGCCGACAACCAAGTATCACCACAAATGTCGCAAGAGCTCCGGAGGATTTGGGTAGATGGCCCGGAATTATCGACTGCAATGTTTTATCCTTTCAAATCCTGCGAGGGTGAGAGCAATACTGATACAAGGGCAAGCAAACGCTGTGAAAGTGGCAGTCATTGTGCGAACTCGTTTCATACCTAAAGTTTGGGGAGCCCCGACCCTCTCGCTTGAATCGTTGCAATTACGCTTGCGGTTGTACCCCAGAATACCACCCCGAACATCTGGGCTTGACTTTGAAATACAGGAATCTCGACTACGTTGGCACTTTTCTAAAACCCCAGTTATACGCCTTTCCAAGATTAGCGATTTCCTCATCCTGGCAGAGGAGTCACACGTCACAGGCAAAATTGCCGTGCCTGATGCGGCCGGGCGCAACCGTAGAGGAAGGCGCATATTCAAAAGAATGAACAGAACGCTCATATTGTTCTGTGTAGAATACCCGGATATCCACTGAGGATTGCACCCGGTTGTAGAGCTATGTCCCTGGTTCAGCCAGGAATGGCACGAAACCAGCCTGAAGTGGCCTATCTCGTCCTCATTCAAAACGATGCATCTATTATGAAGACAACCTGTCATCTTGGAGGGGTGCTGGCTCGAGGCCGGTGATGATTGCCCACTACGATTGTGGAAAGTCTTGGGGTTCCTTGCATCGGTTTATCAAGGTAACTTGGGAGCGGAGTTTTACATCCTGATATAATGTCTTGTAGAGTTGTTTTAAATAGAAGACCATACTTCCATCCGCTTCCTCTTCAATAGAAACAATCGAATAATTCTTTTCACATTCTAACGCTGCACACGTACACGAGATGGTGAAGTTGTCGCTCGTTATCATTGCGGCCCTCACCACGACTGCACTAGCAGGTACACATACATTTGCTCGATGCACAAAATGACATCCTTCTGATCACACAGTGTTGGCATAAATAGTACCTACTCCTCAAATCACTACAGAGAGAAATTGCAAAGGCGAGAAATGTGCTGAAATCTCAGCTTGGACAGAATCACTCACCAAGGTCATCCGAGTTGATCCAAGAGGTAGCGTGCCGTATGATTCCTGAGATGATATGTAATGGAGTTGCTCTAATGGTCTGTTCTGGCATACATTAGCACCCGCGCCACATGACGGACCACATCCTGATAGTGACGGCGAGGCGATCCCTCGAAACACTACATCAGTTCCTAAAAAAGAAGATGCGAAAGCACCGGGGAACCCACCAAACGCTGGCAAAGATGCCGCAAAAGCAACGGTAACGCCACCAAGCGCTGGAAAGGACGCCGCGAAAGCAACGGTGACCCCGCCAAGCGCTGGAAAGGACGCTGCAAAAGCGACAGTGACCCCGCCGAACGCTGGCAAAGACGCCGCGAAAGCAACCGGTAAAGACGCCGCAAAAGCTGCTGGTAAAGACGCCGCAAAGGCAACGGTGACCCCGCCAAACGCTGGTAAAGATGCCGCAAAGGCCACTGGTAAAGACGCGAAAGCAGCTGGTAAAGATGCCGCAAAAGCAACGGTGACCCCGCCGAACGATGGAAAGGACGCCGCGAAAGCAACGGTGACCCCGCCAAGCGCTGGAAAGGACGCCGCGAAAGCAACGGTGACCCCGCCAAACGCTGGTAAAGACGCCGCAAAAGCAACTGGTAAAGACGCGAAAGCAGCTGATAAAGATGCTGCAAAAGCGACAGTGACCCCGCCGAACGCTGGCAAAGACGCCGCGAAAGCAACCGGTAAAGACGCCGCAAAAGCTGCTGGTAAAGACGCCGCAAAGGCAACGGTGACCCCGCCAAACGCTGGTAAAGATGCCGCAAAGGCCACTGGTAAAGACGCGAAAGCAGCTGGTAAAGATGCCGCGAAAGCAACGGTGACCCCGCCAAGCGCTGGAAAGGACGCCGCGAAAGCAACGGTGACCCCGCCAAACGCTGGTAAAGACGCCGCAAAAGCAACTGGTAAAGATGCTGCAAAAGCGACGGTAACCCCGCCAAACGCTGGTAAAGATGCTGCAAAAGCGACAGTGACCCCGCCAAACGCTGGCAAAGACGCCGCAAAAGCAACTGGTAAAGATGCTGCAAAAGCGACGGTAACCCCGCCAAACGCTGGTAAAGCTGCAAAAGCGACGGTGACCCCGCCGAACGCTGGAAAGGACGCCGCGGACGCCGCTAAAGCAGCTGGTAAAGATGCCGCAAAAGCAACGGTGACCCCGCCGAACGCTGGAAAGGACGCCACGAAAGCAACTGGTAAAGATGCTGCAAAAGCAACTGGTAAAGATGCTGCAAAAGCGACGGTAACCCCGCCAAACGCTGGTAAAGATGCTGCAAAAGCGACAGTGACCCCGCCAAACGCTGGTAAAGACGCCGCAAAAGCAACTGGTAAAGACGCGAAAGCAGCTGGTAAAGATGCTGCAAAAGCTGACGGTAACCCCGCAAACGCTGGTAAAGATGCAAAAGCCACGGTGACCCCGACAACAGCTGGAAAAAACGCGACGGAAGCTGCTACAGCAGCTGGTAAAGACGCCGCAAAAGCAACTGGTAAAGATGCTGCAAAAGCGACGGTAACCCCACCAAACGCTGGTAAAGATGCTGCAAAAGCGACGGTAACCCCGCCAAACGCTGGCAAAGACGCCGCAAAAGCAACTGGTAAAGATGCTGCAAAAGCGACGGTAACCCCGCCAAACGC